GACACTAAGCATCATGAACATTGGGGGAATCGCGGCCTTTGTCACACTGCATTATCTGGAAGAGGCAGAGGAGGAAGGCATGTACCCTGTGCAGTTGTGGCGCTTCATATCCAAAACACCCAGGTCAGTGCTCCCAGCGTTGTGCTACTCCAGGTCAACCTGCCGCCAAAAAAAGAGCTCCACTTGGGCACAATAGAGCACGGTTGACCCAGCCGTTGAGCCCCAAAGGGACTCTCTTGGATTTTCTGAGGAGTGTGCGAAGTCCAAACCTTGATGGAACCTGACAACACACCTGACTTTGATGTGCCATTCTGTCCAGGGGAGCTGCAAAGCAGAAGAGCGGCATTGAGAGGCTGAGCAGTGCATGCACGCAATTCCAATATGATGTCGGCGCCCTGCATGACAACAAAGTCTGGCTGACATGCTTCGATTACCCGTACAACATGGCTGTCAACTTTGACGCTGACAGGCAAATCGAAGTCTATGCTCCCCCGGTGAGTCACTTCATCCGCTGGATTCACTTACAACGGCTTGCAGTGTGCTTTACATGCTTTCAACACCTTAGGGGGAAGCTTCTGAATGCACTGAACTTCATTATGTGGACTGCTGCGCAGAAATTCATTGCAGACTAGAGCGGTTACATGACGATTGCATGTTTCAAACACGTATTTCTGGAGCTGAGGCCCCCTGTAAGAAGTCACATGTGCTCATGTACCGGGGGTCCAGCAGCGTGCACTGACTAATGATTACAAACATGCGCAGGAACGCTGGGCGTCGGGAGATCTTGCCAAGCGGAAGGGCGTCAGTGTTGTGGCGTGGGGCGGCCAGCTGATTGCATACGGCGGGTACACCTATGAGGACAAGCTGCTGGCTCTTTTCAGTGAGGTTTCAGTCATGGACATGCGCGAAAGAATAGCCTGGGTGCGGCAGGAAATAGGCGCGTTCACATCCATCCTGACGCTGTGCACTGCCCCTGTGAAAGTCTTGATCTGGCAGGTAGAGCGTCTCATGTCTGCTGCTGCGGGAGATAATGTCCCAGTGGGTGTTTCCTGGCAGGCCTGCTCACTCATGTCATTCTGCCCAGTGGAATGCTTGCCGAAGTTGGCCATGTTTCCTCCTGAATTCTATTTGCCTTCAAGCATCACACCCAAGGAGATTCAAGGGAATCCAAGGACACAGTGCCTTGGATTCTGCTTCATGCTCAATGTCGACCTGAACGACACATCCCAGCTCCCAATGGGTGTCTCCATCTTCTGCACAGTTGGATATTTCTGTCAGAAACAGTGACATCTACGTGGCTTGCTTGCAGATGGTCCGGTGCCGCCGTTGAGGCACGATCACTGCGCCTGGATGGTCGGGCACTTCATGTATGTGTTTGGCGGTGTCGGGTCGGAGTCATTTGCCGAAGCTAGAATGTTCCAACGGTCCAAGCCTGGCAGGTGTGCATTCGGGGGTCTCTACCATACAGAAAATTTGTTTCCCTTATATGGTCATTCTTCTCATTACAGGCTTTTTCGTCCAGAGAGCAGGTGCATCTGTAGACATGCTGCAGGTGATCTTTGATGCTGATAATATTTACATGTCTGACTTTGTCGACCGCTTTGACTTCTTGCATGCAGCCGGCATGAGCTTGGGCCCTTTCTGATGCACTCCGACCATCACTTGCCTCCTGAAGCAGGGCGTTGCAACATTTGTTATCTTGGATTCAGGGTGACCTGAGGTCATTTGCCTCAGCGGTGGATGTTTGTTGTATGAACAGGTTGACGACACTGAATGACCTTTGGCGGCTGGACACTTGCGCATGGACTTGGGAGGAGCTCCATCCCATTGGCATCCGCCCGTGCCCCAGATCACACGCAGGTGAGCGGAACCAAAATGCCGGCCGAGCAACGAACATGACACACACATGTATAGTCCCAATCTTTGTTGTGTATGTGCTTTGCATCCGCTTGCATCCCCAATTGTTCGAGCATGTACTAGAGTGTGGGGTGGATCTGTCGGACCCAGAATCATGCAGGCAGGGGTGCATGCTGCGGTAGTAACATTGGCAGCTGTGGCTCCGGTGGCAAGTAGCTCAAAAAAGTCTTCTTGAGGCCCACACAGGTCTGGCGGTAAATGGGGAGCGCACATACATAGTCGGAGGCAAGGCGCATCCGACAGCGCGGCTCAAACCCGATGGATCAGACGGGAAGAAGCAGCTGCTGCTGGCAGACATCTTCCAATACCACGTAGAGGAGAATTGCTGGCTGCAGGTAACTTTCTTGATGCTGAGTACCCCCAGCAATGGAGAAATATTCCAGAGGGCTCTATATCTAACTTAGAACCCTGCAGCTGGCACCAATGCCTACTGCATGTCTCATAATCATAATGATCGCACCGATCCCTGGGCAAATTGTGATAACTGCCAAGTGAAGATTTGCCAGCAGGAATACTGATTGCATCCGAAAAAATGAATCACGGGTGTCCTTCTCAAGTAGGACCTTGTGAGGGCATCCTGTTGAGCCCATGAGCTGCACAAGCTTCTTGATTGATCTGTATATCTTACACCTGGTGTCACTTGCAGGTGCTACCAGCAGTGGGCCAGAGGGCGTGGATGTCTGCTCGGCACAGCCCAGCATGTGGGGTTCTAGAGAATGGCAATCTGGCAGTTCTGGGCGGCTTTAATGCCGCCGATCCCATATGCTTTGACGCATGCCTCAAGTTTGATGTGAAGCAAGCCGACGTGGCTGAATGCGTGCGCCTTATGACTCCCAAAGAAGGTGACTGCCTCCAGCTTCCCTTCCAGCGGGGCTATCAATTCCAAAGTGTCCACCATGTAGTTCAACAGGCTGACATGAAATACTTACCTCTTATCATGATTGGGCTGCTCTGCAACTACGGGCTATTCTTGCAGGCATGACTGACAACAGCCCACGTATTTAAGCCCCCCGTCTGCCCTGCTACTCAGCTGACTGGCGCATTTTCAACCTGCACTCCTCCATTTTGCAGGAACAGAGAAGTGCTCAGCAGAGTATTTTGGACGGCATGCAGAGCAGTTCATAAGTGGCTCAGTCAGCATGGATCATGCGCGCGCATGTGCAGGTGCTGACGTGCCGGCAGCTGTCGTCCCGGAGCTGTCGGCCCCGGAGCCTTGGCCGCGCCTCGGCGTGGATCTGGACGCAGCTTCCCCGCGGCTGCGTGCCTTTCTCACAGCTCCCCTCGGCGCATGCACATTCTTCACACATCACCACGAGGAGCTCTGTCAGCATGTGCTGGGCCCCGGTGACTCCATCACAAGTACGAGCAATTCTTGCACGCTCCTGGCAGGACAATTTTCATCGGCGCTGCAGCAGAATGACACTACCTGTTAGTCATGCCTTGAGAGCAGCTGTGGAGCAGGAGGACGTTGTTGATGTCTCCAAATTAAACTGGAGTTCTCAGGGTGTAGGGCGTGGCTAAACTTTTAGCGCTACCAAGTAATGTTATGGCTATATTATGAAAAGAGGTAGGCGCTGACACTGCAAATGAGAGTCAAGCATTGGGTCAGCCTCGAGTTGACTGGCTGCAATGTAATAAGACTAGCTAACTTACTAACCGACGCTGACAGTTCCATACTAATTCTTAGCACGGCCTAGTACCAGGATGGATCGGCTAAAACATGCATGCTGTGTGTTGACTTCCGTATGCCAGTTTTGTCTGCTTTTCTGCCTGTGTGGATTTTTAAGTGGTAGCCTGTGGATCTAGTATTCTCAGGTGTCTTGGAAACCTGCTGTGTTATTATAACAAGTACTCTTGCTTTTGCAGCCACTGGAGGGATGAGGTCGGATTATGTCCCGTATGTGATGGGCCCAGGGTTTATCTTCTGCAAGTCCAGGGCCAAAGTCCTCCCGTAAGTGCCATCAGCCCTCTGATTCAGTTGCCGTGCACTTCCTGATAAAACATTGCAATTCCCTGTATTTACATTGCACTTGCAAGAGCCATGAAACGGTGCAGTACATTGCTAAGACGTTGTTTCATCTCTAAGAATCAAGAAAGCATGTGCAACCTTCAATGCCTTGAGAGCGGGTGAGAGACTGCGCTTGAATGTCTATGTATGTCTGCACAGACAGTGATAAATGCTTCATTTTCTGAGATGTGGCAGTTTGCCTGCAGGTCAGAAGGCTTGGACATGCCTTGGAAAGTTGAGTGCAGCCCTTTCGATACTGTGCCCAGGTGCTGATTTCTGCAGCCTCGATACCTGCCAACTCATCATAGCAGTATTATTGCTGTGGCTACCATACCTGCAGAAGGAGTCAGAGGAGACACATTCAGGACACAGGAGAATACAGACACAAAGAATTGCATGGAGCTAAGCAAAAATCGAGTCAGCCACTCAATGATGCCCGCAGGTGGCTGACTTTCCCGTGCGAAGCCGTGTTCAACATGGAAGCAAAGAGAAACACCGCTGCGACTGTTGTCGACGCCTTAACGCAGATCATCAAGTTCTTCGGCACACAGAAGGTAACACCCAACATTGGCATCTACTCTCTGCTTATTCTCCACAAGCTGGAAAGTTCCCTAAAAACACTGCCGCTTAGGTGTTTTCAGCAGAGGCTAAAGCACGAATGCTTCTTTTCCTATGCTGCGACCAGAATTTCTGCCCTGCATGGGGAGCTCGATTTCCTAGGGGTGACTGTGTCAGCCGGCCCATTTTTAACTGTACATAATGTATACCGCCCCCGGCTGGCGGGGGGCCGCAGTAATACTGAGCACCGTGCCCACGGTCAATTGGCTCTTGCTTGGATCTGGCATTTCCAACCAGGGTTAGGATTGTGACAGCCTTCAACTGCAGCTTGTCTGCAGGACGTACCTTACCTTTTGGCAGGCAGGAAAAGCGTGTAGTGAAGATCATACTTATGATGTATATGACAGTAGGACCCGCATGCACACAGGCAACCAGGATTTAGTGGCTCTGATGGCTTTGTTGTGCATGACTTCTGGTGTGCGTTATGCAGGCGGCTCGTGAGTACTTCAGAGCTTCGCAGCCGCAGCTTGACGGGGACAACAACGGATGGCTCTGCATGGACATGAAGAACAACATGAAGGTGCCTAATCATTTCCTCATTTGCCTATATTTTCCCTATATTTTAGGGAATATATTTCCCTAAACTCTACAACATAAACCCTAAAAAATATAGGCCATAGCCCTTGTGTACGCGTGCTGTCGGCCTCTCACTCTTCCACTGGATGTGCATGCATGCTCAAATGTGGCCAAGCAATGTGCCGTTGCGGTTTAATTTCTTTGTAAGCTTATTATATTTTAGGGCCAGATGCATGATTTTGGCTTCATCTCACCGGGTGCAGTCTGATGGATCCTTTCCCCTGTGAACCAGCGAACTTTGAGAAAAGACATGCCTCAACAAAATGCCCACTGCTCCATTGCATGCTCGATTTCCTGTGGTCAATGTTGAATATCTGCGTTTGCATGCAGACAAGCCTCGCGGAGAGAGTCGCTTATGGTGCACCCCCCCTCACAGAGGAGGGTTACATCTTAATGAAGGGGCCTAGATTTAGAGGTAGGCGGTTTAGTCGCTGCTTCTTTCCATTATGCCTTTTAATGCTCAAATACATTTTATTTTTGCATGCTCCTCTCATGCGTCCTAATCTACCTGCCGTGCGTGAACACCTTACAGCTGTTTTGGCCTAGTACCTGCAAGTCCAGATTTCAAATTCCTGAAAGGCCGGAGGTTCTACACCCAATGCTTGTATGCATACTGCTTTTCAGTGCAGGCCAGCAAACACGGAAAGAATTGAGAACAACCGCCTGTCCTGTCAGAGCAGCATTTGTATGGCCACTCTTGCCTATATGTACGTGTCCAATGGTCATGGTGTAGAGCATTTGCGGGAAAATTTCCGTCAGTAAGCCAACTCCTTTGTCATGCAGGAAAAGCGCACCAGCTATTACTAACGGCGGTCATGGGGCACGCGTACGGCGCGTTCCTGGTCACGGTGTCTCCCAAATGGGCGCAGAGCGCTGACTCAGACCAGGAGGTTAGGCCGACCGCCTGCTTCGTGGCCTGGATGCACTGCATGCTTGAGAGGGCAAACGCGCGCGGCGCAGTCGTGCACTGCATACAGTGTGGGGCGTCCGAGCATCTCAAGCCCGGGGACGAGCAGGCAAAGACCGTCAAGGTCAGCGCCTCTCCTTCCTTTTCTAGTGTTAGTGTCAGTGTTAGTGTTAGTGTTAGTGTTAGTGTTAGTGTTAGTGTTAGTGTTAGTGTTAGTGTTAGTGTTAGTGTTAGTGTTAGTGTTAGTGTTAGTGTTAGTGTTAGTGTTAGTGTTAGTGTTAGTGTTAGTGTTAGTGTTATAAGTGTTAGTAGTATTAGTATTAGATGCTTTTTCTGCCAGAGGCAAGGTGCGTCTGCAGTCAAGCTGCATGGAACAACAGCCATGGACAGCAGCCAACCCATCGCTTGTCAATCTGTGAGCATTAGTTGGAAAGATTGTTGTGTCAAACACATGCATTGTCACGCTTGATCTGCAGTTTGATCGCAGGAGGTCAAGCCACATGTATTGTACATGTCAGGCTCATATGCAGCGAATGGAATGGACAATTACCTATTCAGTCTCGTTCTTCATGTGCAGGTGTGCAGGGGTTGCCGGCTGGTGCGCTACTGCAGCAAGGAGTGCCAGGCCGCAGCGTGGCCCCAGCACAAGGCAATCTGCAGGAAGTTCAAGGATCAGTGACACCAAAAACAGGACGCCATTTGGGTTTTTTTCCAAATGAAATCGCGTATGTGTACAGCAGAATAACCGGCTTCAAGCTATACTGTACGATAGAGGGTCCGCTATTCGCACATCTGCATGCATGCAGTATTTGCAATCGGTGTGTGTAAGGTCTAAACTTACTGAACTCTGAGGCGCTGAGCAATTGTCAGCCCGAAGTCCAGTTGTCCATTTAGGCAGTGTTGTACAGCGTCAAAATTATGATTGTCAAGTCTTTTGTCAAGTTGGGAAAGTTTTCACAGGCTATTGTGAGGTGTTCTAGAGATCTTGTGCGATGTGCTTCCCGATGCACCCCGGGGCGATCTACTTGCAGGCTGCAGCTTGCAATTCTTTGCCTAATCTCTATCTCCACACAATTTCTCCTTCTACGTGTACATGCATGCATGCATGAAGCGCTCTGACTCATTGACGCGTGACGCCACCAAGACAAGAGAAAATGGAAAGGTCAAGAAATGTCGTGAGATCTCAAGTGGAACACAAAAACATATTCGAATAAGAATCTCCCTTAGCTTGCATCGCACACCGAGAACGCAGTCGTTGAAAACGCCAGCATCACAGAAGAAAGTAAATGGAGACGGAGAAGGAGAGGCTGCTGATGAGTGCCCCGGCAGGCTCCGCTCTCGTGCTCAAGCCCAGGCCTGCTGAGCTGGCGCCCTGCGCACTCACGCCGGCTAATGCAGCCAACCCTAGCTTCCGCCAGCTTCTTCCTTTTCCTTTCAAGTTTTTCTCAGGCCCGCTTGACCCTTACTGGTGTGCTCCATCACTTGTTGCTACCTTGTGAAGAGAAAAGTTTGTCCTCATTTCGCGTCATGAGTCCCCACACCAAACCACGGTGTACCAATTCTTTGAACATCCGAGTTGCATCCCATACAACTGCCAAAGGAGGCCATATTTGCCTGCCCTTATTTACCTGCTGAAAGGGAGGCAGCTGAAAGGATTGCAACTTGCAGGTGCTTTTTAACAATGATAGATGTCCCAGTGCATGTGTAGAGTTGCAGACACCATGTTTCAGGAAGCGTCATCTTAAGACAGACAATCGATGTATGCCATTTGTTGGGGGTGATGCAGGCCGATCGGGAGCGACGCAAATGATCCATTTGGCCGCCAGGCAGCCCATTCGATGCAGCTCCCCGATGGATGACACCGCCCGTCGGAGACCACCACAAAGATGTGGGCATCACCAGGAAAATCTTTCTTTGCGCCTAAAAAAGGCGGCAGCTGCTGGATACTGCGGCATACTGTCAAACATTATAGCACAGTAAAGGTGGATCCAAAGCTTGCAAACAAGGATGGGTCAACGATATGCAGACTCTGTTAGCTATGTCGGGAGTGCAAACTGCAGGCTCTTCACATGTGGGAGACAAGATGGAAAATTGCTGGCTATCAACCCATGACATCACAGATACTCTGGCCAACAACTGCGTTGCAATATGCATTGCTTGTCTGCTCCCAAGCAAACATAATACCTGATATTCCTACACCCTGGTATCCTTGAAAGAATGAAGGGAGATACTTCAAGTTGACATGGAGGGGTTCTGCTGCAGGCGGCGGTCCTCTTCTTCAGGGTGCATCACCCTGAGGCTGGCTGGGACCAACCTTCTAAACAATGGCATGATTCAAAGGTGCGCTTTAACAGCAGAATGTAGAATGGCAGGTGTGGTCCCAGGTGATAGTCGCAGCATTCCTGGAATGGGTCTCAACAAACAACATAGACAGCAAGGAAGCAAACATTGCCGCTACCTGAAAGTAGAAGCACAACACAAGGGACAGGTCTGGGGATGGTGAGATTGTTCTGGCATGCACAGGGCTTGCCACTGTGCAACGATACCACTGTGCAACGATACGGCTTGCTTGCATGGGACGTGAGGGAACTTAGTGTCTTTTTACACACCACACAATGAAAAAAGGTGAGAGGACCGAGTAGCCATATATACATCGAAAAAAGGATCCATATTTTCTGCTTCTAGGCAGCAGGCTAATTTGAAGCATTTAATTGTGAGTCCTTGCCAACATCTCACGTGAAAATTTGTTAGGGTTCAAGCTTGAAGCAGGACACCTGTTGTTGTTTCCATGCAAAAATGTCCACATGGACGCTAGCTGCCATTCAGGGTTGACCTTGACTTGTGTCAGTGCAGAAGTGGACAGGCATGTGCTTTTTGCTCAATACTACATCTCAGTAGTGTTTGGGCGGGTCTTTGTATGCGTGCTGGCGGATGTACCAGTTCCGCAGAATTTGTTTCCACGCATTGCTGAGCTCCACGTTGAGGTGGCAGAGAGCCTGATTAGGATGCAGCATGAGCTATTGACTCAGCCATCAGTCAACCTGCGGCCGGCTTGCCAGCACTGTGGCAGTCGGACCCCCCACCCAACACAGTACTACTAGTAGAGAACTATCCTTCCCAAATCACCAAAAACGTGAGAGAATTTTCCAATTAGGGTAGAACTGTTTGTGTTGCTTTGCAGCTTGAATTTGCTGCTGGCTGAGCACTGTGCAAAACGAAGGGTTCCATGTCATAGCAATGCATTTCACTGAGCATTGAAGAGCGCTCAAGCATTTCTTCTGTGGGACACAGGTGTGTAAAGGGTGCAGATCAGTGCGGTACTGTGGGCAGAAATGCCAGCAGGCCGACTGGCTCAATCACCGGAAAGTCTGCTGGATAGTTGCAGATGGGGAGAAAATGGAACCTGGGCTGCCGAACTTTGTAATTAGGCTACTAGGCCTCAGAAAAATGTGGACCGAATGCGTCACCACAGCCTGCCTTGAAAGCATTGTCCATACAGGTGACTCGCAGTGTCGAGAAAGGTGGCTTTTAAACAGCAGAAACCCTAGATGTGCAAATTCTGTCAAGCAGCAGTGCACATTGCAACACTAATGAGTGCTTGCGCTTGAGCAGCTGCGCAATATTATAGAATGTGCTTGTATGCACTGCCTCAGAAATATCACACAAATTGTACGACGTACGCTATACTGTGTGTGTGAGGCCTCCTTTGAGCCACAGCTTGTCTCTCAGAGAGCAGCACGTGAATACCATATCGGTAAATTAAGTGATACTTCATATCATTAGCACTCAGCGCATCAATGACCATATCTAAAATTGTGCATAATACGACAGGTTGTAGATTGCAGGTCTTCAATTCATGCGGACCTTGCAGCTCTACTTGTCACCGCCGCTTTCAACAATGATCAGCGAAGAGTTGCTCTGTGGTTGCGAGGGAATCTGTGGAAGACTGATTGACGTTTGGATGCATTGTGTTAGCCTGAAGTCAATCGCGTTCTAAGGAAATAAATTAGTTTATTACATTGATCTGGGGCGGACTAGCAGTAACAGATGACTTACACTTGATAGTCTGAGACCACAGAAACGGCGGCACGAAAAATTGTGAGCACAGAAGCTCAGAAAAAGGACTGCATCGGAGTGTAATGCTTCTTGCGTGAAAGTCATCGATCCGGCCATTGGAACAAGCTTTTGCAGCCTGAAGGGTTCTGTGTTCGTTTAAGTTTTTGATAGTGTTAGTAAGCCCTTACGGTACTAGCTAGATTCCGCTCAACTGGATAGTGTCATCGCGTGATTCGTCGTACACTGTGACTTGATGGAACAGGATGTGATGAACACTGCCAACACAACAATCTATGACAATCTTTGATTGCCCTTTACTGCTAGTAGCGGTGCTTGAACCTCTTTGTCGCCAGAGATCCCGTTCATTGGAACTCTTGGTGGGTGCAGTTTACAAGAAGTGATGTCTGACTAGCCCAGTGAAATATATATTGATATTACGTTGTCGTGCCCGAATGGGTCAATGCTGGTCGAAGACGACATCCGCCGAGAAGCCAGTCACGCCAGAGTCAGATGCACAACCAGAATTAAATGATCTGCAACGCAAAGAAGACAATTCTGGTGAGATTTCAAAAACATCTGGCAGTATTTACTCTGGTGATCGCGGTAGCAACTCGTCGATCGCAGACCTTTGTTGGCTAATATCGAGTCTGTGACCATAGATCTACAGTTCAAGGAGCTTAAAGAAAGGATAGAGAGCAAGCTGCGAGAGGATGCAGAAGTCAGCGATAGTGTTAAAAAGGGCAGAGCGGTTGCTCAGAGCGTCACCCCGATCGTCTTAGAATATGTGGGTGTGGCACTGGACAAACTTGGGGAAGCTCACTGGACGCTCACCGCCCTGAAGTTTGTGGGTATTGCGATGAGTATGTATGCCTCTTTATACTACTTTCTTTCCCATGAGATTGCAATTTCTGGCAAGGTGTAGTATGCTCAAGCATGTCCCACATGTACAGTTGGAATGTTTTCCAAGAGGACTCACGCCAAGTCAAAGAATATTATGACGAGATGCATGCTTGATGGTGGCAGTGTAATGACCCAATTTTCTCTGTTGTGCAGGTGGACGGTGGCTACAAGGAATCAGGCGGCCAATTTTGACTTGTATGGCAAATTGAAGGACTTCCATGACACGCTGCAGAGGTCTGCGGTGCGGCAGTTCAGCGACAAAGTGAAGACTGACGCCACGACCGTGGCCCTGAAGGGTTATGCACTCGTCACCCTTATTGCTGAAAGAGGCTTTGTTGTCAAGTGCGCCTCTGTTCTGCCTGCCAAACACCCCCGATGTTTTTTATCTGGCCTGCTGCTACTCGGCGAAATTGAGCTCGCCCATGATGCACCGTCTCATGTGCTCAGACCTTAGTAGTTCCACGTGTCATTGTGATGATGTTACAGGGAAGTTGTAGCATCTTATGCTTCCATGCATGGTGTTCCAGGGTGGGTCTGTCCGGGGTGGACGAAAACAGCCTGAAGGGCTTTGCAGAAGAGCTGGAGAAGTCAAGGACATCACTGGCTTACGAGGGCATCTTTGTGATCTTGGATGCTCTTGACAAGCAGAGAGAGGTCCGCCAGATTCCTCCTTCACAGTCTCCTTCAGCTTTTCTGAAACAACTTCATACCAGCACTATCATTTCTGCTTGAGAAAGCCTGAACTGCAATGTAAAAAACTTCTCAACTTGTCTCAACAATGTGAAATGCGTGCTGTTTTTCTGTCACAGACTGGTATCAAAACCTTACGAAATTCTGCTTTGACAAAAACAGACGGAGATGGCAAAGTATCAAGTGGAGCTGCAAAAGGAATATGAGACCTTGCAGCCGCACTTGGACGCAATCTACGCCTTCAGGGACAAGCATGGCATGTCAACGTACTACCTAACATGCATGGAGGGGCTTCAACGAAAAACAAAGGAGGCAGCCAGTGTGGACAAAGCGCGCAGAGCGCTTAACGCATACTGGAAGGCTGTGAAGAACAGCTATGAGCTGGGCACCCTGCCTGTGCCCGGCAACGAGTTCCTCTCTGGTCACATGGTCAGTGGAAGTCCCTTCACTATATAACTACGTGTACCTTGCCCATGTCAAGTCACTTGGCACACCTGGCAAGCTTTCTTGGAGTTCTGTAGGAACTGGTTTGCTGCCACAACAAAGAAATGTGGCAAGCTACATGGGCCAGTAGACACACACATGTGAGTAGCTGAGTTGTCTGAGCATCATGCAAACCTGGTCTACTACCCCTAATACTGCATGGCTATACCTGACATTGATTTGCAAACCTGGTCTAGTACCACTAATATTGCATGGCTATACCTGACATTGATTGAAATATTTTGATTCCCCACAACCTGCTGTTCACTGAAGCGAAATGCAGCGCACTGTGCACTGACCCAGTGTGCATGTGCAGTTGCGGAAGGGAGTGGACTACAGAAACTTGGTGGAGCCCTTGGACTGCGCAAATTGGTATCGCCTGGGCATTGATCTGCAGGAGCTTGCTCCTGCTGTTCTGAAGGTTAGCCGCCTGACTACCTCCATTAGTAATCAGTAATCTCTCAATTAATTGGCTCACAGATTGACCCTTCATTGTATTAGAGTTCAGGTTTATAGACTTCACAGCATCCTGCCCAGAAACACTCTGCGCCTTGCGCTTGAAGTCACGCATCTGGCTTCCTATTGCCAGTAGCGCCACCCGGCGCATGATACAGGCTGTTCACATTCAATATTCCAAAGTCTGCAAAGCATGGGCCCTTACTTGATAAGCCTGCAACCTGCTCTGTGTCTCTACTCCCTCGTTTACATGCAAGGAAGTCAAGTGAAGGTGTAATGGACTGTGCCAGGGTGATTACTACTGCGCGCAGCAGCGACCGGGGGCATATAGATTGATATGCAAGCGGCAGGAAGCGGCAGGCTCCGTGGCGCACGATCTTGTCCCGAGCGCAGAGGCGTGGGAAACAAATTTGGCAGAGATCAGTACAAAATGCAAAGAGGCGCGCCATAAGCAAGCGCAGAAGAAGGGCTGCATTGTGATGTGATGCACCTCCCTGCATGATGTGCAGCAGTGCTTTACTGATCATTACACTTCTGCCAGATTGTTGCAAACAGCAGGATTGTGACTCTCCCTGGAAGGTTGCACTTTGTGGGCCGGAAGGCTTGAGGAAGTAAGTTTCGTGCTTGTCAGCACAATACATATCATGGCATGTCGATTAATCGCACATGTGTCCTGGATCGGCGCAAGAAAACCAGGGACAAGGAAATGGCCTAGCTAGGAGTCACTGCAGTAAAGATTATTTTTGATTCCTAGACTGCTTCTATGTGAGAATGCTGTGTGTATACATTCAAATACTGGCATGAAATATCTATTCTTGACCAGACAGCTACCAAGTACTGAGTGCCCGTTAGCCACATCATCAATATTGGACTGCACTGTGCTAGCAAATTTGACAAGAAAAGTTGTCTGTATGTTCCTTTCACTGAACCCACACCTTGATGTCAAACCTGCAATGCTGACTCAGAGAGCTTCTGTCAATCTCCTGTGAAGGGCACTCTGACATTTCGTTTGAAAAATTTGTGTTGAAAAAACTAGGGCCTTGACGGTGCCGAGCAGGATCATGCTTCCAGCTGAGAATCAAGCTTGCTAACCCATTTCCTGGCAGTCCTGATTTGACCCCAGTTCAACTCCTGGAAGGGGCTACTGTCACTATCTTCTATCAGCTTCCTTGCAGCATCCCGCACCTGCAACAGCAGTTCACAAATTTGCAGCAAAGTTTAGGTCATCTGCCCCATTGAAAAGAAAGCGGCAACACCGCTGTTGCAACGTTGCTGCTTGGGTCAAGGGCATCAGCCATACACTCGTGTTGGCACAGGATGAATAGACCTTCAAAGCATCACATGCCACCTTGCGCAAAACTTCTGCGGGTCTGTCTGCAAGCTTTGGGCAGGCGCTAAGTCCATGACGTAAGTTCAAGACTGCGCAATGAGGGTGTGCAAAGACAGAAGACCAGAGTCCCACACTTACCGGATCAACGCACTCACCCAAAGTGTGCCAGAGGATATGCTTACCTTGCCGAGGAACATGCCAGTGCGAATGCTGTCAGCAAGCTTTGGGCAAACGCTTGTAGCCAGAATGCGCACAATGTGCCAACAGAGCTCCTGCCGCAGCGGCTCTGTGTATGCGCCATTCCAGCGCACATATGTTGTCTTCATGACCTGCGATGATACTGTTGAGCTCGATGCATGCCCTCATTATGGGATCCTTGCATCCAAGTCATGCTGTAGTATTGATGCTTGTTAAGCACTACATTATATAGTCGTTTACAAAGTCATGAACTATCTAGACACAAGTCAGATATAACTTTTTTTTATGGGCCAGGGATAGGCACAGGGAGCACCTTGTGCACGTAGTCGTCCCAGGCTTGCCCAGAGGTGTGCTTGTGTGGGCTGTCCTTGAGAGCAGCCTTCATGTCCGCATATGACATGTCGCTATACAATACCGGCAGCAGCGATTCCCGGTCCATGAGGATCTTCAGCTCGCGCATCGGCCACTCACTTGCAAAGTACGGCTCGCTGAAAACTGCCACCCCGACTGGCGCCTGAGCCCCACAAAAACATATTCAATTTAAACCCCTTGCTAATAGGAAGTTCTTTTTGGGCTTGGAATTAAGAGTTTACATTTTGAAAAGGGTTCAGGAATGCAAGTGCTGTCTAAGAGGTGATGGAAGTCGCGCCTGCCCGGCTGAGTCTATCATGGTCGTGTCTGAGCCGGCGTTCCCTGCCAACAGGTCAGGCTTGTCTACAAAGGCGTTCATGCCGATCAACTTTAAGCTGCTGCGCAACTCCTCCGCAAAGTCCTTGTTTTTCCCCGAGTGGCTGATGAAGACGTCAAACTTCCAGCTGGCAATAACAGCTGGCACAGTGCACAGTTGAACTTATATAATACAACCTATATAGATATTTATAAAGTGTTGGGCTGATACCTTGCACTCAGTCCTTCAAGAATTTCTTTGATCACCTGTAAAGCCAGGATTTCGTAGGACCAATCACTGAAAACCATCCAGGCGCATATGAATTTTGGACTCACTCTCAATTTCAAAACTGAATCGTGTTGTGTTGCCCCAGCTTCTGAGGCTGACACCGGGAACTTTCTCACGATTTTGCCTTTTGGGCAAAGAAGCACTGTACAGGATTGGGATATGGTCCTACCTCCCACAGTTCTCTCAGTGCCGAGTGCTTTTGGAGTGGCAATGGGCTGCAGCCCTGCAGCAGCAGCTGCTTCCTGCCATGCATGGAACACTTCATCCTCCTCAACAAAAAGGAAGTGGATCTCTGCGACACCGTCGGCTTCTGCACTGCTGATCTGTATAGCCACCTGCCGATTGAGATAGAATGAATCAACATTGTCTGCCGAAATGCATATTGCCCATCAACTAAACTCAGTCAATTTGATCACTTTCCAGCCATGCAAGGCCTGATAGTTGCTACATCATGGCAATACCCAGGTAACAAACAGGGTGGAGAGCTGCACATTAAGGCGTTTAAGCAACTTGCAGTCGGCACCATGTGAGGTGTCAACTACTAATGATGAGTATTGTGTTCCAATCGTAACAAATGGCTGTGTGGCTGACTGGTCATACCTGAGCAGCTTTGGCATATGGGAAACCCGCCTTGCCAGTGCCAATAGCAGGGAATGCAATCGCGGACATCTTCCTGGTATTTGCCAGCCTCAAGACTGCGGCATACATTTCCCCCAAAATGCTCAATGATCGCTCCGGGTCAGAGTCTTGATATATGGGGGGCACGGTGTGAATAATGTAGTCTGCTTTGAGATTATACCCCCTGCATGCACACACAGAGACAATACTTCTCTTCCAGATGATATGTGATTGCCTCAGACTGTCCTACAATACTGCCACAACGCTCTTCACTTTGATGTGCACCGAATCAACATAGAGAAATGTACAGGTATAGAAAGTTGGCTCCCGCATTTCAGTTGCCCACACAATGTGTTGTGCTGCACTATGAGGGGTGGACTGGTCGCACTTCGTGAGTACCGCGCCTGCCAGTGCGCAGCGGATGTTTGGTGGCATTACAATTGGCAGTGACTGGCAGTACTGCAAAAGCTCAGGCCCCGCTCCTCTAAAGATGGCTGCAGGCAAGAAGATTATCTGAGAAAACTGCTGTACGTACTAGAGGTGTGCAGTCATAGATTCTTTTTCCAAATTCGTCGTAATACAATCAATGCCAATGAAAGGGGCTGGAGCTTGCAGCGATTTAGATGCAGCCAGGGTTTCGCACCTCCTTGCAATGCGGGGCCACCCTCCATTTTCTTACCACCTTCATTGGAGCAGGTAGGGAACTTCAGTTGTGTTTATATGATACAGATTGTGTACAAAATTTGATGTGGGCTCGTCGTTGCTGCTCATCAGCGTTTGTGTCGTACAGTCAGTTCGTGTGATCTCACACCTCCGTTTACGATTGCGTCACCCCAGCCTTTTGTTGATCCTTTCCACGTCGTAAGGTCTCCAACTTGCAGGATCAATTTGTTGGTAGGACTCGTTTGGTAAATTACTCGGTTCCCTGACATATTTTCGACGGGTATTTGGTGTTCTTCGACGCAGTCAACAGTATATCTCGCCTTCCAATCACTTCCAGTAAAGTTTTCTCACTCCCCAGGCACGGAAGAAGGGGTTCAAAGCGGAGATTAATTGAATGCACATCTTGCGCTTTGGCTCTACCGGATCAGAGTTCCGGAACCCCTTTTTGGAGATGACATAATTATACTTATAACCCACGCACAAACCCTGCAACCACAGCTGCTGAGCCCTAGATCACTTGGTGCAGACTACAGCACTAACTCAGGGAAAGGCATTGTCTGGGAACTTCTGAATACGCGTAGCTCCTTGTGCAGAGAATAACCAGAGATGTTAACTCTGCGGCGCCATGACTCCGTGGCTGCACTGGTTCTCAAGATCAGAGTAATGCTCCGCTTAAGATGGGGAGCAATAGTGGAATTCGTGGCAGATTGATTGAAGCAAAATAATTCACAGAGGACAATTATCGATGTGATGAACCCACTTCATAAACCGAAGCAAGTCAGTTGAAGGACTACTTGTAAGATGTACTGCTCGATGCACTCAAACCCCTGAACTTCAAAAATTATTTCACAGTGAAAGTGCCAGAGGACAGCGCTGTCATGGAAGAGATGCGTCTCTTGGGCAACAGCTTGTTCAAAACTGGACAGTACAAGTGTGCAAAGCCAATGCCTCTGAGCAATTTTCATACACTGCGTGTGTGTGGTGCTTCATTGCCGATGATTTAAGGCGCACACCACTGTCTGGTGTTTCCCGACATACTAACATAGCATGCCTGTGTCATTGGTGCAGGTGTGTGGAGCAGGTCTACAAAAATGGCCTGGCCCTTATGGGTCTCCTGGCATTGCTATTCTGGCAATGTCCACGTGGGTGAATCACTTACATTCCCGTAAATGTGCCATGGAAATATCTGCTCAGCCCGTCCTGTTTTGCCATCATGTGTGCATACCAGTGCGTAAAATCAAGTATGCGGCTGTCCTGATACCTCAGCAAATCCCCTAAGACCATGTGCATGTCACATCTATATACATAGTGCATGTTGCACAACTGCTCACTGCATGCTGAAAGCAGCCGCACGGCACTGCACCTGGCGAGTGCCACTCGCTAACATGCGCTGCGCAAGGCATGCCTTTGTAGCTCCTCCCACACATGTTTTATTGTTTTAGGGACTAGCTCCGGGATTCACATTAATGGTTACAGCAGATCAATTCTGCAGAACTAGAAGTTATTGTCACAAGATGCAGTGGTGGCACATGGACTACATGTCGCATATATGCAGCCAAGGAGGCAGACAGACAGACGGCAGTGCAGCTCATCATAATGACGCTGCAACAGGGCCCATTCTATCCCGATTCTCATGCTAGTGCCCATCTGCAGCGCACGCCATTCACTGTAGAACAAATGACACCAAGAGAATTAAAGCTGGGCAGCATATGAAAGTGTCCTCAAAAGGATTTTTGTTGCAACACAAGCTGTCTTCCAGAACAACAGAGAAAGCTGATCTCATGCGGTTTCGTACATTGTGACGCTGGCAATGCAGCTTGCAGACAAAGCTGCAAGCCATCATGGCTTGTGGACAAGCAAAAGATCCTGCTAGACGCTTAGGGCCCTGCAGTGATCTCCGGCGCCTTTTCTGGGTCGTAGATTGTGATGGTGAATTTGGTAGTGGTGATGATTTTGTCGTTGGTGGTGTTCGTCTCTGTCGGGCCCTATTGCCACTTGATTGCACCTCCCACCTTGCCGGTAATTTTCTCGCTGGCTGGCACAACACCTCCACCTGCCTGACCCTCGTAGCCCCCCTCGATGTTCACTGACACTTCTGGAGAAGCTTTCACTGTGGACCTCCCAGTCTGCACACAAAGACCATCCGTCAACTATTGCAAGCACGAGCCTGCAACATGAGACGATTCCCTATCGGAAAGCCATGTCTACCAAGCAGCGCTTACAATGAGCTTCACCAATGGATCAGGAAAAGCATGACGAGGTAATTTGAAATCAGCCGCTTGCTCAGCCTATACATGATGCAGCATCAACTTGCAGCAACAAGTTGTGGCCACCTACAATGATGCGTTTCCAATCAAGGCACATTCTCACAACGCTGCTAGCACTTATATAAGGTGTAAGAGCATTTCCTTCTTAGGTGCGTTTGTCTGCAATGGCTTCCACGGCATCGGTGGTGCAGTAATTGCCCTGGTTGTACGTGACAGAGCAATTAAATTGTTTTGCACGACAGTGGTGAACTAAACAAGACCAATTGGGTTTCAAGACACCACAAGCTACTGATATTCTTGCCTGGGCCCCTACCGTGAAGAATTTTTCAGGGATGCTTAAGACTTGTTAGGGAGATGGACAGGCATTACTAATGCCTTTAGTAAAGAAGGGAAAGGGACATTCTCCTTCCGCATTCTTCACTCTTAAGTTGTCTTAAAGAAGCATGTCAGACACATCTTTAGTTTTAAGAAGATGCAGTATGTTAAAGAGACTGTTTAAGAAAATCCTGGATGTTGATAAGACCATCTTATGGCGTTTAAGAGCCTGTAAAGTATCTGCATATATGGTGAGCAGTATGTGAAAAAGACTAAAAAGTACTTAGACGCAGGGAGATCGGATGAAGTATGCTGTCAACTGGACATTATTTTATATAGTCATTGTAAGCGCTAATATCTTTGGAGTCCTGCCCAAGAGAACGAGTCCTTATCTTCTTGATGAGACATACCTTCTCAGCTTCCAAATATGCCGCGGATACATGCAGCAATGAATGGCATGATAGTTATGATGGTAAATGAATGCCATGATTGTAAGCTTGAACACCCTCGTTGGAACAACCACATGGGGTTCTATATCTAAACCCCTGACAATCAGGACCTGATTGGATCGATCCAATCAGGTATTTCACAGAGATCTGGCAGATCTCTAGAGCACAAACGCTTGCTAGCAGCGCTGCTCAAAGTACCAGTTATAGTCCGCGGTATTGCTGAGGGCAATGTTCATTCGAGCTTGTTGCCCAGAAAGCTCAAAGACGGCGTTGTCTGGAAGTCCACGGATAGCTGTGCGTTTCTGCTCTGCTTGCATTTGAAAGGAGCCGACAAACCTCACTACCACACCCGATACAGATGCCAAATCAACCCGTTTCATACACGACTTTAAATGCACGAACTAGCACTTAGTTGGTCTCACACGTTTGGCAGAGAGGGCTACTTGCACAAAAATAAGAACGCCACATTTATCTCGGCTAAGGATGCCAGGCACATGTAGTGCTCTTGTTTTTTAGTAATGATCAAACACCAGTAGATAGCAAGACGTCAATTTTGGTGATAAGTGGTTCGTATCAAGTTTGGGTAAGTTGCTTGGCAAGCAATGCTTGCGGTCGTAGTCCCATACATATATATATATATAGAGCTTGATCGCTGCTGCGGCGTTCAGGTAGGCTTCTACGGAGAATACATCTGTGCACTGTGGCAAAGTCATTAATTTATGACTGTAGCGAGATTCTTGGTGAATATGCTACGGAATTTTGAAGGAAAGGAAAATTTGCTGACAGGACATCATAATGGTGCTTCCAACGAGTTGAGGGCATAAGAAGACCAGCGAACAACGAGGTGGCACGCCACTGACTAAAAACAATTTTTTCTCGAACACGAAGTCATTGTGAATTCCAAGGATGGTAAACTCGGAAGCAGAAAATAGCCCAGAAGCACCTCTGGATCAGGCAACTCGACAGGAGCTTCTATCTTTGAGAGGAAAGGACGCCAAATTCGAGTAAGTAATGTTTTCTCAATAAATCAAAGATCAACGGCACATGTGGGGGCCACCGAAGTGATATTGAAAATCACCTTTGCTTGTACAGTGGTCCAACAGAGGAAGTTGAGCGGATCATTCGCGTGCAGAAGAATTTCTATGCAGTTCTCAAGGTAATCTTTCTGGCAATAAAGGAGCTTCCAGACCTTAAGAGCTAGCTGGTATTCCCAAGCTCCAGGCATCAGTTTCTGACACATTGCCCGGGTTGCAGGTGAAGAAAGACACGCCACCCAATGAGATCCGGGTCAACTACTTCAAGGCGTCCAGGTGACCATCTTACGTTCACTGACACTGCGTCGCCTTGCTGGCATCTGTCTCGTGGATTCATAAAGCACACAGCCCTGACTCGTTGCTCCCAAGCCACCCCAAACCACCCTCTCATCCCTGCTAGCACAATCGAAGATGCGCAGTGGAGTGCGGTGCAGACACAGCAGGAAATTTACATGCATGATGGATGATGTGATTGTTTGTCACCGCAGGCTGGTGCACCCGGACAAGTGCTCGCACCCGCAGGCCAAGGACGCCTCCGCCATAGTCAACCAGGCCTACGACACACTCTCCACCTCAGTCAAAAAAGTCCTCTACGACAGGTGCTTTCTTTTTCAGATGATAAATCTTCTGCATTTGATTTCCCTTCCTTTGTGGTATTCTGGTAAACGGCCAGCTTCTTGATGGCCCGAGTAGATTGTGCAGCGGAGGGCAGCACGGTGGGCATTCTTGCAAGAACATGCCCATAAGCATGAAGGCACGTTGAAGAACAATTTGCTTAGTTCGAGAGCTCCTGGAAATGGCTTTGATGCCATTCACCAGGCCACAGCAGATGCTGCTTGCTGCTTTCCAAGTACACCTGTTGCCTCCAAGAAGATCCCTGCCATCCACGCCGTTCCAACCCTTACACGGTTGTGACTGCTGTGCAGGTATGTTGACGATGCCGGGGACTTGGACGCGCCGGACGGGGTTTCATATGCAGATTGGGAAGCGCAGCAGGCGGTGAATGTGCAGATACCGGCCTGGATGGAAGCAGTGCTGCGCATCCCTGGGGGCGGCATCTGCTTGCTCATCATCCTGCTGCCTGTCACGTTGGTGCGCTTCATTACCCAGCAAAATGGATATGCAAAGCTGCTTTGCAAGAGCAGCATTTCTCGTGTCCAGAAACAAATCAAAAGCGGTACCTGGACACACGAGCGAATGCGCAAAGGGCGCCACAAGAGAAGGCTTGTGTGATGTCCAGATAATTTCTCTTGTTAGCATCCCATGCATGCTCTCGCCGGAAAAGGGTGAAGCACTGCAGCTACATTAGCTGAGCTCTTTGATAATGCCCTCTCACCGACCTGCATCACGATATCCTCTTTGGTTTGCCATGGTGGACCTGGTAATCTTCCTTGGATGGCCTGTCCAACTCATCTATATTGTTTGTTTCTGATTTAGAGTTCAGATGTGACCCCGACTGCTGGTGCTGCTGTGCCTGTCAGCCAATTTGTTCTGCAGCGGTGCAGCCTAACTCTGGATGTCTACCTTTCTGCTACTTTCTCCTGCAAGCAAAAACGCAGGCACTGAGGTAATTTTCATGTGTGCGCGCAGCTGCTGGTTCTCCTGTGCCTTGTGCTGTTTATCATCTGCCTGCCGGTGCGCCTGGTGCTGGGGCTCTGCTGCGGCGTCAAGCTGCAGCCGCCGCAGAGGGAACGGCCTGAAGACGGGTCCGAGCTCGATCGGGACGAAGACCCCGTGATCATAAACATTCCCCCGGACGTCGTCGTCGACCGCCCCGGAAGCTCCGCCGCGCCGCAGGTTAGTCAGCGCTGACTCAGCTCATCGGCCTCCTGAAACTCATCTCTGCATGGGTTTCATGCATCCTGCAAGGAAAGAGGAGTTTGGCTAAAGGAGCGCGACTTGCAAAGCCGAGCAAGAGCTGGGATGCAGTAATGTTGATACGGGGATGTCCCATCGGGATTTGGAAAATTTGATTTCCTGTCAGTCTTGGCGGTGTTCTGAGGTAGGTGTATGCTGGCAAGAGTAGGAACCGGCGTACAGTGGCTGGCAGATTTGGCCATTGTGCTTCCAAGGTCCCATTAGTCCCAAACACACAAGCAGTGGTGCGCTGCTGCATAGAATATTAACTTTGGGCCATGCATGCATGCAGGCTCCCAGAACAAGCGACAGCAGCAAGCCCGCTGCACCTGCAGCTGCGGCTGCGGCAGGGCAGCAAGCAAGTGGCAGCTCGTACAACCCGCCTACCCCTGTATGACATTGGATTGGGAAGCTCTTGCATGCAGTTTTCTTTGCTTGGAAAGTTACATGAAATATTCAGTTGCTGGTCTGCACTGACTTCTCCCACAGTGCATGTTGGGTTAGCCGTTGGTGGCTTTGTCGTGGAACGCAGTTGATGTAATATTAGCTAGGCGCTTAAAATGATCTGAGCAACTTGATATTCTCACGCTATGGGTAGGTTCAGCTGACCGCATCCCCATAACTTATAAGCGCTAATCAGGCTGAAATTTTTAAAGGGGAATTTCAGAGAAAGGGAATTTTGTATTCTGTCCTGGCATTTTCTAGGAAGTGGGGATACACATGCACCTGGTTGCTGTAATGCAAGAATTTAGACAGTAGAGATCTGGCCTCTGTGGTGTTTAGTACTGCATGGTGAGATAGTTTTCCAAGAAGGGCCTACTGACGTCAGCTGCATGCGCATGACCGGTAGCTCCAGCTTAGCTGACTTTTGACTGAATTTGATTGGTTGTTTTGATGACAGGCAGAAGTTGTGAGCTTCATTTTGGGGGAATATTGGCAAAGGAGGAACGTATTGTTCTGGGATGCCTGCCAATTTGTTGAGTTGCTGAGGTGCAGGCCCTAGATTATTTAGGCTCAATACCCCAATAAGGACCCTCACAATCTAGGGTACACCCGCATCCCATCCGATTTCCCTTGTCATCCAATACAAACACTAGCTCCATAAGTTTTGCATCACAGCTTGTGAAAATGGATCCGCTGTCGTCCTTGGGATGCAGAATGAGCCGTGTGCCAGCAGGCAGGGATCTGCCAGGTCTTTGCCGCGCTCCATGGAGGAGACACATGGCCTTGGTTCAGCTTTGTACGAGAGACAGCAGCATTGCCATGCGAAAGCGGTCGTCGAATCGGAAGCAGCACCGCGTTCGCTGTGGCATCGCATCGGCAATCGGCATGATCACCTTTGTGGATCAAGCAGCTGCCTCACAGTCCCAGGTACAGTAAATTTGCATTGTCTCTACCTAATTTCATCGAGATGTAAATGTGACAAGCGTTCAATATCTCATAGTGTCTTTACGGTTTATCTTTGCCCAATCAATAAGCTGATATGACCACCCACACGCTTTTATCTCCTGGCGATGGAACACCCCTTTGTTGCATGAAAGCATCTGTTTGCTTAGTTCACATTGCAAAGGTCTTCTTGCGCCCCTTTTATTGCGCAGGAATGCATCAACGCGATGTCATCAGATTCGGCTGCAGACTTCCTTTCGAAGATCCACTGGTTTGATGGCCTCACCATTGCCACGGCACAACTGACAGCCTTGGACGCCTCGCAATTCTCCAATGTCCTTACGCCAGATAGGATAGCTTTGGGGGTCATCAGCCTTATCCTCAGCGTCCTGTACCTCCTCAAGGTAGGATACTGCTGTCATAGCCACACATGTGGTTTATCTTGCAATATCTCTCTTGAGGTGAGACTGTCTATGATAAACGTATACGTAGCCCATCCTCCTTCAATATTTGCGCTTGTTTTTAATTGATGCTGATGCTGAACAATGTGTTCGACCGCAACAAGATTATAGCTGACGTCCTTATCCTGCGTCAATCCTGGCAATCTTGCAGGCACAGGACGCTGGCAGCATCAGCTCCCAACTGGCAGAAGCAACCAGCCGCTCACAGGCAGCCGATGAGGCCCTCCGCACCAGCAACAAAGGTAGCCATGCATTCACTCACTCAAGCACACGGCACTCATTCCTGTGTGCAAACCAACCCCCGATGCATGCTTGTCGCACATGTCCTGCATACAAGTAAATACATACGAGTAACTTCTGCTTGCTCCACCGCTTCGCCTGAGCATGTGTCTTCCTTGCGAAATTGCTCCCAGCCAACTCACCAATTGCCTCATATTGCACTCATCATCTTCTGACTCATGAGAGGAAGACAAAAGCACATAACTGCACATCCCTTCCGCTTCACCTGCCACCGTCACTGCCTCAGAGTATGTATGGGTATGTTATATGACTATGTGTGAGTATCTATGATTATGTTTTCATTTATCATTACGTTGAGTATGGATTTTCTTGTGCCACAGAAAAGGAGTTGCTGCAGCGGGAGCTCTCATCAGCGCAAGAGGAGGCAAAAGATCTGGGGAGGAGCCTGGCAGAGGCGTCTGAGAGCTACACGCGAGCGGCCGAGGCACTGGGCGACAGCCAGAAGTGCGTGCAACGGCTGACGTCCACCCTGGAAGGGGTCAGTGACGCGCGCGAACAGCTGGAAGCTTCCCTGCAGTCTGCCAAGGTACTCTTCGTATTACAACAGCTTGGAAGAAAGCCATTGTCCTGATTCCAGTGAAAGCATAACTTCCCTGAAGCAAGAGGTCTTCGTTCTGCGCCTTCCGGGCGCCCTCAGCCGTGGGAGGTTGGCGTCTGCAGGACAGCGTGCTTCTTAGCTCAGGCTTGCATATGGGAGATCAGGGAGAATTGTTGTCAGGAAGTCAAATTCTTGCCGATCGGCAACTTTCTGATGAGGTTGGCAAAGAAGGTTCTGCCGTCTGCTGTGCTTTCACTGAGCATCCAGATAAGTTTTTGAGGGTATCGACCTGAGGACAATTGGACCAGGCGTAGGAGGCTTGTGCCTCCTCTGTCTAGCAATACAAGCCTCGCAACACATACTTAGTGCCTGTACCACAATGAGGTCTTTTGATGAAGACACAATCACCTAGAGTGTGGAAGTGGTTGGTGTATATGCTGTGCAACTGCAGGAGCGGGAGCATGAGGTGACTCAGCAGCTGGCGACCACGGCTGGCAGCGTTGTGTCACTCAAAGCGCAGGCGGCGGCCGCTGCGGCGGAAACCGGCGCGCTGCAGAGGGAGCTGCAGAGCGTGAAGCAGGACTATAGAGTCATGGCCCTCAAGCTGGAGGACAAGGTGGGGCACGGCCTCTGGCTATTTATTTATTTTGTCGTGTTAGTATATGTCTTTGTTTGCACCGCGTACTATCATTGGGTTGTAACGCACGCATGCATGCATGGACAGGCGCGTACAAGGCTTGTCTCAGCACCTGTGAAGGTTTCAAGACAGCATGTTGCAATTTGGACGCCGCCATTCTTCTCAATTCTTTGGGACCCTCTAATTTGCTGTATCCAAATATTGCGCTGAGCTATTGGGACACACGAGGAGGAGACATCAACCGGTAATTCTTTTTGTTGTGCAGATTGACGCGCTGACAGAGGAGGTGAAAGGGAGGGACAGGCAGCTGGCCGAGGCACGGGAAGCAGCCGCGAAGCTGTCGGCGAAGGAGCATCAGCTGGGCCAGCAGCTGGCAAAGACTGAGAAGCTACTGAAGAATTCCCAGGTGAACCATCCCTCCACCTGCTGATCTTCAGCTCTTTTTATACATGCGGGCGGGGACAGAACGTTTTCTGGCAATGTGATTTGCAGGTGCTTGCATGAAGAACATATGAGGGATGTGTGCATGAAATTAATACTGCTGTGGCAACGCCTCATGGACAGTGCTGAAGCACAATGCCATGTATCACCATGGAGAGACAAACAGACCGCTCATGAGCATATGCACGACAGCTTTCTTCCAGTTACTTTGGAATTTGGACCACTTGGACCTCCACACAAATTGACGGTGAGTAACTGATGATGTCATCCGCCAAGGCCGAGGCGGCGAATCTGCTGGTGGAGCTGAGGGCGGCGGAAGAGGCGCAGGGAACGCAGCGCGAGACTGTGGCCGCCCTGGAAGCTGCCCTGAAGGAGGCGCGCGAGCGCGGGGCGGCAGCTGTTGCGCAGCTGGCGGCTGAACGCGAGTCGGCCGCCACCCTCGAGAAGGCGCGCGCGGCCGCCGTGCAGGTGAGATTTTCAGATTTTCCTTTCTTTTCTGCTGGGCAATGATTACTGACCGTCTCAGTACAGAATGCTGTGTGCCTAATTTTGTTCAATGTGTGAAGCATTATGCGTTTGCATTTGCGTGGCGTTTGAGAAGCAGTAGTGGCATCTGAAACCACTGCTACTGAGAGCACCCTGGCCACACATGCCTAAATGGATAGGCAGGGATGATGGTCGTGTGATTTTGCCCTCCCAACCAAAAGATGTGTGAGTATCGTATGTGGGAGTTCCGCGCCTGTGTGAAATAAGTTTGCCACATGTCGTGCAGGATGCGCGTGAGCTGCTGGCTGAGATTCGGGAGCTCACGTTTGCATTGGAAGAGTCCAACGCGGCCGCCCAGCAACTGCAGACGGAGCTGACCGCAGCGCAGGTAGGCTGCCTCTCATTGCTATCTTTCATTCGTTTCAATAGAATCCACAGGCTAAAAATAATGTGCACATTGCCCCCTGTAATTGTTGATTGATGGGCGTTGACATTGCCAATATTTGTGCGCAAGATTGCAAGTCTGAAGCATGATGGCTTTGCTGTCCCGACTGTTGTTCCACATGTTGACGCATCCATCCAAGAAATGATTATGCGGAAGCACATGCATGCCTGGCCCAGCGAATTGCTGTCGCATATGGCTGGCACGCGTTTGCAGGTGTCCATCTCCTCCAAAACGCTCACACTTGTTGCATGAACAGGAGGAGGCGAAGGGGCTGGTAAGGGATCTCGAGGATGGAGCAGCGGACCGGGCGCGGCTGCAGTCCGAGGCGGATGCAGCAATACGCGTCGCGCGCGAGCTCAAGTCTGCATTGGAGGAGTCCAACACAGCCGCTGAGCACCTGCACACCGAGCTGGCCCTTGCCCAGGTTAACACCGTTGCTTTGACCTTTTACAAATAAAACGCTGCGCAATGTGTGCCACAATGTAAAACACAAACTGGCAGCACTTGTTTTGTGGTCAATCAGTATGGCTTTGAGCTGCGTCCCCAGTGCAGGGCTTGTCCATTTCCTTGCACATGCTCATGCCTTGCAGCATGTTTTTCTCCTTGGCCATTCTTGCGTGGCTTGTGCTTGAGAATGGTAGCAGCGGGGCAAGCCAAGCTTCAGGGAACATTGTTGCCTCACTGTTAAGGCTGCAAGCTGGCCACAGCCAGTCTCCCCCAAGTTTTACCTGAACCGATCCAGAATTCTCGCAGGAGGAGGCTGCCGGGCTGGCAAGAGATTTGGAGGACGCTGCGGCGGATCGGACGCGGCTGCAGTCGGAGGTGGATGCGGCGGTGCAGGACGCGCGAGAGGCGCTGGGCCGCGAGTCAGACATCCAGGAGCAGCTGCAGCGGGCAGACCAGGTGTGACTAGACTAGCCTCGTTTCAGCACGGAGCAGTGCTTGCCAGGGAACTGCGGAAAGACGTCGCACTGCGAAGGAGTCTGTTGAAGAGCCCGAACCTCCACCCACTGTTTCTTTGGATGGCAAATGCTGGTTAGAAGCTCTTGAAAGCAAGTGGATCAAATTCTTGCATGCCTTTTCGGCACAGATCTAATCAAGACAGGCTTGGAGTAATAGTGGTGCATCCGTAGTTGTATATTGGGAATTTCAGTCCCGCAAGTGCGCCTGATACTCCTCTACATTCAGCTAGTGCTGGGCTGCAGACCAGGTGTGACAAAGCGATCCGCCGAACTCACCGGATTTCTTCCAAAGCGCAAAGTCTCTGATTGATGCCCTCAAAAGCACTGCCCTGTAGTTAGGACGCCCCGATGTTCACCTGGTGTTTCTTGGATGGCATCTCTACTGGTGATGATGTGTTGAACAAAAGTAGAAGCAATCTCACATGCTTGTTTGGCACATGCTATCATCAGAAAAGGGTTGCAATCCTCCATGGCCAAGTGTATTCTTTGCAAGAAGTATTTCCAAGGCCCAACATGCCTGCTCTAAGACATTCAGCTAATACTGGGCTGGACGGTCTAGGCACACACTGGCAACATAAAGCGAGAGTACAGGCACTGTTCCATGTGGAGTAGGCAGCCCAAATGCTGTTCAAAATAGTACTCCCTTCTGGCCTGCAATGATCTTGTCATAGGCAATGTTCCTGGTTGCCGCGGGCCTCCAGGGCGTCTAATGCTGATCAGCATGAGGCCGGCTTACTTCACACTGTTACTGCTGCTGCCTGGCTGGCCCCCTGGAAGATAGGCAGGCTTTTGATAGCCTGTTTGACTGAGAGACGTTTCAATCGCAGACGTGGCATGGATGGCATAACTGATTCCTAGCAATGCTGCAGGTGAATGAGGATCTGCAGGCGAAGCTGGCGGAGGCTGAGAAGGGTGCACTGGTGGCGCAGTCCCAGGCACTACAGCTATCAGAAGCCGAGCACAAGGTACGCCCCCACACAGCTGCCTCGTTCCAAAGTGGATCTCAGAATTCACCACTTCTCACATGCCAGTCTGTCCCACTCTGGATCGCATGGAAGACAGACGGTGTTAAAAATTCTTCACGTGGCTAGTTCAGATGCTGGCAATGTCTGTTCTGGAGCACTCTGCCTCTGCTATCGTGTCTAACTTCATTAGCCCTCATGCTTGGCTGCATCCAGTGGGCATGAACACAGCATCTCTTGCTTCCTCGTCTTCCTTCACAATGGTGAGCTTGCAAGCGTCTGGTGAAAGATCGTTGTGGCGCAGCCGCCGCACGTGCAGAGGGCGATGTGTACCTTGGAAGCATCTGCCATATTTGAGATTTGAGTCACACGTTTGTACTCCTCAGGACTAGTTATCTCGAGGAAATACCTGATGTCCCGCAGCCCATCTGTGCATGACCTGTGCAGTGGGTTGATATGATGCGTTGCAGCGCGCAGCTGCAGAGGGCGCGGCTCATGCATCTGAACTTGGAACTCTGAACTGAACTCTGAACTTGGATTTGAACTTGGAACTCTGAACTGAACTCTGAACTTGGAGCTGTGCCGTGACACGCGCGCAGGTGCTGATGCTGGGGGATGAGCTGGAGAGCAGTAAGAGGGAGGCCAAGAGCGACATCAGGCGCCTCTCAGTGGAGCTGCAAGGCCTGCGCGACCACCAGGCAGCCCTCTCAAGCCAGGCAGCAAAGATGAACGTGCGCCGGCTTTCTCCTCTTCCTATATAATTTTAAGCATGTTATGTGCCCTGGCTGGCAGGGGGTGGTGTACATAGTCAGCATCGTGCTCACTGTATATTGGGTCTTGCTTGGATCTGACGAGTGTAACAAGAGGTAGGATTCTGGCAGCCTTCATCTGCAGCTTCTTTGCAGGACGCACCTTGCCTCTTGGCAGGAAAACCTTTTAAAAATATTAAATAAGCATGTTAGGGGCTCTGTGGATTATTGAAAGAGAGCCGCAGCAGGCTGAGCTCTCCCGCCGGGCTGAGAAGATGATTGTGGGAAGTGGATTTCTCAGGCGCCTCGTACAAAATTCGGTCTCCCGACAAGGGGCAGTGGCTTGCAGATGCAGAGTTGCAGAGTTTGGGGCATATAAAGCTGCCAAACGACCCAGATCATGACGCTGACACTCGGTTTCCGTTTAGGTCACAAGTTTCCAGCTGCCATTTGGTTGTTCTGTGCTGTGAAGTAAGCTAATCTATTGCTTTCAGACACGAAAAACATTCCAATTAAGGGCTGCATGGCAAGCACTGTCAAACAGAAGAGTGATCCCCCTCAATCCCATTGCTGCGCCTGTGCTTGCTGGTGTGGCAGCAGGTCTGGATCTCTGCTATCTCAATACAGCAACACTGTAAACACACGCAAATCTGCAACTCTGTTGCTGCGGCAGCTGCACAATGTGTCAAGGGAGCGCTCTTGAGAAGTGGTCTGTTGCACCACAGGATGAGTTGGCGGCTCGGTCAGAGGCTGCAACAGAGCTGCAGGAAGCTCAGGCGGCGATCAGCCGTCTCAATGCGGCGCTTGCAGACGCTCAGAAAGCCGCCAACGGCAGCTTGGCCCGGGGCAAGGTGCTTTCCTGCCCCCCACCTGGTGAAATTTTAACAGAGAATGTCACACTGGATGCACTAGTGTCATGTGCCCTGCGTGGGGCCTGTTCAACAGCAGCTTGCAGCAGCTCCGAAAGCCGCCAACGGCAGCTCGGTTCAGGGCAAGGTGCTCTCTGCCCTCTACTTGTTAGATCTGCCTTATCTGCAGGGAGACATAGGTTGATACAGTAGATGTACTGCGTTTTTCCCCTGTGGCCCGAGGCCACATCAGTTGCAGCAGCACAGAAAGCCACAAGCCGCAGCTCAGCTCAGATGAAGCTTTTTTTTTTCTGCCAGATTTGTTGTGGCTGCATTCTTCTGCAAGTCAATAGATATTTCGAATTCCCATTGAAAAAGCATCTCATTTCTAAGTCATTGGCCACTGCCAAACGGCTCTCAAGCTCGAGCGATGGGACCTTTTCACGGAACCTCAAGTGACATGGTCGGGCATCTCTTCTGAACACTTAAATGAACAGTGCATGGTAGTCAGTGTGCTGAGCTGGTGTGTCCGGCTGCAGGGGCGTGCCAGCGGCGGCAAGGCGAAAGCGCAGGCGGCTCCGGTTGATCAGGTGATCACCTCGCCAGGTGTGCACACAGCATGCAGCGGACAGTTTCTCTCAAACCTGGTCTGCTTGGCTGTCAGCTTTATCGGGGCTGTAGCGTAACAGCAACACCGCCAAGTCACAGCTAAAGCCTTGCGCAATAGGAAGTCATGGCACACCCGTTCTGGCGAAAGGGCCAAATGGGCTGTGATACATTCGTCCCAAGGACCTTTCCAATACAAGCTAGTCTGCCCTTTGCAGCAGAATCTCTCGGAGCATTGGCTGTCACGCAGCAATGTATTTCGATGGGGCCGCCAGTCGCGGGTGCGTTCATCTGTACAGGCTCCTGACTACAATTTTGTGCGGTGCAGAGCCCATAGATGGAGAGGCCCTGGCTGCGGCTGCGATGGTCTCGGCGGCCAACAGGTGCGATTACCCCTGTCTATATTTAGGTTTCACCCTCCGCAGCCCTTCATATTCTGCCATTACATAATACCTGAGGTGTCTCACAAGTTGCAACAAACTTCGAGACGGCCCTTGCACTCTTCTGCTGGCGCTCGCACTGCCGTGTCTGCCTCCAATCACTCTGGCTTGGTTATGTCACCCCCACACCAGGCATTGCACAACTGCGCATGTGTCGGAAATCAGCGCTACTGTTTCCGGGAACCACCTGCTTTCGAAATGAAGGAAAAGCACAAAGTTAAAATTCAAATTTGATTTCCAGGCGAGCGATAGAGGTGCGCGCAGAGGCGGCCATGCTCGTCGAGGCCGTCGAAGACCGCGCCGCATCGGTGCGACCACCCCTTCTGATATTTTTTAGGTTTAGGGTCTAAACCCTAAAAAGTATATAATAAAATATAGTTCCCTGTAGGGGCTCTGTGCCCCGCAGGGCCGCTGTACAGTGAAGCTATATTTAGACTCTGTGTGCGAGGGGCTTTTGGGCCAAGTAGTCCTGGCATGCGTGGGTCCAGGAGAGGCGCAGAGGTATAGAGTGTCAAATCTCGCCTGCCTGTTCTTTCATCCCAAGATATCGTACAGCTGGCATGATTGATAGGTGCCTGTGTGCACGATTTTATCTGTTTAGACGTTACGCGCTGCCGTGAGTCCAGATCTCTGCTTGCTGTATTCCGGGGACATGTGGCTGCGGCTTTTGCACGACTGCAAGTGACCGCATTGTCTTCGCTCCACCGAAAAAAGCTGTGTGTGATAACTTGCATTTTTTTCCAGGATTTAGGGTTTATGGCCCAACCCTAATTTTTCCCATAAACAATAAAATGAGCCTGATCTCGGAGCCTTCCCGTGCAGGTAGTGCAGGAGGCTCAGGAAGAGGCGGCCAGGCACGCTGCAGAGGTGGAGCGCCTGAAGCAGGAACTGGCGCGCACCGCTGCCGAGCAGTGACAGCCAGGCCAATAGCTTCAATTCAGGGTTTAGGCGTAGGGTTAGCGTGGGGCCTGAACCCTTAACCCTGAGAAAAATTCAAGTTATCACACACAGCTTCAAGTTGTCACATGCGTTTTTTGATGGAGTGAAGACCGGGCACATCTCCATCAGGCACATCGCGATGCCAGTGTTGAGGAGAGGAATTAAAGCTTGTCCATTGCAGAAGGTCCTTATTCTGGGGGTGTGCTGGCATGCAATATGCCCAAGCTGCTATGTCCAAGCTGCTTTTCAAAGACGTCACAGTTCAAAATTTTGGTGATGGGCCAAAGAACAGTGCAAGACTGTGGCAGAGCCTTGTCACGGAGTGTGACTGGTCTACTGTTGAAAACTTGCAGCAAGTCGTGTGGTGAGCGTATGGAACACAGGTCATCCCCGAGTGTGTATTCTCATAAGTTTTGATTGACTAGGTCCCAAGGCTGTGTGCTTTGCTTGATGGGTGCATTCGAACTTCAAGTTTTGAAGAATGTGGCCCTCTCAATGGTGAAATCCATATGTGGAGTCGAAAGAAGCGCGTGGCTACAGTGAATTACCACTGCTTGCCGGACACTGTGAATGCTGTAAGCCATAAATGAGACCTTACATGTCAACCCCACGGCAAGATAGGAGAAAATTACCACCACGTGATGATGTTAATGTAATATTACAAATATTACGTACTACTGATTCCTTTCCCTTTCTGATAAAAGCTTGCATCACAAGTGACACAATCACATAGTCACCAATTGACATAAGCACCCGCAGCAGATTTCTGGTTTTTGAAAGAATTCTGTCGACTACAGAGCAAGTCAAGGCAGCCATGTCGTTGCAAAAGAGGGCCGTAATCGCCGTTCCTTTTAACATATTGCATGTATATTGTATCTCTGTATTTCCAAGCTCAGTTGTTGATATCGCGCAAGATGCCATAGCTTGAAGGCAGGCAGGGTGCACATTGGAGCTGCAGGTTTTTCCTTTGAAGAAAGTACTTTCAAATCTCTCTGCCCTGCATTTGGAGGCAGACAAGCTGAGTTTGTGCATGCCAGCAAGCGTGCGGATGCAAAGGGTGTTCCTGAAAGGCCGCAGTAAAGTGAGCATCTCTTTTTAGGATCCGGTGACAGCAGTTTATGTGCTGACAATGGAATTCAGCTTTGAAGTGCTTGGAATCGATGGTCCGCACCCATTTGATATTGGCTTGGCTGGACGTGGTTTGAAGTCAGTGCATACACCACATGATGCTACAGGACAGCTGCGGGCGTAACTGTCTCATTAGCTTGCTAACCTGGCGGGCTGGCAGATGGTCTGTGACTGCCACTGCTGCTGGGACTGCCTCACCAGAGCCAGGAATGTGTGAAGACAGTACATTCAAGGCAGTGCCTGTAATTATAATGTCCTGATCTGTGTGATATCCAAAAGAAGAGGTGCAAAATGACAGGTGCAGTAGCCGGTATCGGGAGCTATTATCAACAGCCGCCTGCAGGCGTATGTGTAATGCATTGGAGAATTTATGCGCCTGCAAAAATGGATTCTATTTACTCCAACATCCCTTCATCCAAAAATCAACTACATTTGTTTCAAATTTGGCAGCTTAGAAGCTTGGCAGGCAAACCTAACATTTTCAGACACCCGAGCACGTAAAGGTAGCTCAGGACTGTCGCCAAAAACACCAGCACATCTAGATCTCAAAAGGCGCATGCATAAAATCAGTCCAGACGAGCATGAAGCCTCCATCAAGAAGAAGGCCATCACCTGTGGTTTTTAAACTTCATCAGACAAGAATCTGTCACACAACGGCAGGCTGGGTTCAAAGTCTCGCAGGCACAGCTTGAGGTCAGTGCTGAGCGACACAGTGTCACAAGAAATGTATTGTTCACCCCATGAGATGCACATCTCATGTGCCCACAATCAAGACGGCCCATCTGTGACACTGCAACAACTTTCGCGGTCAAAAGACAAACCAGCACTGCGCTGCATTGCATTGACCGCGCACTGCACACACCCCGGCATTTCAAAATTAAGGCTCCGTGGTTCATGCAACAGCCTCCTGTCACCCAAAGCTTCTCTCAGGGACAATTGCACTCCCGGCAGCAAGATCAATCGTTGCTGTCATGTCTCCTTTGGAGTATTCAAGCTTTTACACACCCGCCAACTGGAATCCACCGATGTAACCCCCTCTCAGCAATGTGATCTGCTCGACTGTGCCCTGGGTCTAAACCCTGAACCCTAAACCATAAACCCTAAAAAATGTTGCTGCAGCACTGCACTCTTGCCAGGTAACACTATCAGCTCGGTGGGTGGGGGCCATCTCGGGCTCGACTGAACAGGCATTGACCAGCCTCTTTTACCAACAGTTTTTACCGTGGTTGTGGGGCCCAAGACCAGTCTGCAACAGCTTTAACATTCCCATCCCCACACAGAGTCCAAAGTATTACACATTGACCCAACAATCAACGGCTGGGGTGAAGCCGTGGGTGGATCAGTGAGTGGGGGCCATCTCGGGCTCGTCTGCTAGAGCGTTGGCGGCGGCGGCCCCGGCCGCGCGCTGGGAAGCTGCCATGAAGGCGATGAGCTTGTTCAGCGCTGACACGTACGCGCGCGCGGACGCCACCACTATGTCCTCGTTCGCCCCGCTGCCCGAGAAGCTGCGCTGCGTTGAGCCGCCCTGCAGAACGCAATAAAAAAGTTTCTTGAGAGCTCTGCAGAATGCTCGCTTTCCTTGGAGGCTACCGATGTATTTCAAGGCAATGCAGCTGGCCTGCTCTGTGCAACATAACCTCCGACAGCTTAGAAACGAGGCATCAGAGCAGTCCACATAGTCACGACACAATGGGCAATACTAAGCCATAAGTCAGGATGGTAATGGAAGAATGAAGGCATAACATGATGTATACGGCAGAAAAGGGGCAGAGGGGTAGGAATGATCCCAACTTGCAGAGCACCATCAGTCCTCATCAAGTGGCTCTGACCTCCCAGGAACAAGACCAGATGCATGCAGCCGGGGCAATGTAAACTTGGATCCACGCACCTGTGCGTGGATGACGAAGCCCTGGTCTGCGTGGCCGCCCACAGGTCGGATGGAGACCCGAGTAGACGCCAGGGCCTCGATGCCCTCTGTCACGCTAGTCATCGTGTACTCGCTCAGCTGCACCTGCACGCACATGCCGGCACACGCCACCTCAGCAAGTCAGATCTTGTGGGAGCGCTGAGACAGCAACTTGGAACACACCGGACGCCAGAAGATGCCTCAGGTCATCAGGCATACCTAACATACCAGCCAGTACATCACTATAAGACTCTGGGAACACTAAAAATTATGTCCCACGTATTTCGCCTCCCCCATTACGATTTGCGCGAGAACTCAGAGTCCTGCAAACGGAAAACCTCAGGCACCACCAGACTCACAGCCTGTCAAAGGAGGCTCCTCAGGTCCTGTCCCGCTGAGATGGAGTCTGCGCATTGGGTAAAAGAAGGGAGGGAGGGAACGCGCCTGGACGCGGACGAGGGCGTCGATGGCCTTGTAGGCGGCGTCGACCGGCCCGGTGCCCATGCCGGTGGCCGTGCGCGCGATGCCGTCCGGACCCAGCATCCGCACAGTGGCAGTGGGGAGGCCCATCGTCCCGCACACCACCTGCGTTCGCAGCACATCCAAGGCTGAAGTCAAATGCACTCTGAGCATTTTGTTGAGAGGCTACACCCTGCGCAACACCAATTCCTTAAGAAGAACCCCATTGTGCATCCTATAAGCCACACAATCTGAGCGATTTGCAGCATGAGAGGTCTATTCACCACCAGTACCGTGTGCAGCATGCAACATGATGACAGTGGCAAAAAGTTGCTCCTGCCGGGTGTATGTTCATAACAGCACAGCAGCCTATGTGACAGCATGGGGAGAAAGGGCTCCTGGCAATTCAGTGATTTGTCGTGGCAGCACCTGGAGACAAGAAACTTTGTACGCTGCATCACACAATTATACATTATATCAGCAGGCCCTGTTCTGCGCAATTTCTGCTGCAGAGGGAGACAAGCATGCGCACCTGCAGGCCCAGCAGGTCCCACAGCTTCTCTGGCTGGTGCACCTCGTCACTGACCAGCGCCAGCACGTCCTCATCCGTCACATTCTTCTTCTTGTCCGCCAAGCTCTGCGCATGCAATATGACACAAATCATCAGACGCAATAAAACACAGCAAGTTGTTAAAGTTTCACTCAAAGTCACTAAGAGCATGCGCCCCTGTACTACAAGTCCTTGGCAAATACTACGTCCCTCCCTGCCAGAGGGTGCTCCACATATTCTATGCGTCTCCCCCGCTAGTCTCACTGAAAACCACGCCAGGTTATCTCCCATCCATGTGTCCTCCCCTCTACAGCTTTTTAAATGGCGCCAGGTGACATCTCATCCATACCGGAGATGCCGCCCTTTAAGCTGCTCCCTGATCACTTTTGTCGAGTTTCCTGAAGGGCAATCCCACCTTGAAGCGCTTGAACACGTCGTCCAGTTGGTCCTGCGCCAGGTCAAAGCCCAGCGCCTGTAACTTCGTGCGCAACGCATTCCGCCCGCTGTGTTTGCCTGCGCGCGCCCGACACACATCTCAGATATTATGCAACAAGCCGTTCAACACATCTTTTCTGTGCAGCATTATGCTTGCACCGGTACAGTCTGTGTTTCTGCCCCCCTAGAAGGCAATGCTGTAAGCCGGAAGGCCGCCAGGCAAGCGCAAAGGCCGCTGGTCCAAGCTTGTTTTATCCAGGGCTTGCAAAGAAGTGCCTACTGTTGGAACATGACAGGTGAAACGTATACATCTGGTGAGGCGTTATGGTGCATGCATGAAACAAGCAGGAAAACAGGCCACAGCTGACACTTCTGTCGCTTGTAGCTTAGATCTCTGCCCATTCCACACAGGGACCCCACAAGATGGCAGCACCCCCAGGCATCCAAACAGGTGCCAAAGAGAAGCTACACCACTCCAATAACTTTCTCTTGTCCTATCAAACCGAATGACACACCCATGACGATGCCTGCTCTTTGCAGGCAAGACTACATCACTGCACACTGGCAGCTGGGAGAAAATTCACAGCTCCCATTTGGCTTCTGGAATGCATTTAGGACTCATTGGAGGCAAAAGCTGATTCACCCCTGACAACGCTCACCCTCACCCTCCAGGCCATCCACTATATTTATTTAGGGTTTAGGGTTGCCCTCAACCCTCAACCCTGCACCCTAAACCCTAAATGATCATAAAATTTAGTTTGAATTTCAGAAGATGACTCACCCATGACGATGCCGGCGTCGTCCTGGCGCGTGAGGCCGATCTCTTCGGGGCGGATGATCTCATAAGTGTCCTTGCTCTTCAGCATGCCGTCCTGGTGGATGCCGCTCTCGTGCGCAAACGCGTTCGCACCCACTATCGCCTGCAGCAGGGCATGCATGCATATCAAAACAAACATATGCTTTATATGCACTGCAGCTTGGTGGTGGACTGCAGGTTGGTCTCACCACTTGCCTGCAGCATGCCAACTGACACCAAATCATGCTTCATGGGATCTGCAGCTCTCCTGGTCAGCATTCAGCTTAATGCTGCCAACGACTGAAGAAGCTTCCACGTTGACGTGGATACGTTGTTGGTGTGCCTGCTGCTTGCATTCTGAGAATTGTAGGGTTTAGGGTTTAGGGTTCGTCTCACCCACGCGAAGGTCTTCCATTAGTGACAACACACAAGCGGAAGGTCACAAGTTTTGCACAGGCCGTGTGTCTCACCCTTTGACTCTCGGCTCACCGCAAGCATAGCCAGCTGGAAATCTACGTGGACGGGGAGATCAAGGCTGAGCAGGGGACTTAGCAATCATGACTGGACGTGGGAAGTGAGGAGCAGACCTTGTGGGGCTGGACCATCATGCCGGAGTAGTCGCTGACCATTTTACTGGTGCTGATGATGTGCACCGGCCGAATGCCAGTCCGCAGCCCACCCATCTGCTGCGCCCTGGCAGGTACGCACACAGAGCCTCTCAAAACAGATGCAGTTACAGTATTCTGTGAATGGCACAATGGCAGTGCTTCCGCTCACTGCTGGGTTTGCTGACTATCAGGCAAGCCTCTCAGGAGCAGACACTCAGATTTCGCTCTCAGAAAGCAATGCCAATGCTCCCAGCTGCACAGAATGGGCTGTGCGCAAAGTGGCCTGGCTTGCATATTCATGGACAGCATGGGTGCAACCAGGGAATCACACAGGTGCATGTCGGCAATTTTCATACACTTGTGCCACAACTCAAGACACTTGCAGGGGCCAGTGCCGGAGCAGCAACTGGGGCGTTTATTCTTTCTTGAGCCCCGAGAAAACTATTAGGCACCCACATGGTGCTAGGAGAATGTTCGGAATGCTTCTGGAAAGCACGCACCCGCGCTTGTTGATGGCCATGACCACCTCTTCCAGCGAGGCATTCCCCGCCCTCTCTCCAATCCCGTTGATGGTGCACTCGATCTGCCTTGCGCCAGCCATGGCGCCTGCCAGGCTGTTGGCTGTGGATAGGCCCAGGTCATTCTGGCAGTGCGTCGAGAAAACAACCTTGTCAGCGCCAGGTGTGTTGGCGATGAGGTCAGCGATGAGGCCGCCAAACTCGTGGGGCAGGTTCCAGCCTGTCGCCAGAGTTGGCAAACATATGTCACTAGAAGAATGGCTTCTCTCTGAGACATTGCAAGGGTGAAGTTGCTATTAAATAAATAACATCACACGATCATATATGCGTCAAGGACAGCAACAGCACCCTGGCACTGATCTGCGAAGTATTCCTGGCGTCATCAAGAGCATATTGGCAATCAACGCACTGCCACAATGCACACAAAACAGACTTTGGAAGCTTCACAGCAGGGCATGAGCAGCAGTAATTGTTGTGGCTGCCAACGACTTGGAAATGGAATCCATAATTTCCATTGGAAAGCAGTGAGCGCACTCCGATCATTCCAGAGCATGCATGCCAGCGATATCTCGGAATAGTTGCCGTCAAAAGGTGTTCTGTTGACGGCAAAATCACCTGTGGTGTCTGGGATGTTGAGGGTGGTGGCACCGGCCTCAATGACAGCGGCCAGGACTCTGTAAAGGAATTTGGGGTCCGAGCGTCCGGCATCCTCCGGGCTGAACTCGATGTCCGTGCAGCCCAGGCTGCGCAGGTGCCGCACCGCCTTCACCGCGTTCTCTACCACCTACACAGGGGATGAGCCCTTTGCAATTACCTCTGAACACCTATTTAAATACCTAACCAGACTTCCTTGTGTGCAATGTGGTAATTCGGTGCTCCTGGGGCGGAGTACTGTGTTGTTGCCGCATGATGATGACTTGCCAAGAAGCCCTTTCTCTTGTCTTTGGCACTCGCACCGCCTTCATGTCTGCATCTCCCAGATTAATTACTATTTTCAGTGAGGCCACAGCACTGTCCAGGTAGCACTTGTGCCTACTGCATCATCGCCATTGCATCTTGTTGTCCTTGCTTGACTTGCTCCAATTCTTTCAAGGGCGGGCCAGCAGCAAGAGTACCAGAGAAATACTCTTGAGGTATACACACGCACAATTAAAGGCTTGACATCCATGGGGATGTACAACCAGGGATGTGCACCTGGTCTGGTGTCATCTTCAGCTTGTGCTCCATGTGGATGGCAGAGGTGGCCAGGAAGGTGTGCACCCTCGGCCTCTTGGCCAGCTTCACTGCCTCCCATGCGACCTCCAAGTCCCTGAGCCAGAAATGCCTTTGTCATCTGCTGTTTGGAACGAAGGAAAATTATTACTCTGGCATTGTAACATTTGCAAGTTGCATTCATGCAAAAATTCAGGCTTCATGGAAGTGTGCTGGTGAAGTTGAGTGCTTTGTCCCACCTGATAATCGTTCTGGACAGGCCACAGATCACAGGCACGTATCCGTCCTCGTCAACGTTGTTGCCGACATCCATGGCTATGCTTCGAACGGCATCAAAGTCATCAGGCGAGGCCACAGGAAAGCCAGCCTCAATGATGTCCACTCTTAACTTGGCCAACTGCCTGGCTATATCCAGCTTCTCCTTGCTGGTCAGCGTGGCGCCAGGGGACTGCTCCCCATCCCTCAATGTGGTGTCAAATATACGCACATAGTTGGGATCATCGATGCGGTTGGGGATGTACTCTGGCCGTCTCGGCTGCACTGCTACTGCTGCTGCCCCACTCGTGCTCGTGGCGCTCACCATCAAGCTGCCAGGCCTTCTGCATATTCTGGGCGTTTTCAGTGCCTGCTCGACAACGTTCTGCCGCCGCAGACATCTACCCAACGGCATAGGAGTGCAATGCAGAGCTGCAGGAGCAGCATTTTGCAGTCTGCAGCTCGTTTGCACGCTACAACGCATGCTTTCGGCGATCATTGCGCTCATGCTCCTGTATTTGCTTGATTTGCTTATCCATTCATGGCAGGTTGGAAACAGGGTGAAGGTGATGATCTTGTACTGGTGGCAACGTGATCGCTGACTGATATTCAGTCACGGCTGACCTGGACTGCGTGGACTTTGAAGGCTCTCCATTCTCGTGCTGATCGGCACAGAACCTTGTCGACGATCGTGCAGCTTCCTTTGGAGACATACTGAAGCATTTAGCACTGCTGACACCCAAATTTGTGAGAGGCAACGTGAGCAGATTGAAAGTCTGGGAAGGTCAAGAAGAATGTTCTGCGAGCAGTTGCCTGTAGTGGGAAGCTGTTATCTTGATTCAAAGGCAAATACGGGGGATGAAGCGATTGGTATGGTCCTGATGGCCTGACAGCCAGGAATTGCACACATTGACACCGGTGACAAGCTTCCATGGCGCCCTTTCGAACTGCCTTCAACGGTTATGCCGTCAAGTTCTCTCCATTCGAGGAGGGCAGAATAGCAGTCGCCACATCGCAGAACTTCGGAATCATCGGGAACGGGCGGCAGTACGTGTTGCAGGTAGGGATCAGCATCTGTACTAGGAAGGATTTTTGGTTTGTGATGACACCCCTACATCTGCCGTTGAGACCAGTATTTGACAGGAAGAAAGATCTGTACACTCCTGGATGTCCGTGGTAAGGGCTTCACCAAGGGTGCTGCGCGCAGATGACCCCCAATGGGCTGGTGGAGGTTGCAGAGTTTGACACGAAGGACGGAATATATGACTGCGCCTGGTCTGAGGTACGCTCTTACACACCTCTGTTAAAAGCAGGAGGGTCAATGCCGGCCTAGCTTATGGTTCCTCTACTGGGTAATGCATGCAACCACATAGAGCATCCCACGCTGCCGTATAATTTCTGATCAAGGGATCATGTGTGTCTTTGGCACAAGAAGTCTGCAATCTCAGCATCACACATGTACATTGGTGCCCAAAGAACATTCAATTTGCCCATGCAGGAAAACGAGAACATTCTGGTGTCGTCCTGCGGAGATGGCAGCATCAAGGTGTGGGACGTGGCAGCGCCCCAGCAGGCCAACCCCCTTAGACACTTCCAGGAGCACACGCGCGAGGTGAACATCAATGATATGGCTGCCTTGTTTCACCGCTTGTTTCATGCTTGAAATGGATCTCAAGGAGACCCCGCATGCTGCGCACTGACCACAGTAGGGAAATGCGATGGAACATGCTATGGCCTTCAGATCAGCAGCATGCAGCCAGTCATGCTCCTCTCTGTTTGCAGTCTGCCACTCCGCTCATCTCCCCTGCTCTGCACCTATGTCGCTCCTGTAACTCTGAATTGCTTTGACCCATGCCCCTCTCCCAGTTTGATCTTTGGACGGCCGCTGCACATGTGCCCTGAGCACCAGATGTGCTGCATGCGGCTGCATGCGGCAACTATCTTCAAGGCAGGTTCTTGAGTTTGACAGGGGGAGCTCAAACCACGGCTGCAGGTGTACTGTGTGAGCTGGAACATGGTGCGGCGCAATGTGTTTCTGAGCGGCAGCTGGGACGACAGCATCAAGCTTTGGGACATGAACTCGCCCGCCTCGCTGGCCACCTTCAAGGAGCACACCTACTGCGTCTACGCCGCCAACTGGTGTGCTATTTTGTATCAATCGTGTGCAATACTACAGGGAGTCCATTGGCCAACTAATCACGAGATTTCTCCGGTAGATGCTGAGTGGTGTGCTGCGCACCCCCTCGCTTTGTCAACCCCAAGTGCAGTATTGTCTACTGGACTGTCTGCATGAGGTTGCAAGCTACGTTGAAGGAATATATTTGTTGCGCCTACCAGTGAGTTGTGCTCCCTTCTCTGCACCAGTCTTTTGCAAAGCTTGTCTCGGGGTTGGAATCTGGGCATCGCTTGCACGCGGTAGATTACAGGATGGTCGCCAACTGGTGTGCTCTTTTGAATACTTGCATCCCTTGTTTAGTTTTGTGCTCCGTGTCCCTGCCGCACTTACTGGCACACAAAGAACACGGTTGTATAGCATATTGCTGCTTTGGACTGTTGTTCACTGGAATAGAGCTGCCAGCAGTGATGCAATGACTGATTGATAGCTGCTGCATCTTTACGGGGAGCTTGATCCTGTTGGCGGCAGGACTGACTGTTCTGTACCCTCTTCACATGCTTGCACGGCAGAAATGCTTGGCATGAAGAGAAGGAGCTTGCTGCGGAAGTCTCTGCTGGAAGTACAGCATGGTGAGCAAGAGAGCAAATGGTGAACTTATCTGCCTCTGGCGCAGGAACCCAGCGCATGCGGATGTCTTTGTGAGCGCCTCGGGCGACTGCAGCGTCAAGGTGTGTGCCTGCTGCTAGCTTTCGTCTTGCTTTCCTCTCCTGAGAGCGCCATCAATTCTTTCAACATGTAGTGGAGGTACCGTTAGACTTCTGAGAGAGTGACCACTGTACAATTTTGAGGTTCCAGGCTGGCGCTTCCTGATTCACAAATATCAGCATTGAGCCAGAGCTGCCCTTCGCATCTGAGCAAGTCTGCGCGGCAGGTCAGCACTCAGCAGTGATTAATCTCGTCCAAAATCCAAAGTCCGAAAAACAATCGATGCTTTCTCTTTGTGCAGGTGTGGGACCTGCGGCAGGCGCGGCCGACGCTGAATCTGGCGGCGCATGCTTATGAGATCCTGTCGGCCGACTGGTGCAAGTACAACGACTGCGTGCTGGCGACTGCCTCCGTGGACAAGAGCATCAAGCTGTGGGACATTCGCGCGCCCGACAGGGAACTCTCAACCCTGCTCGGCCACACGTGAGCATTCAGATCTCCTGCTGAAGAACTCCTGCACAGATACCAATTGCAGTGTTTGGTGTTGTTTATAGGCTTTGGCAATCAAATCCCTTTGGGGTCCATAGATCAGCACGGCTGCTGGGGACCTTCAATGATGACTGATGACTAGGTGATCCATCTGGTGGAACCAAAACCCCTTTAAAGGGGGCGGCTGGATTGACTCCTCTATCTTGTCAACTGGCCAGCCATGCATGGCCATTATGCTCGACACCCTCGTCTTCTGAGGCGCATCATGCTTTGGAGTGAGCTGTTTCTGTGGAAGTTTGCGCAATGTGCGATATTTGCTGGGAGCGTCATTGGCAACAGAACTTTGCCGGTCTCCCCTCAAACCCTTTTTCCTCGCAGGAGCAGTCTCTTTTTTAGGTCAAGTACTTCAGAGAGCAGGTGGATCGCTGAATTCGCGCTGTTGCGCAAAATTACTTCCCAGAGACAGAGGAAAGAGCCATCCTGCCCTGGGATGGCGATAACAACCTCATCCCAGGTTTGATCAATCCCCTACGCAGGGCGCTGTGTGCAATTACAGCATGGTCGTGATCAGGCATGGTGTGCATGCTTTGCAGGTACGCGGTGAGACGGGTGGTCTTCTCGCCGCACGCAGAAAATATCCTGGCGTCCTGCAGCTACGACATGAGCGTCAAGCTGTGGGACGTGGCGGCACCAGAGGACGCCCTTGTCAGGCAAGCGTCCTTTCTTGGTCTCACTGGCAATGACACAGAGAAAGCCGGAACTCATGCGCCTGAAAGAGACTTTTTTAGTCCTGCGCACATGGTCAAGGAGTGTCTTCTTTCGTTGAGTGCTGCCTGTCCACTGCACTTGCTGGCCGAGGGAGTTAAGCTCATTGCCAGGGGGTCCATGAAGTTTTGCGCTGAAGAATTTTGAGCCGGCCAAGAACTTTTAGGGCGTTTCTGGGGCAATTGCCCAGATAGATTTTTGGTAGATGTTATCAGACAAAGTGGGGGGTGACCCTGACAGGATGCCATAACCCATCCCGTCCGCTGGGCACTTATGTCTGAGCAATTTAGTCATATTTGTAATTTCTTTAGTGTTTGTTTCAGGAATTGGGACCACCACTCGGAGTTTGCTGTGGGGCTGGACTTCAGCACGCTGAGCGAGGGGATGCTGGCCAGCTGCGGCTGGGACGAAATGGTGCACGTCTGGAACCAGAATGGCGACCCCAGAGCGCAGTGACCTGGCCTGGTAGGAGCGATTGGGCAATCAGAATAGATGCCGTTTCTGAAGGCTGAAGCAATGCTGGGTGGTTGACGCTGACAGATTTCTCATGCGTGGCACCAGGGCGGCGACCCCAGAGCGCAGTTATCTTGCCTTTTCTTGCCTTGATGGCTCTCACACGCGTGTTGTTGGAAAATTGATGCATTCCAATGCGCTGGAAGGTGCTGCATGTGTGGCACCTGGTTGGGAAAGCCAGGGCGCAGGATTTTAGCGAGTTTTGCGCGACAGATCATTCTCGGCGATCTGTTGCCGCTAGTAGAGCGGCTGGCGGTAGCAGGTGCCACTGCAGATGAATTTGGTTGCTGGCATCCGGATGCATACTGTTTTGAAACGCTGCGGATTCAAACTTGAATTTCCTCCCTTTCAAATTTAAATTTCCTCCTGCGCATAGGTCCTGCTACGCATAGAGGCGTAAGAACACTAGGATGCAGGGTCGATTGACATGCAGGACAGCTTTTGAATTCTCGGTGTCTTGGAAATTTGAGGCACGCCTCATTTGGAACGTGCTTGTACAGTAGGAGGGCGGCAATGTTTCCTTGGGCACATGTGATATGCAGAAGCCACCATAAGAATAGGATTACTAATGATCTTTGCTCGTTCATTACAGAAGCTGCTACAACATTGTTAACATGTTGTGATGCTCGAAGATTATGTAAGAGTACTGTGCATGCAGCAACTCACGGCTGCCAATCGAGAGAGGTTTATGATATACATGAGTCTGACTATAGCATAACTCTACACCAAAATCTCAGAGTTATCAGCTGACTTGGTGCATCCATTTTGTCTTGCACTTATCTTGTGAATTTACTCTCCCTTACTACACCCTTTCCTGGTATGAGCTGCCCATGAGACGCTTGATGCAGCAGCGGCAATCACAGGGCCTGCTGCTATGATCAATGAACTCTGCAAATAAGAATGCCGAATTTCCTTTGCCCATGATGGACTGCTCGCCCTTGATCAACTTCTGCTGTGTAAGGATGGGCGTATCTTCATCTGGGCCAGGCTGCACCCGCTCGCATGAAAGAGCCAAGCCCCGCAGTGCCAATTTGAGGTGCATGCATGCACTCTGTGGGCCTCCGCGACACATGCCGGGCCTGGTCAGCATGACTTATGTGACTAAGAGTACAGTGTAGGCTATACCTACAGGCCTGGCTATTAATATGCATGGGGATCTGTCAGACTGCTGCAGCGCATGCACTGCTTGAGACGGACCATATGCATTCAGCAATTCTTGCAAATCCTTTACAGTCATGCATGACTGATCGAGCATATGCTCGATATGTGGATTTTTGCATTGACCCTCTGGAGTCCGCTATTGGTACTTGTGAGCTTACGTCGTCCTGACTCCTGAACCGTTTTTTAAAGCGGCAGTATATATAACCACTGTCAGCGGCTTACGAGAACCAGTCAACTCTGGACTTGCGTTTCAAAGACACCTCTGCAGTGATCCTAGCAAAGTACTCTGGGTTTGACTCAAACCTGACACACTCTGAGCAACACCTACAGTCACAGACTCTGCTGGGCCTGAAAAGCTGCCGCCGAATGACAGGCCCTTCATCTGCCACCTCCTCACAGGTGAGAGCCAGGTTTCGCAACCCCAGATATTTTTGGAAGTTCTCCAGAACACTTCCACTTTGCAGCTCTGTGTATATACCTGAGAACGAGATATATTCCACAAGGAAGGACTCCACCTTCTGTGCTGAGGCGAGTGGATCTTCAAAGCTCAGAGTCAGCTTTCCTCGTGCAGCCAACTCCAAATGCTGTACACTTGCAGGCAAGTGGATGCTGACAGACGTTCCATTGATCTTCAGCATCGTCAGCTTTGACACACCCGTTCCAACCATTTGCTTCACATGCACTGCGCCTTGAGCATCTAGTTTCACCCTTTGCGCGCTCTCAGGAAGGTCTATGTCCCAATTGATTCCCCTGATCTGCACTGTGGACAGACTTGGAAGAGATGTCCCCGGCAAAAGCTTCAACCCAACATTGCCTCAGGCCTCTGGACTTACCAGCTCTGCGTCATCATCTTCACTTTCACTGCTGTATAATAAATACCCATGCTCTGGCTGTGATGTGATATTCTAGGAGCGTGGGTGCGGCACAGCATCTGTGTAAAGGTGAGCTCTTGCGCTCACTTGGTGACGTCTCGTTCGTGTCAAGGAGCGGGCATGTGCTCAGAATTGTAAACAAATCAACAGGTGACCTTTGCACCGATGTACATGTGTACCAAGAAAGATTAAATTTTGTAGTTATTTATGAATGTGCGTGATGCATTCGTCAACTTGCCCTGTGCAAGAGGCTTACCACTTGCTTCATGTGACCGCTGTCTGCAAGCATGAACATTTGTGAACGAAATATGCACGGCTCCTTTCAATACTAAGTGGCAATAAGCGAGACTTCAATTTTTCACACTCCGGCTTTCCACCATGATGCAGCAGGAGCTGCTAAACTTTGACACTGCTATGAATAACATTATTGACAAATCACATGTCCTGCATGCAGGCTCTCGTTTTGTACCTCGCAATGCTTCGTAAGGTTATGATTTCTCAACCTTCAATCCAAACCTAATAATGATCAAAATGCCCAATTCTAGAAAACTCTACTTCTCCTGGCAGCTGCTCTGCAAAAGAATATAGTACACTGAAGTCCAAGTGTTTGTGCATCCCGTAGACTCTCCTACAGCAAGCATCTTGTGTCTACTGCAGCGGTTGGTTATGCTCGATCCGACAAACGACTTAGACTCAGAGAGATTGACAGTAATGCGCATGCATACCATAGGCAATAACCTGACCAGCACATTCAGCTCGCATCAGCGAAGTCTGCAAGTCCGCAAGCCTATGTATACACCTGCTAGAGCCTGCACGCGCGGTTGGCAAGAGCACCTCGCAAATGCCCCCTGTCAAAATGCTGCAATAGACCAAAAGAATGTATGGCAGTACGGCACTGGCTACAAGATTTGTGGCCAGCCAATGTGGGTCTTCAACAAGGGTTGAAACCTGCGCAATCTGGCAGACCCATCAACTCAAGGTGCATGCTGGCAACAGCGGATACCAGCTGCACACATCAGCGCTTAGCTGGCGGGACATGATATACAGGTGCTGCCGGGCTGACTCAAAAGCCTCCAGCCCGGGCCCGCTGAAACGGCTGCTCAGTAAGGAGTTGCTCACAACATCACCATGGGTTTATCAGAATGAAGGGTTCCATGACCTGTGTGCGCATGGTGACCTCATCAAACCAACTGACATCAGCGCGCCTGCTGACATCAGCGGAGCCAGCTGCACGCATCAGGGCTTTGCGCTGCCGGGTTGTGGTCTGCGGCTCCCAATCTTACAGTCCAGCTTGATGCCTGGCCTGCCGATACTCCTGCTTAAGAAGGACTGGATCCACCTGTTCCTCAGAATGCAAGGGCACCGGTGCCCGTGATGTCAGCACCCATGCTGACAACAGCAGGGACGCTGACATCAGCGGGTGGCATGCGGCATGTAGTTTGCGGCTGCGCTGGCTTGCACGTTGGCAACGACGCGCATCTGGCCATCGGTGGCGTGGAATTTGGCGTTTGGCGCGTGCTCCTTGCCCGGCTTGTCCATCACCTGAATCACCGCCTGCTGCTCCGGCCGCGGCCTCTCAGCCTGCAGGGCACACTCCACAAAATCAGACAAGTCTGCATGGATCAATCCCAAGAAGTGCGTCTAAATTTTGAGGCATCTTAGGGACTTGGCTTGAAGGCTGCAGCGATTAGGTTGTCGAAAGGAGTTCTTCAGGAATCCAGCATGCATTGCACGGGATGGCTCTGTCAGAGCTGCGGCGGTAGGTAGGGGCTAAAGGATCTTAAGAGCAAAAGATATTTGCAAAAGATAGTTGACAGGCAACGGGATGCTGACACCATATCGTGAAAAAAATATGCGCACACTAGTCGTCCGGTGCAAGACGTCTTCGGATCAGAAAAACACGTTGACGTGGCAAAAGTAAACAGCCTGTAGCAGGGGCGCGCTGCAGAGGGCAGAGTTCCTTTACGCTGCTGTCTATGCTTAGATTTGTATTTCAAATTCAGCAACATGCCCCCACCTGCAGCAGGGGTTCCCCTTCCTCCACGTCAGCGCGCCGCGTCTCGGGCGCCGTTCCCCGCGCCGCACCAGAGGTCCCCCCGCCGGGACCCCCCCTCCTGGCCGCCACGATCTTCGCGTTCGAATACAAACAGAAGCCCACCATCGCCATGACGCATCCGGCTGTCATGCGTGCTGTGAACTGGCTGCTCTCCCCTGGGAGCACCGCTGCTGAGAGAACCAGCAGTCCCACGATTTTCACCTCCCCAAGGACCGTCACCTGCGCACAGCATGCATGCACACGTCAATTGTGTGTGTCAGAAACATTCCGAAATTACTGCAACTGATAGGGCACACCAGCTGCATTTCATGTTCTGAAACCCTGCAGTACTTCTCAGACCAGAAATGCACTGGTGCATCACGCTGCGGCTTCCCTGTGAGTTCAACACAGGCTAGTGCTGTGCCCGCTCTGGATGATATGCAGCATGCAAATCCCCTCTGCTATAATCCTCACATTGCCCAGCAGACAGGGCAAACTGCAACCCCATATTTATGTGCGAGAGAGCACGGCATTGGCAAGCTCTCCGGCAGAGAAAATTGTCACCATGACAGAGCTGGCGAGCGACTCGATTCTGACCCCACAAACTTAGCACCCTGCAACCGCAGACCTGACGCAGGTAACGCAGCCGCCCAGCAGCCTACAATTTAACATAGAGATCTTTCACAGGAGATGGGTGCAAGATAAGAGGGCCTCACCGCGACTGAACTGGTGCGTTTGAGGAGCAGATTGTGGGTGACGTTGTAAGCGAGCGCCACGACAGATCCCAGCAGCACTATCACCAGAACTGCCCCGCCGTTGTCCGCCGCATACACCAGAAACTGGTCCTTCTGCGGGCAGGCCAGAGCAGCATTGTTAATCATCACTTAGCCACCGCTTAGTCAAGTTTGACGAGATATCCTAGACTATTAAGGAAGATTATATACATTGATTGGTGGCAGAAGGAGCGCAGGCAAGCCTGGGCTGCTTCCTTAAAACTAGTCCAGGCACGTGCAGCTGAAAAGTGCATTTGAATTCTGTCTGCCGCTGCTGCACGTGAGGCTGCCGCAGGCACCCTGTCCCACTAGGGTTGCTTTTCCATGCCCTTTTCTTGCACCAACAATACTGTTTGCTCATCTTTATCTTCCAGCAGGCTGCCTTGAAATCAGGAGCCTGGGATAGGACATGTAAAGCAGTGCACGGCAGCAACAAGGCCTCTGAAGCATAAGGGCACGCTTTCAAAGACAGCAACATGGGCCGCACCTCCAGGAACCAGAAGAAGGGCAGCAGGACAGCGGATGATACAGGCGCGGTGTAGAACGCCAGCTGCAGAACGTCCATCTTCTCGCTCAGCACCTTTCCCACCGTTGACATCATGGCAGCTGCGCACAGCACACCTGCGCAGCAGTGACAGGGCAAGCCTCACCTTCTACCCCTCTGGTGGCATTTATCAGGAGGCTAGAATTCTAATTGTGCGACTCGCTCGTCAGCCGCGCACAGCGTGATCTGCGCGCAGGCACAGGGCCGACCTCAAAGTTGAACACGTTCCGCGGCGCAGATCTGCAGGAGGAGTTCAACAAATGACTGCACCTGCACCCGACGCAGCGCCCCCAAGGCACAAATAGTGGTGCACCCAATGGCCTGCTGTGGAGCTCATAGCATGCCCCTCTCCCTGGCTGTCTCCGCATAGCTTGCTTTGGGCCAGGCTGTGTTTTAGCCAACAAAGAGCGCCCATTTGTCCAGTCACCGAGGAAAGACCATTTCGCAGCACATGGGCCTCCCTCTGTTGAACCGCCTTCCTCAGCACCTCCTCAGAGGCCCCCACTCAATGGCAATGCAGCTGCCTTCACCAAGCATAAAGCAGACTGAGCACAAGTTCCTGTATACACTTGTCCTTGATCTGCCCAGCTCGCGCACCCGTGATGCTGAGGGAGATGCCAAACGTGTTGCCGCCGGCCTTGCCCTCGAAAACGCTGACAATGACGCCCGCAGTCAGCATTAGTAACGCCACCAGCTCCGTCCTCGTTGGCACCTTCCTCTCCACAAACACCGCCACCGCTGCCACCACCACTGGCATCGATGCCCTGTGACAGCAATCCCAGCCAGCTTCACTTTTTTGCTCACTACTTTTTGCTTTTTGCTTTCTGCATTTGACTTTTGGCTCTATTTTCTTTTTTTATGTGCTGGTGCAGCATTGGAACTTTGGCTTCACAGCTCTGTACGCTCTGAATGCTCCCCTGAAAAGACCAGCTGGCTGCTGCAAGGATTTAAGTCAAACAGTGCTCAAGCGCTTATAACAGATACTGGGTAGCCCCAAACTGGCTGCAGGCCACCAAGGCCTTTTTCGCTGGTACTACTCTGGCCATGGAACTGATTCGGTCTGTATGGGTGCACATATAGGACAACTTGTTAACTCTGTGCCCGCGACTGCTTCCAAGATAAAGTTTGGGCAGCCATCGTCCCATCTGCCCTGTTGTCTGACCTCCAAGGTTTACTGAAGTCTCATTAACATGAGAGATTGTTGCGTGCAAACGTCTACCACATAAGTCAAACATCTGTTGCTGCAACTGTTCCGCAAGCTCACCTGATTACTTGGTTGAGGGACAGGGATATCTGGACCAGGCTGAGATTGTTGAGGCTGACGTTCAGGGCCATGAAGACTCCTATGCAAATCAGCCCCTTGTACTGCCTCGACAGCGTAGCCCGATGTTGCATCTTTGTCGACGCCACCATGATGGGCAGCAGCACCACGAAGGCGAACATCATGTGACAGATAGTGAGCAAGATCGGGAAGGTGAAGCCGTATATCCCAAGCGCATATCTGTTCATCATGTTCAACGATGAATTGAGGGATATATAAAGTGCTATTAGGACAAAGTACTCAAAGTACTGCGTCCATCGCGCCCGGCCCCCTTCCATCAGGCTGCTCGGCTTGTCCAACGGACTGCGAATGCTGCCCGGGAACTCGCTGCGATGCTACACTTTGCACCTGAGAATCATATTGATTGTCAATAAACAGACATACAAACCTCCACAGGGAGCTTAGGGAGGCAGATCGCGACGGTAAAGCTGTTCAGCGGACCCAGCGATCACGACGCCCAGTCCCCTTTCGGAAGAGTCCACGTTCTAAAGCGGCGTTCATTTAAAGTTGTCTTTTTCGTTGCATGCGCCTTGGATTTACCTTCCATTGCCTTGGATGTCCTCGTTCACTTATCGTATAATACCATAGAGTCAGACAGAGAAGATACGCCTGTCAACGACGTCTCTTTGGACGTGAAGCTTCGAACAGCAAAAGGAAACACAACCAATTTTGACCTGCAGAGGGCAGCATATCGTCCCGTATAAGATTACAAGGAGTGTCAATCGATGGATCAAACATCTGTCGCCCAGGCGAACGCCGCTCTTGATATCGTGCACGAAATAGCAACTGTGCTCGACACTGGATTGGACAAAGAGGAAGTGGCAATCTTGATTGCGCTCGTGGAGAACGGAGTAAATCCAGAGGTGCGAAAGTAGACATTCTGGACTTCATCAAAGAAATACTTTGATCTATTATCTGTTTCATGCAAGACTTCTTCTTACCAAATAATTCATAAGTCGAGGATTGCAAGATGCTTGGCAGGCACTGGCTGAGGTGGTGAAAGAGCTGAGACGTGAGTCTGCGGCACTGAGGGCAGCCGAGGAGGATTCCAGGGCGTTGTAGTGGGTCTCTCCCACTTGATAGTGACCCCCAGACCAGGGATGTCTCGAACAAACACTTTGGACCAAACGCAATTTTATGGCGCCTCGGATGGCGGACCTCCGCCTGGTGCACCCGCAGTGCCACAGGTGGCTTTACATGTCCAGTATCTCTTACATTTCTTCACTCGAAACCCCAGGTTTGACTGCAACCTGCCACAGCAATGGCATGATCACATTATTGCAGCATCATTCTCTTGTTGGTATCCTCTGCAATCTGTCAGTTCTTACGCTATATCTCTTTCTATTCGCTTGAGTAGCACATGCTATCACATGTGGACAGTACCTTCCTGCAGGTCAGATTGCAGGGGCCTTTGCCTCGTGCAAGCCCCCGCTGTGACTGACCTTCTTGATTACCACAGCTGCCAAAAGCACAGGCATGCACGCAAAGGGAGTATTATATAGTGCATGTGCGCGCAGGTGCCTCTGGTGGGGGCGGTGGGCCAGGAGTATGTGCACAACGTGCTGTCATCGACAGATCCTCAGAGCGCTCTGAAGGAGATCCAGCGGCGCGGCGCGTTCAAGAACCGCCGCTGCGAGCCGCTGCTGCGATTGCTAGACCATCTGGGCGCCAAAAGGTGAGCACGTGCAATCACCTCACCGGTTGGGTGAGTGCTGACTGAGGCAGTGTGATATGGCAGTGCAGCTTATTTGGTACTGTAGTGGTGTCAGCTTATGCTATGGGAACAGCCAATGTCAGTACTGCTTTCCCAGCCACTTTTGGAAGTGTTGCAGGAATAAATAATTGCGGGAGCAGCTTGCCAGCGGTGTTGGCAACAATGCAGCTCTTCCTGGTTAGCCAGGGACCTGCCTAGTCAGTATTGCTTTGCGAGCCAGTTTTGCTCGTCTCTGAAGTACATGTATTGCTGCCTCTGGCTGTAGAAGCCAGAGTCAGCGCTGGCTGGGACCAATACACTTGTTGCACGAGGCCCTCCACAGATCTAAAAGAGGGGTACTGTGCATGTGACAGGTCTGACACGACGCAGCGAGTGCTGGATGCTGCAAAGCGGCGGCTGCTGGAAGCTGTGCCCAAGCTTTCTCCCGAGCAGCTCACATCACTGCTGGAGGCCAGCTTCGCCTACATAGGTAACTATACGCCTCGTTTTGCCCAAACTCGGTACACTAGTTGTGATCAGCACACTAGTTGTGATGCTGTGAAGCAAAATTGTACCTGCTCGTGAGGATCATCTGCTGCGTTCGCTTGTCAGCATCAACACACAATTGCCCTCCGTCAGAGTCACGCCTCACCTTCTGGTGAAGAAGTGTTCTTGTCAGCACATTTCTTCTCGCAGGATTACTTACGGGTCAGGGAATGTGCTAGTGCACTGTCTCCAATGCCTGCAGAGCCTGCATGTACAACACACAGGAGTCAAAAGGAATGCAATCGTGAGCAGAAGGAGACATTGAAGATTGCTGACGATCGTTATAGATGCCAGACTGCGCCTTGGAAGCACAGAGGATCACCAAGCATCCTGTGCATGCGCGCTGCTGCCAGGGATGTCTGAGAGCACAGCACGGTCTTTCAAGCTTATATGGAGTGACTGATCGCGCATGAGTTCTGTTTTCACATGATCACTCTCCGATCCCTTATGACATGTGTGCGCATGTGCCTGCAGGTCTGCCGCAGCTGCGGGAGGTGCCTCTGGCGGTGCTGGGGCGCCTCAAGCCGGTGCCCGCCGCTTTCCTGAAACAGCTCGCCACCGACAAGGAGCTTTTCCATGACCTACCCCAAAACGTGCAGCAGGAGGTGCGAGCCTCCGCTCAGCGGCACTTAATGTAGCCAGTTCCTAAGAGTGTAATGCTCAATCTACAACCCGCACGCCCGGCGGTGTGGGAAACTTGTCAAAGCAACTTTCCTGCGTCTTCCTGACTCCAAAATTGCCAGGGTCATGTTCCATGGATTGGACTCGTCGAGAACTTTTCAAATTTGTTCTCAAAATCATCTTTGTGTTTGGGAGATAGGGTCTAATTTATCCACCTTTCTCAGCCAAAAAAATATTTATTTGAAGCGGATTTAAGTTTCAGCACTACAGTATATTTTCCATTGTGTTGCTGCATGGAATGCGCTCTGGAACAAATTTGCAGTGTAGGGTGGATACCGGAGGGGTTCGAGAGACTCTAAATGCTTATGTATATCTGCAAGGGTACAGCCCCTACACACCCGCCCCACTGATGCATGTCAAACCGATGCGCTCTTTATGGGATTCTGGCAGGGTGTTTGCACTTAGGCAATCAGCGGTATAAGATGGGCAGTAAACGAACAAAAGTATGTCCGAATCAGTGAGTGTGGCACGGTGAACTCAGTCACGGTGAACTCAGTCACGGATCAGGCGCTGTTTATGACATGCAAAAACTCTTTACGCCTGTCAAGGAGCCCCCTGCAACAGCGCAGTCATGTGAGGGTGCGGCCTTGCGTGCATGGGGCAGGCCTTTTGGTGTCGGTGCTGTCGCTTTGGGCATGCGGGCAGCTGTCATGACGTAACAGGTACTTGCAAGCATGGCGACTGGTGGCGGCTGGACTCAGCTGACTAGCCCATGTTCTACAAAGACCTTCTGTTCAGAGTGGTTGGAACTGATGAGTGGATTTTTTTTAATGGGTCTGAATGTGAATCTGAATTAGTGGGCGTCTTGTGGGGGATCTGCGCAGGTGTGGGAGCTGGACAGGAAGCTGCTGCAGCAGCACGCGCTTCCGCTGGTGGAGAGGTACACCTGGGAGACCGGCACCGTGCTTAAGGCTCTCGAAATGGACGAGTTTGTGCCGCCCGCGCCCGGCAGCGGCCCCGGGCCGCGCGTCGCACGCCGCATCCAACGCTCCGGCAGGTGCGCCGTTCAATTCCCTGCACTTTTCCCCCCCTTTTTTTTACTTTTTGTGTTGTGCACTGTTGTGCGATTCATATACTGCACACCCGGCAGCGGTCCCGGGGCGCGCATCACCCGTTGCATCCAGCGCTCCGGCAGGTGCGGGTCTACGCGGCACTTCTCAATCATTAACCGTTGCAGGTCATGGGGCTCATGTGCGTTCCAGGGTCCGTAGGTGAGGAATATCATCCCAAAGCATGCAATCGGCAGACGTACTGACTTGCTGCGCTGGTTGCAAGGCTCGCACTTGCCAATGTCTGAGGCAATCGGGTCTGCACATTTTTTGGAGCTGGTGCAGAGCTCATCTTCACGCAAACATTCAACGCGAACCATCCGAAGCCGGCCTGTGAAACCTCCCCACGCCTGTCTCCTTTGCAGCACCTCGCAAACCCTGTCTTGCCACCTGCTGATATTTCCTCCATGCGCGCAGCCCGACGCTGAAGAAGCTGGTGGCAATGGTGGGCCGCTCGCACGCCATCTACCGGGGCATAATGGACCTGTGCTGCGTGCGGCTGAGGGACAGCGAATCGGCGTACTGCGGGGTGAAGGAGGCGGCATACTGCTCCCTGCGCTCGCAGCTGCTCATGGCCGCCCACGACGCCAACATCGTCGAACTCACCTCCAAGGTGTGTGCTTCCTCCTGTTCTTCCGTTTAATTCTCCTGTTAATCCTGCCATTCAGGGATGCTGTAAAATGCCATTAGCCCTCGGCAGCTGCAGGTCATTCATTGCAGAGGGTGCCTTTCACAGCACGCGCTAATGAACATTGAAGAGCTGCGCATGGCCCACACGGTGAAGAGCTGTGTACTTTGGACAATCTTGGTTGCATGAGGAGTATTATAGGCCGTGCTTAGGCAAGGTATGCATGCAAATACAGGCCTGCTGTGCGGCAGTGCCGGTGTGCACTTACAAGAATGAGCTCAACCAGAGCCTCACAGTGCCTCAGTGCCAGCTGGAAAAAGATGGTGATACAGCAAGTGACAAAATATGACACACGGCTTCTGCGCCGCGTGGCCGGAGCCAGTGCACAGGCTGGCATGCATGCCAAGGCATTCTGGGACCTATAAGGGAGCCCATGGTCTGCACATATTGTTACTCGAAAAGATGCGCGACGGTAGAGATGCAGCAGTGATGATAAATGATGACTGATATATTGTCATGCATGCGCGCGCGCAGGAGCCGGTGCACAAGCTGGCGTGGACGCTGGACGCCTGTTTGAAAGATCGGGTGATTGACGGCCGCCGCCTACGCGAACTCACCCACTTCCTCTCCACCTTTGACCGCCAGCAGGCCGCCCTCGCTGCAGCAGGTGACTCATTGCTTTGTCACCATTACTAGCAGCACCTCAAGTTTCGGGTGCAGTGTTTTGTATCCTAGAACAGGGCATGAGCGCTGCACAGGGGGCGTGCCCTCCCTCACTCCTTTGCCGCCCTCGGGAGAAACAGTGCAGGGAGGTTGATATTTAACAAGATACAGCAGTGATGTTGACGTTGACCACCTCAATGTGTCCAAGCCTGAGAGGCTGTGAGCTCTGGAAGTTTTTGATGTGATGGCAGAGGGAAGCTCCCCATAGAGGGAAGTATGGCCACTCATTGACCTCCTTGCAGCATCAAAACAGGCTTGACTGATAGGTCTTGTTACAACAGGCGATAGTAGATGCTGCAAGAAGGGGGATTCTCCCTATGACCTGACTCTACAATCATGCCAAGCAAACAGTGCCTGGAAGTCAGCAAGGAAGCTGCAGACCCAAAGACAGTTGCTGCGTCACCGTTACATAGGAAACGGCGGCTGATATAGCATCGGTTACGCAACGCTTACTCTACAGCGCTCACAGAATATGAACACAACAGCGTTTACATAGCTGCTTACGTACGGGTCACTGACCGGGTCACATGTCTCGCAGCGGCACCCCGCAACTGCCTGACCTGTTCTGCTAATATCTGGCACCAAGGCACGTGGGCTGACTTGTTGACTGAAATGACTCGCAGCGCGCAAAGCGGCTCCGCGCAAGCGCGGCCGGGAGGGGGTGGCGGACGCCGAGAGCATGGGCGCGCCCGGACGCAGTACCAACGCCGGGGCAGAGCCGCTGCGCGCGCTGGCCGATGCCGGCATGGTCCTGCGCGACCCCTCAGTCATGCACCTCATCATCCATCACGTGCGCGACCTTACATGCCCTTTAATTGCTTACAGGCAAAGGATACCCTCTGGGTGGGGGAAGGGTCATGAAAGACAGCAGATCGACGGCTGCGGCACCTTGGTCATTCAGGTATCATCTACCGCGTGAGAATCTGACCCCTGCTTCTACTCGGGTCCTTGTGGACCCGTTAGGGAAGTCTTTCGGACCCTTAAGGCACCCATTGACCTCTAGGTGGGGCGGACTATCAAGACCTGGAAGACACCTCATCATGCTCCAAGTCCGCGCATGCCTTCCTGCTTCCTGCGCTAGTTCTGGACAGTGAAACTTAAGGGATGCAGCACTGGGAAGTTCCAAGGCAAGGGTGTGGACACCTTGGCGTCCACTCTGTGTACTCACGACACTGTAGGGGCGGTGAATGGGTTAGGGCGCTAAAGTGAAAGTCCACCCTCCAAGTGCAACTCTGCTTATGACAGGGCACCTGTTTGTCAGTCGACGGCTGAGCTGTAGCTGTCTGTGCTGCGCAAACCCCACGCAGGTAGGACAGACAGCTCGGGCAGTGATGGACGAGCACTTGAGCCATCCTTGCCTGTGCAGAACAGTAACACTGCTTTATGAGCCCCTTCTCATCTCCTTCCTTTTTATGGCCACATGAGCATTAATGCTGCTTATCATGAGCAACACTGCGCCTCCATTCTTTGACTGACTGTTGTGCTCGGTCCTGACTTCACAGCAGTCCTGTCGCAGGTGCTGAAACTGAACTGGATGCAGCCAGCCTCGCAAGGCATCGGTATTTTGCTGATCCGTTAGACATGTCTGTCCTGACTTCACAGCAGTCCTGTTGCAGGTGCTGAAACTGAACTGGAGGCAGCCAGCCTCGCAAGGCATCGGCATTTTGCTGATCCGTTAGACATGTCTGTCCTATGAACGTCCTCTGCTCTGATCGCAGAGACCATAGTTGCACCATACGGGTTCGGCCATACGGCATACGGTGAATATTCGGTCGTATATTCGGTCTTTTGGGCCAAAATAGGCCGTTTTTGACCGTATTCCGTATGACCATATATTCGGCCGTATATACGGTCCCCAAAAAGTGTTCTGACCGAATGGTGCAACTTTGGCTGAGACAATCTTTCCCGCTGTCAGGTGCTGCGGCGGCTGGAGAGATTGGTGGAGGAGCAGGCTGTTCCTTCAGAGGATCCGGATCTGGCGTTCCTGACTCGGCTGCTGCAGCTTGCCGGCGGCTGCCGCGCCATGCTGCGCCAGCGGAAGTGCGCGCACCCCTGGAATTAATTTAATTGTTTGTCCCCCCCCCTTTCAGGGTTGTGGCACCCTAGGGTTAGGTTGTCCCAACTGGAAGAGCGTGAGGGCGCTGAGCAGTGTGCTCTGCTAGAGGGCTCTGCTGGACCTTCTGTAGCAAAGGAATTAATTTAATTGTTTGTTCCCCTCCTTTCAGGGTTGTGGCACCCTAGGGTTAGGCTATCCTAGTTGGAAGAGCATGAGGGAGCTGGGCTGTGTTGCTCTGCTAGAGGGCTCTGCTGGACCTACTGTAGCAAAAGAATGGTGTTTGTCTCAACCCAATAATTGGTAATTGAGCCTAAGCTCAAACTATGTGGGAAACTATGCAAGGTGCAGAGAGCTGGTCTCTTTAATTGCGTTACTCTTGCCACGTTACACACCGCAGACGCATGCAGCGGCAGCGCTGTTAAGCACTTTGCATGGTGTCAGGTCACGGACGCTGAGAGAGAATGGTGAATGGCGCACATTTGACAATTGAGGTCCCTTGCGCAGCCAACTCCGAGAGTCACCCTCATGGGATTTATTCTGTTGGTCCTCTGAGACTCCTTCGCGATGCTGTCTGCAGGTACAGCTTCCCGGCGGCTGACGCGGATCTGCTGGGCACCTTCTACCCGGAGCTCATTGGCTGCATGCTCGAAATGCAGGACGTGGACGATGACTACGTCGACGGTGCGACTACCCTCTTACTACCAATGAGTCATGTTAAAGTATTGTCAGCAGGAAGCATGCGCCTGAAAGTCTGTCTGTCCTTGTCTGTTGTTTGATTGCTTGGTCCCAGCAATCGCAAGTTTGGCTGGTCGAATTGACGGACATTCTTGTCAATTGGTCATGCCCACTTGTGGCTGCTGGGAAACAGCTGATCTGACAACTCTCAAGGTATTTGGTGCATATCCTTGTATCACCACAGCCTCGAGGCACTGGCAGTGCTATCCTGCAGTACTTAAAAGGGGCCATCCCTGAACGCATGCAAGCATTCTAGACGCTGCTGGAACCAACATTGAAGTCAAGTTGTCTGGAGTTACAGTCACTCGTCCAAGTCAACAGGGTTGCTTCTGTCCTGCCAACTTGTCCTTGTGAATGCTTCCCTCCTGAAGATTGGGATGTTCACGCATCCACAGTAAGTTTTGCAAATTCTGCGCAGATGGTCGCACGGAGGCGCTGCCCAATCTTATAGGCATGCTGGCTCGCAGCGAGGTCATGCGCCAGGTCACCCAGGTGCCATACTTTTCCCAAGTTCTAGCCTGCCGTTACAGAGCAATGCACAACCTATGTTTCATTGAACTGCATTGACCCTCAAGGGTCAAATTCCACGTGGACTGCCAGAGTTTGGACAGCTGCTCATGCAGCAGGACCAACGGTTGATTCCAGCAGGATGCATATTGCCGTGCAAAGGCAGGCTTGTAATGTGTGAGGCAGACAGGCAAGCCTGAATGCAGAATTGACTCACGTATGACTAATGTGACGCAGGTGCTGTGCCTGGAGAGGGTCGCCGTTGGAGACACGCTGACAGCGCGCTCCCTGCTCGCCACAATCATCCAGGTGCCGCTCAGCTTCCTCCTGGGTCCAAATCCAAATTCAACTTCATATCTTGTGCCCTGTGAATCACATTCGGCGCTCATGTGTGGATGGATCTCTGTTCAGTACTGCTGCATGTTGTCCCTTGCATGCCAAAAACACCGCAGGATGTACAGGGACTCCATGACTCACACGAGTGCTGAAGTGTACCTTCCCCAATTCCAGCACATGGAAGCCAGATTACAAAGGGTACCTTGTGGTTGCCACCAAATTTGAATGCGTTCCAGGCGTTGGACAAGCTATCGGAGGCTGCGCTGGTCGAGTTCGCTCCCTTCGCCGCTACGCTGGCGCAGCGGCTGGCGCGCTTAGTCAGCGGCGGCAGGCTCGCCCCTGGACAGCCGCTTTGGGCCCTTGCCATCGACGGCTTCCTTCTGCGAGCATGCGACACCGAGGGCCAGGTCATCCTTGCATAATCCCCCCGGGTTAATGGCTTGTTTACCCTTGTATACCCCATGTACAATGTGGACATTGACAGCATCGCTATCCTCCTGCGCGCTTGTGACGCTGAGGGGCAGATGGTGCTTGCATAATCCTCCAGGGTTTAATAGCTTTTTCACCCTTGAATTCCCCAAGTACAATGTGACATTGACCCCACCGGTTTCCTGCTGGGCGCATGCGACACCGAAGGCCAGGTGGATTTTCTGTTGTAATCCCCCCTGAGGGCATTCAAAATTTGTTGCTTACCAACACGTAATTGACCCAGGGACCTTGCAAAATTGCGCTCAAAGCGGTGCCCAGTGTTCTCAGGGGTTGTCCGATCTCCTGAGCTGGCTGTATTCTTCTGCATGGAATTCCAGGAATGTCTTACTTGGGGACATTTCTCACTGGTTTTTCCTGGGTATTTGGACCCTTTGGATCTCTTTGCGATCTGTTATGCAGCGTGCAGGACGTGCTTGGGTACAATTGGCTTTGATGCACTGTTGCAGCCAGGGCGTGGCTTTGCCGCTATCTTTGAAAAGTCACAGTGGCCCCAAATAGCTGGCCCGGTTGGGTTGCAGGAAAGCCCTGGCTCAGCAGAGGTACTCAAATGACAATGCAGCCGTGGGGTGATGACCGCTAATTCCGAGCTGTCGAAGGTCTTCGCCTCGCTAGCGAGCTCAGGGGAGGTCTACTCCGACAAGGTGGATCTAGGGGCAGAAGGGATTTCCTCCTTCTCTTCATATGAACCGACTTGAGCGGATGACTAATTTTGCACAGGTGCATGAGGAGGTGCTGCGTCTGCTGCTGGCAGCGCTGCCTAAACTGGACACCGCCCAGCTGGCACACTACCTGCAGGAAACCCTCAAGCACAGCCGCAAGTCACGCAAGTGCGCAGCCTGTATCTTCCGGTCATCGTGCCTGAAATTTCATGTTGTTCTTGTTCCCCTTGATGTGGATCACACATGCCAGATGCATGCACTGTGTCTTCAAACTTGGGGCGTTTCGTCCGTTCCAGTGAAGGGTATCCCGTTCACTTTTTTTGCTTTGTCTCTTTTTATGTGTTGTCTGATGGCAGGAGGCCTTGCTTGTTTTAGGATGCTTGGTGAAGCTGTTTCCACTGGAATTTCCCAGTCTGTCTGTCTGCGCATGGCAAATTCTAAACTAGCTTGCTAGATTGGCGCATGTGCAATTCTGTGGTCCAGTCGGCCAGATTCCTCAGGCCTGCCTTCCAGCAGCGATCCCTGAAGAAAAATGGTGTATCCTCTTCTAGCGCCATCCCTTGGAGGCTGCCGCTGCTGCTGCTGCTGCTGAGCAGAGGTCTGGTTGACCTGGTTGGACTGGATCACTGAGGGCACTTTCTGCCACTCCAATATATATATATATATTTTTTAGGGTTTTGGGTTACCCTAAACCCAACCCCAAACCCTAAAAAAAAATAGGCATGGTTTCAGGAGTTGCCTGACTGACCTTCACTGGTGTCTCCCTGGCGATTATTGACAGTGTTCTGCGCACTCTGCTCAGGCGGACGAAGCGCCGGCATGCAGAGGCTGATGGATTGGATGAGGCGGTGGCGATGGCCGGCTATGAGACTGCCGGCTACAGCGGCTACCACTCCTCAGCCACTGACTACTACCCTGGTGCGCATCACACCTACTCGCTGAGCTTTCTTATCTTTTGTCGTGTTGCAGGGACTGCAAATTTTCTCCTATCTTCGGTCGCTTGCTTGATCCCTGCATGCCTCTTCCTCAGAAGAGTGTGTGTGAGAGATTGATGTGATTCTGTGCCTGGTGTGATGGGTTACATTTTGTGAGATCGCTTGCCCCGCTTTGATGTCATCTGAGGCCATAAGTCCATAGAATCACACAAGAATCAGCCAAAAAGGCATGTGTCCCGTATGTCAATACAGATCTTGTCATGTGCTATCTCTGGAATGAGGAAGAGGAGCTAGAGATGCAGGCCTACTCTGCAATGGTTTGGGGTGATTTCAAGCGCTGGTCCATGCACAGACGGATGCATTTGTGCCATCTTCATTTGTGCTTGACCTCTGTCTCCTTGTTCACGCCCCAGGCTCTATCAAGGCGTCTTTCTTCATGCGTGCTGGCAGCTGCAGTCATTCGAGATTTGCATCCAGTACTGGGAGTGCGTAAGGGTGTGGTACTTGAGATGCAATGAGAAGCGTAAAAATACTAGGCTGCAGATTTTTGGCCGCGCATATGTGGCTGCAGGCACCCTGCGTCTATGCCCTGCCTGCCTGCCTATAAGTTTTGGGTTTGCCAATCTTTCTATGATGCATGTTTTTTCCTGTAGGCTTCAGTGATGCGCGCGGTAGGGATCGCCCCAGGAATGCCGGCGGCGACAACGTCAAGTTTCTCTACAAGGAATTTGTGAGACACAAGCCGGGGCTCAATGCCGCCAACGCACCCCACCTCTTCGAGTACCTCAGCCCCGCAGCAGACACAGCTGCTGCAGAGTGAAAAGCTGAGTCCGCACACTCTGTATTGCTTGGGAAAGAGGCGCTGCTGTGTGTGCATCAGGAGGGATTGTATTAATGATAGCTCCTGTCTGCTGTGTACCTGATTGCAGTCATTGTACTGCATTTATTTGGGCACTTCAGTCCAGCTGCTTATGGCGCCGTTGCAGAGTGACAGAGGTTCTAGAATGGTCACCTGCAAATTTCATATGATTTAGACCCATCAGAGGGCAGAAAATTCACGATAATGCTGAGTACAACGAACGTCCCTTATCTTTTTGAGAAGTATGTGTGTGCACAGTTCTGCGGCAGCAGGTGCAGTTGCAGAGTGATAACAGAATTTTGCAGCCTGCAAAAATGCTGGGCTTGGCGTAAGCACCTGCGGTGACCATTGCCAGCTTTTTCAACGTACAATTATAAATTTTACTTATTTACATAATAAGACCCTAAATCCAACATTAGGGTGCTGTTCACTTGCACACCGCCGCCAAGAAAAGCACCTCCAGGAAACATTCGGTCCTGCCGTTCATTGATGACAGGTGATGTTCAGCAATGCGGATACATAGGAATCTTAATACGACAAGGCATACAGAGCCATGTTGTTCTTAAACTGATTCGGATCAACATGACGCAAAAGCACATCTGCACATCTGATACGCGTAAGATTATACGCAAGCACCATTGCTATAAGCAGCAACCATTTTAAAAAGACAGTTGTTCTGCCAAGACCTGTAGGGGCTAGTCTGCGCACCAATACGGCATGTCCTAGTGTTATAATCAAAAACCCGCACTGCAATGTCCTAAAGAAACATGAGAATAAAATGATGCATCTGCAAAAGAACCTGAGAAATCACAGGCCCACCCATAATCAAATTCTAGCTGTTATCTAATCACTGGCACGCCCAGACAGCCGTCATGATGTACATGTCTGGCTGCACTTGAGTATTCGCCGAGCTTCACACGTTCACAATGCAGCAGCACCTCTTGCGTCTCCTGTGGATCTATCCTAGATCGCTGAAGAGCACAGGTTTGGATGTCAAGTGCTTTCCCGAGGTCATTTGACCCTCACCATGGTACTCACCCCTAAATCACAATGTATCATCCCTTGTAGCTCAGATCACAGGGGGTTATAAATCTAACTAATGTTAAATATAGAACCCCCTGCAATTCAATGGGGTGTGGTTCAAAACCTAGCTCTAGATCCCAACTCCTCGTATACCTCAATTGAGCAGGGTTTTGTCCCAGTCTCTGTTCACCCCTAGTGCACGGGGATGAGTCGTGGCTCTGTCTTAAACTTAGCTCCTCACTCCCAGTGATGCAAGTTGCGGCATCACCCCTGGTTCAGCAGGAATTTAGCAGGTTTTGCTCATCCTCAAGAGCCCAACACCCCTTATCCATGGGGTGGAAGCAGGAAACATTGAGGAACCTATATCAATCACCCCTGGTGGATGAAACGGGGCTCGGTCCAGATGGGCGGCTCGCGGTTGGGCTGACCGTAGTTACGGGGCGGCAGCACTGCATCTACGGTTTTCACTGATGCCATAGCCACCTGCTGCCCCAGCGCCACTGCTCCGTAGGGGTCCATCACACTCGACAATGCGTTCGTACTCGCGCAGCCCTGTGACATGAACGTGACAAACGGTATTAGTAATCCCATGTGTTACTAATCTGTGCTTCAGATAGCTTGAAGAGGCTGCGCAAAGGGTCAAATCTAGGGGAGAGCATGGTCTGACCGGGTACGATACTGATCTGTCATGCAGCAATGGGCAGGATACGGGCATCTTATCCACTGATTAAGCTAAAATCCTGGCCAGCTAGCTGCCAAGGTAACTGGTGTGCAGTGCAAACCTTTTTGTACACTGACTCTGGCGTGAAAAGCGGGTAAAGCCCTCGGATCATGGGGTTTCAATCGCTTAGTCAAAGACAACTTCCAAGTCATTTTTACAGAACTTTCAATCTGGTCAGGACGGTGTTAAAATCATGTGAGGAAGAGGGGTGAGCATACGTCGCAGGTGAAGAGTGGGTCCGAGCAGCCGCCGAAGCTGAAGGAGGTGCAGAAGAACTGCGCGACCTGGGTGGAAGTTGGTGTGCCTGGTACGGATGCTGCGCGCGGGCCGAGGTACCACAGCATCGCTCCCCCGCCGTTGTTGGCCTGCGATTACATGGCAAAGCAAGTAGTCAGTGCTGTCCGCGGCCTTATAAAGAGCCCATTGTGGCCCAGAGAGCAGTTGCCCGTACCCCTGGGCAATCCAAATCATTCCAGAAACCAGCACATGTGCCGGGGTAGTCTTTCACTGGTGGAACTCACATCCCAAGACTGTCTAGCAGGGTCATAATGGGGTGTCAAGATCGCCGAGTTTTTGATGCCACTGCTTCACAAAAATGACCCATGCAAGCTTGCCCATGGAGTGCACAAGGAAGGCCGCTGAGCTAGCATGCCTCATATCCTGCTCAGCAGCGAGACCTGCTGCTCCTTTCACAGCCCAAGGATGCATTCTCAAGAATACTATCTCAAGGAGAATATAATCTGAATTCTGACAGGGGAGATGAGCGTACGTTGAGCCAGTTGGCGTAGGTGGTGAGCTCGTTGTAGGACAGCTGGTGCCCGCAGCACTCCAGCTGACTGGACACTCCCAGCACTATCTTGCCGCTGAACAGCCCATTCAGCGCCAGCAGGGCCTGCATGAAGGAAGAATCACACATCACACACCAGATCAGATGAGTGCAGGTAATTTCGCTCCCAGGGCAGCAGATGTTTTGGCAGCATTCCTAAATACAAAATAAATATGTATAGCACAAGAAAGTAGCCCTTTGGGCATCTAGAAACCCAGCTTGCCGCACACTTGAGCAATCAAATTTCAGACCTGGTCATCTGACAACATCCACTCTTTGACAAAAACTTGCTAATAGAGACACAGGCAATTAAGCTGCAAATGTGTGGTTTATTAGCAGTTCTCTACAAGCTGGGCATGCATGCAGGATGACCGGACCTTTACAGCAAGATGCCTAGAAGGCACAGCTGAGAAAGTGGAGCGGCCAACGTTTAGTCATACCTGGTACGACTGGTAGGCGGTGATGGGCGAATACTGGTTGTCTGCATCATAGCTCATGATGTTGATGAGGTCCAGCTTGTCTCCCTGAATCTTCAGGGGGTTGTAGGACATGCCTGCAGGCAAAGTCACACCATTTCATTCTCCCGGGGTCTCACTGATTCCTTGGCATGTGCATCAAGTAAGAGCAAGCGCTGATGAGGTGGGGTGTCAAGATTGTCATGCCACATGGGCTTACATGGCAGGCATTGACTGGCATGCAGACCTGTCAGGTGCTTCCAATGGACCGTCATATATTTGTTTTTGCTTCGGCGCAGTCATTCCATGAAGAGCGGGTGACACATCATGATGAACACACATGCAGCCATTGTGGGAAGGGCATATGATGATGATGATGATGATGATGATGATGATGATGATGATGATGATGATGATGATGATGATGATGATGATGATGATGATGATGATGATGATGATGATGATGATGATGATGATGATGATGATGATGATGATGATGATGATGATGATGATGATGATAGTTATAGTAGGGCATTATCAATCGTTTGATACTCACCGGTGTGGGTTCCAATTGGCTGTGCTGTAGCGTAGTCTCCCCAACCGTAAGCACCTGCAAGGACCAATGCAAGGGTTGGCAATTTGCTAGAATCCAAAAGCAGCCAGCTGGAACCTGCACGCAGCCTGCGTGAGAGGCCTAACTGCACTCAATGCTGTGGCATGCAAACCCATCGCTGATGATTCTTGCATGCTTGCACTGTGGAGGGTTGCACTGGGGCAAGCATTAAGTTGAGCTATTGGTCATGAAAACAAGAGGTTGGGTGGTACTTTCACTGATGTTGGACACGCGCACGAAAGCTTGCTTGGGGAAGTAGTTAATGGAAGGTTAAGTAATCCTCTGGGGGCTAGGTATCTAAACAATTTTCTGCTTGTTGTGCTGGCAGACCCTGCAGTGTGACTTTCTGTGGGTTCAGGCAAGGAAAAGGGATCTGCGGAGTAGTTGCAGCTATCAGAGGGCTGGTCTCGCACCAATGCTGTAGGCAGCGAGAGAGACGATGATGGGCCGGGGCAGGGCAGCGCGGATGCTGGAGATAACATTGGTGAATTCTGCGTCGCTGGTGCAGGAGGGCACGTCGTTGGACGTCGTACAGGACACACTGTAGAGAAGCACACGTACTGTCAGGGTTGAAGAGGACCTTTTGTTTTTTTTGTATGCTTGCGAAGTCTCTACTGAGCCCCTTACCCAGTCTCTGGCCTTAATCAACCTATGTCACAAACTTCCCTAAGGGAGCATCTACTTTGTGCTGTGACAGCTCTACAAGTTCAAATGTGAAGGCAATCGCTGATTTCAGAAATTAAAATGCACTTTGGTCAGTCAATCCCCATGCTGTGCCCAACTCTGTCAAAAAATGTGGGCAAAGGGCAGCAATGAGCATGTGCAGGGAAGCTTCACCTGTCAAATGGTGGTTCGTAGTCAATGTCGACGCCTGCACAGGCATGCAAAAAGCTCTTTTAAGCTAAATTCTCTTAATCAACTCGGCTTGTAAGCTGAAGATTCACTCTCAACATTGCATATTTGGTAAGCCTCCAGGAAACACATCATGGCACATGGCCGCAGAGTTGCAGTATGCTGCATGTGAAGAAACAGCGAAAAGAGATGCGAAGGTGAATTGAAGCACTTGTATGAAGTCAGGTCAGGTGCCCACCATTGAAGCCCATTTCCTTGACGAAGCTGGCCAGAGCGCCGGTGTTGAGGGCCGTCCTGAAAACAACAGACAAATTCAGCTCAATTGGTCATCTACCGTCTTCATGGCTAACAGGTCAACTATACACGGTCAGCTCCTGTCCTGTCAATCTTTGTCCAGTCGTCACGTGTCCAGTCAGCCATGGCAGCGCTGTGCAGGACATCTTCAAGACAAATGGAGGCAAGATGGCTCAAACCAAGCCCACACTGGAGGGACTTCGCAGCTGCTCTTCATGAAACGCAGAGTGCAATTTGCATCCAGCTTGACAGACCAGCTACTAAGCTTGTTTATGTTGGTAGTGATAAGAATGATCTTTATGAGTGGCGAACCCAGAGTCCAGAGGGCCATAAAGCATACACAGGTCCGCCTGCAGCCGTAACCCAAGGCCGATATGCACAGGCTTGCAGACTTGACCAAATATATTTATTCTTTGAAGTTGCATAGCATTGACTGCGCACCACTTGGCGTAGTTGGCACCTCCCACAGCGATTAGCACTCGCGTTCCTGCGCAGAGGAATGTCAAAATTAAGTATTTCTGATGCAAGCCTCCAGCAAGGGGGTGAGATTTTTCAGTTGTTTGATATCCACCCCAAAGTTAGCCGGGACTCTAGACCCACCCACGCATCCCCCCACTAGTTGCCTGTCTTGGCTTGGCTTTGATCACATGACCCCCTGATTACTAACCCAATGGGATAATAATTTATATCACCCCAATTACAACAGCTGCAAGAAAATTGCCTTGGCCCCAAGCAACAACAAGAGTATCCTTTCTGCATTTGTCCTTTTCTTCTAGCAGGTTGTGTGCACGCAAAATAGAGAAAGAGGTATACAGACATCAAGGCAGAGCGAGAGCCATATGATTGAAGAAAGGGCTGCCTCGCAAGTGCATGTCATGAAAAAACAACACAATGACTCCCTAGCCCAGGAGCACGTCAAGACCACATTGCATACTGCAGATTGATCAGGAGAATGATAAGAGAGCGTGCGCACCTTTCTGCTTCAGGTTTGCGATCTGCTGCTTGACTGTGTTGTAGTTTTCGTCCAGGTACTGGAATCCGGTGCCCGCGAACGAGCCCGGGGTGAACGTCATGTCGGGCTGGCAGAATGCCATGATGACTGCGCACATGTGGCAAGTACGTGAGAATAGTAATCTTACGTAAGATATTGCATGCGACACCAGCATGCTGTGAAGGACTACAGCCCCACTACCAGAAGCTCCTCCAATTCAGTTTGTCAGAGACAAGAATCGCAGGAAGTGAATTGAGAGGGCATATTGTCAGGGACTTGTGAACATATGGAATGGCAGGGACTGCTGCAATGAAGTGAAAAAGTTCTGCTCACCTGTTGTTACGTAAGTTGGAATGCCCGACAGGGCTCCCTGTGACGGGTTCCAGTCTCCCCACGAGGCAAAGTAGCCCACATTCTCCTTGGTGCCCACCTGGACGGAAAATAGTACCGCTGTCGGTCACTACCATGGGATGGTGCAGTCGTCTTTACAGCTCTACAGGTTGCGGAAAGGGGGTATACGAGCGACATGTTCTTCCATATGAGCTCGACTCGTATCTACAGCCCTCACGAAAGTCTTTACAGCTCTACGGTTTGCGGAAAGGGGGTGTCCAAGCTTCATGTTGTCCCATATAGCTGATTTTGTATCTACAGCTCCCACGAAAGTCGTAGTGACGGAAGAGCGGGGAGCTTCGGACACCAGATCCTCGGCGGGGGCCACATCGTGAACTATACTTCGACTGCGGGAAGCCTTCCAACCCTATCAGCATGAGTTATGGACACCTCTTACCGTCAGTGCGTACGAGGTAAAGTTTCTGGCAGATATCTGGACCGGCTTCGCTGTGCTGTTGTGGACAGCCTTCGCTGTGCTGTTGTGAGCATCAGCAGCAGCAGCCAATTCTGCGTTGTCACACTGTTGGTAAGACGACACTACCGGGAACTCCTATTCCAGAGCACTTTGTGGAAATATAAAGACCAACGAGATACAGTTAGTGCAGCTTATCCCGTTTCACGGAGGATAACAAGGTCCCTTCCGGCAGATTTGGTAGAAGCCGTTAGGGTGCATCAGGATTTTGCCATATCTTGCTCTTAAAATACGGTGAAAACAGAACAAGTAACCTATATAAAACCACACTCGTCTTCTGTGCACTGTTACAGGCGGAAGGGACGGTGATGCTCACCTCCCTGCAGGGATCCCAGCACCAGCAATGCCAACGACACTAAAGCTGCAGCAGCCATTGCGCTGTGCCTATCTGGTTGGGTTAATTAGACGGTAGATGCTCTAGAACACCCACTGCACTTTTGGACCGACGTTTCCTGGGCACTTCTGAAGGGATGGTGCTTTCCGTCAGAACAGGTGACGGCCTGCGTCCAGCTAGGACAGGCCTCTTCGTTAGAAATATATTTCTAGATACGACTTATTTATCAAAGAGCTTGCACAGTGCACTGCTTCAGTTTGTCAGATTCCCGTCAAACAATGCGAGGCACAAAATCTCGCCGGTCAAGATTTCCCACTGACGAACGATCCCCTTCAGGCAGGGGGTCCGTGGCAGACCGCCAAGGGGGGTTTGGGGAGGGGGACCCCGACCTCAAGCATCCAAAAGTGTGCATGCTTGCTCGACGCAGTAATAAGCGATGTAAAGAGATGAATGCTAGACCTTGGCTGCATGCTGCCTTTAACTCAACACAATATGCACAGTCCATCCCAATAACATGATCTAAATTGAGCGACCTAGACTGGCGTATCGTACTGTGAAATCAGGACAGGGCACGATGGAACTTGAAAGGTGCGAAAAAGACAGCTCCCTTCAACACATGTGAATCCTACATATTCAATAGAATACCAGCACAGTCGCTATGCTGGTATTTGGAAAAACGCGTGCAGAGTTCTCTAGAGCTTGAGAGGCTTCTCTTAGCTAACCGCCGTGTTGAAAATTCGGCAGTGGCAGCTGCCAAGATGGTGGCATTGAATGTCAGCTTCATGCAAAAATGGCAGTGTTGATCAGACCTTGGCATTAGTTAGAGGAAGGCCATGTTTATGGGCGCAAGGACGCAATATTGCACGAAGAACAGAAGCCACTGCACAGCATGCACAGAGCGCAGTGTTCAATATAAGCTCTGATGAGAAAGTGCATCTTTTGTGGGGTGCAAAAACTGGAGGCATCCACATACAGTTGGACAAGGGCGGGAGCATTTATGAGAAGGCAATCTTGCTAGCTGGCAGGATCCATGCAATATCTATGCTGTTCAGGCAGGCGCATGCTCCATGTAGACACAAGCTGTGTTCTGAAATATTGGGAAATCTGCAATTTGTCAGAGGGGGTGTGTCATCAACATCCATGCGCGAATGAGTCTTCTTAATCCCCTGGAGCTTGGCTGGCCTAGAGAGAGGCTCGCGCAGACAACAAGTGTTGCTTTGGAATTGTTTGAAGGCGTAGCTGTACACAGTCACTGATCATGGTGATCTTGATGATACTGGTTATACTCAGTTGCCGCTTGAAAGACTGCATGTCTTTGTGCATCATCAAAGAGCCGGACTGCAATGTAAGGATCCTTTTGTGCTCAGACAGCTTGGTGTTTTCTACTCTGTTCCGCTTACATCTGAAGGCAGACAGCATGGTGTTGTTTGTGACCGCAAGGATGAGGCTGCAGAAAATCCGATTGAAGGCCTCTACCAATCTGGTGGTAGTTTTACGTGAGCAGCGCATGTGTCGTCCTTTGAAATTAGCTGTGGGCATATTGATAAGAGTCGCCTCACAGTATTAGTACCCCAGATGCGTTTGCGAATGCCCTTGGAAGGAGGGGTCTGAAGCTTGTGGAGGGTTTAGGGTTAGGGGCCTCACCCTAACCCCTAAACCTTAAACCCTAAGACGATGTTTTAGGTTCTACACGCATTTATCTGTCCCCACAGCGTGCTGAGCTGAGACGTCTGTCGACAGTCTGTGATTGTCACTGTTGTTGGGACTGCCTGGCCAGAGCCGGCAAGGTGCAGAACGAGACTAAGCAATGACTGGGCGTATTGGGATCTCCGTGAATACATTTGGTTTGATAAAGTCAGCCTTTAGATATTTAATTGTTTGTCAAAAAAAATCAAGTTTTTCCATTTCCCTTGTAAGATCAATTTTGTCATTGACGACGTCTAAATGCCACACGCATGAGCCCTTGTCCACCATGCCTCTGCTTGCAATCTTGCAACAATATTCTCTGGAAAAAAACGTCGTCGTTTTGCTGAAAGTTTGCTAAGGACAATGCAGTCACCCCCGAAAGATGAGTCATAAGAAGTGCCCGAGGGGGCTAACCCTCGAAATGTCAAAGGCTGCAATGCACTGCGTCAGATGCAGGAAGGCAGAATACCCTCAGCGAAGTCGTTCAACCTTTTTCGAAAGGATTTATAAAACCGTCGGAGTAGTGGATGCAATACAAATCGGAGCTAGGGGAGTCTATCAGTCAGCTTGGGCGATGCAGCACACACACCAGGTGCCCCTGCCATCTCCAATTGAAATTTGCATTTCAGAAATATCCAAATGTACATTTCCTACTGATAATAGTCTCTTTGAGCTTTGATTCTGTATGCTTCTGCTGAATTGTAATCCCCTTTCCCATAGATGTAGATGTTGAAGCTCAACGGCACGCTTATTTTCTGAGTTCTCCTCGAAGGTTTCCAGGAACACTTCTACGCGATTTCATGATCGATCCTAAAGAAACCCCACATAGAGTGCGGGCGTTCAAATATTTTTGCAATCTTTACCGCATCATCATCTGCAGTTGGTTACAGATCCCCCAAGAGGCAGGGTTGGCTCATTGCTCAAAGAGGTTGGGTAGATAAACTCAAATATTTTGCCACTGCACAGGTGCTTCAAGCCCAACCCAGGCAGTTACCTTACCTGCCAGAGGAGCTGTGGCAGCACGTCCGCTCACACCTATCCCTCAAGGACTGGGTCAGGGCCAGCGGGGCATGCTTCGCCCTCCACCGAATGCACACTGATCAAAGCTTCAATATCGAACTGGTAGATTGCAAGAGCGTGGGGTCAGCGAAGATGTGGTTGGCAAAGCGTTGGCAAGACGCTAAGACGATAAAACTCACAATTTTGGGCAGAGAGAAGCCCTACAGTTCCAAGAAGGCAACCTTGTACTACCGAGAACTTCTTCTGTACTACCAACTAACAGCCTTGAGGGTTTCAGAAAGTACAGGATCAACGCCTGTCCCGCACTCTGCTGCCTTGCTTCAGATTGAATGCGGCAGTACTGCTCTGCTGCAAGAGGCGCTTCCCAACGCGGGTCATGTTACCATCGTGGAATGGTATTTTGATGGGGAAATGCCAGCAATGCCAAACGTGAAGCACTTCATCACGAGTGTGCCAGGTTCTCAAAGCGCAATTCTGGATACTTTGGGATCTCGGTTGCCTAATTTGCAGATTCTGCATCTTTACTGCGATGAAGAGGCGCTGGGAAGACGTAGTGTTGCTTGTTCCAGCCTTGAGCATCTTTGCTGCGTTGGTTTTGTTCCAGAGTACATTGACGTGCCAGAAAATTGCACCTTTGCTTTCACATGCCCAATGCCGCGCGGTCACCGCACCAATTTTTTCAAGGAGCTGAAGGCTTGGCCTGACGCAAGGAAGGGCCGTATCAGGAGCCTAGAAATTGAAACAGAACGTGAAGAAGATGTCTCGTCTGCGTGGCTTCCAGGGCTTGAGTGTCTAAGTCTGTGGTTCTGGGAATGGTTGAAGGGCAGTGTTGTCTTCCCTCCTCCTTTAGCAGCGCCCCTATCACGCCTTTCACAGCTGCAGATCAGGGCTTCGAGTGTCACTATCCGTTTGCCTTCATCTGTCATGTACGTGCGGATTCTTGCGGAGGAATGCTTGAAGCTTAGCTTTGAGGATGCACGGGTCTCAGCTAACAACATGCAGGCGTTCAAGGTGTGTTATTTGGTCAAAGCGCAGGGGCTGATTGATGGGGACTCTCTGGAAAGGTTTGAAGAAGCTCTGGCTCTGCGCAATGTGTCTCTGACCTGTGAGGTATTTCAAAGCTGGGGATCGTCCTTAACGCGCCAAGAGCTTTGTCTGCAGTTTCCAAGCAGTCGCAGGGATTGTCATTGCAAATGCTGCATTCCATGCTTCCTGAGTGACTCCAATCCTGATGCACAGGAAGAGTGTTGCTGCCCATGGTTAGGTGGCAGCTGGTATAAACGCATGGAAAGGCGTGAAAGGCAGAAGCAAGTATACGTATTTCAAGAAGGCTTATAAGTAATTACGCACAGTCACACTCTTTTGATCTCAATCAGACTGAATGTCCCTCATGTAATCAATCATGCAATTGTAGAGGCTGTGCTTGCAAGCATTTTGCAAATTTGGAAAAGGTCGTAGCATCTACCGTACTCAAAGTGAGTCAGTTGCAAGCAACTGCTGTCAATTTTGACAATTAATGTCACCTGCCGAGAGCCGCTGATATAGACAGCCTTTAGAGCACATCCACCGAGCATCACTAGCTGTGAAAGCTCAACCAACCATAAAGGCTGGCAAGACCTCATGATGGCAAGAATTTCAAGTGATCATACACTGTAGCATACCATCTCAACACATGCATCCCCCTTGGTGCCGGTCCTATTGTCACAATATCACGATGCCAGTCGCATGAAGCCTCTTGACATACTGTAAGTAAATAACATCTGCAAGACTGACGGTGCCCGAATAAAATCCCACAAACTCGCTGCTCACACATAGAAATCGGTCTGCCTTGAAGATGCGCCCACTTGTTTGAGTTTCTTCAGAATGGATGTGTAGTACTCCTGCGAGACGGCACCAATTCTATTTCTCAGGATCGAGCTGTCTCATGTAGCCCACTTAATTCAAACGGCTCACCCTGCTGAGCGCATATAAACTCTGGTTCTTGCAAGTGCACATGGGAATCTTGCGGGAGTTCAAATAACAAAGCAATGCATGTTTTCAGTCAGGCATGTGGCAACTGGACATGCTGAAACACCTTTCCATGCTACGGTATACTCTGCCCCTGATGGAAAGGCGGGCAGTCTCTTCCTCAGACAATTCCCATACATCCGAACCTTTTGTTGAAGTGTCTGTCGATGTAATATCCATACCGCAAGAGGCACGTAGATTGCCAAGCAAAAGCCTGAAATGCATATGTGATTTATTGCCCCGAGAGTGCATGTGGGCATGTGCGCGCACCTGCAGGTAGTCTTCGAGGGTGGTGGTGTCCGCCGGGTTGAGGTCCAGGAGCTTGTACGTCTCTTCCATCGGCGCTGAGAAATTCTCGTTCGACGCCAGAATGTCCGCAAAGGCCTGTGCGCACCAGAACAGACATTTAATGTACAGTGCCCCAACACTTTTCTGACGTACAGTACTCGCCCTAGAGCAGAGATCTTGGGTGACTGGTTGACTCATCGCAACCCTGGTTCCGCTGCTCGACTCAGGGCGTATCTGGTTCGCAGGCAGCTGTGGGACCTTGTCAGTCTGCAGCTTCATTCCCACACAAAGACCCCAGAGCTGGAATTCAAAGGCCAATCTGCACACATCCAGCATGCAAGACTAGGCAAACCCAGCTGCGCCTGCACCTAACTCCATCCCCAAGCCTGTGGAGGGACGAGGCAAGTGGCGCGGACCAGACATTGCCGACATCACTTTCCTGCTCCTGCCCAAGAACCCCCCTTTGCCGAGCTAGTGCACCGCTAAACCTCTGATACTACTTGGGGCGGCCAGATTCAGTGGGTTATCTCATGAAACCTCAGAATGCTGCTGTCTGTCAGTGGGCTGCTGTCTGTAGGTGTGCTGCTCTCAGTAAGTGTGCTGCTGTCTGTAGGTGATTTAAAGTGAGAGGAGAGAGAGGAGGAGAGCTGACCAGGCGGTCTGCTGCGTCGCGTGCCCACTGGAAGCTCTTGAGGAAGCTGCGCGTCGCCTTCAGTAGCCACACCGGCACCTGCGCGCAGCAGCACCCGATCCAAAACATGTCATTGCAAAAATGACTCTTCAAGGGCATCCATGTTCTGCCACAGAAGGCTCGGAACAGCTCTGGGACACGGCTCCTATAATAACCTGCAGTCTCCGCATGTGCTGACCAACTTGTTGTAAACTGCGGGGCGAAAAGTGCTGAACAGTGGAAATGCATCAAGGTCAGTATGTGCACACATGGCACTGACGCTGACCAAGCTGCCTAGCTCTGCAGTAACTCTCTTTCCCAATTCTCTGTCACATCAACTGCACCCCTATAAAAAAGTAGGTTTCATCCTCCCGGACTGCAGCAGATCAACGCTGTGCCCAACTCGAGCGATGTCAGGGGCATGCGGAGACCACAGACAAAGGCTGCTCTTTGAACCAACCTTCCCACCATCGGCCATCACAGGGCTACTTTATCTGCAATGCAAGAATCAGTAAGATTGCACGCACCTCGGTTACGTTGGCGCGTTCGTCCGCGTATTTCTCGCACAGAGCGATGACCTCGGGCACGGTCCACGCCTTGGGCCCCGCGAGAGTGAGCGTTCTGCCAATGGTCGAATCGCTGCGCAGCGCCGCCAGTGTCATCTTCGCCACGTCCTGAGATGACGAGGATCAGTAAGCGTTAGCCAGCGATGAGTCATCGCAGCAATATTTAGGGGTTAGGGCTCTTCCGGACCGTCCATTCTTTGCCACAGGCGGCTCAAAACAGCTGTGAAACGCCGCTTAGGGCAGCCCTATCCTCTGTGTGTAATACACCGTCCGGATTCTTGTTGAGCCAGCCGGGGTTTTCTTATATGACCGGTCTCCCAAGGACGGGTCATAGACTTTCTTGTCGAATAGTACACAAATTGATTGCACGCCTTCTTGCCCTGATGTGTGGCGCTTCCATACGTGCAGACAGGCTGCCTGGCACTGTGTGTGGCCTTTGTGTGGCCTTTCAAAATATTTGCCCGGTTCTGATCCGGCTGCATGAAGTACCCACCAGGCAATTCTACAGTGCCACATCCCATCTCTGGGGAGCAGAAGGCCAGCCAAGTCCAAACTTCCACTGTTATCGGGAAAATGGCAAATGGCAGAAATCACATTTTATCTTTGGTATCTATGTAGATGTGTCACAGGGGGAACCCACCTGTGAGTCGAGGTAGGCGGTCTGTGTCTGGTCTGAGGTCCCCCACACCTGTCTGTCCTCCAGAATAGGCACCGCATAGTTCCCAATGATCGCCTGCGTGACAAGAAAGCAGCGGATGGTGTGAACCCCAAAACATAAAACACAGGAACTAGACAGATTTTACGACGACAACATACGGCTTCATGGATGAACAGGGACTGCCCAATCTTCTGTTGAGAAGCAATGCATCTCATGGAACTGCAAGCCATTGCGCAGGGGTTGTTATTTCAACTGCATCAGCCTGCCATATAAGTGCTGTGTTCTTGCAAGGTGCTACCCAAATACACTGGTTGGCTTGGCACTGACTGAACCACAACTATAGAAGACAGCAGATTCAGCAGATGCATGTTGCTCTGTCATGCATACAAGCTGCATGCAGCTGCGCATGCGTAAATTGAATATCTATTCTGCACGCTTGCTAAATGTTCCCAAAACGCATGTGATTATCGCGCACAGGTTGTATACCACATTCTCGGGTCAGGGGATGTGCGCTGCCATGCATGCCCAAACCCCTGAAAACTATTGATCACTTAGAAATTTAATTAAAATATAGAAATATGACGCACCTGCATGAAGCCGCAGAGGCGGAAGATGGTGTAGTCGAGGCCCGAGTTCTCCAGGAACTTTTCTGAGCAGGACTTGATGAGCATCAGTGGCACCTCCGGGTGGCGCTCCGCGTTGTGGATGCTGAAGAACACATACCGCTGAATGCCCATCGCCTGTGACATGGCAGCAGCATGCTCATTACATCAGAGCATTGCGCAACAGGCAAACTCTAAAAGACCGGAATAGAGCTGCTGCATAGCACATCCGCTGTAGCCGCATGCCTTTACACTCGCTTCCTTTGCCCCAAAATCACAGTCGGGGAGAATTACTCGTCTCTGATCAGCATTGGTGCATGCAGAGTATCAGCAGTCAAGCAGAGATTGTTCATGAGCTGACAGGCACTGCACTATGTAGTTTAATATTGCCTTTTTATTGCTTGTGTACATCTGCTTTTGGCCAGGCCCGCCGCCTCCAGCTAGAGGGCTTGATGGGCTTTTCTCTGCTTGTTCGAGGAGGGACTTCTCAGAAGTTCATTTCACAAAACCATACAATGCCATACGTCCATTTATCAGGACCACACAAATTGGAACATGGTGGCAGAAAGGAGGGAACGCTGAGTCACCTGCGCACACTGCATGAGGGCGACCTTCCCCTCCCAGTCGATCTTCTGAGTGGACTCCTCCGGCCGAGCAGTCGAGCAGTCGATCACCGTGTGGATTCCCACAAGCGCTGCAGGCAGAGAAGTGGGGTCCTGCAGATCCGCCTGCACCGTCGTCGCGCCCCAGTCGCGCAGGAAATCGGCCGGGTTCTGTCTCGGTCGCACTATGCAGCGCACCTGCGTGCATGCATGCACAGTGGGCGTGTCAGGATCACACAAGTCATTCCGGCTGCCTTAAAAGGCAACCCCTCTGTAATGAGCATTTTTTCATCTGGTTCATACGCATTGAAGTGCCTTTAACAAGGCCCGTCATGAAAAACCAACGGGAAGGAATCGAGCGCGAAGGAAGCGATTCCTACAGGGTGAAGTGCTTGTCTCAAGATGTGCGTGGCCGAGATGCTACCTCCTGAAGGGGCCATCCGTTGAAATAGACTCAGCAAGCAAGGGCATCCCCATCCTGAGCACCCTGGTTTGCGCAGTTTGCTATCGCAATCAGGCCACCAACAGGGCCAGGAGATCCGCGAATGTGACAACAGCCTGGAAAGCGCGCTGTCACCTTTGCTGCTCTACTGATGCCCTGATGGTGGGCTGTTCTTAGACCAGTCTCTCTTACACATCACCCTGCCATCAGATGATTTGCAGCAGAGACAAGGTGAGAAAAGCTTGAACTGCTTGCAGTTGACATCAACATTCTGTCCCCCAGTAATGCTCTGATGATGGGCAGTCTTCGCAGCATTTTGTCTCCTGATAGCGACACCAAAGGAGACTTCTAAGAAAGGCACTGTTGTCAGAGGTGTAAAGGCGCACCTCATAGCCTTCGTCCAGGGCGCGCCTGACGACCTGTCTGCCCAGCGTTCCTGTGCCACCCACCACCAGCACCGAGTTCTTGGGCACCGTCCTCTGCCCATCCACAGATGCTGTCGCCCTCGGCTGCACATGACTCAACCGCTGCGCTCTCCGCCCTGCAGGAAAGGGATCAGGTGAGCACAATTATTGGGTGCGATAGCTAAAGCTTGCACGACAATGCCTGATCCATTATGGGCTACCAGCAGATGTGCATATCTCATTTGAGGTTGAGTAGGGACATTTGTTGCTGGAAGGGCTGACCGGGCACAGGAACAATGGAACAAATCAGCAAAGAGGCTCCAAGTATCCTCAGCGTCCATTGGATGATAACATGATTCATATTAAATTGCAAGCCACTGCTTGAAGTATAGAAGCTTCAAGGTGCAGTGCTGCACCGTGTCTGCAGTGCCCCGTGGTGAAAGGGGCGGTGTGGCCCTTGAAGCTGCATGCTTTGGCATGCCTAGACGCAGGCAGCACGGCGCTCTGGGCACGTGGACACTCCCTGGCAGCGCTGTTTGCTGCTGCAGAGGGCAAGGTGCCCAAGATGCTCTGCTGCATGGTTCCTGAAGCTGTAGAAAACATGCATGCATTTTAGGAAGTATAACTTTCGCACCCGATTTTGATAAGCATACTGCAGGAAAGTCAAGAAAAGAAGACACTGCTCAGGGGTTGCAGGTCCAACAATATATTGTGCAATTCTTCGATCTCGTCAGGGGCTAGCACCCACTTGATGCACGTAAAGCCTGCCCACGTTACCAGTGTTCTGATAAATTCGAATGTTTCGAATACAACTGGTAGCAATGATCACACATTTCTCTGTAGATATTCTGTGCCTTGCCAAGGAGCGAACCTGAAGTGATCAGCGCGTTCTGGGCCCCAGCTGCTCAAAGGTGACGACCTTTCGGAAAAGGATATAGAAATCTTGAACTCTTTCACCAAGCCTGGCGCGATCTTTACGGTCTTGAGGAGAAGTTTGAGTCGAATGAGAGGCTGGGAAGCGGACGCGATGATGAAACTGACAACGCCGCGGGACGTCGTACACGCTGCACAGCCATGCAGCCTGCATGTCCGTGCTTTCCAGAGACAAGAGGAAGTTCAGTCTTCCTTCCTAGCCTTGCGAATGGTAGATGCGGGTTGGTTGAAAGGATAAAGACTGCGGTCGACACAATCGCCAAAATTGAAAAGAACTAAGATCGTGTCCTCCTTTTAGTGTCGTCATTGACAGATTTTTTCGCTGTTGGTGGTCGTTCTACGTGATCAATCACTGTTAAAAGTATTCCAATCTCATAGCTGGTCTACGATCGGCACATAGGACACTTTTTCGGTGATTTTGAACGGATATGCTAGTGGCAAATAGGTCTTGCATCGCTGACCTCGAGCAGTGTGTCCAACGTCCCGTCTGTCGACAGAGCTCTTCTTTCTGTTCAACTAGATACTCTATCGTTTCATTCAGTTCTTTTACCTCGAGGAAGTTGAGAAAGCCTGCACAACCTGCCAGCCATCGTCCTGCCAGACCTAGTAAAATGACCAGGGAACTGCAGGCCAGCACCATCGTAGCATCTGGTGCTCCCAATGAGAGCCTGAAAGTCGGCTTCTTGGGCCTCGGCATCATGGGCGTTGCCATGGTGTGGTTCACCAACTGTACACCTTGTCATCTGGTGCTTGTGGGCTCCTACATGTCTCCAAAGGATGGTCCTCGATGTATTTCAAGATATGCTCAAGAGGTGCAACATGAACAGTGATCAAGCTGTGCATTGAATGGTGATTTAAGTCCCTTGGCTGCGCAGGCCAGGAACCTTCTAAAGGCAGGCTATGAGGTCACAGTGTGGAACCGCTCTCCTGACAAGTGCAAGCTGCTGGAGGCGGAGGGCGCCAAGGTGGCAGCTTCCCCTGAAGAGGCGGCAGCTGCCTGTGACATCACCCTCGCCATGCTGGCAGACCCCCCTGCGGCGCTGGCCGTGGCCGAGCAAGCAGTCAAGGGCCTCTCCAAGGGTGAGAGTTTCCTACTGCCTTACATATGTCCAAGCACAATTTTTCTTGTGCGTGTAATGGAGCAGTTCTTAGGTATTACACTACAATATGGCACAGCCGAAGTCTTTGTTGGAAGTCACTCATTGGGGGGCATAAACTTGTCCATGCAACAGTGTGGTGGGGAATTACTGCTATTGCATATTGCGATGCGCTGCTGATCCCAATGACTGCCTGTATGTCTCCTGGGGTTCAAATTGGAATGCATTACTCCATCCTGAGCGCCAGCGGACATCCAGTTTATGATGTGCTTACTCACTGTGACTAAGAGCTGAGGAGGCCGTGGGATTACTGATGCAGGCAAGGGTTACGTGGATGTGTCGACTGTGGACGCCGGCACCGCGCAGCACATCTGCAAGGTGCGCTGTTCTCTGCAGCATCAGACCGCTGTATTCTTCTAACCCATCTAACCTTCATGTTGATACGGTGTCGTCGCCAATGGATGCGCATACAGGCCTGCTCCTGTAGTCTCATTTGCTCACCCATTGGTGGCGCAGTCACAGCGGCATGGAGAGCAACGGCATGTCTGAGCTACTCCAGGAATGTGCTTGTCAGGGCGTGTATCTTCGTTTGAAGAAGAATCTAGGGGAGTGTGAGATCTAGTAGTGGGGCTCACCTTTTTGAGCTCACCTTTTTGAGCATACTTCCAAGCATGCACATTCCATTGCAGTGCCTGCGCGGCACGTTAGTAGTCGCTGAGTCAGCATGTGCGCCTCTTCTGGCGCAGCTGGTGCATGCGGCGGGCGCGCAGTATTTGGAGGCGCCGGTGTCGGGCTCCAAGGGACCGGCAGAGCAGGGAACGCTGATATTCCTGGCAGGGGGCGACGAAGAATTGTACCAGAGCTCTGGGCCGCTGCTGGACGTCATGGGCAAGGCCAAGTTCTTCCTAGGGCCGGTGAGGACACACTCTGCCCGCTCTTGAAGCCAAACGTTACATGTTTTTTTCTTTCAGAAAGGAGGAAGGGGAAAAACCCTGCAGCCCACCGAGGCTCACAAGTGTCTTTATCACCACTTGAAAGGTTGTTGAGGCTGTTATGTGCACAGCATATTGAATTCCGTGGCGCTGGGTGCACAAGTATAATAAGCCTGGCATGATGGTTGCACAGCTTTGCATGCACTCGAGGCATCTCTGACAACAGATGCTTCGAGTGCATGACAGATACATGAGCTGTCTGACTGCTCAGCACCCGTACTGCTCTGGACCAGCAAAATGCCCACAAGTTCTCCGGATCAAGTTCTTGCGTAGCTGACCGGCTACAATTGCGCGCAGCAATATCTCTTCCGGGGTGCAAAGACTTGCCGATTGTGTGCCACGCTGTTGGCCCTTGCAGAGCCTTAGCCACCATGCTGAATAACGGAATGCAAAATATGAATAGTTGAGTTGCAGCCTGATCTGGCACGCAGGTGGGCAAGGGGGCCGGCATGAAGCTGGTGGTGAACATGGTGATGGGCGCCTACATGGCAGCTTCCGCTGAAGGACTCGTCCTCGCAGATGCGCTCGGCCTCAAGCAGCAGGACCTCGTGGACGTTGTGGCTCTCGGCGCTGTTGCCACCCCCATGCTGGCTCTCAAGGTGTGCTTCTCAAGTACCTCATCATACCGTAGTCATCAGAACTGATCTCGTTTCCAAACTATGTCCAAGCCTCATAAAAAAGGTAACAGGCTGTAATGTCTATAGCATCCCATTAATACTGTCCGAAGCTTTTGGATGTATTTTATTCGAGAAAATGTCCGAAGAAGCTCTTGTTTTGGCAATTTGGCCTCCTAAGCCCTTCGAGATGTCCAATCTTTCGGCCATGTGCTTTTGGGTGCCAAGATGATATCTGGTTCCCCCCGTTACTGCTTGTCACCCTTGACTGCCAGATTTACTGGGCAGAATGCATGCTGTGGATTGCCCAGAGACATGAATCCCTATTTCTGCTGTGTGACACCCCTTTGACTGGGCACGTGCCTTTGTGTCTGGAGGCTTCACATCCGCCCACACTTGGTTCCACCGTCACTCAAATTAAAGGCAGAACGGGTGGTCCTTTGAAGTGTCCAGAGAAATTGGCACGCGCTGTCCTGGCAGCCCGGTGCCTTTGTTGGGGCACCGCAAAACCATGTGGTCTTGTTTAAACCGAGCAGCATGCTCCAGTTTATCTCTGACACCCGCACGTGACAGCACTCTGGCGGCAGTATTGACTGGGGTTGCCCACACAACAGTACTGTGGGGTGTGCCAGCAGGGATTACCGGCATTTTGCATCCGAGCTGATCGCATCGCGCAGCATTTCTGTGCGGGAAACTTGCCACCTCAAAATGTTGTGTCTGTTCGCCGAACCTTGCGCCATCATCGTTCACAAACAAGTGGTACCTGCCTTGAACACATAAAAAGGGGATCAGCAGCAAACCAGTCATCAGTTCAGGTGGAGCTGTCGGGCCCACCTGTGGCAATAATGCAGAGTGACTGACAAATGATGTGGGTATGTTTTCTTATGGTAAGGTCCTACGAGCATCACTCTGTGCGGCTGCAGGCGCCTGCGATGATAGATGGCAGCTATCCGACGGCGTTCCCCCTGAAGCACCAGCAGAAGGACCTGCGACTGGCGCTCGAGGCGGCCGGAGAAAGCAGCCTCAGCCTGCCAGTGGCTGCAGCAGCCAACGACCTCTATCTTGAGGTGCATTTAATTTCCCTGTGACACACTCTTGTTCTCGCAATGAATGAATGTAACAGGTGGCATCTGCAGTATCTGGCTAGTGGGCAGCTGCCATGGCGGCTTCACTGTTACTATGTGAAGCTTCTCACGTCCCATTATTATGGGGGCGCTCGACATGCACATAAGGTCTCTCATTAGAGACAAAGCGTCTGCAGTCCTTTCAAACAGGGCAGGGCACTAAACACATGGTTACTGTTGTCAGTGACGATTAGGCGTGTGCAGCCTGAAGAGCTCAGAATGATTTGGAAAGCATCAGATGCACAGGGCCTAGAGGCAGTACTGCCTACCAGGTATCACCAATTACCAATTTTCAGGTATTAGCAATGGCTAGAGCTGCAACGAGAACCCAGCATGCATATCGGCCCTGGCAGCCACCGCCACAGTAGAGAAACTCATGCAGCACTGGTTAGGTGGGATGTTGAAAGCGATAGTGCTGGAGGGATAGAAACCGGTGCAATGGCTAAATAACAACACAGCTGTCTTTTTAAAAAGATTATTTCCATCATGCAATGATCTGCCTGATTGGCAATTTGAAGAAGGATGGTGCAGCTGCAGAGCTTCAGCAGCTTCAAGAAATGCTGATGAAAAGGCATATTATACGAATTGATTTTATAGAGATGTATACGGGGTGCCTAGTGGATGAGTGGATTAAGAATATAAGCTTGATTGCCTGCAGGCTCAGGCGAAGGGGCTGGGAGACGCTGACTTCAGCGCTGTGCTTGAGAGTGTCAAGCCTGCATCTGCATGAAGAAGAAGAAGATTACATTTTTCCAGCCGTCTAGGGCTCATTCTATGAACCGACACTGCCCGCATTGCCATTCAAAAAAGCAAGTCCATTAGTGCGAGTGTGACTGTCCATATGGCCACGGTCACTATACTGAGACCGTGCACACATGCAAACAGGACCCAAAAGCATCTATTCTTTACTGGATCTGAAAGGCCGCACTGTCCATTCTCTGGGCGTCTGCATGTGAGCTCAAGGGATGGCCTGTTGATACAATTCATCTGTATGGCAAGGGCTCATGACTGATCGCCTTAGCTTTCTTGGCCCTTTGCGAGACGTAAGCAATGTGTGCACTGAGACTGGCACTCTGTTTTGCTTAGCGGTACCGTAAGCTACTTTGCGGAAGTGACCGTGTTCAATCAGACAGTGACAGGAAGGCGCAATGCATGTGCTAATGTAAGAAGCTTCAGTCATGAATCGGTAATTTGAAATATATTTCTGAGGAATTGGAGTCAAGAGCTGTGGTTGCCCTGCAAGCGTTCTGTGCATGGCGCTGACTTTGGAAGAATAACTTACTGGCATGCATGACTTGTGACGAGTCAGATTCGGGTGAAACTATTGTCGATGGCCTGGCAGAGGGGATTAAAACTGGTGCGCGACCGTGATGTTGTGTCAGGGCAGTTGCATGCGGTCTGAGCTGGTATCAACCGGTTGGCTGGGAAAGAAACTACGACTGCCATTCTTGTTAGGACTGCCTGGCCAGAGACGGCAAGCTGTCGAGGCATGATGTGCACGGATTGTTGACAGCATCGCTTTGCCAATGTGTAACTTTTGATCATGCTTCGGGCTGTTCAGGAAAGAATATGGACACACGCCAATGCTTCTCGTGGGTACTGAACGCTCACCTATCATGATCATCGGTTTGGAACGAATTTGAGACGCAAGGTAATATATACACCTAGAAGCAGCAGCTGAGCAGGCACGGCTCTCCTGGTGGCGCCAGGCTGTAATTGGTTCGAGCCCAATCCCTGGACGGGTTAGTTGGTAGAGGGTTCGAGCCCCCTCCCCTAATACGTAATGCCCGGGTTCGAGTCCTAATGGGTGCCACAATCTACATACCTTTTTTTCTTTTTTCAGGTTTCAAGGATTTAATTTTTTAAATTAGCTGCACCCCTGGCATGACTCTCAAAAGTAAGGGTGACATGTGGCTTTGTTCTATACCACAAGCTTCTCAATGGGCTGCCCTGGCTGGGCGTGACGTTATTTTCTGATCTGCTAAGAGGCATTAGTAATAAACCAGTAAGCACTGGCTGTTCTGCAAAGTGCCCTTTGTCGAAATATCTGCAAGTCGAAGTACGTACAGAATTGTGCGCTTAATAGCTTAAAATACACCTATCATTCGAGCATCATCTTTTGCCTACGAGTCTGTTCTCGGAATAACCTGATACTTTGCTCCTGGCAAGTTCGTGAGCAACATTGACTACGAAGGAACGTCGCTCGTCTATCGAAACCGAGAATGGAGGTGCGTTGATTATCAGCCGAGCAAGGTTGTGTATCCAGCTTTTAACACGTTTTTAAACAGTGAACCTCTTCTCTCTTCGCCGCCAGCTTGCAGAAACTTGGCATCAAGAGATGGATGTTGTAAGTGCATTTTGGATTCGGGTTTCGATCGTGTGAAAAAAAACTTGGATGTAAATGGCTTCAAGATGGCCTCCAGCCAATTGTTTAAGCACGTTACTGAAGTAGTGCACCTTTCCTTAATAGGACTTCCCATACCTGCCAGAGGAGCTGTGGCAGCACATATGCGGGCTGATGACGACCAAGGAGTGGGCTGCAGCCAGCGGAGCCTGCACTGCTCTGTGGCAGCTGCAGCCTCATCAGATCAACTGCACAGTGGCTGAAAACGGGGAGACTGCCTCTGCGCTGCAGTGGCTGGCAAAGCACTGGGGCCGGGCAAAAGTGGTGAAATTTGACATCCACAAAGGACAATTTGTGCAACAGAATCCCCTGAAGCTGACTCACCAGGCTCTGGGGTCCCGGTCAGCTGATCTGTCCCATGTGAGGCAACTTTGCTTCACCTGCAAGGCTCCTTTTGAGTGGAATCTGGGAAAGTTTTCTTATGGACACAGCCATTGGAGGAGCTGGCTTCTCTGGCTGCTGGAGCAAGCAAAGAGCTTGACAGTCCTATACCTCAGCGTTCCTTTTGAAGTGAAGCTAGGAGCCAGTGCAACTCTCAAGCACCTCATCTGTGATGCCACCACGACCAAGCACCCAGATTTCAGCAAGCTTGGGCATCTTGAGACAGCGTGGCTTGGTGGCATGCCGCTTCGGTATATCAGCCTCGTAGTGCCCGCAAGTCTGAAGCACCTCCGTCTGCTGGACCTTGCGCCCAGGCCATGGGTGAGGATTCCAGAGGGATGCACCCTTTCAATTGGGATTTCAGATGGGTCAGCAAGCAGCCCCTACGAGGAAACTAGCGAAGACTATGTGATTCTGTGGGTTGACAATATTGGCACATCGGTCATGCCCACAAACCAAGCACAGATGGTTGCACCACGTGCACTCAGCCTTGTGCTAAAACACGACTGTGCGGTACTCTATGGTCTGTCTTGGCATTTGTTCGCTTGCCTCTCTGTGCTAATTGTGGAAGGCAAAAGCCCACGCGTACGCTTGCCAGCCTTGAAACACCTGGCCAAGCTGTACATAAGTGGTGTTGACCACCTTGAGTTGGATTTTGAAGATGTGGAGTCCCTTGCCAGAACTGTTCAAGCAATGTCAGTCAAGTACACCAAAGGCAAAGCTGTTTTTGGGCCGGGAAGTGACGTGCTGGGCAGATTTGATCATCAGCTGGAATTCAGGGGCAAAGGCTTGCTCTACCACAATGAAGCTGCCACAGGCATGGTCTGCATGGTCCTTTTTCCAGAGCGTGTCGAACTTGCCGGCTGGGAGGCAGTGTGCGACTGCCACTGCTGCTGGGACTGCCTGGCCAGAGCAGTGCTTGAACTTGAATTGCATGTGATGATGCCATTGGCTCTGGGTGCAGACTGCTTTGATGGTCTCAGCAGCCCTCTGTGAAAGTACATGTCATACCGGTCACACGCAAACATCCGTGTAAGAAATGTCCTTTCTTCTTGACGCTTGCACGGACCGTGACCTTATCGAGATATACTCACTCTGGAAGGCTTTTCAGCAGACTGATGCCTCGCAAAAAATAACATAACTATACATCTAACGAAACAACTACCACATTCAAGAGCAGCCGCAGCACAACTAGATTGGCAAACAATCACAAGATCAATTTGTCTCCTCTATGCCTGGTGTTGATGTTGACATGAACAGCAGGAAAGTGGGAAAAAGTCAAAATGTCTCTGGCTAGCCGTTGAGACAGCTCGACTTGAGAACATGCCAAACCCAGCACAGCAACATGAAATGCACAGTGCAATTTAATGCATTTCTGCGGTGCAGCCTTGCTTCTGCTGCACCGTCAATGCGGCCAACTCTCATCACATTACCACTGTCAAACATTTGTCCCTTTGTGCTGTAGTGCTTCAGCTGCAAAGCTCCGTGCATGGGCCTTCCCAAGCCTCCTGTCTGCGGCTTCCTTTCAGTCTTTTCTGTCTTGACAGATATCCAGCCCCTCAAGTGTCATTCATCACCTGCTCTGTTGCGCGCAGGTTTACCTCAGCTGCCTGCAGGTTCCCCTTTGCGAGGATGTTATCTCTGCGCAGGTTCCTGACAACTGCCGCCTGTTTCCTGGCAGCTTCCTCCATCTCCTGCATGCGCGCACGCAGCTTCCTGTTCTCCTGCTCCAGCTGCCGGCGCTGGGCCTGCGACGATCTGAAAATCCGACAGAAGTCGTCTGCGCTTACGTCACCCTCGGTGACAGCCAGGGTCATGTCACCCTTAGCCACAGGCTGATCCTTGCTGGCAATGCTGCGCGCATTGCCCTCTGAGCATTGGTACACAACAGCCCCTCCTGCATTCACACAGTCACTATACATCACTTTTCAACAACTGAAGGCTGATCTGATGCGCAGCTCACTTTGTCCGAGCCAGCACCCAGCATGACATTCAGACACTTGACCACACAATTGCATGCGGCCAAAATAAGTGCAATACAACAAAAATATGAAATAGGAAAGTATACTTCGCCCTAAGGTACTGTGCACACGGGCACTCAAAAAGTTAGACACGTCCGACGTGTCTAGTCTTATCCCCTGGTGAATGCCAGACAAGGTGCAAATCTGGTCAGTCTTAGGAGTCTGGCCCAAGAGTTAGAGTCTCGGGGCAGACCATGGCATCACATTCTGAAGCACAAGAGTTGTTCAGGAGACCTGACCTGCGAGCTGATCTGCATCTGTGCGCGGCTTCTTGCGGCTTCCCTGCTGCATGCCAGGCTGGCGAGGCAGAGACCACTCCTGCTGAAGGATCGCACCCGCTGCCTGCTCCCCTTCAATGCCACTGTCGCCGCTGCCACTGTCTTGGCTGCCTGGGTCTGAGCAGCTGTCTGGGTTCTGCCTGTGGATCTTCTCTGCGGCTTCCTGCGCAGCTGCGCGCACTGGCCGGTCCGTGCTTGGAGGCAGTGTGGCAGGCTGGTCATTGGTTATGAATGCTGCCTGGAAACCAGCATTCCAGGTAATTTGCTGCGGAGTGTACTGCATAGGCACCTGTGTGAGTACTGCCTTTGGGTGGCTTGCCTTCCTTCCTGCACAAACATCACGTGCTGCTCAGTGCTGGTAGACCAACAAATGGTACAAATTGCTTGAAGGACAGCATGCCGTGTACCGAGCTTGCAGACCAGGCAGCCTGGACATGTAAGCTTATGCTGTACTGCATTGAGACAAGGCAACTTGAGAGATGATTACTGATATGTGTCAGCAGATGACGCATGCAGCATGCAATTGGGAGCTCATTAGCATGCACCGGTCGGTACCTGCTTTGGCCCGTTCTGCGCGCCAGGCTTTTGCAAGCCTGGCAGCAATAGCTGGGTTTGGTGTTGTACCTATCTCCTCAGCCACTGCCTTCAGGCCTTTGTACTTTGCGCCCTGCATACCAGGCGTGCAAAGCATATTGCATGTGGACTTGTGAGGTGGGACATGCTGCTTGCAGCAAGGATGGAAGCATCTCGAAATGATAACGTAGGCGAATTTGACTGACAGATAGGCACTGATCTTGAAGAGATTAGGCAGACCTGTGGGGACGGCAAACGTACATGATGGATGCATTGGCAGCGTCACTGTGTGGTACTCCTTTCGCTGTCCAGCCAACTTCCAAGGGAAGTCCTGTTCACATACACATCAACAGAGATGCTGCTGATGTCAACATTATCACGACGTAAAGCGTCAATGCCATTTCGTCTCCTCCACGTATGCCTCAGGCATGATGCTTGTAATCTCAATATAGTCAAAGCGTGGCAAGCAAAGCTTCGCACACTCTGTAAGGGACAACAGACGAGGCTACTCGCCTGTGTTACTGCGCCTGCAGCATTCCCTGATGTACTCGTGCAAGATTCTTGTCGCAGTCCCGTCGTCCATTGCAGCTCGTTTCACAAGAGCAGCTACAGTAACACCTGTGTACTCGGGACTGCTCTCACACAGAGGAATGTGGGCGTGCGCAATAGCTGCATTGTCACGGAGTGAGTTTGCATGTGATGATCTCTGAAGTGAGAACTTTCCATTGCCTGTTTTGGCACGTCAGATGGACACGTCATCGAGAAGCTTCCAAAGCGCAAAGAAGCAGGGGGTCTCACAATTTAAATTTATATTCGAATTAATGGAGAAAGCAACGGAGCTGAATTAGGTTAGAATTCAGCAACAGGGAACCAACAATGGGTACATGGTCGCTCTGACCACCTTACAAACATAATGACACTGGTCTGGCATGGCCCTGTTCTTGATGCAATTGATCACATTTTGCATTACTGCTACGTGCCAATGCAGTGTGTACTGCACTGGTGATCATGTTGGTCCGAGACATGGGTCTTCAACTGCCTGGCTTCAAGGAAAGCAAAGTACTCTTGCCACATGGGCGAATCTTGGTGAACCTGCTTCTCATGTCTCCATTTCAAGCTAATTCCGCAGGCTATCAACGCATTCTTGTTGCTGGACCCTCAACAAGCCTCAGGCTGCTGATCAGTGCATTTTGCGTTCCCGCCACCCTCTGCTCCCGCTTGATAAGCTATGCCTGTTTGATCAATGCTGCTTGCTGCTCGATCAATTTCTCCCTGCTGCTAACTATAGCAGTCTGCTCCTTTATATATGCTGCTTGCTTTTTGCTTTTACCGCGGCGGCCCTGGATCAATGCCTTTGACTTCTGAACGACGCCTATCAGCCTATCTATCTCCATTTGCAAATGCAGTCTGCAGGAAGCGGTGATGATGAAGGGAAGATAGCAAACCTCCATTCTTGGGTTTCTGGGTGTCCAAGACGAACTCCCAATAGGGGCAATCCTGGTGTTCTATCGTCGGAAATGATCTTGCCTCAAAATCGGATCATCTGCGAGAGGATTCCTGTGAGCTTCCACGCCTCTGATTAAAAGCTAAGACACCTGAAACTCTACCCTTACGCAAGACATGGTCCCCCCAATTTGGCACGTGCAAGTCATGCCAGGACGTGCCGAATTTCCCCTCTGTGATCAATGCCAAAGGCTACAATTCTATGCTCATAGAATGCCTGCATATGGCTGGAGTGTGCAGGCCCGTATGCATGCAATGGCAAGTAATAGCAATTCTTGATGCACATGGGGGGTTTCTTAAGAGCCTGAGAGAATGTCTGCATCACAAGCCGGATTACGATGTAAATGCGCATGCAGCAAGGCCGCACGGATGCGCATACTGAAAGACCAAGCAACACTCCAAAAGTGGCTCAAAAGATTATTCAACGCAATGGTCGCATAATGTATAGTGTCAATCAAACGTTTCTTGTTCTCTTCAAGCAGTCCATGCAACACATGCAGTCACAGGCGCCTTCCCAGCCATCAGACTCTTGCTTCTTCGACAGCCTGTAAGATACAAGCCCAACACCTGCATCCATTGTTCCCACAAGAGCCTTCCCTTCATTCCTCAGGTGCCTAGCAAAACACCGCGACTCCTCTGATCCAACATCGGGCTTGCATCTCACTGCAAAGGACTGCACACATTTGGCAGTCAGCGCAGGATCTTCAAACTTCACACGCAAAGAGCCGCCGCTGCGCACGCAGATCTTTGTGAGATGCCTGGAAGCAGGAATGACTACTTCCAGATCAGCTGCCTCCACAAATAGCGAAGAGAGGCAGGCGAACTTGGCCAAGCTCATGATCACAAGACTCCCACCGCTGATGCTGAGACTAGAGATGCCTGACAAGGCCTCACAGCCATTATACAGAGCAGTCCATAGAGCAAAGTCTGCGTCTGTCACAGACAGGCTGCTCACTCTCTGAGCTGCACTCATCTCACTGCGGCTATTCATCTCCCTGACAACCCTTTCTACACTCCAATTGCCGCATCGCTGCCGCAGAGACACATTCAAGTGCACCGAGCACTCGGCTGGCAGACTCAAAGCCATGGAAAGCACTGCATCGTCCAAACACAAATGTTTCAGACCCACAGGCATCTGCACTGTCTTGTGGCCGTCTCTGCAAGCCTTGACAGTTCCACAGAGCATGAGTGTCTGCAGGTTTGGCACGCTGCTCAATAGAGTCACGTAGTCATGCTCGCAGATCTGCATGTGCAGGATCAGGTGTGCTAGCCCTGGCAAGACAGGCAAGGGGAACCACTTTTCTGCTTTCAGCTCCAGTGCTTTCAAGGTGCGTGCTTCTGCCAGCAGCCAGGTCACCCATGACACCCAATGACTGTCCTGGTAGAACTTCAAGAATTTGCCGGGCTGCACAGTCAGCGCTCTCAGATTTTTCGGCAGAGAAGCAATTTCACTGTTGAAACACTCGGGCCTTGATGCCTCGTACTCCAAACTGATGCGACTGGCTTCTCTCCAGTGGTTGACCATCCACAAGGCGGCAGCTTCATTGTACGTGTCAATCTTTGACTCGTAGTGTGAGAGATGGCACTCTAGGCTGTCGGGCTGCAGCTTCCGGGTAGCTGCACAGGTGCCACTGGCTTTGACCCACTTCTTGGTAGTCAGATGGCTGGCAATCCGCCTCCAGATGTCCTCTGGCAGGCTTGGAGTCTGCCTGGCCCTGGCAGCCTGTGAGGCAAGCCAAAGGTTTAAGGCTCTCCACGCCTAATAAGGCAGTTGAAGGGTATTTCCTGGCCCAGAAGGGGGTTCCCTGGCGATCCTTTCTATGTTCGATTGTGGTCGTTTGCGATGATCAGGACGGATGTCTGTCACTAAATATTCTGTATGATGGCTGTTCGACAGGCTCCCTCAGTGGAATTCGCTTCTGGCGGGTACTAGAAACCTACTCCTTGGCAAAGGTAAGAAAGCAGTGGTAGTGTTGGCAAGTGCAAGGCGAAAGAGAGCTTACCGATCTGGTACAAACCATGAGGGGTGCTCTTCAATCAACGAGATAGAGCACTCCCAAGGGGAAGCTCAAGCAGAACGCAACAGGGGTTGTGAGCTACTGGAGCACTTTGGCACAGCAAGGCCTGCTGGCAGCACTAAGAGCAAGAGAGGAAATTACTGTAAAAAAAGCTTCTAGAAAGCCGCTATCTGCAAGTGTGGGAAATAGGATGTGGCAACCGGTGTCTGCATATCCTATTTTCGGAAACTGTGCGAAGGTGCCTTTGCTATGCTTAAACAGGCAATAGCCAAAGGCTTCGATCGTAAGTGGGACAGCAGAGATGCAACTTGCATCATGCAAGCACATTTGATGTTTGTGCAGCATTGATTTGAAACCGTGAAAGTGCGGTCTGCGCAGAGAACATAAAGCATAGGCCTCTCTTTAAGATGTTCTACAGACACAGAAGGACTTTTGCGCTCAGTTGACAGGTGAGAAGGTAGGACAGGATTGTTGTACCCAAACGTCGGGGAATACTACAAGCGAATTAACGTTATATCGCTCACTTTGCAGATCCGTTGCGTTTTGCACGATATTCACTCTTTTAAAGCCCCAAGCCACATTCAGAACAGAAAGTATGCTTCGTGGTCGAACTGCAGCTGGTGTCACCTATCTCTTTTTGGCAGGTTGCCCACTGAACGAAGGCTGGACAGCCATAGCAGCCAACAACAATGGGAGGTCGCTGCTGTGCTTCCACCCGATCCCCAGATGTGTGCTTCTACCTCACCGGCAGCTTTTCCATATTGCACTGGCCACCTGCTAGAGTGCGCTTGCCCCAGCTGCCTGAGTTGTAGAGTTGTAGAACAGTGGGGGACTTGGTCCTACTTGGATCCGGTCTTCCAACAGTGGTTATGGCAGTTAGCACCCTGTACTCCCGCTTTGCCACTGGATGTATCTTGTGTTTCATGGTTACAGCGTTTGATGTGGGGAGATTGTTGTTGGTGTGAGTGCAGGGACAGATCTACACAACCTCGAAGGCAGTGGCTGCGGCAAGACGTGTGCTGCCAACTGAGGCTTTGCCGCAAGGCTTGCACAGCCTCAGCCTGATCGCCGCGATACATCATTACCTTATAAAGCCCTGTCTGGAGACCAGCCTAGGTTGAAGCACCAGCTAGCAGAATTGGACCCTCAGGAGTGACTCCACATGGCACAAGCCCTGGTTCTCGACGCCTATACAAGGGGAGTATATGAGAGAGATAGTGGCTGTCAGGGGGGCACAGTGAAGGAGCTGAAAATTCTGAACAACAGAGTAGTGTACAGAGAGGCTGCAAGAGGCGCTGCACAGAGCGAGCAGGGCTTGCAGCTGATTGCGACTCAGCCAAGAATGCACGCAGCACGGCTGGAAACTAGATTACTGCCTCAGAGCAATGGTTGTTGACCGGGGCGGGGTGTGGCACGGGTTTATAGGTCTTTTTCAGATTAAAGAATCACAGACAACGCGATAAGAGGAGAGCGCAGAGGGAGCCTGCGCTGCAAATGGAGATAGATAGGCTAATACGCGTCGTTCAGAAGTCAAAGGCATTGTTCCAGGGCCGCCGCGGTAAAAGCGAAAAGCAAGCAGCATTTATAAAAGAGCAGACTGCTATAATTAGCAGCAGGGAGCAATTGATCGAGCAGCAAGCAGCATTGATCAAACAGGCATAATTTATCAAGCGGGAGCAGAAGGTGGCGAGAACGCAAAATGCATTGATCAGCAGCCTGAGGCTTGTTGAGGGTCCAGCAACAAGAATGCATTGATAGCTTGGAATGGAGACATGAGAAACAGGTTCACCAAGATTCGCCCATGTGGCAAGAGTACTTTGCTTTCCTTGAAGCCAGGCAGTTGAAGACCCACGTCCCGGACCAACATGATCGCCAGTGCAGTACACACTGCATTGGTACGTAGCAGTAATGCAAAATGTGATCAATTGCATCAAGAACAGGGCCATGCCAGACCAGTGTCATCATGTTTGTGAGGTGGTCAGAACCATGTGCCCATTGTTGGTTCCCTTTGCTGAGTATTAAGCTATTTCAGCTCCGTTGCTATCTCCACTGATTTCGAGCTCAAATTCAAATTGTGAGACCTTCTTTGTGCTTTGGAAGCTTCTCGATGACGTGTCCATCTGACGTGCCAAAACAGGCAATGGGAAGATCTCCTTGAGAGATCATCACATGCAATCTCACTCCGTGACAATGCAGCTATTGCGCACGCCCACATTCCTCTGTGTGAGAGCAGTCCCGATTACACATGTGTTACTGTAGCTGCCCTTGTGAAACGAGCTGCAATGGACGACAGGACTGCGACAGGAATCTTGCACGAGTACATCAGGGAATGCTGCAGGCGCAGTAACACAGGCGAGTAGCCTCGTCTATTGTCCCTTACAGAGTGTGCGAAGCTTTGCTTGCCACGCTTTAACAATATTGAGATTACAAGCATCATGCGTGAGGCATATGTGTAATCTGGGAGGTGCAGACGAAGCTTCAAGTCGTGACAATGTTGACATCAGCAGCATCTCGATTGATGTTTATATGAACAGGACTTCCCTTGGAATTTGGCTGGACAGCAAAAGGAGTACCAAAGAGTGACGCTGCCAACGCATCCATCATGTACGTTTGCCGCTCCCCACAGGTCTGCCTAATCTCTGCAAGATCAGTGCCTTTCTGTCAGTCAAATTCGCCTACGTTATCATTTCGAGATGCTTGCATCCTTCCTGCAAGCAGCATGTCCCACCTCACAAGTCCACATGCAATATGCTTTGCACGCTTGGTATGCAGGGCGCAAAGTACAGAGGCCTGAAGGCAGTGGCTGAGGAGATAGGTACAACACCAAACCCAGGTGTTGCTGCCAGGCTTGCAAAAGCCTGGCGCGCAGAACGGGCCAAAGCAGGTACCGTCCGGTGCATGCTAATGAGCTCCCAATTGAGCTCCCAATTGCACGCTGCATGCGTCATCTGCTGACACATCATGTGATATCAGTATTCATCTCTCAAATTGCCTTGTCTCAATGCAGTACAGCATAAGCTTACATGTCCAGGCTGCCTTGTCTGCAAGCTCGGTACACGGCATGCTGTCCTTCAAGCAATTTGTACCATTTGTTGGTCTACCAGCACTAAGCAGCACGTGATGTTTGTGCAGGAAGGAAGGCAAGCCACCCAAAGGCAGTACTCGCACAGGTGCCCATGCAGTACACTCCGCAGCAAAATACCTGGAATGCTGGTTTCCAGGCAGCATTCATAACCAATGACCAGCCTGCCACACTGCCTCCAAGCACGGACCGGCCAGTGCGCGCAGCTGCGCAGGAAGCTGCAGAGAAGATCCACAGGCAGAACCCAGACAGCTGCTCAGACCCAGGCAGCCAAGACAGTGGCAGCGGCGACAGTGGCATTGAAGGGGAGCAGGCAGCGGGTGCGATCCTTCAGCAGGAGTGGTCTCTGCCTCGCCAGCCTGGCATGCAGCAGGGAAGCCGCAAGAAGCCGCGCACAGATGCAGATCAGCTCGCAGGTCAGGTCTCCTGAACAAGTCATGTGCTTCAGAATGAGATGCCATGGTCTGCCCCGAGACTTGAACTCTTGGGCCAGAATCCTAAGACTGACCAAGTTTGCACCTTGAGTGGCATTCATTAGGGGATAAGAAGTGTCTAACTTTTTGAGTGCCCGTGTGCACAGTACCTTAGGGCAAAGTATACCTTCCCATTTCACGTTTTTGTTGTATTGCACTTATTTTGGCCGCATGCAATGGGGTGGTCAAGTGTCTGCATGTCATGCTGGGTGCTGGCTCAGACAAAGTGAGCTGCGCATCAGTCAGCCTTCAGTTGTTGGAAAGTGATGTGTTGTGACTGTGTGACTGCAGGAGGGGCTCTTGTGTACCACTGCTCAGAGGGCAATGCGCGCAGCATTGCCAGCAAGGATCAGCCTGTGGCTAAGGGTGATATGACCCTGCCTGTCATCGAGGGTGACGTAAGCGCAGACGACTTCTGCCGGATTATCAGATCGTCGCAGGCCCTGCGCCGGCAGCTTGAGCAGGAGAACAGGAAGCTGCGTGCGCGCATGCAGGAGATGGAGGAAGCCACCAGGAAGCAGGCGGCAGTTGTCAGGAGCCTGCGCAGAGATAACATCCTCGCAAAGGGGAACCTGCAGGCAGCTGAGGTAAAGCTGCGCGCAACAGAGCAGGTGATGAATGACACTTGAGGGGCTGGATATCTGTCAAGACAGAAAAGACTGAAAGGAAGCCGCAGACAGGAGGCTTGGAAAGGCCCATGCACGGAGCTTTGCAGCTGAAGCACTGCAGCACAAAGGGACAGTTGTTTGACAGCAGTACCGTGATGAGAATTGGCCGCATTGACGGTGCAGCAGAAGCAAGGCTGCACCGCAGAAGTGCACTGTGCATTTCATGTTGCTGTGCTGGGTTTTGCATCTTATCGAGTTGAGCAGTCTCAACAGCTAGCCAGAGACATTTAGAATTCTCCCCACTTTCCTGCTGCTAATGTCAACATCCACACCAGGCATATAGGAGAAAATTAATCTTGTGACTGCTTGCCAATCTGCTTCTGCTGCGGCTGCTCTTGAACTTGGCGGTTGTTTCATTAGATATACTGTTATGTTTGTTTGCAAGGCATCAGTCTGCTGAGAAGCATTCCAGAGTGAGTATATCTCGATAAGATTACAGTCCGTCCAAGCGTCAAGAAGAGCGGACATATCTTACACGTATGGTTGCGTGTGACGGTATGACATGTACTTTCACAGAGGGTGACACAATTAAACCAGTCTGCACTCAGTGCTAATGGCATCATCACATGCGATTCAAATTCAAGCATCAGACAACCCCTGCTCTGGCCAAGCAGTCCCAGCAGCAGTGGCACTCACACACTGCCTCCCAGCCGGCAAATTCGTCACGCTCTGGGAAAAGGACCATGCAGACCATGCCTGTGGCAGCATAATAGCGGTAGGAAAAGCCTTTGCCCCTCAGTGCCAGCTGATGATTAAACCTGCCCAGCACGTCGCTTCGCACGCCCGCACGCCCGCAAACAGCTTTGCCTTTGGTGTACTTGACTGACATTGCTTGAACAGTTCTGGCAAGGCATTCCACATCTTCAAAATCCAACTCAAGGTGGTCAACGCCACTTATGTACAATTTGGCCAGGTGCTTCAAGGCTGGCAAGCGTACGCGCAGAGTTTTGCCTTCCACAATCAGCACAGAGAGGCAAGCGAACAAGTGCCAAGACAGTCCATACATTACCGCACAGTCGTGTTTTAGCACAAGGCTGAGTGCACGTGGTGGAACCATCTGAGCTTGGTTCGTGGGCATGACTGATTTGCCAATATTGTCAACCCACAGATCCACGCAGCCTTCGCTAGTTTCCACGTAGGGGCTGCTTGCTGACCCATCTGAACTCCCAATTGAAAGGGTGCATCCCTCTGGAATCCTCACCCCTGGCCTCGGGGCAAGGTCCAGCAGACGCAGGTGCTTCAAACTCGCAGGCACTACGAGACTGATTTATCTAAGCGGCATGCCACCGAGCCACGCCGTCTCTAGATACCCAAGCTTGCTGAAATCTGGGTGCTTGGTCGTGGTGGCATCACAGATGAGGTGCTTGAGAGCTGCCCTGGCTCCTAGCTTCACTGCAAAAGGAACGCTGAGGTCTAAGACCGTCAAGCTCTTTGCTTGCTCCAGCAGCCACAGAATCCAGCTCCTCCAATTGCTGTGTCCGTAAGAGAACTTTCCCAGATTCCACTCAAAAGGAGCCTTGCAGGTGAAGCAAAGTTGCCTCACATGGGACAGATCAGCTGACCGGGACCCCAGAGCCTGGTGAGTCAGCTTCAGGGGATTCTCTTGCACATATTGTCCTTTGTGGATGTCAAATTTCACCAATGTTGCCCGGCCCCAGTGCTTTGCCAGCCACTGCAGCGCAGAGGCAGTCTTGCCATTTTTAGCCAGTGTGCAATTGATCTGATGAGGCTGCAGCTGCCATAGAGCAGTGCAGGCTCCGCTGGCTTTAGCCCACTCCTTGGTCGTCATCAGCCCGCATATGTGCTGCCACAGCTCCTCTGGCAGGTATGGGAAATCCTGTTTAGCAAAGGAGAACTACTTCAAAAACGTGCTGAAATATCTGGCTGGAGGCCATCTTGAAGCCAATTACACCCAAGCTTTTTAACACACGATCGAAATCTGAATCCAAATTCGACTTACAACATCCATCTCTTGATGCCAAGTTTCTGCAAGCTGGCGGCGAAGTGAGAAGAGGTTCATTGACTAAAAACGTGTTGAAAGCTGGATACACAACCCTTGCCCGGCTGATAATTCACGCACCTCCATTCTCGGTTTCGATAGACGAGCGACGTTCCTTCGTGGTCGGGATGTTGCTCACCAACTCGCCAGGAAGCAAAGTGTCAGTTTACTTCGAGAACAGAGTCGTAGATAAAAGAGGATGCTCGAATGCTCAGTGTACTTCAAGCTGTTAAGCGCACATTTCTGTACGTGGTTCGACTAGCAAATAATTCGACAATGGGCACTTTGCAGAGCAACCAGTGCTTACTATTTTATTACTAATGCCTCTTAGCAGATCAGAAATTACGTGACGCCCAGCCAGGGCAGTCCATTGAGCAGCTTGTAAATGAATTAGAGGAGAGCCTACACAGACGCAATCCTTTTACAGACCAGACACATGCAGACAAACAGAACACAAAAGGCAAACAACACCATAGTGACAAGTGGATAATTATGCCTGGCTCGGTCTGAAGAGGAACACACAGTGAATCAGTGCAAGGCAAAGAACAGGAGAGCAGGCAGACACCAAACACTACCTGCAAGAGGGAGTGGAAAGGCGATCAGCCACGTAGGAAGGCAGTCCTATGAACAATGCAGCACTCCGAGCCAGGAGCAGATGCTGGTGATGGATAGAAAAAGCTAACATGTCACCCTTACTTTTGAGAGTCATGCCAGGAGTGCAGCTAACTTAAAGAACTCAAATATCTAGGAGTCTAAAAAAAGAAGAAAAAAGTATGTAGATTGTGGCACCCATTAGGACTCGAACCCGGGCATTCCGTATTAGGGGAGGGGCTCGAACCCTCTACCAACTAACCCGTCCAGGGATTGGGCTCGAACCAATTACAGCCTGGCGCCACCAGGAGAGCCGTGCCTTGCTCAGCTGTTGCTTTCAGATTTATATATTGCCTTGCGTCTCAAGCTCCGGGATTCGTTCCAAACCGATCATCATGATCGGTGAGCTTTCAGTTCCCACGAGAAGCATTGGCGTGTGTCCATATTCTTTCCTGTATAGCCCGAAGCATGATCAAAAGTCACACATTGACAAAGAGATGCTGTCAACAATCCGTGCACATCATGCCTCGACAGCTTGCCGTCTCTGGCCAGGCAGTCCCAAGAATGGCAATCGTACTTTCTTTCCCAGCCAACCGCTTGATACCAGCTCAGACCGCATGCAACTGCCCTGACACAACATCACAGTCGCGCACCAATTGTAATTCCCTCTGCCAGGCCATCGGCAACAATTTCACCCGAATCTGATTCGTCACAAGTCCATGCGAGTAAATTATTCTTTTTAAAAGTCAGCGCCATGCACAGAACGCTTGGAGGGCAACCTAAACTCTCGACTCCCATTCCTCAAAAATATAGTTGAATTGTGACAATTGCTCATGACTCGCCTCAGCTTTCATGGCCCTTTGCAAGACGTAAGCAATGTGTGCACTGCGACTGGCACTGTGTTTTGCTTTTTGGTACCGTAAGCTACTTTGCAGAAGTGACCGTGTTCAATCAGACAGTGACAAAAAGTCACGATGCATGTGCTAATGTAAGAATGCTTTGGTTATGTAATTGGTAATCTGACACGTTGAAGGAGAGAGCGTGTCTCTGGTGATTCCTGCTCTCGTGGGGCAGCGCTGCAAAAGATCTGCATCCGCGCCCGGACTTATTTTACATTGTCCCTCGAGGACTCCGGGGTGTCTGCTGCATCAGTTCAGGCGTTTTCCGTGAATTATCAAAAGTTCCTAACAGTCAACACTGCCCAGCACCTTCAGGGCTTTGCCAACCATTTGACAGCAGGGGGAAGTTTATTGATGACTCGGTATGATTCCAGGTCAGACATGCACAGGTTACGGCTGCCTTAGATGCCTGCAGATGTGTTAGGCTGGGAAGGAGTGTGTGACTGCAAGTGCTGCATGGAATGCCTCAGAAGGTCCAGAGTTGTGTGCTGCTGATGTGGAAAACTGGAAAGCATAGCTCACGAGCGAGGCCGCACTACATGAAACGGGACAGGGCTTTAGAAGGATTTGCAGGAGGATTGCTTTAAATGATCCTGCTCAAAGAGTCAGGGATTTCAGGATGTTGCAGTCAAATTCATGGCTTCTGTTCCAATTTTGTAAAAGATGTCAGGCATTCAGCGACACAGGGATATTGCAGTTAGAAAGGCAGGCAGCAAATTATTACACCTCATACAGCAACAACAAAACTGCCCTCATGAGCAGCACCAACACCTCTTCAAAGACACCGCCATAGCACCGCAGCTACAGCACGCCAACACTGTACAAGTCATGTCAATATTAATCCCTACACCTGCCACAGATCTGTCACAGCTGAGGAGCCTCTGCGGTGAACCCGACGTCTCAAATGCGCATATTCTCATGCGGGAAACAAATGTAAAAATTCATGTCAGGCGGCGCCCCACTGAGGTGGCGGTGTGCCGTGCCATCGGCCAGCGATATCTCGGATACCCTCCGGGGGACTTGGCAGCGCTGGAGGGGGAGACAAAAAGAGGGAACGCTGGGCAGCCACGACGCTCGATACGGGCGCGCCGCCCCCCGCTACGGGGCCGCTCTTGCTGCGCCGCGGAAGGTCTCGGGTCCGTAACGGGCTTCCGCCGCTGTCCCGCAGCGGGTTCTCGCTCCGTAACGGGCTCCCGCCGCTGCTACGCAGATGGCTGCCGCAGCCGGCTCGTACTGATTTGCGAGACCGGAACGGGCTGCTCCGGTCGCCCCGTAACGGGCTGCTGCCGCTGTCGCGCACCGGGTTTTCGCAGCTTCTCAGCGGCGTCGGCGTCTCTGCAACCTGCGCAGGATCCACAGATTTCTACCGGATTCACCTAATCCAGTGTCTTGCGCATATCGTGAGCCAGGGATCACACAGCGGGACATGAGCGACAGGACTCTGCAACACCAAGTCTCCTGAGGCAGGGCAAAAAGCTCGCAAACAGGCAATTTTTCCTATATCTTGGATAGACACTTGCAAGGGGACCGTCCCTCATCTGTGATCTAGACAAGCAGGGCAGGGGCAGGAAAATGCAAAAAGAAATAAGAAATACTTTACCTGGGATCGCCAGGCAGCCCAGGAGCAGGAATCAGGACTTCCAGAAGAGCCGGTGTCGCCAAAGAGCGCATTGTGGTGAAGTGATCCAAATGGCGGTTTGCATGGAGTGCACGCGTCAGGAACGCCCCCGAGCTGCGCCGATGACTGATCCAAACCCGGTGTCTCTGCTAAGGCCTGCCCAGGCTCCAGCCTCCGGGCAACATTCCTGCTTGAATACAGGGCAATGCACAGTGTCAGACAAGCCCAAACATGGGGAAATCTTCGCTAGACGCCTCGTCAGAAAAAGCTTGTGAGGAAATATAGCTAGAGCTGATTCAGCAGGTCATGAAATTGTGCTTTGGGGTTCTGTAGAGCAAGGAACAAGACATTTAGGGACAAGACTGTCAAGCTAGGAATGCTGCAATGGGTTTTTGGACCTGTACAGGTGACCTCTCCTGCCAATTTTGAAGGAGTGCAGAGACTTAAGAAGTTTGTGATCTGTAGATGGGCAGTGACAGACTGCCTACAAGACCATTGAGCCTGAGGTGGATCCCACATACGTCTCTAAAATGCAATAAAGATGATATACATGACAATTGTGTTGGAGGGCCTAGCCCTCTGTCTTCCTTCCGTCTAAAGTGAAATAAATAGCGAAAGATTGTTGCGTGCACCTGCGCCGGCGGTTGGTGACCCCAAGGCTGTAGATCTCCTGGTCATCCCCTTCATTCTCCTGGTCTGACCCCCAGTCAAATCCAGCCGTGCCCTCCGTGGCGATTCCCCTGGTCACCTCCTCAGAGCGGCCTGCCAGCAGCGGTGTGCACTTTGCAGCGTCCGCAGCCGGATGGCCCGGGTCACCTGCTGCCGGGCTGCCTGCCTCGTTGCCCGCATATGCCTTTGCCTGCACCTGCGCAATATTATTATTATTATTATTATTATTATTATTATTATTATTATTATTATTATTATTATTATTATTATTATTATTATTATTATTATTATTATTATTATTATTATTATTACACGATTTTCCTGCCAGAAGCAAGGTGCGTCTGCAGACAAGCTGCAGGAATGGCTGCCAAAATCCTACCCCTTGATGAACTCGCCAGATCCAAGCAAGACCCAATCACCCGTGGGCACGGTGCTGAGTATTTACCGCCCCCCGCCAGCCGGGGCCACAATATGACTTGAACAGTGGTTCTGCATGTCAAGCGCAAGTATGCAGCACGAACAGAGCAAAGTCGGCAGTGGAATCAAGCCCACAAAGGCATCCGTGTCTTGAAGTTTCACGCCAATCTAGAGCCAAGCAGAACGCGGTACGAGGGTTCTGACTGTCTATGCATCCAGCATCTCGGTTTGATGTTCCTCTGTATGTGTCCCTGTATGGATGCCCGTGTAACGAAAACGTTGAGGTCTACCTCGTCTATGCTGATGTCGGCGCCGCCAGCGCCGATGTCAGCGCTGGCGCCGCGGCTGGCGGCGGCTGGTGAGGCGGGGCGGGAGGGAACGCGCACGACCATCTCCCGGCTCAATGGCGCCGCCTGCAGTGCTTTCACTATCGAGCCAGATCCTGTCGCGCTCAGAGAGTTGCCCTGCGCAGTCAGAAAGAACAGCATCGGAAAACACAGCATACCGTGAGCTGGAGTCCAGAACACTCCCAAATGCAGAGCATTCAAAGGATGCCAAACAAGACCACAGTGGCACCCGTTCCGTGACAGCAGCTTCCAGAAGCATTGTGTTTGCAACCCACAGCTTGCTTGGATTGCTGACAGTGAATGGCCGCATGTTCCTGGCAAACAGGTTCCCACACATTAAAACACACTCAAGATACCAGAGACCTGCCAGAACAAAATCCCGGCTGGACAGCTACAGCAGCAGCGCAGCCAAAGTGATGGAGGGGTCATGGGACATGTGCGATTAGAAATTCATTCAAAGAAAACAAAAGATTCACCCACCTGGGGGTTTTGCCAGATCATGCCGACGAGTTTTGCGTCGTGGGCGGATGCCAGGCGGGCGGCAAGGGATTCAACTCGCGCGCGAGTCTCGACGCACGCCGCCCTAGACGCGCGCAGCTGACCCCGCCTCTCACTCAGCTCCAGCTGTGACGCACACGAAGCACTCTTACATGCAATCTTCCAAGGCATTTTCCCCCCCAAACCAAATGTCTGGATATCGATTGCTTTGGCTTCTTCCAGTAAAGCCAGAGACAGATGACTGGAATTAAGTGTGCTCTATACCCCCAGATGGAACTTTCTGCACTTTCTGCACCATGTTCTGTCAAGAGAGCATGGCTGAATGAGGTGCCCCAGAAGCTTTTTTATCAGAAGGAATAAGAGCCTTCTAGGGTACATGCCCCTTCTGTTCCGTTCTATTCTGTCAATACACTCTCCTGTTGCTCCAGGAGAATATATCTTCGCTAATATGCAGCACAGGTATCAAGGGATAGTTCGAAAAGTTCACCTGCAGGCGCTGGTTCTCCAGGGTGAGCTCCTGCAGCGTTCCCTCCCGCATCTCCAGCTTCCGTGCAGCCTCCGCCAGGTGCCGCTCGGCTTCCGCCAGCTGCCGTGCGGCTTCCTCCGCCCGCCGCTGCTGTGCGCTTAGCTGCTCCTCAGCTTCCATGGCCCCTGCCCGCGCCTGCTCTGCCTGGCCTTGAGCCGCCTGTGCATGCAATAAGAGGGCACCCTTGCTCAAATAGGGCAAATGGAGTAAGTAGCGTTGAAGGGCTTATTTTCCTCTGCAGTCACGACAAAGGAAGACAAGTTGGTGGCGCAAACTGCTCTGAAAAGCACAGCATTACAGCAGATAATCCTGGATGGGTGTAACGCCAAAAGAGTGAAGTTGGAGCCATCCTGGCTCTGTATATGTGTAACTAACAGGTAATCTCACCTGTGCAAATATTTGCAATAGAAATAAACACTCAGATGCTGAGACCTGCACGACGAGCCCTGCTAGCCTGATACGTCAGCAGCCCAGAAAACGGCCTCCAGATTGAGGAACATAGGCTTGTGAAAGATCGCACAAGCACCTGCAGCTGCTGCTGCAGGAAGTGCAGCTGCGCCTGCTGTGCCTCTGAGAAGGCCTGCAGCTCGCCAACCATGTCCTGGCAATCCAGCAGCGCATCCTGCCTCGCTGCAAGCTGCTCCGCCGCAGCCTCCAACGCCTCTTGCTGCTGCTCTAAGAGCTCTTCCTTGGCCTGCGTATGCACAAACGAGGATTTCCGCAATCTGATTTGATGGTGCACATATACATGCACATCAGTTTCCTGCAGGGGTCACTGCTGTTCACCCTCGTAAGGCTGCACCCATGGACCAAAGGTTCTTCCCAACCAATTCACCCATGCTTGCTGACATTTCTGCCAGGATGAGTTCAGAGTTCAGCAATGTGGTCTGACATTGTTGACAGATTGACAGACAGTAGACCGAAGGAGCTGTGGTCTACCAGGAGCCGTCAAAGTCACTGTGCAACGTGCTGGCAGAATATGTGGCTCAGGCCATGGTGTCACAGCCAACCAGCTATATCAGAATATCTAATGTGAGAAAAAGGGAAGCATGGGTGAATGCAAGAGTGATCCCACTCACATGCAGGTCTTCCTCCAGCGCTTGTGTGCGTGCATGGAACGCCTCCTGCATGGACGCCACCTCAGCAGCATGCGCCGCTGCCAGCGCTTCTACAACAGCGTTCCCTTCCAAAGCCACCGCTGCATTCTCTGCATCTGCATTTAAGGGTTTGCTGCTGCTGGGTTCTTCGCAGAAGTTTGGTGCATGGGCCGCCGCGGCCTGATCAGGCGTCTCCTGGCCCGGTGAGTCAGCACTGACCAGGAGCGCCTCGCCGCAGCGGGAGCAAACCGCTGTGCTGTCCTGCTGCGCCTGTTTTGGCACATGCAAGAGCACATCAGTATAGACTGCAGTTTCCACCTCCGGTCTCTTTCATTCATGCTCAGCTCTTGTCAAGATTGCGTCAGGGATGGCACACAGAGTGAAATAGCAGAGTTCCCGAACTTGTACGCCATCTATGCACAGCCATTCTCATTCATGACACATGGAAGGAATCTTAAGCAATAGAGCAAGCCTGATGATAGCTGAGAAGTCATCGAAGTCGGCACTGTGTCCTGAGGACTATACAGGTATTAGCGTTCCTTCATAAGTATGCGCAAAAAATGCACCTGTTCTGCATCAGCAATCTTGCGCAGCTGTGCCTCCAGGGTCTCGATGCGAAGCTGCGCTGACACCAGCTTGGGCAGGTCCGATGCGCCGGCCGCAGCGTCTCCGCGGGCCGCTTCCAGAGCATACAGGTCCGCTATGTGCGCTCTTAGATCAGCCTCAACTGCGTCCCGCTCCTGCAAACAGCATTGAGAATAAAGTGAGCCTGTCATCTGCAGGTGGGATGTCAATTTCTGCATTGCAGTCCCTTGTTGTGCAGGCCTTGCAGTCAGAAAATGTGTAAGGCCCCGCCCAAACTGCCATATTGATGAGAATTGGAGCTGCCGCCAGCCAACAGAGGACAGAAGTACGGGGCTAACAGTGTTGCTCCGTACAAATGACATGATGGTAGAAAAAAAAATTGTTGCTGCATCAGGCAGCCCTCAAAATAGAGTGAGTCACCTCCAGAGCTTCGGTGAGCTCCTGCACTTACGCAATCTTCTGCAAATCGGCGATCTTGGAGTGGTGTTACAGGGGGATGACATCACAGTGAGTCACCTCCAGAGCCTCGGTGAGCTCCTGCACTTCAAATTTGTTATCCGCGGCGGCCAGAGACAGCTCGAAATTCTCATCGTGCAGTCTCTCGGCCTCGGCCGCCGCCGCCGCCAGCTGGGCCTCCATGTCAGCGAGCGTCTGACGAAGCGTGGCGTTGTCATCGGCCGAAAGCGCGTCTCCCGCTGCGCGCCCTCCCGCCGCTGCCGCCAGCTGCGACGCCAGATCCTGGCAGGCCCATGAATTCGATGATTATGTTGTCAGAATAATGATCAATATTGTGAATAGGCAACTTATACTGCAGACCACTGGGACCCTTTGCTCCATACCCCCGTATGTCCAACCGGTGACTATGTGATCATCTCATTCATCATCTTAAAGATGCTTCTAGACCCTGCAAAGGTGCAGGGCCTACAGGCATTCTTAGACAGCAGGTCAAGCGGGTCATGTGGGTTGAATACATTCCTGCCCTCAACAGATATGATTTCTGATATGAAATCTAGTTTCTCCGGCACTTTTTGCAAGGCAAATTGTGGTTGTCAAAGTCAAGGTTGCACTCAAGAAGGAACCAGTGCTGACCTGGTTGCTCTGGCGCAGTGAGAGGCAGGCGCCCTGCAACTCCGCCAGCTCCTCTCCCAGAGCACCACCCACCTTCACACATGCGCACCGTCAGCATTCCCATTCATTACACGAGGCCGCCCAGGCCTATGGAGGCCATGAGCAATGTTGCTTGTCTTCATTGTGCAAACACAGCTGCACCCTGTTGCTGCCAAGCTGCAAGGTGCATCGGCAGAAAATGTGGAGAGCAAGGCTGCCACAACAACAACGCCTTGCTGGACATCACAGATCCAAGCACTCCCAGTAAAATGCCAGCACGGTCAGCATCAACACAGTGGCCTGCCAGCCAGGGCCCGACTAATGATCAATTAAAGCGGTAGATATAGCAAAATGTTTTCAAGAATATTGTTCTGCACACCAGTAAAATGCCAGCACGGTCAGTATCAACACCGTGGCCTGCCAGCCAGGGTCCGACTAATGATCAATTAAAGCGGTAGATATAGCAGGAATGTTTTCAAGAATATTGTTCTGCACACCAGTAAAATGCCAGCACGGTTAGTATCAACATTGTGCCCTGCCAGCCAGGGCCCGATTAACCATCAATTAAAGCGGTAGATATAACAGGAATGTAGTCTGGAATATTGTTTTGCACACCTGGTCTTGCAAGCGAAGGTTCTCGGCCTCCAGCGCTTTGCAGCGCGCTGTCAACTCCTGCACCGCCTCTTCCAGTGCCTGCCTGCCGCTGCTACTGTCTCCCTCTTCCTGATCCAGAGTCAATGCATCTCCGCCTGCTGAGCCCTGACTCTCTGTCCCAGTGCAGTGCAGCCTGCGCAAGTCTGGCGAGCCAGATCTGACGATCTCTGGCGCCTCCTGACTAGCTGCTCCCTCGCCGGCTTCCTCTGCCGCAGCCTCGACTGGCGCCAGATCAGGCTCCGAGCTGGGGTGACTGATCGGCGGCGATGGCTCATCCGCCAGTTCAGGCTCCGCTGCATCAGGTTGCCCGATCAGGCGCCGCGGCGACGCCGCCTGATCTGGCGACTGTGCCACATCAGCGTCTGCCGTGCTGGCTTGCTTGATCAGGCCTGCTGACATCAGCAGCAGGTCGACTGCTGCCGCAGAGCCGCGCAACTGAAGCTTCGCCGGATCGGGCGACTGCTGCAGCTCTACCAGAGCAGACGCGGAGCCGTGCAGCTGCAGAGCGTCCAGCCGATCTCTGAGCTCCCGGCTCGCGTCCGCGGCGGCGCGGCCGGCCGCGCCGGCCTCGGCGAGCTCGGCGGCGAGCTCGAGGTTCTCGCGGCGGAGGTCGTCGGACGCGCGCGATTCGGCGGTGGCCGATGCTTCGGCGGCGCGGCAGCGGGCGAGGAGGTCGGCGTTGTCAGCCTCCAGCTGCGCCATTGCGTGGCGCAGGCTCGGCTTGCGCTCGGTCTGCCACGCCTGCTCGCAAAAAGCAGCTACACTGACGTAAGGGTGAGATATCAATGGTTGTGTGCTCTGGACCCTGGAATACAGAGGAGCGGTACTTACCACCTTTAGCGTCCAACCGAGTCTGGAAGCAAGAGAGAAGTCAGTTTGGTAATGCGGACACCAGCAGCACTAGGTTGTTCTTTAGTCTCCCAACTTGGGTGGAACAGGAGGCTTGAAGATATCTCTTGTAAGACTCCTGTTCTGTATTACTGAGCACAAACAAGAGACACGCTGGCATCTTGCTGCAGCCGACAGCTTCTGATTTTGGTCTCTCAAGATTAGACATGCCATATTAGGTGAGACGGGGCATAGTCCCTCACCCTGTTGAGGGGCGTCCTGCCACTGCCAAAGGAGTCCCTCCGCCTGATCACAAATTCTTCCTGTGTCTCAGGCTGCTGCTGCTGCTCTGGTTGCTGATCCTGTGGTTGCTGCATTTCCATTTGCTCCAGCCGCTGCTGGCAAGCATGCAGGGATTCCTCGGCTTCCTTCAGCTTTGCCTTGTAACCTGCAACGTCGCACACCGACAAAGCTTCACATCGAGCACAGACATACAAGATAAATAAATAGTGGTAGAAGTGGTGGTCCCCTGAAGAATACTTGATTCTTTCTCATTTTAATACACAGATTAAGAGGATGGTCTCTCTACACCAAACTCCAGGTACCTGCAAATGATCCGGCAGGGGAAATGTTCTCCATTGTGCGACTTACTTGTTCATTGAGGCTGGATTCCGGTGAAGTGAAGTCAGTGAGGGTGAAGCAAAGTCAGTCAGGAATCAAGCTGTTTATTGGAAATCTCACAGGTGCATGCAGGCACATGAATGGATGGAGAAGGGGAGGATAGAGAAACGCACGCTGCACGTGCTCCTCGCAGTTGGCGCGCACGCTGGCCACAAGGTCCTCCATCACAGCGTTCTGCATCTCCGCCCGGCCCTGCTCCTCTTCAAGCTCCTGCCTGAGCTGCGCCACCGCCGCTGCGTGCTTTCTTTCAAGCTCATATTGAAGCTCTGCAAGCTGTGATGCATGGTCCGCACCGGTTCTGTCAGCAACTGCAGGAAGCTCTTTTTCAAGCTCCTGCCTGAGCTGGGCGATCGCCGCCGCGTGCTCTTTTTCGAGCTCTTGCCGCAGCTGTGCGGTTGCTGCCGCATGCCCGGCCGCCATGCTCTCGATTGCTCGCGCATGCTCCTTCTGAAGTTGCTCCAGAACCTGCGCAGTGGCTGCCTTGCCGTTGACGGGTCCAGCATGCTCTGGTTTGAGCTGTTCCTGAACCTCCGCCATCGCTGCTGCATACTCGGCAGCCCTGCTCTCAATGGCACAAGCATGCTCTTCCTGAAGCTCTTGTCGGAGCTGGCAAAGCTCTGCCGCATGCTGGGAAGCCATCCGGTCAACTGCCCGGCTGTGCTCACAGTTCAGCTCCTCCTGAAGCTGTGCGAGTGCTGCAGCATGCTCGGCTGCCATGCTTTCCACTTGTCGGCTGTGATCCTCGCCAGGATCAATTTGTGCAGCTGCGTCCAGCGCTGGGTGCTCGGCCGCGGCAGCCGGCGCTGCCAGCGGCTGCGCGGCAGCTGCCGCCTCGCGCTGCGCAGTCAGCAGGCGTTCCCTGAGATCCGCCAGCTCAGCTTCCAGCTGCGCGCGCAACCGCGCCTCTGCAGCGCGCAGATCTGCGGCATGCCTCGCGTCACTTGCCGCACCTGCCTCAAACTGCTTTGCCAGCACCGCAAGAAGGTCGGCTTCGTGGCAGCTTCCCAGCTGGTGCCGCAGTGCAGCCAGCTCAGACTGATGCCTGCCCTGCAGATCTCCCACGAGCGCTGCCAGCCGGAGCTCCTCTTGCTCCCTTCTGACCTTACTGTCTGCTTTGTAGCTGGCCTGCAGGCCTGTCTTGACCCGTGCAACCGCGCTCTCGTGCTCGGATATCAGGGCAGCCAACTCTGCCTCGTGCTGGCTCTGGAAGCCTGCGCTGAGCTCTGCCAAGGCGCTCTCATGCTGCTTCCTCAGTGCAGCCACCTCCGCCCCAAGCCGCCTCTCCATCTCTGCCAGATCCATGGCGTGCTGTTCTCTGAGCGCGGCAAATTCTTCTTCTTGCCGGCTCTCCAGATCCACCCGCAGCTGACTCAGCGCGCTGTCGTGCTGCGCTGTCATCGCCGCCAGCTCAGCGGCCTGTCTGTCTGCCGTTCCCTCCAGCGCAGCCGCCAGCTCAGCTGCATGACCAATCGCCAGCTCATTTCTCACCGCTGCTCCTACCTCCCTATGCTGCTGCTCCAAGGCAGCAAGCTCTGCTGCATGCTCGCTGCTGAGCCAGTCGTGCTGTGCAGCCAGGTCAGCCTCGATCTTGCTCTGCAGCTCCTCCAGTGCTGCATCCTTCTCAGCCTCTAGCCCCTCCAGCACATCTGCCAGATCCTTCTGGTGCGTTTCCTGCAGTCCCTCCACCTCTTGCTGGTGCATTTCTTCCAGGCGAGTCTGCAGCTCTGTAAGCTCGCCTTCTTGCTGCCGCTGCAAGGCGGCCAGCTTGGCAGCTTGCTCGTGCTTCAGCTGCTCTCGCAGCTCTTGCAATGCGCTGTCAAGTTGCGCTTCCGCTGCCACCACATCAGCCGCGCACTGCTGCCGCACCGCAGCCAGCTCGGCTTGATGCTGCTCTTGGAGTTCTGCCAGAGCCGTCCTGGCGCATTCCCTCTCCACTGCCAGCTCAGCCTGCAGCTTCTGACAGGCTTGCGCAGTCTGCAGCAGCTTAGGAGCAGCATCTGCTGCTGCCCTTCCTGAGCCTGCTTTGTCGGCAACTGCAGCATTGGAGCTTCCTGGGTCTGCGGCCTGATCTGGCGCGGTGGCATCGTCTGCGGCGTCGATCCCTTCCGCCGCTAGCGCCTCCTGGGTAGTCACCGCCGTCGCTGCCGGGCCGGCCGCTCCTCCGAGGCTGACGCGGCAGACTGCATCAGCCGGAGATGTGTGTTTGACACCGCCGCGGGACAAAGACGGCCCGTGCGGCGGCTGCCCTGGCTCTGCTGATGTCGGCGGCGGCTGCGCTGACGTCAGCAGCGGCCACGCTGATGTCAACGCCGTCGCCGCAAGCACGGCGAAAAGCCACTGTCCGGGAGACACCCCGCCCTTGCCATTCTGAGTCAACCCATCCATCTGCTCCAACAATGGCTGGCCCCCGTCCCCTGCTGCAGACGCAGCCCCGATCCTGCCGTCATCCTTGGGAGCTGCGGCTTCTATTGCCCTCTGAGACGCCATCTCAAGGCTTGCCGCTGAGTCACAATCTCCATCAAAGCCAAGCGGGCTGCTCTCCTCCGCACAGTCTTCGTCTGAGGCTGCCGCCGAATTGCCGCTATGCTCAAAGCGTGCGCAGCGCAGCGCCGCGGCAACGGCCGCGCCGTGCTCCCGGTCCGCCTCGGCCGCCGCTTCGACACTGGCGAGCTCCAGAGCATGCTCCGCCTGCAGCCGCTCCAGTTCCTCGCTGTGCGCCGCCTGCGTGCAGATTTACGCCATGTCTGTTACTACTCAGCGCTGGCAAATGTCCCTTTATCTGAGGAGAGAACCTTGAGCAGGTCCTGCACTTCTTCTCAAGGTCCTGTCAAAGCATTGAGATGTGCCGCGAGCACGTACGTCGGGTTGTGAACCTGCCTTGCACAGCAGGTATGATTGCATACCAATAGCCTTCTGCCAGCAGATGGTACTACCGCCAGCAATATCCTCAAACATGCAGTGCAGTCATAAAGCTTCTGAGGAGGTATATTTCTGAGAAAAAGCACCTGCAGATCGAGGATGGCGGCTCTGTGGTGCGCTTGCCATGACGCGTCGGCATCCGCCAGGCGGGCGGTGAGGTCAGCAATGACGTCAGCGCGCTCGTCCGCCTGGCACGCCAGCTCAGCGAGCCGCCGCCCATCCGCCGCCGCGCGTTCCCTCTTTCGCTCAATTCGAACTTGAAACTCCTCCTCTGCGCCGATCTTCGCCGCAGCCAGCTCCTCGTGCTCTCTCTCCAGGGCTGTCACTCTCTCCTCGAGCTGGCTCCTCGCAGCATTTAATCCGTCCTCCAAATTGCAGCGCGCGGTCTTTGACTCGGTGAGGGTTGCCTCCAAAACGGAGCAGTGGCGACGTTCGAGTTCAAGTTCGTGGCGCAGGGAGCGGGCCTCGTCTCCGGCGGCGTTGTCTGCCGCCAGCTGCCTGATCGGGCCGTCTTGTTGTGCTGCTGCCGCCTCCTTGAAAGCCTGGAACTCCTGCGAAACACCACGGCAAGAAAAAATATCAACTTCTGCAGATAAGGCTTTCAGCGCTGAGAGTCTACACAATGGCTACCGGTACATGGCCTACGCAAGTGCAGCCAACATGGTTTGGAACCAGAAGCTGCAAAGTGCAAGGCAGTCCACTAGAACAGCAAGCTGCAATAGAGGCATTGTGCAACATCGACCCAGTTGCAAGCGTGGCATATAGCAAAAGACTCCTAAGAGCCTTTTAAAGAATGTCTGACCTTCAAATCATCAAGCAAAACTTAGCGCTACCAGCTGCAATAGAGGCATTATGATCTAACCGTGGTGGCGGTCCTTGAAGATAAGAAGATACGCAGCTGTTTCAGAACGCCTTTATTGCGACACAGCCCAGCTCTCAGAAGATTCATCAGACAACTCCGTGGAGCTATGGGCACAGTCTGTAGCTGGAATCCCAGCGGAGACAAATCATGCAGACAACGATAATATGCAACATGTGTCTTGCAACCACTGCATGCCGCATGGCCATAAGGGCTGATTTGATGCTCAGGCATAGCAAACCCATCGCACACTCCTAGACATTAGTTGCTTCTAAATGCATTGGCTGCCACTGTGAGAAGGGTGGGCTGTACACCTGCGCCAGAATTTCCTTCTGGGCTCTCTCCGCAGCGACAGTCTCTGCTTGCTGCGCCTGCAGCGCCTCGGCCGCCCGAGCCAGCGCCTGGCGCTCGGCCTGCGCTGCCGACAGCGCCTCTTCGCGCTCTGTGGCGGCGGTTTGCAGCCGTTCCTGCAGCCAGCAATTTTGCTGTTCACTTGCGAACATTGTCAATTGTCGCGGTACATCCTATGGCTGAAAGTATGTGCATCACGTAGGCCGAGAAGTGCAGATTCCCAATGCTGTCCTTGACGCTTCCTTGAGCAGTGTGTTCTCTTGTATTTTTACATAACGTGACTTTTGGTGCTGCTTGAATAGATGGTGAGCACAATGGAAGGTTGAATGAGAGCTGGAATAAGTGAGCCCAGGCGCTGATATCAGATGGGGATAAAAGCAGACCTGGAGCCTCTGCACCTCTCGCTCCAGAGCCTGCTGCTTTGCGGTGAGCTCACGGACACCGTCCTGGGGCGATCCCTCTCCCTGCACCACCAACAAGACTTCTGAGAACATTGTACTGTACCATCCTGTTGCGTTTTGTCTGCCAGCTTTGCAGACCCTCTGCAAACAGGTGCTATATCCAGGTCACCAAATCAAGCATGCATGCAGTATTTTGGTGCAGACAGTCCAGCGTTACTTGGAGCACGGCACGCGGGGAATGGCACACCTTCCCGGCAGCTGCGGCCGGCTTGGCCTGAAGCTGCGCGCGAAGCTGCGTGATCTCCGCCGCCTGCCGCCGCGCGCACTCCTGCAGCGAAGCCGCCTGATGCTGCGCCGCCAACGCCTCAGCAGCCAGCCGTGCTCTGTCCTGCGCGCATTATTATTATTATTATTATTATTATTATTATTATTATTATTATTATTATTATTATTATTTATTATTATTATTATTATTATTATTATTATTATCATTATCATTATTATTATTACTATTTTTATTACTATTATTACTATTATTATTATAATTATGACTACGGTATTATTATTATTATTTTATTATTATTATCAATCCACCCCCAATCTGGATAACAGCTTCCACCTTGATTTCCTGATCTCTGATGGACCTCTTCCTTCGCAGGACAAGGCGTGTCAGCCAATTTATTGGTTTGTCAGGCCTACTCAGGAAAGTTTCATGCAAAATTCAGGTGCTGATGAGCGTGATGGCCTTTGTGAATAGAAGTCTGCAAAGAATCTGTGCATAGCTGGGTGTGCCCATGCTTGCATACACCATATTAGAAGAGAAAAGACGAACAGAGGAAAAGGAAGAGGAGAAGAAGCATCTTTGCACCGTAGTATGACCACAGTATCAATGGAAGATCTGGTGTAGATCTAAAACAGCAGGAAAAGATTCAGACCTGCTCGCCGCGGCGTTTGGGCGGATTGCGGGAGGTGATTCGCTGCAGCTCCAGCTCAGCGTCGACAAGGGCGCGTCTGAGGCGCGTTGTCTCCTCCCTTGCTGACTGTACCTCCGCGGTGCGCGCCCGCAGCTCTTCCTCTAACGCCCCCTGCGCCGAACCCTGCGCCTGTTTTGGCACAGCCATTCAAATATTGCATCAATCTTGATTTATTATGACCTTAAGAGTCACTAACTTAGATCACGCACTTTCCAGGAAACAAGTTGCGCATGCGTCTGCACCACAAGCTGCAGGTGAAGACTGCCAGCTGTCTTATCCCTTGATTGACTCGCCAGACTCAAGCGAGACCCAATCAACGGTGGCCCCGTTATAGAGGCTAATCATCGAGGCACTTATGCCTACATCAGGGCAGGCAGACAACTAAGCCAGATTATCTGTGTTAGGTGAGGGAAAGACAGGTGCATGCATTTGGGTCAAAAAACCAGGAAAACAGTGACCTGGCACCATGCTCCCATCAAATGCAGGTTCCATGCAAGGTCTTCAAGCTGGCTACGTGGTTTTCACACGACATTTTTTAAGATCATTCTTGGTAGTTTGGTTTGGCACAGACCTGTTTGGGCGCGACGGCGGCCGCGTGGAGGTCTTGTCGGAGGGACGCCATCTGAGCCCGCAGCTGCGCCAGCTCAGCGTGTTGCGCCGCCAAGGCGGAGCCGAGGCCATCACCTGCCTGATCAGGCAGCCCCTGGTGGTGCGGCTGCAAAGGAAGCTTTATGTTGTCAGACACAGCTTTACAGTACACATGGCATTGGGCAGCATATCACCGCCCTCAATGAAATTCACCGGGCAGAAATCCAGGACGCCTGCAGTCGCATCTGTTGATAGTCAGATCGGGCTGCAGGATAGCCTCTCTAGACTTCAGGAATCAATCGACAGCCTCTTGCCTCGGACTGTGGTAGAGGCACGCATTGCACTGAATCCCAAAGGAATTGGGAATGGTTTCGATGCATGCCAAGGGCGCATCATGGACACTATACTTCAGCTTTATGCTACTACAGTATACATTCCTGAGGTGGAAATTGATGGCAGAGGTGTCAGCAGACCGCGGACAGGAAGGTGGGGGCACCTGCTGGGAGCGGTGGGCATGCTGTGTGCGCTGTGCGTCATGCATGCTTGCCAGGTCAGCGTGCTGCCGCTCCACCACCTCCTGCAGGCCCAGCGCCACGTGCACCCTGGCACAAACACCTCATCAACCCCTTGTAACGCCCAATCAGGCTGACACAGGAACAGCGCTAACATTGGTATCGCCCTGGCAAGAACCCGTGCTCTTGCATGGCTCTTGTGACATGCTCCCGCTCGGCCGGCTTGTGACATCACATCGGTTCACACTGCCAAGGATGCAGATGCAGGCGCAAGCCTGCCGAAGCCAATGAGCAACAGACACAACCTGGTGATCTACGCCGTTGCCGAATGCTTCAGTGCGCCAGGATGTGGCAATCTCATAAAAAGAGATGCCGCTTTTGGCACCAAGTGACAGTGCAGAAGCAGATGGCTCAGAGTCGTGAAGGCACTACACTACACAACATCTCTCTTGGATGAGTAATGTGAAAGAGAGAGCCGCACCATTGGTTGAGCTTCAGCTGGGTGTCCGCGCGCGCATTGAGCAGGTCGTGCAGGTGTGCTGCGATGCAGTCCTCCAGCTCAGCGTCTTTTCTCGTCACCCCCAGCGGCAGCGCTGCCAGGAAGGTGTTCACCTGATGATGTCATCAACCGCGTGACATAAGCACATGCAGCTGTCCATCAAATCACATCAGCAGGTGTTCGCTTCCTGCTTATCCAGGTGTGCAAGGTGTGAGGGCTTGTTGTCTTCTCACATCCTTCTGCAACATATGGGTGCCATCTGACCTAGATCAACATCGACAACGAAGACATTTGATGCTGTTCTTCTGCAGGGGTTGGGCAATCTTCTATCTGACCATTGGGAGATTAGAGCTGCATGACAGCTGCACCCAAGACAAAGCCGCTGGTTTTCCTTGAGCTATGCAAGAATAGGAGAAATCTTCAAAGATTGCATTGTGTCCATGAAATTCTGCCAGCCAATGCAGGGTCACTGGGTGCTGGGGGGCTGACCTGGTCTCGGATCTCAAGGTTGGTGGGAACAGGCACTGCAACCCCTGGGTCAGAGGGCACGCCTCTGTGCAGCAACATTGCACTGCCGCCTACACTGCTCTGCCTGCTGGCTGCATTCCTGGCCTCTGTAGCCCTCCAGCCCTCAGCTGGGATCCCACACACAGAATGGTCAGACCCAGATGTGAACCCAACCATGTAGGTCCTGATCTAATGATGTAGGTGTTCTCTAGCAATGCCATTGATCTGCGTTGTGGTGCAAAAATAGTCCTTTCACCAGATCGTGAGGTACAGCAGGTGTACCATGTGCGGAGCGATTGTGGAGGCTTCCCATTGCAGACGGACAGCTTACAGCAATCTTAAGCGAGGGCCCATTCAGGCCTTTATCCCATAAGATTGTTTCTGCGATCCACACCAAAAGATCAGCAAGTGTCTTGCATGAGTTGGTCTGGACAGGGGAGACACATGGGCAATTATAAGTGCAGGTAAGGAGCTGCTGATCGATCTAACCAGGCATTGCTCTTGTGGATGTCAGCCAAATTCAAAAGAAAATCAGAGAGGGAGGCTTGAAAAGAATCCATAATCAACTCTTGGTGCCTTCAGCACGTTTTGATTACGACTCCAGAAGAGAAGAGGGTGTACCAGGAAACGCAGTATGACTGCATAACGAAGCCCCACAGTGCCCAAAGACGATTCAATTCATTCGACAATGAAAGGCGCATCCAAACATCAGCAAGCTGCCGATCTACCACATAACTGACACACATCTTGTGCTATAGTTCCAGTTGACAATTCGTCTGGATTTCCAGATGGCACCGGCGCCACATCGCCGTGATCAAAGAGCATCACGCATTCAATCTGGGCATACAACAATGTCCTGATTTGAGGATCATGCTTCTTGAAGCCAAAAGGTGGTCAGTAGGGTCTAGGAAACCCTCTCACTCAGGAGAGCTCAGCTTCATTTTGTTTGTTGCTGAAACGGCGTTTCAGAAACGCAGATAGACTTCATTCAGCTTGGATACAGGACTTGTATATCTGATCCACATAGTTTTCGCATCTCCACACAAACGTTTTGCGGTCGAGAAAAGGGAAATCATCATATGTTACAAGTGAGACGTTGGGAAATAGTGACGCAGGAAAGTCTTAAACTGCCGAATCCTCGTGTGAAATAACCGGGTATTGCGGAGGCAGCCCGGACTGAGCCTTCTTAGGTCGGAAAGGACCACTTGTATGGTGCAAGGATGTTTGGGAAAAGAGCCGCAGACCTTGTCAAAGAGCTATCTACCGCAGGATCCGATGCTCTTCCCCCTTACAATGTAAGTGAATCTTGATGTCTGCGCAACCTTCTGATTGTTTTTCTGCCAACACGTCCAAGCTTGTCAAGGGGTCATGTAGTGATTGCAAAGTTATGTCAGGCAGTGAACTTCCTTGAGGTCCATGATGAAGTGGTTGATAATTTGATGTTACGCAACCTGTGATTCATCATTGTAGCCTGTAAAAGGAGCATGTTGGGTACTGACTTCCTCATCTCCATATTGCAGGATGAGCAGGTCCGCCTGGTGCTCGAGGAGATTTCAGAGCACTCTGCCACCCTCCAAGAGCTCAGCGGGTAAATTAACCTTAATGAGTGTGCATTTTTTGCCACCGAATCACACTTTATCAATGCCTCGCTTGTTTGATCGGGCCTCATCTCAAGCTGTATGGAGAGGCTGTTTTCAGCACAAAAATGCATGCTTGCGTGCCACAGGGTGCTGAACGAGAAGAAGAGTGAAAGAGAGGCCGAGCTGGAGGAGAGGGGGGAGGAAGGCACGTCTGTCAGCTTTGCAGACTTCCCAGATGAGACCAGCGCCTTCATCGTGCACCACACCAGCATCCTGCGCAACAAGCGCCTGCTGCTCACCTACATGTGCGCTCTCTGCTGGGGCAGTACATCCTTTATTGATCTGCTGTCCCATGGTGAGGGGCATGCATGTCCTGACAGCCATTGGCCAACCGTGACCTGGACAGAAGCCATGAGTCATGCTCATGCTGCAGGAAGGAGCGCATGGACAGAATAAAGCGGCTGAGGTGGCAGCAGCGCAGCCTGCCAGAGGACATCAAGCAGAACCTCAGCCAGGCAGAAATAGAGGTGCGCCCAGCCGCGAGCCTAGCAGGTTCATGTTGCTTCACTGGCAAAGCCGATACTTAAATTGTAGGTGGCCAAAGCAACTCAATGGTTTGCCGCACAGCATGATGATCCTTAGGGCCTTCAGAAATAGATGCCCGCATTATTTTCCTGTCAGGGGGTTCCTTACCCCCTGAATATTAGCGCTCTCGACTATAGACTCTCTAGTACCCTCGATCATGCATCGAGGGAGTTTGCAGAGCTGTGAACTAATACAGTAAGGAGGTGCACATGCGGAGGGGTGGGAGCTCATTTTTTTAAGGGCAGCTTTTGGAAGAAGGAGAGAGAGAGAAGATTGGCTAATTTGTGCTGTGTGCCCTGACCGCAGTGGTTCAACACATACAGCCAGCTGCTGAGCGGATACATGCGGAAGGACACTGGCATCGGCATGGACCTAACTCTGGTGTGCGCTTTCTCCTTCTGCTTCTGCTTAAAGCTGTATCACGGGGAAAAATCACTAAATTTTGTGCACCTCATGTCACACTAGACCAGGGACAACCCACGAGATAGATGGGCTTTTTGGATTCATTGTTTCTGAATCCTCTACCGTATACTGCCTCCAAACGGCACCAATGCACAAATGGCTCAATAGCATGCTGCCAGCAGCAGCAGCGCAAACAATATCTTCACCAGCTGTTCGGCTCACTGGATATCAAGAAAGCATTGGAAGCTGTGTTGCTGATGTGTCTGTGGCATGTGCTTGCAGGATGAGTCACCGCCGAAGGACCCGGACATGTACGTGCGGGTGCTACGGGACTACGGGGAGGTGGCGTTTAGCATGGGGTCCGTAGTGTTGAAAAAGGGGTCCACCCACTTTCTGCCACGGGCCGAGGCAGATCCGCTCATACGAGAGGGCGTTCTCTGCCCCAGCCAGTCCGGCCCTATAGAGGCCTTCAACTCGTCCAATGACTACATCTGATTGAGAACTTCATCCTCCTTCCAGCGCTGAAGAAAACAAGCTAGCTGAACCTGCAGGAATGATCAAAATCAACTGAACTCATTCCCAACGCTGTCTTGGAGGGGTGTATGTTTTCCTTTTCAAAGGTAAGATCATCCTGGGATAACAGGTGCCTCTGAAGGATGTATGGGACATAAGACTTTGCTATCTTTGTAGATGCCACGGGGTTCGCGTACGCCTTCAATTGGAGGAACAGTGTGATTGACGGTTATTAGGGGCTGTATGTTTAATAGGTCTTTCCAGAGCTGCAGAGCAATCCTTCTTTGCGCTGAGTGGCAAATCCAGCTGCATACTTTCGCAACAGAAAAGTTCCAAAAAAATTACACTGGCGAGTAAAATCCTCGAACCAGAGCCTCTTTCGTCAAGACGAGGAGGGGAGGGGAGTGCGCCTCCTCACCCGCTATCCCCCCACTCGCAAACTTAAACCAAAACTCACATTCTTGACAGATGTTTCCTGGATCCAGAGACTCTTTTCCAACATCAATATTCTCCTTTCAGCAGGGAGACCGTAGCAGTGCTCAAGGAATCTGACACCGGTCATCGTGACGATCTGCTTCACCGCACGGCGGAGGCACTGGTGAACTTGCAATTTATCAGGATTCAGGAATTCCTGCACGAGCCACCTTTCGTCTTCTTACTCATGTGCAGATCCCCATGCACAATGGGAGAAGCTGCCGGAAGCCTTCTGTATCGCCTGCCCAATTCTATTTTCGTTCAACGCTGCGATCGTTGACTTCACTGTATAGCTGGCTGCATTGATAGATGCGACGTCAAAATGCTATCGGAAGTTCTTAAACCCCTAACCTGACATGAGTGAACCGGTGGAGGATACAGCGCGACCACCGACGAAGAAACCGAAATGTGAGATGCCAGGATCTTCCTACAAGTGAACAATGCATGAATGTCTCTGAGATCCTTTCTGCTTTGCATTATTCAATAACATTCATATTTTACGGCAATCACCACAGACGTTGTCACTGTTGCAATGAAAGCAAGTTTAGTGCGGGAAGAATGTGCGTAATCGATGTATCCTTAAGCAAAATTTTTCTGACTGCAACGCAGACACGAAGATAACCCAACAGGAACTGCCTGCCTGCAAACCATCCCTAAGCCCTCTAGCGGTGAGTCTCCTTCCATTTTAACCTGCACCAGAGCAGCACTGGCTGCAGTTGCAGTACAGGCACAATCACTCCGATACTCCGTGTCTTCACATCCAAAAACAATCTCTTGAAGATTTATACTACTTGCACGCTGAAATTTTAGCTCATTGGGAAGCAGGTGGTCTCGTTGTTCACCATTATTGGAGCAGCCTTCATACCCATTGGATATGCGTGCCTGAGAGCTTCACAGCAGGTATTCCACGTTTCCACTCCTGCAACAGCTGCTGATATTCAGCAACTAGAGTGGTCCGCACATAGGCCGTTGCTGGATCAAATCCTTATCTCAAATCTTCATCTCCTGTACATTTGCTGTTGTGCCGAGCTCCCCACCCCTGTTTTTGCAGCTCGATGTACATTTGGGCAGGCCGAAACACGACTGTCCCACCTTTCTCAGGTGCTCCTCTAGATTGGGCAGACCAATGATTCTGGGCATGCATGTACTTGTCATGCATCACACAGCACAAGGGGCCGATTCTTGGAATCTGAAGTGTGACTTTGAATTTGTGTTCCAGGTGGTGGAGGCGAGTGTGAGGTATGATGATGTGTGCCTGCCGGGAGGCAGCCACAAGGAGCAGGAGCAGACCCTCCTGCAGGTGACACAGCTTAGCTGTAACTTCAGTGCCCTCAGCATGCTTCAATCTAAGATTTGCATGACGCATGTAGGATGAGGTGCCAGGCATATTGTCTGCCTTAATTTGCACATTATGCCTTGTCACCAGTTGATGCCATGTCAACGAATTGGCAAGTTTTAGTCATTGTGATGGACTTCACATGCCATAGCAGGGGATCACAGCAGTGAGCCTGACGTCTCAATGCACAACAGCAAGAACACCCAATAATGAGTCATCGCTCAGTAATCACGGTGACAGTTGCTTAGTAATGAACATAATGCTGCGCAGACGAACGGCTCCGGCAGCGCATGCACAGTGACGGTGGCGGTGACTCGGCGCATGTCTGCACCGGTGTTCCTGTACTATGAGCTGGACGACTTCTACCAAAACCACCGCAGGTGCCTGACCCCTTTCCACTTTGAACATCTGCGCTAGATTCAAGTGAAATGCACCAGATGGCCTCTCGGTGAGGCATACTATAAAAGAGCATCGAAGCAGGGATGCACAGACAGCTCTGTTGGGGCACTCAGAAAATTTGAGCACTCACAGACAAGATATTGGCAGAAGTGACGATCAAGTGCACCCGTGGAGTCCTTGCTTCTGTGATTGCAACTACCCTCAGGGTCTTTCGAATAAGGATGCTCCTGATGCTTGATGGTTTGCTTTGGCCATGCAATTGCCAGAAGACATTCCTTGACACAAGGACAACCATTGTTTGTAACAGCAAAGGGAATACTAACATTACTGGCATTCATTAACGACAGTGCCGGTCACTCCAGCAGAACCTGGTTGAACACTTAAACTGCATGCACTGCATGGCCAGGCAACATGATCATTGTCCAAGGGGGTACTGCTTTTGTCATCAGAGTAGTCGTGCTTATGTCGTGACAATTTTGCGGCAGGTATGTGACCAGCCGCAGCGATGCGCAGCTGAGGGGAAGCAGCGTGTCAGCAGCCAGCCTGCACAAGTCGTGCGACCCTCAGACGCTGCTCACTGGCTCGACAAACGCTGCCATCGAGCCCTGTGGCCTCGTGGCATGGTCCTACTTCAATGACACGTTCCAGGTGTGTCTCTTCAGGAACTCGTAAAGCTCTCCCAGTGATCTACAGACACTCTCAGGCCTCAAGGCTATTTGGACACTGAATCTCCTCATGTGTACCTGTCTGTGCCTTTCACTTTTTCTCCCTGCATTCTCCCTGCATCTCACCTTGCACCCCGTGTGTTTTCAGCTCCAAAGATGCTTAGGAAATCCTGGACAGCTTTGCTTCAAACATGTGCGCCGTTGCTGCGAGCATCCATGCTGCAAGATGGATGCTTGCCAGCATGTCATGTGTCTCTTGCTGTGTGCGTGCACTGTTGAGATTGATTGTGAAGCTGCCATCCCTCAGCAATCCCATGCGTCTGGGGGGTCCTTTTACAGCATCATTTGAGATCCTGATTAATTTCAGGCAGCTGCCATGAAACTATCCTTGCCACCATGCCTACCCCCGAGATTCCCCAGTCTTGGCTGTGCCTCATGCATGCAAAGCAATGTTTCTAGGTGCCCAAGCAGCTGGCCCCGGCTGGCGGGGGCCGGTACAAATACTGAGCACCGTGCCCACGGTTGATTGGGTCTTGCTTGGATCTGGCGAGTCCAACAAGGGGTAGGATTGTGGCAGTATTTAACTGCAACTTGTCTGCAGGACGCACCTTGCCTCTTGGCAGGACAAGCGTGTAATTATAGTAATGTTAAGCAGCTCAAGAACTCAGTAGCTCACGCTGCCTTCAGCTGTGTTGCATACCGTGCAAAGCAGGTGACCCTGGACGGCGCAGCCGTAATACTGGACGACTCACACATAGCTTGGAAGACTGATGTCAACAAGCGCTTCCCGGCTGCACCCGCCGCTTTCGTCAACACTGTTCCGGAGCTGCGAGGAGGGGGCACCATCAGCGGACCCATCAAGGTGAGTAGAATATAAAACTCAAGCAAATAACCACAGAACACTTATCGATGATTTCCTGCAGGCGGGTGCGGTGTGAAGCTCAAGCATTATACACTTTGGCGTTGTTTGCATGCGCCAAGTCTATCAAGGGTATAAAATTTGGCAACCTGCATCTACAAGTTGGCTGCAGACAAGACCTTTTCTCCTCACCTGAAGAGCATGCGATATAATGTAGAAATGAGCCTGCCGCAACAAAGTGTTCCAGCTGTTAGGCAGCAATCCATTGCAGTATAGTGAGCTGTGCACACCAGCACTGTATTGCAGCTGGTCTATTATTATTATTATTATTATTATTATTATTATTATTATTATTATTATTATTATTATTATTATTATTATTATTATTATTATTATTATTATTATTATTATTATTATTATTATTATTATTATTATTATTATTTATTATTGCATGCTTTTCCTGCCAAGAGGCAAGGTGCGTCTTAACATAATAAGACAAAAATAAAGAATTTCTGGGTTACTGAGCAGCAGCTTGCTGAATTCAATACAGCACACCACTGACAGCATCTTCAGTTTGTGACTCTTGTCTTTGTACCAAAGGGGATGGTATTGGCTCCTCGTAACCGAGGAGGGAAGAGTCGCCATGGAAGCCTTTCTTCCTATCTTACCCCATGCACGCTAATTTAAAGAAAAATTTAATGCAGGCGGACGAGCACTTTGTAGTGTGGATGCGCACAGCGGCGCTGCGGAACTTCCGCAAACTGTGGGGACGCATCAACACAGACATCCCTCCTGGCGCCAATGTCACCGTGCTCATTCAGAACAGGTGCGCAGCCGCCAGCCTCCCACTTCTGTGCTGCTGCATGCTCCTGGTACCACAGCTGGTTTCATGAAAGCTGGGCTGATGATGGATCTGGACTGTACACAGCAGTGTCTTACATCCCTGGAAATTGGTTGGATGCCAGATTCAGTGTTTTGGAGAATCTCTCAGGGATTGACAGCCCCCAAGGCATTGGCCAAGCTAATTCAGGGCCAGGGGTAAGGATTCAGGGCAGCCCCGGAAAGATTTGGTAAAATGGCGTCAGGGCGATTCCCCAAGCCAAAAGGCTGTGACTCAGGGGCACCCCAGATTCTGGAAATTTGTACCACCTAGTGGGCAGATTCAACACAAAACCTGCATTTCCTGGTAGATTATCTTGGGAATCTCAGAGATGTCCCAAAATTCCAGCTATCACCGCGGCAGCGGACCGAGGTGCAGCCCCGGCCGCCCCTGCCCTATTTAGGGGCTGGCCCGGGAACTTTTGAGACCCCTGTCAATCCCTGGTGGAGAATTTTGCATGAATGTAAGTCGGAAGCATCTTTGGCGAAAGCTTGGGGCAGTAAAGCTGTAGAGAGGGCAAGAGGCATGCACCAACATGTGTAGCTAGCTCCTGTTCGGCTCTTTTTGTGTGTCTCGTTCAGTTCTGAAACAACGCAATCCTGCATTGTGTGCAGGTACAATACGTACCGATTCGGGGGCAAGAAGAAGGTTGTACTGAGCACTGCCAGCTGGCTGGGGGGCGCTAATCCGTTTCTGGGCATCGCCTATTTTGGTGTGGGGGGCGCCAGCCTGGCATTTGCGCTGGCATTTGTCATGCTGACGTGGTTGACCCCCCGCCAGCCTGGCGACAGTACCCAGCTGTCATGGAACAAGAATAGATGAGCGGTCTGACTATGCATTTAAATAACAATCTTGAATTCAAATTAGGTTTTGCAGCGCACTAGTGTTGAGCTCATGCGAGTTGAGTGACTCCTGACACAGATCCTAACATCATGGAAATCTGACTGTGGATTGGAGGATTGCTGTACGTTTTGTTTTGCGCATAGATTTTCCTGGGTTCGGGATAGATATTTTTCCCATCGCAGATGCGTTAAGAACTTTAAGCGATCTCAAGAGTCATACATGTTGGCAAATTGCAGACCTCACCTCAACACAAGGTGCTATTCACCCATTTTGAGCATGTCTTTCCAATATTTGATTGAAAAGTCACATTCCTGTCAAAAGTATTCCCAGTCAACTGCAAGCAAATTCATGGTCCACCCGCAAGCGGCTGCAAACTAGCTTGTTGAAGTTAAGGCTGCAAGTCCTACCCTTTTCAAGAGTGACCGTAATTCAGGTAAGACCCAGACGATTGTCGGCACGGTCAAAACATAGCGCTGTCTCCACGCAGGTGCCTGTTGGTAGGTCCAGCACGGAGTCAATATCTGGGCAGGTGATGATGACACGTCCTGATGTTGTGATTTGGTTGCACCCTTCGGGTCCTGCAGACAGGAAACTGATCATACCTTGCCAACCTACCCCTTGGAACAAGTCATCCTCACTGCAATATTATTAATTTCATTTTACATCACCACAAACCCGAAAGGAACTCCGTCTAATGCTCAGCTGGAAGAAGACACGAATCGATTCGTGATATTCTTATCTCACCGTCATTCTTGACAAGCTCTTGTCTTCTCAAAAAGTATGCAAGGTCTGCATCCAGGAGAATTGGACGCACGTATCAAAATACAGCTCCCCCTTACGAGGCAAGATAAGTCTTTTGGCGTGCAACGCACAGAGTAAGCTAGCCAATTCAAATTTGTCTACCGGTCTCTCTCGGATGTCCAATTCATTTTGACGTTAAAATGCTTACCAGTGAATGCTTGCAGTCTTCTAGGTAGAGCCCACTCGTGCGTAATGAAAACAGCTTTCTTTAAGAAGCTAACGCAGGGATTTCAAACTCATAACAGGAGCAGAAAGCCAGGTTCTCCTAATCTTAGGCCAGAACGCAGTCTTTTCTCATTCTTCTTGTGCTTTGGCTCATGTCCAGGATGCACTCACAGAAGCATCCCCTGCAGCTGCCAGAAGAAGTGTGGCTCAAGATTACCAGACACTTGAGCCTAAAGACCTGGGTCAAGGCATCAGGTACCTGCAAGAACACCCGCAGTGTCCAAGTGGAGATCGTCAACATCCCTGAGAAGTTGCAAAAGTCAGGTACGTGTTTCTGCAAATGGTACAACGACTGAGCTGAGGCAGAATTTGACAGCGTCTCCACAGATATCCAGGGCTGCCTAAATGGCACTATTTAAGTTCTCTGGGCAATTCCAGAATATCTTATCTGCCTTGTAAATTTTGGCTGTTAATGTGCAAAACGTTCTGGACCCCAGAGGCCAGGAGCAAGAGCCCAATCCCGGGAGGCATCCCCCTGGGATGTCTAAACCTGAGCTATGTTGCCAGCAAGAGGTTGTTCTGGGTGTCAAGTCATGTCATTTGTATGCACGCAGGGATTCTCTGGGTGGGAGAGAGGCTAAAGTGGGTGAGAGTGCTGCAGCTGCCGGGCAGTTTAGCTCAGCACCTGGCACAAAGAGCAGAGCAAGGCTCGTGTGCGCTTCATTCCCTGACTCAGCTGGAGGTTGAGTCACCTGCGAGCCAGATGGCAGGAGAACCTGTGAACATATGGTTCACGTGGCTCATCGCACAGGCCCCAAACTTAACTGTGCTGTCTGCAACGCTTGGCCCCAACTCATGGATCCCCCCAGTCAGCCAGCTGAAGCATCTGGTTCTGATCGTCGCTGACAACACTAACCATGTGTTTAAGGCCCTGTCCTGTTTAAAAGGACTGCAGACACTTTGTCTTGGGTTCAAGCCAGGTACAGACAGTGAAATGCATGTGATGCGGACACCCAAGTTAAGAATGAGTGAATTGAGGCACCTGCATACAGTAGCGCTCGCAGGCATTTGCCCTTTGGGAATTTTTCTGCCTGAGACCTGCATGCTCTCTTTGAAGGCCCTGGAGGCGTGGCATCTCTTCAGTCCTATGTGGGAGAGTGTTCTTGAGAACTTAAGCGTGGTGAGATTCACATGCAGCGGGCTGGTTTTGAGCCGCATTCCTCCTCTTTTGAGCGGTGCCGACTTCAGATTGGACAAGGTATACCTCAACGTGAAGAGTCTTGGTTCAGCTGAGACCCATTTGTCCCTTCAGGAGTTGTCGCATGTGCGAGTGCTCAATCTTTCAGCCCAGGACCTTTACATAAGCATGCCATCTCAAGTGAAGTGGAGGCAATTGATCATCAAAGCTCGCCGGACTTTGGATGTGTCTTTTGAAGACGTGGCTGGCTTTATCAAACGCGTCCCGGAGGTCTGTTTTTTCTACAAGTCTCTGATGGGGACCTGGTTGTTTGAGTTGTGTGGGGCTCTGGCAAGGCAAGGCTCTGAGTGGAGTGTACACAAGAGTCCCAAGGGATTCAATGAATTTCAGACGCCGGGGATGAAGGGTGCAGACACCAGCTTCTGGGTGGGTAAATGCTGCTGCGGTGCGTGCATGCCCTGTCTGCGTGCAGCAGGCGTCGCAACTGAGATTGCATAGCCGTTGCATTTGGTAGTGGGGTTCAGAAAGGTTGTCAGAAAGTTGATCTTGCATCAAGTTCCATATAGTATGTGCATCTTGCTGTGCACGAGTGAGCGCTTGGTGAAGGCAGTGAATATTACAAGGGCACATTCAAAAGTCGATAATATATATGATAAGGCCCGAGCAAGCACATGATGAAATGGATAGAGTATAAAGCTCCATCACACAGCTGCTCTGCAGACTACTCCGGGAGATTTTTATCCTTTGATAGCCATGCAGGTAAAGGTAGAATTTCTCGCTGTTGTACAGTCTCACTCAAAAGCTATTGTTTGCTCGTGCAGCAAGGTCAGCAGTGCAAAGGATCCTACCAGGCCACCAGAGTCCCGTGGCCAATGACATTCGCACCCAAACAAATGCACACACAAACCCGTAGCCTCACTACAGCACATCTAATCCGATCACATGCACCCTAACTGGCCCACTGGTCCATAACAGCCTAGCACACGCACTATCCCTAACACTGCCTGCACTTGCTGCAGTCCTGTCCAAATTGTGGCTTTGGCATGGCTTGGTGTAGATGAGTGGACAGTGACATGCCGCAGTCATTGGAACAAACACCGTGTTGGAAGCAGACAGCAAACACCGCTGATTGGCCTGAACACCGAAAAAGCCTTGAGGCATTGGTCCTACACAGACCAATCAACAGTTACCACATTTATCAGTGGTGCCCATTTTGTTGTCATGTATCTCCAACAAGGGAAAGGAGCCTTTCCCAAGAGTCCTTATATAAAAGGCACCATTACTTATCTGCGGTACAGGTCTTGGGCCTCAGGCTTATCTAAGGATGGAATCCATGCCCCCCTTCGTATGCACATCTGCGCAAGCCACCCCTCGCTAGCAGACGGCAATGAAGGATCATAACAATTATACGCCAAACGTCAGGCAGCTTACAGGCTGGTACAGGGATGCCTAGTATCACACCCATCAAATGGGTGGGTTCACTGGGCGGTGCGGCTGAGGGGGTAGGGCAATTTGCTTGCGCACCTATCACAAAACAGGAAACAGCAGATGCTGGTTGAGTGCAGGACACAATTGCCAGCACCTGGCAAAGAGGGCGCATTTGTCCGGGGCCCAAGCTGCAGTGAAATCACAACCCGCAGGCCGGTTAGCAGGAGGCGACGGGGCAGAGGGGCAGGCTTTGCGCATCTGCAGCCAGCTTTGCCAGGGGCAGTATTGAGTGCCTCTCATGCTGGACACAATTGCTGGCGCCTGGCAAAGAGGGCGTATGCCTCCCTGGCCCACGCTGCTGTACAGCCTCCAGCACCAGGCACACCCAGTGCCGGGGTTTGTTCCCAGGGCGGTGCAGCTGAGAGGAGCACAATTCGCCCATTCGCAGCTCTCGATTTATGATTTATGACTCCGCAGGCCGATGATCAGAGGAAGTTTCTGCAGAGGCGGCAAGCAGTGTGCAAGTGCATGCACAGCCTGCAATCTCCCACTTTTACATCAGGCACACCCGGTGCCGGGGTGTGTTCCCAGGGCGGTGCGGCAGAGCGGGCAGGCGTTGTGCATGCGCAGCCATCGGTCGACGCATGCCTGGTGGAACACGTGGCAGCACTGCGGCAGCTCCCGCACCTTCTCCCCGCGCGCGAACCCCTCCAGGCAGATCGCGCACTCGCCCACCTGGGACATGTGTAACCCTGATGACTCAGCCTCAGTCACCCCGAGTGATGATTCATTCTCAGTCACCCACTTATCCGTCCTGATGCCCGCCATGCCAGCACGACACCTTGTTTCCACAAGGTGATGACTCGGCCTGAGTCCACCCACAGAGCTCGGTTGTTAAGAAACCAGTGCCACCGCACTCCATTAGCAATAGGGGCATGCACTGAACCGACACTGGCACTCAGTCACCCTGGCACTGCTACTGGAACCCCACAGATGCCACTGTGCCAGAAAATTGTACGCAAACTCTTCTGCAGGTTCAACCCTAGAGAAAGAGAAACGACGCCAGCAGAACAGGACGTGCAACAGGCCGAACGGGGTCCTTGGGAGCACACTCCCACTGGTGCTCGCTCTGGTCTGTTATTCGCATTTTCCCATCTCTAGACGTGCATCTTCACTGTCGTTTGGGAATGTGCCTCTGACTGTCTCTGGGGGTAACCATGTCCCCAAATTCCCCAGCGCTTCAGTCGCATTTTTTGCTGTATTTTTTTTAAAGTGCGATGAGGCCACAAGAGACCTATGCAAATTGGCTTAAAGGCGGTGGATAGCCTTGTGCCAATCGGCCATGGCCAACCGGAGTTGATCATGGTGACCGCCAAACAGGCAAGACCGCAATTGCTATCAATACCATATTGAACCAAAGGGCAGTGAACAGTGGGGGACGGAGGAGCGCCCACCTGTCTGCCAGTGACGGTGGCGGCGCCATCCTGCCAAGCCACTTTGGCAGTGGGCAGGCTCTCCATCACCTCCTCAGACATCCCCTCCGGCATCGATGGACCTGTGCAAACATGCATTACTCAGCCGTGACTGATAGCCTGGTGTGTGCCAGGCGGCAGCTTGTTCCTGTGCCTGTGCTCGTGCCTCAATTGCAGCCCAAGCCAAAGTGTGTCACCAGAACACATGAACCTTGACGTCTACCTGCCATCATTGAAACGGGATACAGCGCAAGACACACAAAGCAGCGCAAGCGCCCAGTGGCAGAAAAGGACACTTTTTCCCTTCAATGCATACGTACACGCCAGACAATCTCGTCCAGGAGCACATGATCAATTCCCCAACAGTCCCCTTGCACAGGGAGATGAAGATGGGAATCATAGGAAGATGTAGAAAAGAGCGCACCCCCAAAATACTCGTAGAGTTCTTCGTAGGTCATGACGTCCACGAGCGCGTTGAACTGCTGCTGCGCTATCGCCTGCCCCAGAGCATTCACCGGGTTGCCTGCAAACACATCGTGGCAGAGCAACGGTCAGAACTCGATTCTGACCTGGAATTTTATTATCATTATTTACATGTAATCTATTATTTTTATTTATCACAATCTATTACATGCACAGCACCACAGCAAGGCTCAGAATCTTACAAGCTCCTCCCCTGATGCCAGTGAAGTTGGTGTGTGGCACTATATCAGAAATCAGTGCCTCTGGAAGGGGCCTTGGCTGGCCAAATGTCACAGATCAAGCTTTCTGGCATTCAAGAAAGAGCCCGACTCTGCACCAAATCCCAGAGAGGAAAAAGCACGCCAGGGCACCAAGTTAAGCGCAACTAAACCATTCCACACGCCTTGTCAGACAGCGTAAGGTCCCGCATCATTCCATTTGGACATCAGAATGAGGAGCACCGGATTGTGCACTTAAATCAAGGTGGCCTGCGCACTGGAGCGCGCATGGGCTTCGCGGGGAAGGCGCAAAAGATGATGCATCTTAATGAACCAGGCAACTACTGTTGACCTTCCCTCCAAAACTCCTGAAAGTGACCATCTAAAAGTGACTAAAAAAGTTACAGGGCGCACTGGAGCGCGCGTGGGCTCCGCGGGGAAGGCGCAAAAGATGATGCATTTAATTAACCAGGCAACTACTTCCCTCCAAAACTCCTAAAAGCAACCATCGAAAAGTGACTAATAAAGTTACAGGGCGCACCGGAGCGCGCGTGGGCTTCGCGGTGCAGGCGCATGAGCAGGTGCAGCAGCGCCAGTCGCTCCACCCGTCGGTGGGGCAGTCCCCCCTGCGCGGCCGCCCGCAGCAGCGCCTCCGCGTCAGCCGGCTCTCGAAACGCCCACGGCAGCTCCGAACCGCCGTCGCCGCGCTGCAGAGTGAAATGACACCATCAAACTAGCTTGGTGATTAAATTGGTCTCCTTTGGAGACAGCCTTCTCATGGCGGCACGAAGGCCGCAAGATGTGAAGCAAAAGGACGTCGAGTATTCTTGGCGTAGCGTGACAAAGCCAAAAACGGGACGTCGGCCAAGTTGGCGCAGCAGAGACTCGGCCCACTTTTGGCTCGGCAGGATGCCAGCCTAAAGGCACTTGCTTCCTTTTGCGGAAAAGGTCAGAGTTTGGGAATTGCCAATTTGCCAATGTCACCAATGACATTGCGGTCCGCCAAAAGCCTGCGCTGAAGATTTCGGCATGATGGGCCTAATGTGGACGATGATATTGAAATCTCTGGAGGAGATTTGACTGTATCCAGCAGATTGTGTATGCAGTTTATGGCCTGCCCGTTCTGCAGGAATGCCTGCCCAGTCAGTCTTTTGAAGCAGCATGCACTTGTTACTTGCTTATAGATGCATGCTGCCTCGCAAGACACCGAGCAGGCACCCCTGCTGGCTGCACTACCCTATGTCTTTGGAACGTCTCTGAAAATGTAAAATGTGGCAAGATTTGCAAGCTTCTTTTCAGGGATGTCTTGCCTCAGTGAGACACCCAGCAACGGTAAGAAGAAAGCCAGTATACATCTTGCTCATCAGACAATGGCAGGAGCTCACCAGGTAGTCTGAGAAGGAAGCCGGGTCCCTGCTAGACGGCCGCCGCCGCCGCCGCTTCTTGGCTGTCAGCCGCCGCGCCGTGTGCAGCGCTGCATGATACAGACAACGCCTCAGTACTGTTACATGCTCATACAACCTGAGGTGATACTGCGCAGAATTCTGCCAACACAACAGACCAGGGAAGCCACCTCCCTCTGGCATCAATCATGCCTTGGCTAAGCCACCTGCATGACTGGCACCACAGAAGAATGGCTCTCCAAGCATATTGCAGCAGACTTATTGCTGGCTGCGGTGTTTGCAGACACTTCGACACAGTGAAGATGGCATGGCTTGCCACTGCAGGACTGCTGAAAATACCTACAGGACAAAACCACCGCATTCCATTGCCCAACAAGGCATAACAGTGCCAGCAAGCGCCACAAGGGAAAGTCACAGCAGCACGATCAGTTGCGCACCTTGTAGGCTCAGGGCTGCGCCAAAGGCCGCCCACAGAGTTTTCTCTCCCAGGGACAGCCGCTTGGAGTCTGCGAGCAATGCGCTCGCAGCCGCCCCTGCTGCTGCTCCGAGCAGGCCAACCGCTCCAGTCACTACTCCTGCACGTGTTGCGCACGTCACCGGACAATCGGCAAGGCAAAGGCACACCATCCTCAAAGCCAGCTGCACTCTACAAGGGCTCCCTACCCTGGAGCGAATTGATGTGCGTGGAGATCAAGCACAACAGCAGATTAATAATAAGCTCCTGCACGTGAATCTGGGGATGAAGTGAGCGGCGAAGGGTAGCAAAGGAGGGAGGCCAAGGGAGTACTGCACTTCTAGGGCTGGACCAGGATAAGATATTCGCAAAGTACCAGAAAAAGCTAGGGGGCGAGCCTCGCCTTTTACGTTTACCAGCCTCATGGTCTGCTGATGTCGTGGGGATTCTACAGAGGGCTGTAATCGCGTCGCTCCACAGTCAAGGCAACGACCGCTCGTTCCGCTGTTCGTCACTGCACAGAGGTTGCACTCCCAAGCAGCTTCTGTCATGCAACGCAGGTGTTCTTTTAAATCGAAATTTCTGCTGGTACGGGGTGCTCGGTAGATTCTTGCAGTACTAAAAGAACGAATTACAGGCCCAAGGACTGAAGGTGGACCAGCCGCTTGGAGCACGTACTTCCGACCAATCACCGTGTTTCTTGTGGATCCTCCCTCCTCAACTCTGAATACTACAAGGTAACTGTCACGAAATTAACCCACTCAGCAAGCTGGGGGTTCAATCCCTATATACAGCACACGGTGCCTAGGAAGCTTGCAGGGGATTGGTGCACCAAACCAGACGGTATGAGACGCAAGATCAATCCCAAACTCGCAATGCACCTCCTGAGGGCAAAGTTTGATGGATTGGAAGCTGAGCAACACCTTGCCACGCATTCTATGACGCATCATCACCAAAGGCTGACTGGTCCAAGTCAAGTCTCTTGTGCGCAATTTTTTGTCCATTCTTTAAACGAACAATCAATTCTGCTATTACGGCCTTTCCTTTTCTCATATCGAGAAGAATCCAGGTGCGCCTCAATGGGCAGGACGAGCTCCTTGGCAAAGCTGGTGCAGCAAGGCACAAATGTCCTAGCGAGGAGTGCAGCAGGCCCAGCAGCTCAGCTGGCGTCCGATGCCAGCTCCAGCTGCAGCGCACGAGCTTCCATTGTGGTCCAGAATTTCCAGCGACGAGAGGGCTCCTCGTTGACAACCACTAGCCATGACAGTGTGTCAGCTGTCACAAAATCTCTGCTTCTCGATACTCTCAGCTTGGTGAGAGCTTACTGCTCATCTTTGAAGTATAATCTGACGTATTCCACCTCTGTGCATCACTTTGAAAGGCAGCTGTGCGTTGCTACAAGCGCTCACCAGTCAACCCTTGATCTGCCAACGTGCTGCTGTCTGCTAACGTGCAGATGCGAAGGTTCGAGAAGATCGGTCTCACGAGGGCACAATCGGAGCAGATGACGGAGATGCTGACGGAGGTCGTATGTCTAAACAAAGAGAAAATTTCGCAGCAGTTTGTGACCAAACAGGCGCTGGAAATGGTATGTGTCCTCTCTTTCAGTGAGGATCAGGCTTGAAATGAAATATCTGGGCATCCACCTCAGTGTTTGTCTTCCCTGAGACGACCCGCATCAAACTTAAAATACAATTCGCTAAAGCCGCTTTGAACATGCAGGCAATTTTGGAGCAGGAGTCACGGATAGCGGGGTTTAAGGGGGAGGTGGCAAAGAGCCAGGAGCTGCATCTGGCGTCTCTCTCGCGGGACACCGAGCGCCTGACCAACAGCCTGGAGAAAATGCGCGCAGAAATCAAGTCAGCCCCTGTTCCTTCCCAACACCGCTCAACCTTTGTGTAGGCTGGAGTAGAATAGAATCCTACATCATACCAGCATCGTCTGGTTCAAGTGCAAATGCGCCTTGATGTTGGTGCCTTGTCAGCTCAAGCCCTTGCTATTTTAGCAACGGCGATCTGCTGGGGGAGCCATATTCCATTCTAGCCGTACTGACCGCTGTGGCAAGACGCTGGAAGTGTTTGTCCTGCATCCCCAAGAAAGGTTACGCAGCTGACCTGTGTGTTTCCAATGTTTTGCAGCTCTATAATCCCAGTGGCTTGTATCTGGATGCATATCAGATCAGATGCATATGTGCATGGCTTGTATCTGGAAAAAAATCATAGAGATGTGTGTTTTGCATGATCAGATACGAGGTGGACAAGCTGTCGGCCAGCCAGCGGCTAGACCTCAACTTGGAGAAGGGGCGCATGCGCGACGAGCTGCAGGTGAAAATTTTACGCCCAAAATTTCTTGTATCTATTTCTTACCTGCGCCTCTGTGCTCAGCATTTTACCTCGCCTTGGGCTGAAGGCATTCCAATCCTGAGTTGCAGGCATAGGGTGATACCCGACTGAGTAGAGAAACGTGAAGAACAGCGCAGCAGCTGCAGAAGAGTTTTTGCATGGCGCAGCAAATTTCTGTCTGCATATCCTATTTGCATTGGACCGCCAGAAGGACAGCAAGACGTGCCACAGGAGTGCTTTTATAAAAAATGTCGATTTCTCACCCCGCCCTTGCTGTAAATGCAGGCGCTGCGGGACAAGTCCAACGAGATGGAGATCAAGATGGACCGGGAGACCAACGCGCTGAAGGCAGCTGTGGAGCAGAGCAAGAACGAGGTTCTGCGCTACAGTCTGTCCATGATCCTGGCTCTCATGGCAGCGGGCCTCACGGCAGCGCGCGTGCTGCAGAAATGAGCTGGAATTTCATCGTAATTGTTTGGTCAGAGAGGGTGTCAAGTTGGTGGCAGCTTGCTCAAATCAGGGGCGCGGCATGCGCTGAAGGGTGGAGGTCTGCTAGGAGCGGTCATTTTGTTCAGGACAAGCGCCAGTCGAGTGTGTCCAAGAGTCACAGTATGTCATCGCATGCTGCCCAGAGGCAAAGAGCTGCCTCGAGACAGAATCTCAAAAGGTCACGACATGTTTGATGAATGAGTGTAGGATTTAAATAACTGTTGTTCAAAACAGTTCTTACCAAACCTACAAACCTCTAAATGAGGGACGGCTGAGGGATAGCTGAGAGGTCTCTCTGTTGCCAGACAACTCCTCAGCCGCATGTCACTTGCTGGCAGTGGAATGTATCAAAGGCATTCCAAGACACCTTGCCAAAGACAGTCTGATGACAGTCACGTGACACAACTCCTTCTGATCAATAAGTCTTCTCTTAGGCTTCAACAATCGCCCCACTTCAAAATTACACAGTTCTCTTCTCAAAAAGTTTCCATCGTGCAAGCCCAGCTGCCACATGGCCTATACTTCCAACAGACCTACCACAAATAGAACAGCGTGTATATTTCCTGGTTGATGGAAGCTGCCTCATAGGTTTCAAGAGAGGCTTATTCAAGATGGCACGAAAGTTCATAATACTGGTCCCTCGCGCTGCCGGTCAGATAGTTTTCACCTTCACTCGAGCTCGTTGTGAATAATCATCCTCACAGGTTCTGGCAGCTGCCTCACAGGTTCCACCAAGCGCCGCTGTTCTTTTTCGGCGGCTGCTCCTGGAATAGCGGTGTGAGCAGGCTGCCATCCGGCTGGCTGTCAAAGCTGCCCACAAACCTGTACTCCTCTGTCCTCTTCCCCATATCCTCCCGCTTGAACACCTGCAGGCAGCAGACAACAGGACTTCTAAAAGAACAACACTTGCGCTATTTTGTGTGTACACATGTGTGGTTGTCCACTTTTGCATCTCGGTGGCATTGACACCCCTGAATCTTGATTTTTGTCTTGCCCTTCCAATGAAATGCGTCAAAGTTTGTTCAGGTGAAGGACATCAGTCAAGAGACACCGGTAATATGTGCAGCTGAATGGTTTCTGCCCCTTCTGCTGCATGCCATCTTCTCCTGGTTGCAAGGATGTAATTAGACAGTTGGCAATAGATTGAGACACGTCAATAGTTGCTTCAGATGGTCAACAGAAGCCAAGGACATCAGTCATCTCGCAGCTTCCTGGTCTGAGTCCATTCTGCTGCCTCCCATCCGTCACCTAGTGCTGGTGATTCAATCTGAGCAGTTGCAGACGCCGGTAGCACACGTAAGCTAAACTGATCAGACATGCATGTGTCATGCAAGGTGTGGGAGGAATGCCACAGGACCAGATGCGCGCATGCATTCGCCACTGAAGAGCGTCGGTTACAGCCCCGGAGGCCAAAGTATTGGAAAAACCTCCCTTCAGGAGTACTGAATGCAGAATCAAGGCAGCGCGTCGCCAGAAGAAGGACAATGGCGGCCTCGCCGTATATACCAATTGCATGCAATGTACAAAGATAATGTGGAAGAAAATTGTACCTCCCAGGGGCCTCCATAGACGTGGCGCAGGGCTCCCCTGATAGGATACATCATGGCAGAGGAAGAATAGAGCAGCCGGAAGTGGTATGCTGGAATGAAGGAATCCGCAAACTCCATGCGCTCTCTCCGGCCCCTATTCAGGCATTTGTGACAGTATTTGTCAGTCGAGCCCTGGGCTGGACTTAATGTTCTGTCAAGGCTTGCCAACACCCCGCAAGCATCCTTTCTGCTGCCGTCATCCTCGACTGCATGTGTGCTCATGGATTATGTGTAAGGGCATTTTCATGCATTCCTCAGCAGTTGTTCTGTCATGATGAGGGACAAAAATGGAAGGAAGAAGGACGCAGGATGCTAAGATTTTGCGAAGTTTCTGAGCTGCCCAAGTGAGGGGGCAGCCGCACCTGACGCCCATGACACCAGAGGCTGAGGGCAGGTCCTTCAGCAGGGGATTGAAGAGGATCAGCGTCTTCTTCTGCTCCACTGCAGCAGTTGCCTGCATCAACAACACCTGATCTGAGCAACTAACACAGAGTAGTTGCTCATCGACATATAGCACATTGACAAGTGTACCCAACTCACATGTCAAAAGCTCCAGATGTATTTCCCTCACTTTGCATGGCACAAGATGCAGATACTGTGTCATCTCAACAAAATGCACTTGCTGCAGCAGCATTTGTCAGCGTGCCGATCAGGACATTCAGAGAGGATTCCCTTCTCGCTCAGTATATGTTTCCCTGCCTGCAGGCAGTGGGTCCAGCTAATAGGTATGGCGACTCCTGCCCATGCATTTCCGCGCAGCATGCAAAACGCCGCCATGCTGGTCACTAAAGCCATCCCCTGCAGGGAATGCGTCAACGAGCAACACACAACTCCTGTCTTTTTCCCAAGGAAACACAGGAGATGAAAATGCGCACCATCTCGAGAAGTTTAGTCATGATGGTAGAGCCGACGACGTTCTGGGGGGCCACGATGACGTAATAGGCGCTGTCATCCAGGTGGTCCGAGCCCACGTTGCCGAAGCTGACAAATTCAAACACCTCGCCCCAGTCCATGTTCTCCATTATCCTCCTCACGCCTGACAGGCTCAGCGGAAGCCCCTGTGCACACGTGCGCGACTCCTTCTCAAGATAGGGGGTAAAGAATGAAAGGCGGCATACATTCTGATAACAGAGGACCACCACTGAACACAGTGGCCCATGAATGCCTTGGTGCTTAAGCTTATATTTAGAGATTAAAATGCCCTCACAGAAATCCTTTTGAAAAGAAAAATTCTCTGAAAACAAGTACCCATTTTAGCACACCATGCAGTCAATGTATGGCCAGACCGCAGTGCCAGTTTCCTAGGCAGGGTCTGCACAGCCTGCAACCTCCAGACGGCCTAGCACGCAGGTGAAAGGCCAAGTACAGGAGAGTGTAGGCTTTTCATGACCGATCCAAGGTGACCGGCAGCTGGGCTCATTGGCAGTGCTGTCAGTGTGTTATAACGAGGATATGTATCTCATGGGGCATGCTGAAATGCGCTCGGCTAGAGGTATGTTATCGCACCTGAAAGACCCCTTGACCGAGCGCCTGCTGCACGCACACCTTCACCCGCTTGCCATCTGCTGCCAGGTCCGTGACCAGGTCCCTCACCAGCTCCAGCACAGTCCTGGCAGAACACTGGCTTGTCAGCAAACAGAAACAAAACTTGCAACAGGCTGATCACACCCCAGCATCCCGAGTAAGACTAATACTGCCTGTGTGGCCGTGGTCATCATGTTCTAGCGCCCAGAACCCAAGCAGTCACTGGTGAGGAGCTCGCCATGCTCATTGTACGCATGCTTGCGGTGTGTGTTTGTGGTCATAGTAACTTACATGCATCAGATAAGCTACGGTATTGCCGATGGTCGTAGGCACTGTGAGTCCTGGCTTCCCTAGTGAAATGCTAGTGTATCTTGCAAGATCAATAACTTTTACTGCCAGGTTGTTCTTTGCTGCCTTTGTTACATGACCGAACGGTTGGACCAGAAGGACCAAAATTTACCCAATCCGATAGACATCCATCTCTGGATTGGTTTCAGGGACGGTGAGCCTGCAGCACAAGGAATGCAGGTGCTCAGAAGACAGAGAGCTTCTGCAAGGTCCACTTAGGATTTGCAGCTCAATTCCCCCTCTGCTCTTCTTTAGCAAGCACTCACACGATGCATCACTTCATTTGTGTAGATCCCAGAGGTGCATTCAACAGGTTTGGGCCATACTTGACGCTGAGAAGCCTCTCCTCCGCAGCGACTGCCTTCTCGACTGCTCTGCAGACATCGTTATAGAAGAATTGCCTCGTCTCCCGGGACGCTGGCACGTTGTTGAGCCTCTGGGGAATTGTGTACACTTCTGTGGCCTGAAATGATGAGCAAATCAGATCCTAGGTCTCTTTCTCATATCACGTGTATCAATGCAATGCAATGGCTTGCATACGAGAACTGCGATATTGACATTAAGAGCAATCCATACACCGACCAGAGCCTTCCAAGGACGTCCTGAAACCATTTGACCTCTCACCTGGAAATCTGAATTGCAAGACAGAGCTATACGACGTCGTGCAATTCTACATCTAGCTGATACTGGAACGAAAGGCCGAACAGGAGCGAGCCAGGACTGCAATGGACGGGGAGTCAGATGGACATGGCTAGCATAGGTGCCAATTGTGATCGCCATGCTGGGCTAATGAATAATCAATTCTGCAGCCTGATGCCTAAAGAATGACTAGTTGAATGCTCTGATCAACCCAACACATCAAACGTGAGGATCAATGATTTTACAAGGTTGCCTTGCAATCTCGGAATGGGGTCTTCGACCTTCAAGCAAGCTTGTCGCAATGAGCACTGGACGTATTGGTGGGTACAAGCACCTATCGTCTCTGAAAGAGACAAAAGAACAAAAAGCGAAAAGCTTCCAGCAAAGTGTGCTTGCGAGGTTTTCGCTGTAGTCAAGAAGCGGCACGAGGTGGACACGTGGCTGGCTTGGTGATGACTGATCGTTACGTACGCTAGGGTACCTGAACTATTAGGCGAGGCACAATGGAACCTCGAGATGCAAGCACGCGGCAACTGACCTGCTTTACCAACTGCGATCCCTCGCGTGAGAGTCGGGCGAATAACTGGCATTGATCTGCGACCGGTGTGTGCTTGAGCTGGCAGATCGCCATACAGGCACTGCCCGAAACCAAAAGAACCCCGTCGTGGCGGGAGACAGCCAAATAATGAGCGAAGGATCGGACTGGAACACCGTGAGTAAGCACAGAAAGGAGAACGTAGGACAAATGGCCAACGGTGGTGGGCGTGATGTTAGAAGAGAGAAGATGGCAGGGCCGCTCGGTCAAAGGCGGGCCTCCAAACAGGACGCAAACAGAGCACCCAGACCTCAACCCAGCGTGAGTTCTCTGCCTAAGCTTTGATCATACTGGAAGGCTGCAGTCATTGCAGACTCTCAGCAAGTCTTAGGTGGAGTCTGCTGCCCGGTGGTGTGTAAAATGGTTGCCTAGTCACGGCGAGAGAGTCTCATCGCGTTTTCGTTCGCGATGGCTTAATTGATAGCGCTACCGATGGTCCTGGGACATACGAGGTGGTGCAGTGTATCTGGTCTGGCATTTCTGTTCATGGAAAACGCTTGTGGTGGTCGGGGAACCTTTAAGGTATCTCAGCTCCGTGACATCTCTGCAATGGAAGGTTCCATCCGTGGAGGTCTCATGGCGTGCCACCTTGTGGAATGGTGCCTCCTCGGTGTGTAGCTTTTATTTTGTATATTAGATCGCTCAACGGTTCATTTCCGGGCGTCCTCGAGCTGCTGGCCTTGTTTTGTCACTGGTGTGATTCCTGCCTAAATGTGGCTGCCAAATTTACTTATACGCTGGTTGTGGTGAGACCTGTAGACACAGGGCAGCAGAGGTATTCCGCTAAGGTCGGATGGTGTTCCTCTCAGAGGCCATTTTGCCTTTAAGGCCTCCCTTCCAACCTTGTCAGAAGTTACGTGGCAACCAACCTGGTGGATTGCTGGTTGTGGTTGCGGTTCTGTGGCGATCAGATGGCAGCAGACAAGCAAACCCGCCTATCAAGTACATTCCCTTGCGATCCAGAGCCGCTCAAGATGTTTTGCAGGAAGTCAGTCTGGCCAGTCTGGCCCCTTGGGTGCACAATCAGATCTGTCCCACTGGACACCACAGAGCCTCAGTGCTTGCAATCAAGCATCTGCTGATAAAAAGACACTTGCCACCTGCAGGGGTCTGCGGCTGGGCCGGCTGTGGATATGGACAGTCTGAGGGAGGCGGTTGGCCAGGCATCTGCAGGCACAGGGGAGGTCAGGCGAGTCATCACCCAGTCCACCTTCCAGCCGCGCGCAGCAGCCTTCACCTCCCTCATACAGCAGTGTGCGCGCGCCAAGAACTGGCAGAAGGCACTCGAGGTCTTCGAGACCATGAAGGAGTACCCTGCAGTGAAGGTGCTTTTCCCGTTTATCCCGCCAACTGTTTTCTGGTTTCAGGCACCCTTCATCACTAAATGAAACCAGTTTCCTGCTGTTCATGAAAGAGTGTCTACTTTGGGTGCTTTCAGCTCCTTCATCCACAGGATGGCCCCCTCTAGCAGTGTGCAGCTGCATGTCTGACGCGTCATGCAAGTACAATTCTTGTTTTATCCCGCAGCGCAGCCATGGCTGAAGCTTGTCAATTATTCGGCTGCATCAAGTCTTCCGCTGACATGTGGCACTGCCAATGTGCGCAGGCAAACTCCCCATCAACGGATGTTGCTGCTCAGAACCTTGCGCTGACATCACTGTGTGCACATCATGCGCGCAGGCCAATGTGATCACCTACTCTGCGCTGATAAGCGCGTGCAGCTCGTGCGGGCGCTGGCAGGAGGCGGAGAGCCACTTCCAGGACATGCTGGCCGCCAGCGAGACGGACCCAGACTGCGCACCCAACACCATCACCTACTCCAGCCTCATCACCGCCTGCGTGCGAGGAGGCCACCTAGACAGAGCGCTCGTCTGGTACCACAAGATGCAAGACAACGGTGTCGACGCCGACTTCATCATCTACAGGTACAATTGCTTCTAATCTCCATGCTCCCTGGTGCTGCTGCTTCGGCTGTTTGGCTGTGATTGCAGCAAAGCGAGTACCCGAGGAGGTGCAAGGAGCCTGTAGTGTGTATGTGCGGTTTTGGTTCTCTCTATATGACAGTTTTGTTGCTCTCGCAACTTTGGCGACGCGCTCCTGCAATGCTTTGCCAGGGTAGTGTTGGGGGCCCTGCTGCATTGTAACTTACTTGCACAGCGTTTAGGCGGCCTGTGTTTCGGCTGCCGATGGCCTCTTTGTGGAACTCGCTTTCGTCCTTAGTCTGGGACTCTGGGAAATATGTCAGTCGCCAGAGCAGGGCCACATGAATCAAGTCTTTAGGTCCTTCTTACTTTGCGCTGGGATCACCGACTTGTGTTCTCCTTCTTGGAATTGCCTCCGGCATTTCTTGGTAGCCACATGCCTCTTCCAATGTTGGGAATCAGGATTGCTGATGTGTGTCACTCCTTTGACAAGCAAATTTGCGGAGTCCTGGTCTGGTTCCTAGGTCTTCATATGCTGTGATCTGGCGCTGAGCCCGTTTTGTGTCATCGTCTGCTGCAGTGCGCTGCTGTCGGCATGTGAGCGCGACTTGGATCAGGCGCTGCAGTTTGTGGACGAGATGCACGCAGCTGGTGTCTGCCATGCGCCAGAGACCTACGCGAAACTCATAGAGCGGTGCGCCCACCCTCCTCTGTATGGAGTAATATTCTTGCCATACACCCTTATATCATAGGCATGTGACTTTGGTTCAAAGTGGCGCATGTGTTGGATTTGTTGCTTGTTGGCTGTGGCTATCACAGTATATGACGACTTCCTGCTGGCAAAAGTCCTTACATGTGTCATTTCCCATGTCCACGCCCTTAATTCTTTGCTGTATCCGATTGGACTGGAGGCTGGAAGTGCTGGTGCTGTGGGTTGCAGGTCCAAGCCTGTGATAAGACAAGCTTTGTAACGAACCTCTTGTGTGCAGGTGTGGGAAGGCGGGCAGGTGGGAGGATGCTGTGGAGCTCTTCCTGGGGATGCAAGTGGCCGGCACGGAGGCCACCAAGGGCATCTGCCTCGTGCTGCTGGGGGCGCTCAAGGCCTGCGGCCAGGCGCGGCCGGCTCTGCAGGTACCTTCCTCCGCCCGCGCTTCATCTGTCCATTACAAATTCTCATCAATATTCAGTTGATTGCCTTCAGGCTCGGCCCTCCTGCATGCCCCCCCTGCACAGCTACCTCTGGTGCTGCAACTGCTCATTCTGCAGCCATTGCTAGTGCAAAATACCTTAGATTACCTGTGGACAAAGTTCGTCACTACATTTGTGGGTGTCATTTGACGTCAGCCTTTTGGCAGCTCAGTAATTACTGTTTGCAAACAGCGAAGCAGGACTGCAATTCTTAACATTCTTATTTGGTGCGTGCGCAGCTGCTGGACGCGATGGCTCAGGCTGGCATAGGCCCCGATCGCGAGACGCAGATGGCGGCGTTGCGTGTGTGCGCAAAGGCCGGGGCATGGACCCCCGCACTCCGGATCTGGGAGAAGCTTGAGGGCCGGGGGGCCTCAGGCGCGGCGCCGCACGACGCGGCCGCAGCCGAGCTTGTTGTCGAGGCCTGCCGGGCAGGCAATAACGCGACGAAAGCCTCCGAGCTGGAGACGCAGTTCCGGCGTGCGGGGCTGTTTATTAACCGCGCCGGGGGTTCCCGGCCGAGCTCGTCCCCCGTGTCGCGCGCCGCCTCCCTGGCGTCGTCGGCTCGATGATGTCAGCGCTGACATCGCCGCTGAGGTCGGCCGATCATTTGCGGGGTGCCTGGACACGTTGTCATCCTGCTCTGCCGCCGCGGCAGTCTCTTGATTTGATCTATGGCTTGAGAGCGGCTAGGGCGCCTTTCTCTACTCAGGCTGTTCGAAGCGATTATTATAGGAACTGAAGAGCAGGGCTGGGCAAAGTGGGAGGACAGCAAGGGCAATAGACAGAGGGAAGGACTCTCAGAGCCTCCGCGGGGTCAGGCCTTTATTGTTGGCAGGAAAGACGTGCTTTAAGTTAGCATGGAATAGAGTGGGGACATGCAGTGAGGTTGCTCCAGATTCTGTGACAGGAAGGGATAAAGCGTCTCCTTCTGTGCGGCTCTGTTGCTGTTGCTCTGTCCCTGGAGAAGGCCTGCAGAAGCCCTTAGCATAAATCCCTGGCCTGCTGGAATGCTGGATGGCTGAGGGTAGAGTGCCCCTCTGGATAAGAGTGGCGGAGAGGCCTGTTTTGGCCAGGAAGACAGGCAGAACGCATAATTGCCTGGCAATGTGAAATTCCTGCTGTTAGGTGGGAAGCACGCAGTTTCTGGATTGGGCCAGTTGCGTGACAAGAACGCTAGGAGAGCAGTGAACGCACACTGCATTAGACAAAACCCAATTGAACAACCGTTCCGAACAGACATCAGCTGGGGAAACTGTGGGTGTTTTGTTGTGCAAGCCTGTGCTTTGGAAATTAAACCTGTGCTTGTGAGATGTGGGCGGCAATTTATTATTGGCAACGCATGCATCTGCAGAAGCTGAGTTGCACACCTGCTGCCCATTGAATGCTCATTCTTGAGTGTGGTGTGCTGCAGCGTCGAATGCGCTGCGGTCTTCGACATTGCAGTTCTTTTGCGATACTCCTTGAGAAGGCTGTTGGAAACTGCTGTTTGATGTTGGCAGTTTGTGCTGCGAAGGCTTGTGGGCACACTAGGCTGGGTGCCAAACACAGCCAAACAGATAACGCTTGATCCACACTTCACCGTTGTGATAGAGAAGGTGGCAACTCTGCAGAGTCCCATGCAGAAGAACTGCAGCTGCAGTGCTGCGGGCTTTAAACGGTGGCATGCTTGCAATTGCCTGAATAGCTGTCAGCTTAAGATACACTCTCCTCTGACCAGATCCGCCTAATCCAAAGAGGTCAACATGTTTTGAGAGAGTGCCTGCATTGTAGAGGGTTGCAAAATAAGAATACATCAATTGGTCAGACGAGGCCACTTTGATATTCTGTTGTCAGGCTAATCCGGATGGAAACATAGGGTCATCCTGACAGACAATGTACAGGTGTCAGAAAGTGCTGCCATTGCTTGTACATGTGTGATCAAAGTGATTGTAATATTAAGATGGGAGTGACGCAAAATTGCAAGTCATCTTGCAATGTCTGAATGCTGCTGTTTGTTTCTCGACTGCACGCACAGTTCTAGATTCAGCTTGTTCTCACGATTACTTCATGTCATGATTATGTCAGTCAACGAGTCCGGTTTGATCTTGATCTTGTCGGCACCAAGGCCCTTACGTGATGTCCTTGATGAATTGAAAAGCTCTAACAGTCCATTCCCCAGAATTGCAACTGTTCTGCCCAAATCACCACCAGGCGCTCGTAACCTCCATGTTGCATCCAGTGAGTGAAACGCACCCCTCTGATACATTACCAGACCCATTCAATGTCTGCAGTTGCAAGCTCTCCAATGTGCCCTGGCGCTCCTTCGCAGGTGAACCCCTTGTTCTTGCCCTCCCCAGCACTTGTAATGCATTCTCAGCAACACTTGCAGCTGCATGCCTCCGCCTCCAACACTCATGGCCAGGGCATCATTGCAACGTGGTGCAAGTGCTCCTTCCTAGCAGCTCTGGTCCTGCAGTCTCCACTGTGATCGCACACAAGCTCTTTCCCCAGCTGTGCCATCTGCACCCTGAAGGTCTCAGATGACTCCGTCCAGCACAAGGCCCTGCACTGCAGCCTGAACGCCAGCATGGCCGCAGCCGCGGCAGCTGCGTCCTCAAAGTGCAGGTGCAAGTCCCCGACGCACAGCAGGCACACGTCATGGGTTGGCGCCGTCGTGGGATAATAATGCAGATGAAATCAGGCGCTGCTTTCCGTAGGGTGGTCACATGCATGCATGCATGACAGCGGTGGGACGCAGTGGTTCCATAGGTATCCGCCCAGAAGATCCACTGGGGTCCTGTAAACGTACAGGTCGTTGTCGTCACGGGGCACTGATAAAAACTCCACAGCGCCTAGACTGTGCTTCATTGCGTGAAGGTCAATCTCAAGCAAGCGCGGATTGTTTGGGTGTTTTGCAAATTTCTCTTCCCTTACTTGCTGCAGCCATCACTCGCCCGCGGTCTCAATATGACTGCTTGGGCTGACCACTCTGGCACTCGTGGCGCTGCTTGGCAGCACGAGCTCCTGTGGGTGCATATCCTCCAGGCGCAAGTGCTGCAGGGACTGCGGCATGATCAGCTTCTCTGCATAGTCTGCAAACCTGCCACCCACGCCCTTCCCAAATGGACAGTCTCCAGGCCTGGAATATCCTGCACAGCACTGCACGCGCGAAAATGCGTGCGTAGGACCTCACCTCGAGCACCAGATGCTTCAAGTGGGTGCCCCATGGCAGCTGTGGGAAAGAACGGGACAGGCAGGCCAGCTTGAGGACTCTCAGAGCCACCGCCTGCCGGAGATCGCAGGAGATCGCATAGCCAGCCAGGCTCTGTGTCCAGTCTCAACACCAGCTGCAGCTGCTGCAGATGTGTCAGAGGCTGTCTGCCAGAACCCACCGCCTTCTCCATCATCCACTTCTCTTTTGCCTTGCATCGCCGCGCGGCACAAAGGTGCCCATGTCCACTGAGCTGGCATCCTTCCAATGCTGCGTAAGCCAGCGCAGTGTGGACGCACAGGGGTAGGCATGCTCCCCCGGGATGGTGATGCTGTCCGGCTGCAGTCGCTGGAAGGCGGCACAGGTACCGCTAGCCCTGACTCACTCTTTCGTCATGTGTGAGCAGATGCGCCGCAGCACATCATCTGGCAGCGATGGGGGTTGCGACCTGACTTCCCCTTGATCCATTTAGAATCCACAGAACCCTATGCAGATCAAGCAGCGCGCAAAGTTCCCAGGCCAGTATGTTCTCTTTTTGACATAATTACTACTATGCATGTCATCAGATACTTGTTGGAGTACATCGTTCCAGGGAGTAGACTAGTCACGATCACGAACTAGGTTCCAGGATGTGACCTAGACCGAAGTCCGATCCAAAAGTAAAGTCGCAAGGCGAGCTTTCCAATTCAAAACACTTTCGTAGATGTAACTGGAACATGGCAATTAAGAGAGTTGTTCTCTTATCTCAAAAAGTAGGAGATGGTGAAAAATGCGCCGAGGAGCGATCTGCAGTTTGATCTGCGGTTCATTAGCTGCGCAGCTGTGCCCACGTCCTATTGTGCTCTCATCCCTCTCTCTGTCTCTGTGTTGCTCTCGGTGACAATTTTTGGAAGCCACGTGACCACACACGTGCCCCATCAAATCTCTGCCAGCTCACACGTATCGACCCGTCACGCAACGATGAGGACAACTTTGATGCAGAGATCAACCCGCGACTCTCGATGCGTCTGATGACGCGTGTGGAGTGAAACGGACGACCTTTGACGTTTTGCCTGGCGCGCCCGACGGGATTCCCATCGCCAAGTACGTTGCTGGCTTTCCAGGGCTTTGATGGCTGGAATATGGGCTCGGATGGCAGTGCACCAGGATGCACTGGGTTGTAGGCCATCAAGTGAATGAAGCAACATCAGTATCGAAGGCCTTGAGGATGCCCCAAATTGCTGGGTGGTTAGTGGGAGGTAGCTCCATGCTTCTTGTCCTTTCTATGGCCAAGTGCCACAGCTCTTTGAAGAGGGATTTAGGACAATGGTATTGAACGTCATTTCGATGAAAGTACTGCTACAGGTCTTAAGAGATCGTGCCATGTCTATTGATGATGGGACCCTAGTGGCTAGGCAGCTTGTGCTGGCACCTTTGTGTGCTCATGCCCAGTCACTGGGGTCCCCAAAAGTGCTTTTGACCAAATCCAATCGCTCTAATTCCATAAAGGGGTCTTCTTAGTACTCAAAGTGGCATCCGCTAGGGAATCGGCTTGGGTTTGGTCGTGGGAAGGTGGCCGTCCTTGCTGTCGTGTCTCGGGTTCCTCTCCGATGCCGACCGTCGAACGCTTGGTTTCTATCCCGATCGTCCATACATGATGTTCAAACATGTTTCAAGGTGCAATTAGAGACCCAAACGCTATACTGTTTCTGTAATACGGCGTCCAGCTACGCGGTACTAGGGCTTCATCGCTGGGGCTTGTGCTCAGACTTGCAATATATCTGCAGGACAGGCAGGCAACCACCACGGCTTTGCAGGGAGCGATTTGGAGAGGCAAGGACGATCGTGGAGCTCTTCGAATGAGGGAGCAGTGGACGACGTGTTCCCTGCTACTGCTGGTTGCCTTATCCTTGGCATCTGCTCGCGTCACACCGCAGCCCGTGCTCCTCTCAGAGCAGAGGCGGGATGAGTGCACGCTGGAGTCGCAGAGGCTGTTCCACTGCGCGTCCTATAATGCTCCAAACAGCATGCTGACAGACAAGCAGCGGGAGATGTGCTGCGGCGCAGTGCAGACCTTCAACCTGAACGGCTGCTTCTGGTGAGCACAAGGGAGCCCTTTATATCACGCAACTTTCATCATATCTGTTGCCTTGCTGTGGGCCTCACCCCCGTGAAAACTGCACTGCTTACCAAACTGCGCCCACCTGAATATGGAATGTTTATTCCTGCCCTAAAGGTTCAGAAGCTTGGTCTTGATGATGGCTGTTGTGGCCTTTTGTCATGCAGCCATCTACAGGTTTAAGGGCCAACTTCTGCAGTCTGCTATTGGTAGTCCTGCACATCTGCCAGTCCTTTGAAGTTTTGTCTCACACAAGCAAGATCGTCAACATGCTTTTGATGTGCCCCTTGCAGCGGTTGGGGCAGTGCCTCAGCCATGAACCCCTGGACGCGTGATGTGCTGACTGACCTGGCGGGCGCGCTGCACAGCTGCAATGTGGGCGTCATTCCCTGCATGGCAGGTGTGCACTACCCTCCTTCCATTTCCGGCAGCTGTGTCTCTGTATGGCTTTGCATTTTGCAAGCCTTCCATTGCGTCCACATGGGTGGATATGAGACAGTGTGCTCTGAGTAATAAGCCATGGTGGGGGCCCTATGCTACATTTGGGCAGGTGGAATTTGAGCTGTGATGGACCTCTGCACGCGCATAGACACATGGCATGAGTAATGGTGATCTTGTCATGGTCACGTGTTCATGCGCAATGCAGGGGGTCACCTGTCATTGGGGCCATGCTTGCTCTGCTGCTGATGTTCATTGGTTTTACAGTACCAAACATGGGCACCATTTCTTGAACAAACAGTACAGCACAGTCCCTCTTGAGCAATCGCCCTTGAGGTTCTTTCTGAGTGCAGGTGAGGAGTATCTGCAGGACGGGGAAGTGGCGGTGGCGTACACTGGCGATGAGATGCTCGCGCTGCAGGCCGCCAGCACCGCAGTCAGCCGCATGGTTGCCCAAGACGTGAGTGCACCCCTCACACCGCTCCTCTATCTTTCGATGGTGATCTGAAGCTACAATTGATCACTCGCTCACTCTGCGTCATACGTGTGCTGAGCCGGGTGAATTCTGGAAGTCTCTCTGGAACACTTGCAAGCTGCACGGGCACTTGACTTTCAAAAGCTCTTCATGATCTGCCTGTCCTTGGCATGAGGTTGACCTGAGCACTTCCCTCTTGTGCACGCACGAAGGGTGCATCATCAGGACCCTCAGATCCCCAGTAAATATGGGGATAGCCAGATCTCTGTACAGGTACCCTACTCAGAAATGGAGTTACTCTTGCGCTCTGCTGTTGCAGCATCCTTCGCATTGGCAGGTCAAGCACTAATGGTATTACTCTAAAGAGGTGGAGCATGAAGAGGGGTTTGCTTGTGCTGGCGCAGGGGTGGGGCTCTGGAAGGCAGAGGCTGCCAGAGAGGCTGGCTTCGTCGCTGCAGCCGCTCTTTGACCTGACCTTCCTCAACCGCCCAAAGCCCAGCTATTTTCAAGGTAAAGAAAACTCGCTTCTCATCTTTTGTCGATTTCTTGTTTGGTCTGTTTTACTCATGGACATCAGACTCTCCTGAGGCGTTCTGCTGTGAATGTGCAGATTGCGGAGTGGGTGCCATCGCATTGCTTGCCCTGGGGCACTAACGCAGTTTCTGTCTGGGAGAGTCTTTACATTTGTACACAAAGCGGGTTCCTGAGGCAGTCCTGGCACATGTTTGCAGGCAAGTACCCTGGAGATGACCTGGCGCCAGGAGACTTTGACATCGAAGTGGAGGTGGAGCAGGAGGGAGGAGGTGAGATGGACACCCTTTCCTCCTAGCAAATTACTTTTTGAAGTTAGACCGTTATAGCAGCACGGGAAACAGCCTCCCTCTGCTTAGGCCGTCACCACCAAAGGTCATTTCAATGTCTACTATGTGAGCTCAATGCTTACACCGTTCTGAAATGCATGCACGGCATATTGTGAGTCTAAGCCTAATTGAAGTAGTTGGGAGAAACTCTCTCAAAAACAGTGAAAGTCGGCTGATGTGGCTTCTTTGTTGCGCAGATTCCGAGCAGCTCTCGGCGACGATGGCGCAGCTGAGCAGGTGGATGGGGGCGCTGCTGGGGGGAGATAATGCGCTGCTGAGGGGCGATGACGCGCTCGACGCCGATAATCCAGGGGGCGTGACGCTCGACAGGGCGGATACCCTAGGGGGCGTCATCACGCAGGTCATGCAGCTGGTGAATGCCATTCTCAATGGCACCGACGCTCAGGTATCAATCTCTCCATCCCCTTCTTGGTCTCTCAGGACCTTAGAACCCCGATGTAGCGGTCAACACTTGGGAAGTTTGCATTTGCCCAAAGGCTGCTGCACAGGGGTCTCTTTTGGCCTACATGGCTATGGCAAAGGATGCTGACTGGTCGGCTCTCACCGAGGGCACAGATCTGTAGTTTTGATTATATGTGGTTCATATTGCAATTGAGGCCCTGCCCAGCCCACCACTTTGAAGTTTCCAGCCGACTTTTGCCTCTTGTGACTGCATGGACTTCAGCATTGGTGCATCGCTGTTTTCCCAATGCTTTGGTGGCCGGGGTTCTCCGGGAAGCTTTGCGCATCAGCAAGCTTGAATAAGCTTCACATCGCATGCGCCAGCTCCTTAGACATCTTTTGTTCCTCTTTGGGCGTAGAAGTAGCTGTCAAGATCACTGTTGAGCGTCCAAATATTAGTGTTCACAACTCATGCATCAGGCAATTTACAACGCATGTGTAAATTCCACATGCGTTGTGACAAAGAAAATTAAAATGCCTGTCGAGACGTGCACATATTAGTGTTCACGACTCATGCATCAGCCTGTTTACACAAGCCTTGTGACACAGTTGTTTTCATCTCGGCAGGTGGAGGTGGCTGTCGAGATCACTGTTGAAACCACGACAACCACTTCCTCCGCCACGCGCTTCTCCTCGCGCAAGGACATCGCGGACGCGCGGCCGCTCATTAGCCGCGTCTCCACCGCGCCCGTCAGGCCCGGGGCAAACGGCGCCAGCCGCGTCGAGCGCATGGTCACAGGTGCTCCCTCCATCCTGTCCTTCTAAATGACTGTAAAACGGGTGTGAGGGTATGACGCTGCCTGACACATCTTTCCTACGTGTGTGTATCATACAGACATGGGTGGATATATGATAGAGTGGTGGCTTGTGGCTTTTGCTGCTTATTTTGGTGTGGCGGTATGTGTGGGCACAAAAGCACAGGCTAGTCTCCAGCGCTCCAGGAATGTGTTGTGGGGATCATGGGATTCCTGCGCTAGCATGCATTCACAAAGGTACCCTTCCTTAAAAAGGTTGTGGGCGTGCAGAGACGAGCTCGCAGCCGCTGCATGCGCCGCGCACGCACTGCTGGATGCAGCGGCTGGCGGGAGTGATCACCGACAACCCGGCGCGCGTTTTCGCGGTGCTGGCCGGCGTCGCATTTGTGGTCCTCTTAGCGACGCTCATTGCGCAGATCGCTGTGGCGCTCGTCTGCGAGGTGAGACGCTCGAGCCAGTGGTTCCATCTCTTTTTCTCTGGACATGAATTCAAGTTTTTATTGGGCATCTATCAGTTTTGTTTGTTGATCTGGGATGTTTAAGAGGTGTGAGGTGCGACCCAAATTTCTTCCTGTTGGGATGGTGTCTTAGCTGACCCTTGCGTTGAGGTTAATAAACAATCCCTTGACAGCTCACGCTGATAACCTACCCGCCATAAGAAGCACGGCAAACAACTGAGCAAGACACGAACTCAAGAGGGGGGTCCCTTGCTAAAAGACGCACTACACAAAGCATGAAATGGTCTAGATGATCAGAGGCTTGCATGGTGGTGCGCAGGTGCAGCGGCAAATGGCGCCGCAGGATACAGAAGATGCGGTGACTAACCCGCTGCTTGCTCCGGAGCTGACAACGCCCCTGCTCAATGCCCGGGGAGAGCTGCATGACTCATCCCTCTAGCCCCATGCATCCTACGAGTGATCCACCATGGTTGCCAGTCTGGATCCTGATTGAGGCTGGTACATGTGGTGCATGCTTGCGGAGTGCAGCTTCCTGCAAAGGTCATGTAGCTGTTGAGCAAGCGTTGCATTGCCCAGCAAGATACTTTCACCGTGATGTCAACATAAATATTATGGTCAGGCCAGCACTTCTTGTGCAGCGCCGTGCACTTGTATCAGTAGGATGGCGCACTGTGATAGGAAAATTTTGGTGTCCATGTTGATTAATGGTTGAAGTGAAGGAGTTGACCAGAGAATTGCGGACTTCAGACTCACCATTGTATGATTCCAAATGACATGTCTTAACGGTGTTGTGAACGTATGAGCCTTTGTCGGCAAGATGTAGAAAGTACCTTGAGTTACCACTACGACCTCATCATATGTTGATACCATGCCATCATTGACTCCGGGGACAAGAAGAAAGCTCTTCTTCTTTTCTGCATGGAGAATTATTTGATAAATTTCGTAACTTGTAACAGGGTAAATATTTGTTGTACCACCTGTTACAAGCATTGTGATGACGTGCGCATTATTTCATCCTAACTCAAGCATATAGCTATCCCATGCATGTGATGGATTACCATTGCACAAACATGCACATCGGTCATTTGCAGTACATACACACCGGCTTCAGGCGCCTGGAGCAGATTAGTGCGCAGTGACGCAATGTTGCAGTCTAAAACCTCAAGATTTTCTGCACTTCTGGGAGCGTCTCATATCTTGTGGCTTCACTTCATTCATTGTATGCCGAACGCAGTGCAGCAAAGATTCAAGCAGCTTTGCACACTGCCGCTGTGCTCATGAAAAACTTTGGCCCTAACCGGGCGCATCAATATACAAGTGCAGCATTATATACACACCAGGACTGTTGGACGCCAGTGGGTGCAGATCTGCAGCCCTCATCAGTTTATGTCCATTGCACACAGAGTCGAAGCATAAAATTGCTGGTTACTGACTGGGACGCAGGCCACCTTAGGGAGAGGCTGCCTAGGTGATGTTCAATCATAGAAGTGCGCCTTGTCAAAACTGGGTTCACTAGCAAGCTATCCCAGCCACAGCACATTTCAAAAAGCAGCTTTGCCTCTTCATTACCTTCAGGCAAAACTAGAGGAAAGATGAGGCACTTCCCAGTTGGTGCAGCATTTAGGGAAAAGGACCTTCATAGCCTCAAAACTTGATGCCACCCTCCCAGCAAACAATCTCTGGATTGTCCAGGCACGGCCTCCAATCTTGCAGCCTCACCAGCTACAACCCAATGAAATGCGCCCGCGCCTCCCTAAAGCATTGTTTGGTAGATTCTTCTGCAGGACGAAGGTAAAAGAAACTGAAATTTGGAGCCATGGAGAGGATATGGCTCGCAAAGTCTTCTGCATCATCGACTGCAGTGGGCAATACTGTGACGTGCCTCTATTTGGGGTAGTGCTGAAATTATTGTGCCCTATAAGGCGCTGTAATGCTGCTTCCAGGAGAAACAGTTCCCTAGTTAGGGGTAGTGCCCGAAGGGGAGTGCTGCGGCATCCAGGAGGGGAGCTTCATGCCGGTCTGCTCCTGCACAGCCTCCAGCATGGGCGGCAGGGAGGTAAAGAGGTTGCGCAGAGGCGCCATCGCGTCGGCTGCCCCGGCCTCTCCGCCCGTCGTCCAGATGTTGATCTTGGGGTTGAGGCCCTGCACCGCGGCCGCCATCTCGCCTGCAGGGGTGAAGCACAGAGACACATTTGTCAGCTTAGTTTGCTATAAAAAATCACAACAGCGGCATGTGCATGCACCTGCCCTTCGACCAGACTAGCTTGGGAGCCCTGCAACAGGAAACATGGAGGTGCATGTAGACTGAGGCCTATGAGAACCGAGGCACACCAGCCTGGACAGCTAATATGGTTATCAAGATCGTTGCAGGACACCAGTACACTTTCTGCCAGCAGGCTCCCAAGCATGGCTGCACTGCAGCATGCAGCTACACAAGGCCTAATCTATGTGATCAAATAGACGTCGAGATGTCCTGCAACTATATGCACTGCATGCAGGAGTTCAGGGATGACAGGCACTCACTTGCGATGGTGGGGAAGAGGTTGTGCTCGAGGGCGAGGTAGAATTTGGTGAGATCCGCATCGGCAGCGCTCATGAAGTCCTTCAGCCCCTCCGCCTGTGCACACCCCGCACCTGGTCTCATGAGGGAATTTCCGGTCTTAGCTATTTGAAGCATGCAGGATGAAAAGTTTGCAAGAGATGCATGCGTGCATTGCAGCTCACCATCAACATCATGCACAAGAGTGAGGTGCTTTATTCATAAGTCAACCACTTCAAATCAAGAATTGAGATGCACACCACACCGTGAACGTCCGATGTTCACCACCGGCATCGTGCACAAGAGCGGGCTTCATCAGATCTCATGAATTTGGGGCCCTGCCATCATGAAAGCAAGATGCACAGCAGTACAAGAGGGGTAGTGGAGGGAACATGCCTGCGCGGTCAGCTTGGCCTTGAGGGCCTGCGCCTGTTTCTCCTGCGCGTACAGCTCAGCGTCCGCCAGCGCCTTTTTGGCGCTCGCCTGGCCGTCCGCCATCACCTTGGCAATGTCCGCCTGCATGCGCAGACACTCGTCAGCTCAGCAATGACATTGGCAATGTCACCCGGCATGCGCAGACACAATTGTCTGCCCAGCAATCAGCTTGGCAATTTCTGCCTGCATGTGCACATACTCTTGCCAGCTCAGCCCTCTGCATGTAATAAGAATCACGTTGAGATACTGTAGCTGCCTTGTATCTCCTTCAAAGGCACCCTCATGACCAGCGTATCATTGTCTGCAGACACTCTACCCAATGCACAACAGACAGGTAAAGACATCAACCAAATTGTCAGCACACGAATGTGGCATTTAGCGACTCCTAGGCCCATGCAGCCTCCATGCATCTGCGTGGGTTTGTGTATCAGGAATGCTCAGGGATCCAGCTTGCCATTGCATGGTGGATGAAGCTTGCTGTGCAATGCATGCCCCATGCAATGAAAAAAATAGGGAACGTCACCTGCACGGTAGCCTCCATGAGCTGGGTGGAGCGCAGGAACTCCAGGTGCTGCTCGGCCGCCATCCTGTTGAGGTTGGTCTGCAGCTCTGCCGCCTTGAGCTTGGGCGCTATGTTAGCCTCCTGCTCGCGCACCGCCTGCTTCTGCTTCATGTCCAGCCTGCAGACAGAACCACTTTTCTCTGAAATAGCCGAAACTTAGAAATGATATCATATGATGAAATGCTCAATGTTGTACGCAGGGATGCATGAGCATTGGGGTTGCTGCCTGTCTTAAAGGCACTGCGCTGACACTTTGAGAGTAAGGTCACTGCACTCATGCTTGAAACCTACAGCACAGCAGCACTGCTTATGCACTGGTAATGCGTATGCGCTTCCATGTGCAAATGCAGACATGAGGTTGGCCTCACTGCAACAGGTGTGGGCAGGGTGTGTGATGATTTTCCCACAGCAGGTTGGAGGCTAACGAAATGGAGGCCAACGCACTTGAGGAGATGCAGCTGGGTGTTGGATGTCTCAATCTCCTGCTGCCTCAAATTCTGTGTACACCACATTGGTGATCAGCAAGTTGATTTTGAGATTGAACAATTAGGACTTTTCTCGTGCAAGCACGCAGAAGAGCCTTCCCAAAATCAGGGGGACATGTTGCCATGCATTGCTTTCCATAGCAGACGGAGGGTAGGGCTATGTGAGTCACAGAGATGTTGCTGGGTGCAGTGAGCACCTGTGCTTGGGTGTTCTCAGAGTTAATCTTGGCTGTCTCCTTGATGGCCTCTCCCTCCATCCGCTTGGTGCCAACATCTCCCTCCCTCTTGTTTGCTGACACCTCAACCCTGCAAGCATGGGGGCATTGATGAAATTTCACTATGATCTTGCTGCAGAATGGAACAGGCAGCTGGGCCCATGCATGATGAAGCACAAAAATATGACACGCAATACAATTACGCATGCATGCATGCAACAGGCTGGTGCATTCTTCCTGCTTGTGACATGAATACTAGCGCATTGTGTAGCCCCACCTGAGGCAATGGATGTTGTCTGTGATGCCCATCAGAGAGAGGGGGCCTGGAAAGCAATTTTAATGTGGTAGAACATGCCAGCAGTGCTGCTGGGAGGGCCCACCTGGCATTGTTGGTGGCTTTGGAGATGGCCTTCTGCTTAAGGCTCTCAAAGTAGCGGTTGTCCTCGCCGGGCATGTCGCGCAGCTCGGAGATGTTGGCATTTGTGACTGACATGCCGTAAGGCACGAGCTCCTTCTCCACATTTTGCTGTGCAGCAATCGACACCCTTATTGAGATGGACTACTTCAAGCTGACATCGAGAAAGTTGAACATGCATGCAGCATGCATGTCAGGCGGGGGCAAGGCAGGCCAGCAATGGGCGTGAAACTAATGGCTAATAAAGGGACACAATAATGCGTTGAAGCTCATGGTCAGCCTGAGAAGTGGTCACCTGAACATGCTGCTTGAACTTCTCACGGCCTTTGAAGATCTCTAGCACAGTCAGCGTGCCTGCCAGGATACGCGTCTGGCCATGGATGACCCCTGCACCGAACCGTTATTTGCCGACAAGCCGTAAACATCGCAAGCCATGCTTGATGTTGCACATTCATGCCAGTCGGAGCCCCCCCTCCGAGATGCATATGAGAGCAACAAGTCAGGGCCCCAGGTCAACCCAACTGCCCGACGTTGCAGCTCTGACAGATGTTGACTCAGCCGCATGTAGCAGCTGCAGAGAATGCTGCAACTTGGGTTGCATCAATCAAATGTATCTCTAATGACATGTGAGCACAGCAAGGCGCTGACATGGTAGCTGCAGCATCATGCAGGAGCGCAGGGGTGGTCACCTGTGAGGATGGTGTAGAATTCTCCCTCGTTCAGGCCATTCATGCGGCTGGCATAGCGCTTGAAACCTTCCTCGTCAACGTCGGGGTTGCGCGGCGCGATGGTGAAAGTCACAGGGATGTCGAATGGCACCTGCACAGAGCTTGCACATGTCATTTCATCCCATTGATCACAACAAGATATCGCTGTCCAAAGCGAGAACACCTTGAGATAGACAGGGGCACATTGGGAATTGAGGTGTTATCTGGACTTGTTGGCTGGCAGATGGTTTGCAGTGCCCACCATGTCCTTGGAGATGCTGCACAACAGCACATTAAGTTGTCAGTGACATGTAGACATTGCAGGATTGCAACCGTAGAAGAGCATGGTCAGCAGAGGAGGCTGAGTGGCCACCAACAGGTCCTCATCAGCACATGGCTGTGCAGAAGAGAAACTTGTGCCCTGCAATCTAGCGTTAGGGTGCCACATGCTGCATCTGCAGACATGGAGCATCTGCGACTTCCAGGATTTCATGTCAGCCACTTGAAGATTCAAGAGGGTGCAGCAACGTCAGGGCACAGCTGCCTGGGTCTCAAGAGAAGAGGAAGCAGCCAGAGGTTCTATGCTGCGTCCTGGGCAGATCCATTGAATTACATTCACCTGTCTTGCAGCTCTTGATATTGATGGAACCTACGAGGAGAAGCAGATGTCCGGCCTTTTGGTGATCCTACCAATCCTCGGCTGGCAGTAACAAGCCAAACCCTTTGGCGTAGGCCATGAAGATCTCCTGTCTGAAAGTCACTAAGGCGCTGATACACGAGCATGGGGCCTTGTCTGTGCAGGTTGAAGGAGATGTTGCGAGGCTTCATGTTGACAGCACTGACGCGCTGGCCTGGCCACAGGTAGAATGTGCGGCCCACGCGAATTCCTTTCACTCCCAATCCGGTCTTCACCAGAACTTCCCATGATTCAGCAGTCTTCAGGCCGGACGAGTGAAAGACCTTGCCAATTCTTTCACGGCTGTTTGCATTCACATGAGCGATCGAGGCATTGTTCTGATACGCCATCCCTGGAAAATCACAGACAACCGTTTCGGTATGCTACATAGCCGCTGCAAAGTCAGATTCCTTGCACCGTCAAACAACCAGGCGCGCCTGCAGCCACCGCTGAGCGGCATCACGTTCACCAAGCCTCAACCAGAGCTGAATCTGAAGAATTCGATGTTCGGTGCGCTTTGAAAGCCAGGAGATTCGTCATAAGCTGCATATGTGCGACATCGATCTTGTCCAAAGAGGCCAAAGCGGGGACAGGCCGCCTACCTGCAGATTGGGATTGCTCCGTGCCGAGGGCGCTTGGGAAGAACGGCGTCGCTTGATGATCCGGTCGGCGATCAGAGCAAGTACTGTAAAGCTTTGAACCTGCAACGAGGGAGATTTGCCTATGCGCTTGTAATTTTTCTCTCTTCAAGCAACGGGCCACAGCGGTCTGTCGTTTTGGCGAGGATGAGGAAGCTTCCTCTGGCGCCAGATTCCTTTGAAAGATTCCAAGATTCCTCCAGCGAGGACGAACCCAGCAAGGAGAAGGGAGGTCACAGTAAATATGTGGGGAAAACGGTAGGCACCATGTGCAGCCCGCGGACGGAGTTGTGGTGTACGCTATGAATATCAGTGTAACCATGTTTATGTCAACAGCAACAGCCGGCCGGCAGCGGCCGCGGCTTTCCTGCGCGGCAATTGCTGCACGCATGCAGCATCACCGCAAAGATGCATGCTGACACCATGCCATGATTTTCACCAGTTGACAGTAGTGATGTCAACCAACCCTGCATGCAGTTACAGGTGCTCCACTGCAGGCACAGATGCAGCCCCCGGGGCCATGCATGTCCTAGATATCCACAATCAACAAACATGTGATCATACGCATCTAAATGGCAGGCCGGCTCCCAGTCTCTCTTGGCTTCTATGTGGGTTCCAGCAGCTTCTAGAATGCTTGCATACGTTTAGGAACGGCCCCTTTCAAGTTGCGGCTGCAACATGGGCTTCGGCAGCACTCTAATTTGTTCGGCCTTGCGGCGCTTGCACTAATGCTCAGAATGGCAATGGACTTTCTCACACTCCAAAGCATCACTAACAGTGCATGCCACCTGGTGGCATGCAGTCTGCCCCTCCACAACCACAGCATACACGACGCCCGAACATACCCAGAAGCCAGCCGCGTACAGAAAATTCTTGCCGGCAATGATTTGATCAAATTGCAACGAGCCTGCGACAGGCTCTCAGCGGATCGGATCGCCCAACAAAATCAGACCAGGAGAAGGCTCCTTCAAAGCTCAAAAGAACACGACACAGAAATCGACATACGCGACACAAGATATAGTTATGCAGGCGACACCCTTATGCGACTGCAGGCTAATGAGTGGTGCGCATGTTGCACGCTGCCCCGGTGCTCTAGGGGCACGCATGAACATGACTTGCACAGTGAGTTTCCTGATGAGAACCCACCGCTGTCCCCACACAGTAATCACCCCCAAAGGGAAGACTACTGGTGGAGACAGCCTCAAAGATTGCCAGACGCCACAGCGGGAGCGCCCCAAAAGCATGTCCCCACACCAGTTTGCGGCGTTTGGCAGGTCGTGCATCTGTCCGAGAAAGCCCTCTCTGCAGCAGCTGCAGAGGGACGCTTCAGTGGTGGTTCTTGTTCAAGCTGTTCTGCTGCACGCCCAGCTCCTAGGGCACATGGGTTGGCGCCTTGCTCGCCTGTCTAAACCATACCCCACACCTGTCTGAAAAGAAAGCAGATTCACCGTATTTATTTTTGGTTCGGAACACTCTGGCCCGCAATCTGCTAAATCCAAAGCCCGGCCTTTGGCAAGTCTTTCTTTGGGGGTCTCCCCCCTTCACTATTGGCACACTGCCGCAGTTCCACCAAAGGCCAGGCCCGGAAAAAGAGTCACCGACATAGTTCACGCGCATAAAAAGTCTGCACGCCACCACAAAAAAATGCATTCAATCTATACTTTTGTGCAATCCATGGCTGAAAGCGCCAGCTTTCCCCGGGCTGCATACATATCTCCCCGCACACAAGACCCCTGCTCTCAGGCAAGGGGACAATAGTAACGTCCACACACATCATTGTTGCCTCGTCGAAGCATGTCCTCAAAGGAAATCCCTGTTTCAAACAGGCTGCTGCAGCGGTGGCTGTGTCAGTTGGCCATACTGCAAATCCAGCTTCACTCTCAAACTCAAACCGGCCCGGCTCCAACATCAGGACGACACAACTCAAAAAAAGACCATTGGCATGACAGGATAGTGCAACACAGTTTCGACATAAACGTCCAAGCGCATCCCGAATCTTGATGGGCAAGGCAGCGCGCACAGGATCTTGCATCCCCCCCCTCTGATACCAGAGGAAAAGGGGGCGCCTCGCAACCCCTCAAAAAAATTTGTGCCCGGAATGGCAACATTTAAAAGTGCCCTGAAAACGGCGTGTGGGGGGGAGCAGTCCATTGTGCGGCCCGCTTGCTTCTGCACTTGAGCTCTTGCGTATGGGGTTAGTAGCGCGCTGGACGGTCTGCTCGTCCTTTTTGGTAGTGCTGCAAGCTGCTCTGTGGTGATGTTACAGGGCGTCTCTTGCGCCAAAGCTGGTCCTCTCGAGACTCCATAAATCAGAGATTGCTCTCCTGCTCCTCTCCCTCCTTTGCACTGCGGCCTTCCTCTTCTGCGTCTCCAGTGACCTTCAGGGTGCCTGCACACAAATGCACATGAGGATGAGTTCTCGAGCACGGTGGTGCATTTACAATTTCTCTAATGCCTGCAGTGCCCAAGCCCGTACTTGCCACAAGATCAAGCTGTGCAACACAGGACGTAAGGCTATCACTGATGATGTCATGCATGCGCACTTCAAAATGCAGGAGCACTTCAGGGTGCTGCACGGTACATGCTTCACGCAAAGCAAAACTGAACCTGTCTTGCCCAAGAAACGCTTGCTCAAGCACATAAAATCCTGTAACTTGTAAGGCACAGCAAGGCAAGCAAGACAGTAGCAAGGCATGAATCTCTGCAGAGCTCTGGTCTGCGATCCATTCTGGCTTCTGTGGGAGGAGGACAGTTGCTCACCCTCCAACTCCTCCGCCACGTCACTGCCAGCAGCCCCCGAAGCGCCCTGGCTCTCCTGGGTGATGATGTCATCAAAGTTTGGCGACTTCATCAGTATGATGTCCATCTTGGGCTTCTGCCTTGTCCTGCACGTGTGCATACCCCCTAGCAATCAGCATCAGAAAAAATTGGCATATACCGATACCCAGCCTTGTTCGTGTAGCCAAAGGCCTCGATCAGAAAGACGATGCCTGCCCAAATCTGATCCCAGTGCAACAATTGCATGTCCCTGCGTGGACTTGGCAGCGTCTAACAACGATTTGCCCTAGGTTGTGACACTGTGCTAGGCAGCCAATTGCCTGGTGTGCCCAGAACAGGCAGGGGGATGGATGTCTGCACCTGTAGTCGTCTGACAAGGACTCTAGGGAGGTGCACAGCTTCTTCTCCACCGCCAGTTGCCTGTTCTTCAGGATCTCTGCCACGGTGACCATTGGGGCCACTGCTATGCCCAGTGCAGAGAGCTGCACTTCGCCATGTTCCTGCAGCAATCAGCGAAGGTCCAATCAGGCACAGGCCCATGAATCTGCACTCTTGTCAGCAATAGGACTGCGCTGACACCCTAGCGCTGACACCAAAGGCGGAAGAGAGAGAGACCTCAATACTCTCTGCTGAGGTCATGCCGATGAGTGAACAAGCACAACTTGACCACAAGCTTTGCAAGCAGGTCACCACCTCCTCAAGACTCAGCAAGGGAGCATCGTACCTGGAGGAAGCGCTTGGCAAGATTGATGTAGCTGATAGGTTTGCGTGTACTTGAAACCAAAATCCTGCACAGACAGTAAAAGAGCCTCGTCAATACTCTTCGGCAACCTTCTCAAGCCTGATGCCAGACGCTTTCTTCGTGGATGCGTGAGCGCAGGCGGAGCTTCTTGCAAAGTGGCAACTAAATTTGCAGTAAGCACTCCACCAGCCACGGCAGCCCGGAAAAGCTCTACAAGACGGAATGCTCATCTTCTCTAAGCACAAAGCACTGCTTGCTGAGATCGTAGCGCAGCCGCCCAAAATTCCCGATGTACTTTGCCCAGTGCTTCAGGACCTTTAGCAGCAATACCGACGCTCTTCCCCGCAACCAGCAGCAGAAACGAGAACGGATAACTCCGAAAGCATTCAACAAGTCATTACACTGTCCGGACGGGCACGGGGAGGCCCAAAAAGACAGCCAGCGTCTTTTGCAGCAATCCTTTGAGCCAGGAGCGCTCTTTTCGGACACCTTCGCTCCGCTCACGATCGCAAATCAGGAGGCTCATTATGTGCCCACCGCGTCGTCCTGCTGCGTTTCTGACACGACAGAGGGGGTTTTGTGCCGAGAGGCTAAAACAGCCGGTGTTGACCCCAGAGCCGGTCCGCGTGCGCTACCTGGCCGGGTGCGGCTGCTCGTCGGCCATAACCGTGCTCTGCGTTTCCTAAGGAGAGCCGCAGCTCGGTCTGTCGCGTCCTAGTGGTCCGTCACTCCGCGGAAGGCAGGCCAGCCGTCCCTACCGCATCCCAGGCTTACGTGGGCCCTTCGCCTCTCTTCTCATATGTTCAACAGCGAGATCCAGACCTCGACAGCACTTTGCGAACGCGGCCCGTGGCCGACTGCTTAGTCCCTGCTCTGCGCCTCCTATTCCGTGCACGCTGCCCTGTCCTTGTAGGGTCTTGCCGGAAGATGACTGGTGCCACCTGGACGGCCAGGTCCCTAAAAAGTATCTACCCCATCCGATTTGGATGAGGGGAGGGCCGCTCGCGGTGACCAGCGCCGCCACGTGGCCCACTTTCAGCCGCAAGCACCGCCTGTTGACACCAAATATCTACCCACGTCCATCCTGGAATTCGGTGCATGACTCAGGGGGCCTGTCCAGAATCCTCGCAAGGCCCTGATCAAGCCTACAGTAAAGGTAATCTGCAATTAAGATCTGGTAGCTACAGTACATCATATGATATAGGTGTATTGCAATTGCCGTGCGGCACGGGCCGGCGGTGCAGCGCCCGCGGGCGTTCAAGCAAAGCTGCTCAACTTGATTGAATCCAGAAGAATGTCTTATGATTATCCGCATGCGTGGCATAAGAGATGCATGGAACAGAAGCACACTGTGGCACGGTGTGGCACAATATTGCTTAAATTGGTAACAATAGTATTAACATTGCTCATAAACAAGTGACTACAAGTGCTTGACCGATGAACAACACTGTACTGGTAGTATGCCATGCACATGCACAGTACTGCACTTTACAATTCAGATCAGTGACCACCGAAGCCTCCCAAATCCTGAGCCGATCTACAACAAAATGCTCATGGGATATTCAAATCCTAGTCAACAGTCAAAACTGGACCCACACACGAACAGCAAGAGCAGATTACCACCTGTATCACATGGATGCACGGCCAGTGCAACCCGTCCCTCCCGTCCTCCACTCATTGACCCTGAAACCTGGCTCCTCATCACAATCAAAAAGCAATGTGTCCGCAAGCCCACTGAGGTCCTTGTATCTCCCAGAGGTCAGCACTGCGCCGTATTGCAGAAAACACATTGACTGCACAGGTAATGCTGCAGCGCTATAGTCTCGGGCGCTCAGACCAGCGTTGACAGCTTTCCGAGAACTGCCTTGCGCGCATCGCCCACAGCAGCTGCCAGGGCCACCCACAGCTTGGAGCCTGCAGGGAACGCCCCATGCAGCCAGTCCAATGACCTGCACACATGCCAGCAGGTGTCAGCCCGTTCCAGCAAACCATGATAGGTTCTCAATGGCCCCATCAGTGCCTCCAAATACCCATGATGTTTATTGAAGCCAAATACACAGAAGGGACTTTCGAGAGCGTGAAATAATGTTAATCCGCAGCGCAAGGACCACCAGTGTCAAATGCATGCCGTTGTGAATCAGCATCCTCCAACCAAAATCGTTCGCTGTCTGCTGAGAGGTCTGCAAACCCATCTCTCCAACACATCTGTGGCTTCAAACGAAATAACAATAAGCCCTTCCCCTTCATGCAGCTCCACAGCTTGCCAAGCCACCCTCCTGATGCACAGCCGAGAGGCAGCAGCCCACCTGCTGAGTGCGGAGGGGCACATCGAAGCGGCGCTGAGCTGACCGGTCAGCAGCAGAAGGAGGTACACCGCTGTAGACGCGCCACACAGCAGCAGGCCGGCCAACAGGAACGCCTCCTGACTGCGCCAGCGCTGGACGTCCGTGTAGCTTGCGCTGGTGCCCAGTAACTTCAACTGCAGCCGGCACAGGAATTCAGGGAAACTCATTCTGATCAAGAGCGCGGTGAGCCAGGGAGGCTTCATGTTTAAACAGCAGGTGCAGATAACTCTGGACAGAATCAGGCTGCAGAAGCGTGTGACTTCAATGCTGCTCTGGAAGGCCAGTGACATCCTCCGATGCTGCCACAGAACGGAGAAAAGCAAGCGTGGGACACCGGGAACAACGTGAATACCAAGAGATCCCCCAGTCCCTTGTGAGAAAATTGCAGGAAGCAAGAGAGGCCTGACCTCCCAAGGCAGGAGCGCCAGGGAGCGCAGGTCGCTGCTGCAGCGCATGAGAACGCCCCAGCGCAGACGCGCAAGCGCACTCTCCAAGGGGCGACCCTGCGCCGGCGTCGCGGCCCGGGCCAGCCCGGCTGCCGCGGCCGCCGCCGGCAGCCGCTCGGCCGACAGCGCGCGCAGCGCGCCGCGCAGCCGCCCCGTGCTCTGCGCGCCGCCGCTCTCCCGCAGCCGCTCCGCCAGCGCTATGCAGTCCTGCGCAGAAGAAGATACTATTACAGCTGATACTTCTATTTTAAAAGTGCAACACTACACGCTATTCCTGGCAAGAATGCAAGTGCGTGTGCAGACAAGCTGCAGGTGAAGGGTGTCAGTTGGACAATCGGGGAGCACTGAAGAACTGCAGGTGCTAGTTGGACATTGGAGAACACCAATGAACCACACTGGGCATCATCTGGCCAGTAGTGTAAGACCTATGCACTCGAGTTGAGGACCTCGTTTTGAGCTTCCTTCAGCAATTCCCTGATCATTGCTAAGTAAAACACAGCAATTGTGGAGAGACTGCCCAGGAACCTCACCGCTATGCCGGCGTCGGTGCTGATGTGCATGTCTGGGAACATGGCGTGCGCGGCTGCGCCGATCAGCACTGCGCCGTTGTGGTGCAGCCGCGAGCAGGACACAGAAGGGAATGTCAGCAGCGGCGCCGCGGCCAGCGCGCCAAATGTGGCGTCCGGGATTAGTAACGCCACCTGGCACGCGGAGATAATGCACTCAGCAATGACTGCTTTGCGTTCCGCAGAATTGTGTGGGTGGTGTCTTCTGTGCTGCAGGCCTTGAAATGAAGTGGCAGCTATGCCAGACCTCCTCAAACTTCAATGCTCGACCACCTTGACGGATATGCAAGCATTGCAATAGTTGGTGCTCTCGGGACTATGCAACACCGGACATTGATGGAGGGCACAGGGCACAGCTCGGACGTCCCTTGCTTGCCCTGCTTGGAAGAAGATCAATATGCTTGTCTGCATGTGGTGATGCATAGCAAGGCAGCATGCTCACCTCTGGGAGGGCGCTATGGAACAGTTCCCTGATCTGGTCCGTCTGGGGGCAATGCAGCAGGGCTCGGCCGCTGAGCACCAGCGCGTAGCTGCGGTCCAGGTTAGGCAGAAGCTGGCACACAACCTGCTCACCTCTGCACAGCACACCAACACACTCAGTGCCTGTGCACTTGTCTCAGCCATCGTGCTCCTCTGTGACAGTCCAAGAACATCATTCAAGTCTACCCTCCACAATTGCGGTAATCAGAGCCAAAGCGGGTTGAATGTCCAGCAGGCATAGTGGCAACCAGTATGCCACTCTGCCAAGTGAACTTTGCCGTGGCAGGTGAGACAAAAGCTTCCTCTATACCCGCTGCGCATCAATCGTGATTAGGCTGTGATTCTCGTTGGCATTCAATCAGCCTCTGGCCCCCGGAAAGAGATCCTGCAGGTTTAGTGGATCGCGCCTGTGAACGCGGCGCAGGGTGTACACCGCGTCGCTCAGCTGCAGCAGCGCTTGGCGCCGCTGCGCGTGCACCGCTCGGCGGTCGGGGCCGACACTGCCGGGCCGCAGAGCCACGCGCACCGCTTTGTACAACTGATCCGGGTGGAACAACTGCAATACACGGGAACTTTGTCATTTCACTGCCAATACATTAATATTAAATGCTGTTCCTGTCAGGGGAGCAAGATCCGTCTGCAGACAAGCTGCAGGTGTAGACTGCCACAAATCCTACCCCTCCATGGACTGGCCACTTCCATGCAAGACCTAATCAACCGTGGACACTCCTCATGTTTTCACTGCCCCCGGCCGGGCTGGGCACTATCATATCGTCAGGCTCAGAAATCGGCATATCCTTTAGTATTCTTACGGCAATCAAACTCCATGCCAACCAGATCTGCTTAACTATTGATCGCCTAGTCTTTCACCACACATGCCTAAGCACGGCAAACCTTCCTGCTTCTCGCATGTTGGGGGTCGCTTTGGTTCCTCCTCCTCAGATGGCAATCAATTGCCCAAGGATGAAATGAAAGTCATGATGGCAGATAAGGTACCTGGGAGAAGCCGAACATCGGCGCATGTGACATCATCCCCATGCGCACTGTCGAATTGGCCCCATCCGCTCCTGTTGCATGTCACAAAATCGTTTGCTCATATATTTATGGTAATCTGCATGCAAGTTCTTCTCACGCGTAAGTAGCTCGACTGCTTGTTTTGAAGCTATTGACTTCATGCATGGCACCTTTTTGACAGTGGCGTGGCATGTGTACATGCCAACAGATATAAGGAATGCAAATTGAGGAGTGCGCGAGCGTCTCACCGACGAGCAGGTCAGCAGGAGGGGACTTCTTCACAACAATGGCAGAGGAAGCCATGCGCTCTGCATCGCTGCTGGCCTCGCTTACAAAAACAGCGCCGTTTGTGTTGAAGTCCACTCCTGTGCACCGGTGGCTGAAGTGGTACCGGATCTGCGCGCGCAAGAACAAGAGCACGCCTTCAACGCACAGAGGAGCCTGTAAATTGTTGTGCACAGAGAAGCTTCAAAAGTTGCTGAGCTTTAAGTGGATGCAGCTACCTCTGCTACAGCCACTCTCAGCCATGTTTCATCTCCCATGAACGCAGCTGACTCAAGCAGTGGAAAATGCCTACTTATGGGCCCTGTTGAGGATGGATATGCCTGCTGCCTTTTCAATGAACAAAAGCTATTTGACTTAATGATGTGACTCCTCATGCGTAATCCTGATGCGTACAGCATGTCGGGAGACCCGCTGTTACAAAATCGCAACCTGCCCTGTGCGCACATATGAGGTGCCTGCAGCCACTCATCTTCATTCGACACATATCAGGTGGAGAGCCAGTGTGTGCTCACATGCCGAGGGTACCGCTGCATGCCGGCGCTGACGAGGGTGTCTGACAGGGAGGCCTCTGAAATGCAGAGCGCCTTGAAGGGATACTCTGTGAGCACGTCCCTCCCTTGGCCACTCACCGCCATTTCCCCCAAAAGCTCCACGCTCCTGTCCAGCACCTGCCACATGCAAGCATGCCCACATGTTGAAAAGAGATATCAGATGCTTGATATGCACTGCAGGGAGGCAAAGCATGTGAAAGCAGAAATTGAGCACAGGCAATTAATATGAGGAGCAAACGATGATTGGAACTCCGTATATCCTGCCATTCAGCATGGCATGGTGAATCTTGCATTCGTGTCTAGAGGTAAAGGACCTAGGTGAGTGTACAGGTAATTCAGCCGCGTAGGTGCCACCTTTCCAGAGCCGAATGCCGAGCTGCAGTTGAGCTGCGCTCGTGTACATGCTTTAATCATTGTGCATGCATTGCATGCAGGCCTTTAGTCCGATTGGTGATGCAGTGTGAGTTGAAATTGGACCCACCTCTTGCAGGACACCTGCCTTCTCCAGGGCTAATTGGGAGCGCTGGCCCAACACCACATTCCACGCCGCCCCAGCTCCACTACCAAAATGCCTGCAGGCACCACGCGGTCTTCACACTGCCCCAACACTGTCAGGGCGTTGGCTGCATCGATGAACTCCTGCATGACCATCTCAGGGTTGGAATCATTGAGATGGCATGAAAGCAAAGCTTGACATCGCTCACCTGGGCCGTTTTTCATATACGTTCACAAGCCAGCCTTGCTCGGACAGCAGGAGGGCCTGTTGCATCAGAAGTAGAGTGTTACAATGCGTCATGTGTCTGCCTTTTCTGCCATTACGTAAGCAAACCGCATGCGATTGCTAAGAGTTGTGAGGCATGCGCACCAGGAGAGAGCCACAGGTGCCTCCGCCCACAATGACTGCAAGCGGCTCAGATTGGGGCAGGACATATCCAAGCGATGCATCATCCATGGAGTCTGTGGTGGCAGGTTGTGCGCTGTAGGATTGTGTCTCGGCCTCTTGGACTGCTGACAGCGCTGCATGATGCCAACACCTCTGCTTTCGGTGCACCAGCTCAGTGTGTTGTATAGCTGTGTGGGTGCCAGTGCTGTTGCTGAGTACCAAGTGCAGCCTCTGAGGGTGATCAGCATTCCCAAAACACGTAGACCTGCAGCCCACCCAGGACGTGTAAGAAAGCAGAGCTGGATAACAGGAGCAAAGATGGACAAGTAGCACGTGAGTCAAAGCGACCAGCTATGTCGCCTTACGGACAACATATGATTGGTCGCATAGGGAGCAGGACGCTGTACCGGCATTCTCGGCGCGTAGGGGCACAACGCCCGCTGGATGATGCTCTTGCCGAAACAAACTCGCCACAACGGAAAGGAGCCATCACTGGCCCTTTCTGGGCGCTCAGTGGCCTGTTCCGCGCATAATTGAAGGCACATTCAGTATGCACAAACAATACCTTCTAATAAGAAAACAATAAAGTGTTGTGTAGCCAGGGCGGGCTGGGTTGTTTCGTCTGACCTCTGTATAAAAGGATGTGCAGGCGCAGCTCGGTGAGTCTGGGCCTAAGCCATCGCAAAACGAAGCGCGCTGGCTGGATCACAAGTACGGCATCACTGTGCTACAAGATGATGCGCAGGGCTCCAGCGGGCAGTCTCACAGCGCTCAAGATAGGAACAAATCCGGAGCTTCCAAACATACACTATGCGGACATTGGAGCACTCCGCAGATTAGTGACAGGACGCTGCAAGCGATGCAAATACGAAGGAATATTCCATAGACACTCTTCGTTGACTTTGTTCGCGGGAGGTCTTTCTCCCACTTCGGAGACATGTGATCCCCCGTGGCAGATATTTGACACGTCAGCAGGTTGCAAGATTGAAGCCTTTGCGTGAGTTTCTTACTTATTATTGAAGCTTCATTGAAAGTGGAACATTGTTGAAATTACAAATCGATATACAGATCAGTACTAGTCGAGGGGCTCTGTGACGAAAAGAACACAACTTACCTTGGAACCAACCCCATACGTGTCTAGCAGGACCTCATTATCATATTGAGTGCGTGAAACTCAAGGAATGAAAAGCTTATCGTGCCAGCCGATCAGGACAGTGTGTGCGTAAGAGTCTGAACTCGGACGCGCATCATGAGTCAAGCTTCGTGACCCACAGCGTCTTGCCATACCTGAATGAGTATTCTCAAGGCTTCCATCGGTAACGTAAAGTTACTGCCGTCATGGTGAGAATGGGGTGACCCCCCCTGCCGCCGCCTTCCTTCCAACCATCCAATGTGTTCTGCAACTATAGTGCCACGACGCTGGATCATGCAGACATACGTACATCAGGCACCTTCTCATCGATTGGAATTCCAAAGCGTCAGCCATGTTCTGTCTGGTTCGTGCAGGAAAGGTGTCAGGGGCGTGCCAGCACCCTGCCTTCCACAACAGGCAGGATCTGGTCAGGTGATTAGGAGACGCTGCCGCTCAAGGCCTTTGCGGCCAATCGTTGCAGCATCTCAGGCAGCGTCCACGCACAGCAGCTCTGGTACTTCACCCTGTCGACCTTCTGCGAATGTAACCAGTCCCCTACTTACTTAATCATCTCCTGAGTGGCTAGAGCATAAAGAAGAGCAGACTCCTGCACTATGGTCACTCACTAACACATGTGTTCCATGAGTTGCATACTGTGGTGGTCCAGGTGTGCAGCAGACACTGGAGGAGCGCCTGGGGAGTCTAGCATTGAATGCTTCAAATCTGTTCCCCCTCTGGCTGGTACTGGGAGCCACAGCAGCAGTGGTGCACCCCCCGAGCCTGACATGGTTCAAGAAGGAGTACACCACCCAGTGCTTGGCCCTCACCATGATGGCCATGGGCACCACACTCACAATCGAGGTGTGCCTTTGACCAAATCGACAATTCAAGACATTTGTATTGCGGGAGAGCCCCTGTGAAGGGCAGGCAGTAACATGTCAGCACATGTCTGCATGCATGCTGACATTTTCCTGAGCCTACACTCATGCTATGGGTGAAACATCAGGGTCACATGACTCCAAGGAGCTGAGAGAGGGGCCATAATGGCTTAAATCAAACCTCAGTTGGCGCAAGATCATTTCGGGGCGGTGTTACTTGGGACCATGTGAGTCGGGGGCAATGTGATATGGGGGCATATCAATTGAGGGCAATCTGTGTTTTGCAGGATTTTGCGCAAGTGATGCGGCGGCCGTGGCTTGTGGCGCTTGGTGCGACGCTGCAGTACACGATCATGCCACTCATGGGCTTCACAGTCTCACGCCTGCTCAAGCTGCCGGTGCCCTATGCTGTTGGGTGAGAGACCACCCTGCCTTACCACGCCATCAAGAACTTGGGAACAAGTGATGCAGATTACTCTCATTCTTTGGAGCACCTTCCGTGCATCTTCAGTTGGTCGAATGGTGATGCTAGAAACTCCTTGTTCTAGGTGAGGCAATGACTCTTGAAAGCCAGCAAAAACTCAGCACCATATCTCTTGCTACAAGCTACTGGCACATGCCTTTGAGACACACGCTGTCCATCTTCTTATGTTCTTCTTTGTCCTAGTCTGCATAATGGGAATGTGTGCTGGCCATGGCGCTAACATCAAGCCTTCTCACTTGCAAGACTCACCAACCAGTCAAGCATGCGTGCAGAATCTGCCTGGTGGCCTCGTGCCCGGGAGGGGTGGCGAGCAACGTGGTGACATTTCTGGCGCGCGCAGACGTCCCTCTCAGCGTTGCCATGACTACTGTGTCCACGCTGTCCGCCATCGTGGCGACCCCCGCGCTGACTCAGCTGCTGGTTGGCCACCTGGTCCCAGTCAATGCTGGCAGCCTGCTCGTGTCCACCCTGCAGGTACAGCAGCTCCACATGCCTGCAAGCTGCTGCCGACTTGCATGCAAAACTCGCTGGATGGTGCCAAACACATCCACCATCACAGTTTGTGACTTTTCTGGTGAGAGAACAGATTCGCAGATGGTCTGACATCATCCAGCAGTGTGGCAAGCTTCCGTCAGCGGCAGCAGACCTGCTTAAAATATGAACAGCACATCCTGTAAGCCATTTCATAAGTCACGCCAGCCTTTTTCCAGCCCACAGGGCTAAGAGCGCAGCAACTGCTCAACCCTGTTTCCCAACCTCCCAGAAAAAAAAGAAAGGTTTTTCTGACCTATGAAAAAACTTAGTCTGACCTCTCTATCCCTATTCAAGATCCTGCGAGTAAATTCCATTTTAAAATCCCAGCTAGCTGATGCCTTAGACAAAAGGAATCATGTGCCTTATCCGGTGACAAGACTGAGGGTGGTGCTGCTGAGATGGTCAGACCTCTACATGCCGAACAAGCTTGCATGTAACTCTCATGCCATAGCTGTGGGTCACTCTGACATCAGACAAGTTTGATCATGCATACTCTTTGTGGCAGGTGGTCTTGATTCCCATCGGATTGGGAGCATTCCTGAACTGGTCGCTGCCGAAGCTGATGGCGCGCCTCTCCCCCTTTGCGCCGCTGCTGGCATCAGCGATGACTGTTCTGGTGTCCGCCAGTATTGTCGCTCAGAACGCTGCCGCTGTGCGCGTGGCCGGGCCGCGCCTGATCCTTGCCGTGGCATCCCTGCACACCGGTGCGCGCCACTTCCCTCATTTTCCTTTTGAAGTCAGTTGTGCGGTCATCGCCTTCGCATAACTGCACACTGGCGCCCACTCTTTCCATTTAATGATCAGTGATGCGCAACTGCGCGCGGCTGTGCGCTGAGCTACTGCCTGTCAAAGCTGACACATATGCCACACAGAAAGTCAAGGAATTTCCCCTGAGCAAATTCCGTAAGCTTGTTCAAAAACACATCTTGAAAGCAGCAAAATTCAAAGCAGACTGACATTTAATCCGACACTGCTTCTGTGTGCACTATTGCAGGTGGATTTGCGCTGGGCTATGGCGTGTCAAAGCTGCTGGGAGTGAAGGAACGGCAGGCGCGCACAAACAGCATCGAAGTGGGAATGCAGAACAGCGCGCTCGGGGCAGTGCTGGCAACGCTGCATTTTGCAGATCCGCTCACCGCGGTGCCCTGCGCGATCTCTGCCACCATGCACTCCCTGCTCGGCTCCACCTTGGCTGGCTTCTGGCGCCTAATAGACCCCGAGCAGCCCAGTGTTGACGTGGGAAATGAGGGGGTAGGAGGGGCTGGCGATAGCGTGCAACAGAGGAAGCTGGCTGCGCAGCAGTGGATCCAGGCCTGGCGCGATGCGCACACTTAAAAAGCTTAATTGCTTGCTCTTCACAAGTCTGCATTTTTGGTGGGCCGCTGCCGAGAAGAGTTAGGAAGTGCCTCATGAGTTTATTTTCTGGGCGCACTTGGGAAGTGTGGGTCGATGACGAACTTACCTCAAATTTGATCAATCGGTTCTGAATGCTTGGCGCAATGGCCAGCTGGCTGCAGCTACGGTTGCAGGCTCATAATTTCATGGCCTGTATTAGAGAACGCATGCTTACTGCTTGATAGTTTCGACAATAAGCGGGTTTCACGACAAGTCCCGGAGGACTTGTGCAACTCCTGAACCGGTAGAACATCAATGCTGTACGGAAAGATTGGCGCAGGTCTTAAGATTCCTCAGCCGGCAGACTAGTAATATGCATGCAACACATGTTGACATCATTGTGTATGGCCCTATCGCAGTAATTACAAAGTCCAGTCATCAACCAGCCTCACACGTTCTGTTGACATCACCGTTACCTCCGCAAAGATCTCCTATAAGGCCCCCAAGCGCCTCAGACAGCACAAAGAATTGTTTCACAAGTGCACACAGTCAAAACAGTGACCTCCACAGCCTGCTGTCAGTCTCCCATTCTCTTAATTCATAAAGGCCACGAAAAGGCGCGGGCTGCTAGCATAGCCCTCGATGATAGGCATGCCAAGATGGCGCGAGGCTGTCTCAGTATCCATGAGTCCCCCTATCTATGCACATGTGCATGCATGGGCTTGGCATCTACGCACGCAGCGACCTCGGCTGCATGTAACCCCCTGTTCCCACCTCCTGTCAGTATTGCCCCAAACCTCATGCAAACCACCTTGGATCCTATGGCACAAGCACAAGAGCGACGCCAAAAAACAAAATTTGCAGTATTCTGTTGCAGATGTCCTAAATTCTGCACCGCAGCCACTCGCAGATGCCTCAATTGAAGTCCACACCAGCAAGAGTAGTATGAATCTTCCCGATGCCATGTGTGCACATTGTGCGGACATGACCAATCTGCTGAAACGAACTGTCTGGCCGCAATCTGCGCGGGCCATCTTTGCATGAAGTTCGGTGTCCTAATTTCCTCTGTACACAGTGTTGAGGCTTTTGTGTGGCCTCTTCCGCCGCCTCATGCAGGGGCCTGTTCCTAGCACGACAGGTCTCCCATGAACGCTCAGTGTTCAAAATATGGATCCAGTGATCTGTCTTGCATGCCACGCGCTCCCCATTGTGACATGTGGCAGGTGGTATGCAAGCTGTTCTCAGATCTGCATTGATCGTTTTCTGAAATTCTCTTGGCCGCAGCAGGATAGAGTGTGCCCTGCCGCAATCTTCCAGAGAAGTGCAACCCAGGAACAGATCTTGACTTTTTCAGAGGCACAGCTGGCGCGGCGCTGCACGCCAGAACGCTGGACTTGATGAATACTGACTTCTCCTCAGGACGTGGCCGAATGAATACTTGGGGCGAGACAGGCGCTGTGTCTGTGCTGAGATCAAGCTGGTCAGCAGCATTCAGTCCTCGGCAAGCCAGCTGCCCGCCGCCTTCCATGCAGTGCCCTTCTTCCTCTGTGTGCGGCTGGCACTGGGCAGCGCCTCACCTGACCCATACAAAACTCCATTGTCAGACATTTGGAGTGCTCAGTACATGTTGTCCACCACAACAGCACTATTACTGCAACCAGCACACTTAAATGCATGCCAGGCAATATGTGAAGCACTGCAACCATGCTGCTAAACTTGCTGGCTATATTGTAGAGTGTGCCTGGGAGGTCTGAGGAAATTGTCAGGTGTGGGAGCCCAACACAAGGGTTCTACTTGAATCTCACTGTGCGCATGCCTATGACTGTGGCTCTGCGCAAGACACCATTGGTGACTCTATCTCATTGTTTCTAGAGATAACAAACCACCCCAGTCAGCCTGGTAAATGCCTGCAACAAAACACCATCGTCAAGGGAGAACATTGCGGTGTCAGATGAGAGTGATAATGCTCACCCGAGGTGGCAAAGCTGGCGTCTGGGCGAGCGACGGTGCTGTTACTGTACTTGGCGCGCTCCTCCTCAGTCACAGTCATCTCATTCTCGGTGCTCTGCCCGCCGCTGCTGCTGGGCACGCCTGAAGCCTGCCCTGAGGGCAGCCCCTCCGCCTGCCTGCCTGCCCGCGCCTGCTGCTCCACCACCAGCCGCCGCGCCGCCGGCGCCACCGGAGCCGAGCGCTGCATCAGGCAAATGATTCTACTCAGCGCTCTATTGTTTTATTTCCAGAACATGCATGCACCTGCAGCATGCGTGCGTGAAGCAGGGCATGCGCTCAAGAGCACACAAATGAGTTGCGGCAAAGTTGGGCATGCCTCTCTGAGCAGGGCCATGGAAGGCATGCAGTATTTGCTGCATGCATGTTGTGATGATGATCATCTCTGATCTGATACAAGCCTCAAGCTGATCTAAGGCTGAAATTATTCCAGTTGCAACCATGCATCTACAAGCAATAAGCTCCTACCGTCCACTAAGAAAGCATTCCTGGACTCGGCAAAACATTGCCAGAGGTTCTCTTAAGGCTGCATTCAGGGAGGCGCACCTCGTCATGATCGTCAGTGCTGGTGGGTCCTGCGGCGGGGCGTGGAGTGGGGACCACAAGCGAGGGTGAGATTGTGCCGTTGGCCACTGCAGCCGCCAGGCCAGGAGCCGCCCTGTCCAGCTGGCCCGCATGCAGGCAGGCACCCTGTGCGTAATTCGATCCATGTCAGTCAGATGTATCATCTGAGTAATACATGATGGTACGTGCAAAGCTTATAGCCTTTGTTATGTACACGGTCCAAGCATTACCTAATGTCAGGGGGTCTCTTGTGAGGAGCTTTGAATGACATGAGGCAGAGCAGGTCCTCAACAGAATCCTTCGCACATCCTCTCGCGGCAAAGGGGCGCATATTATGTTGCTTGAAAGACTGCCAGCAAGCGCAGTTGGCACGTATGGACCCACTGAACTCTGCAGCGCATTGAACAAGAAAGCCTTCCAGCCACATGCAGGGCAGGCACGCACCACAGAGGCGCGTAGGTTCATGAGGTCGGCGCGCAGCTGCGCATTCTCGGCGTCCACGGCCTGGTGCGACGCCACGAGCTGGGACATGCGGTGCAGCAGCATGCTGTTGTCCTGGCTCAGCCGCTCAACCTCCTCCTCGACTGCTGCCATGTGCGTCGCGCGCCGCCGCCGCATCCGCCGCGCCGCCTCCCGGTTCGCCAGCCGCCTGCGCAAGTCAAATTCAGATTCAATTTAGTCCATGACGAGTCATGCGTAAATATAGGGAAGCATGCAATGCGTCGTGCATTGGTGGTGCTGGTGTGTGCAAATTTCATGCATGTGGCGGCATGGCGAAAGGAAGTGGTTCATAGATTGAGGGGGTAGGGAGACAGCAACAAGCGGCCCAAACCCGCACAAGCAGGGATTGTTGTGACTGGAGCGAACACATGTGCCGCCTATATGAGGCACGGTTGCAGCAGAGGATGCACACCTCTTCTCCTTCTTCTCCTCCTCACTCTCGGCGGCTGCGCCGCTTCCCCGTGGAGCGGCACGCTGCTTTTCGAGCTGATACTGCTCCTCGCTGTAGTCATTGTCAGAACTGACCGACTCCTGCCGTGCCTGAACAGGACCACATGATTTATTTCCACAATGCGTGTGAAAACGAAGCAATGACTAGGAGTGACACAAGCCATCAGAGGCATCAAGACGGAGTTCCTTCCAGAACGAGCACACATTCCGCAAGACAGGCTCAGCACACGCAGCAGCAACACAGGGCATTTATTGCCAAAGTCCATACTTGGAACTTCCTGGCCCACAGAATCCTGCGAGCTGATTGGCAAGCAGTGCCTCCCTGTTTCTATAAAAGACAAGACAGTCTGTCTCTGCAACCTGCTGGACCCCATGCTGTCCGACCTGCCAAGCAGTGTAAATTTCACCCGGTAAACGGGCACATGAGTGCCTGAAGAGAACTCTCACCGGTTCATGGAATTCCTCAGGGGCCAGCGGCGGCCGCTGCGGCGCATCCTGTACTGCCGCGCGCTGAGTTGCAGCTGCCAGTGCCATGAGGGCATGCGCATCATGCCTGCACATGACAAAGCCCCAGGTGAGGCCGCCGTGTGCATCTACACATGCGGCAGGGACACCAACGTGCGCACGCAGAACAAGATATTTCACCGGCCAGCTTTGCTTTCTGCTGAGTACCGATTATACACAGAACCGTGCAGAAGAGCACACAGGTGCACATGCTGCCTGTCCAGCAGAGGACAGATGCCTCCGTGATCATAGCCCCCGATGGGATATGTTGGCCAGTGTGCCAATTGATGGCATGAATTTGCTGTGGTATTACGCTCGTTAAATGGTGATGCGGCAAAAGGACCGTGACCCAGAGACCGTGCAAAAGGGTCGAGCAACTGGCATGAGTCACCAAGATCACTTCAGCTCTTCCATGCCAACACCCCCCATCCTGGACTCCCTGACAGCTTTATATATCTTGATTTCAAATGGCATTAAGAGTGACATGCGATACACATCGGGTGGCAGGCTGTCTCCAAGGGCAAGACCAACAAACAGACCGACAAACAAAAACCAGGTCAACGCTCCTTGTCTACTTGCACTAGCTGTCACCCGATCCACCGAGCCCCAGGATGCAAGGAACATCTGTGCTTGCAAAACACACTCACCTTAAGCCGTTGACCTGCGCCATGGTACGCTTCTTGACGCCTGCGGCGTCAACAGGTGAGCCCCCTCTGGAAACCTGCAATCCAGCCAACCACAGGTCATCAGCGGTGCCTAGCATGACTGTCAATGCGCTGCGATGATCACACCATCGTTAGACTCCGGACACAGTCTATCGATCGCGCCTGTCTACCCATGCACACGCGTGAGCTGCCTTCGCCTAGTAAATCGCGAATCTGATTAGTCGGCCGGAAAAGTGTTGTGCCGGCTCAGATCAATCACATCCAATATTCCATGATATGTGCAGCAGAATTCTGTACAGCGCAACGCAGCAGTGCCTGCCGCTTTCGGCGTGGTGCGTCGCAGTGGAGTGCTGACGTTCCCACAAAGAAGCCCCTCGGTCAACGCCTTCCTCGCTGAATCGCTGCCGCCCGGCGCGGGGAGCGAGAAACCATCTTGTAGCCCACCGCAGATCCTTCCGCAAGGAGTCTCAACCAGCGCGCCGGCCCATCAAGCACCGTGCGCCAGTATGCGGCCGTCTTGACTCACCACCAACTCCTTCCCCTACCAAAAACTTGCGTTCTTGCAGCGCCACTCGCCACGCTCATCTCCAAACTCTCCTCACACTTTCACAGCGCCATCTGACAGGATCGCAGATCGGTGAAACGAGGTGTTGCCTCGGCCCGCCCCAGAATCTCACCTTTCCACGTCTCCCCTGGATCGCCTGCATCATCGCCCGCTGCTGCCTCTAGGCTCGCCCTCACACCGCCGCGCAGAGTCACCGCCGCGCCGTTTATGGTGCTTTGGTGACCGGAACGCACACCCACCAGCGCCGATGAGTGAATTTCTGAAAATGAGGAGGGACTGATTCGTCAGCACAGATGTGGCCCAAAATCCCCGCAGAGGCGTTGCCTCCTTGCATGGAGAAATGTTTGGGGTTGCCCTTGGGGGACAACATTTCAGGCTTTTTTGGCCCAATTTGCGCTGAATTAATGAATGTAGAAACTCAGCAGCGCGGTTTTTTGTCTAGATCCTGCTGAAGTTAGCTTGCATAGGCCTGCAGAAGCTTTACTGAGCGCCGTACTACACTTGCAAGCTTGAGTTGATCAATTTTGTAAACATGAGGCAAGGATATCCAAGTATCCATGCAGAGATCATCAGTAATACTGATTCAGTGTTATATGCCCCACCGTCCATGCTCTTGTTTACAAGATGGTCATCTGATAGTCCTTCCTTCAGCCTGGTAGGCCTGACGGGCATGTGGCATTGGTGACGTCATCAATCGAGGTGTCCTTCGATCTGGATGCAGAACGCCCATACTCGGGCTCACAAGAAGAATGGTAAGGAGATTGATAACCTGATAGTTAATTTATCTATTGCGACTATAACATCACTTGAACCACTTCCGAGTATAGTCACGCAGACCGATGGTGTTCGCTTTATCTATTGAAGGGACACCTCTCGCCCATACCTGCTCTCACTCACACACCTTCAGACATCGGGATATCCTTATATCCAGGTGATCAAATAATGGACGTCCACATGCCGAACTTTGCACCTCTTGGTCAGAATGCAAGTTTCCATGCTGCTTGCCCAGTGAAGGACCCATAAGAGATGCTAACATCTATGGAAGCGCAGAATACGTCTGGAGAGCAGAAAAGGACAGTATAAGCGATCCCACACCAGGCGATATGCAAGTGCACAGTTGCGAGCGGCCGCTGCAAACAGTGCACTCTTTGAAGCAGAGGTGGGAATTCAGTCCCCCATCAAGCCTGTGAGATGGAGCACTCATTCCTACCTGCCCTTGACGTCTCATGCAGCGCTATTATTTATGCAGCGTTGGCAAGGTATATCTCAGCCATGGACACTCGGGCGCATGGGACAATGCATTCAGTGGCAACGATGTATGTATTTGTAAAAATTTGCAGGTGGCGGGCTGCTGGGTGACGGGGCCGTCAGCTGGCCGACCCAAGGCGACGGTTCACTTCCTGGGGGGCGCCTTTGCAGGTGCGTCACCTCAGTTGATCTACCCGCTGCTGCTGCAGACCCTGGCCAAGGCCGGATACACCGTCATCTCCACCCCTTACGCCGTCACCTTCAAGCACCTTGACTGCGCGCGCAACGTCCATGATGTGCGTTCCTTCGCAAAACAGCCCCACAATTAGTGCCTGGACATTCTGCGGCGAGTTGCTACAATATGCCTGTCAGTCTGGCAGCTGCACTCCTGCTGCGAATGCCAACGATAGAGATCCTGCTGGGGCGCACTGCAATGCTGACTCAGGGAGAGGAGAGGCATTGCTTTGTATTCTCTTTTTCCGCCCCTGGAAGACCTAGTAGCTCACCCAGATTGTGACGAAATCTGAGGGTCGTAGACATGAGAGATCATGTTCACAGGGACTGTGAAGGAGAGGCAGTTGTGGCGCTTGTGCCATCCCAGACAGAGCCTACAAGAGTGTTGCTGCTTGGATTTAACGGCTGCTGAGGACATTGTATGTGGTGCGCTTGAAGCTCTTGGAGAGCAAGCTCTGCTCCAAAATCACAAGGCAGCTGGCGCATGACTTAGATCATGCTGCCGGACAGGTTCTGCGGCTGCATGAAGGCAGCTGTTTCAACTCCACCCCAGAGCATGAGTGCTGCCTTAGCACAATGCAACCTTGTGTCTTCCATTGCGCATGGCCACAACAGTTTATCTGCGCATATGACCAGAACTATGCAGCCGGCTCAGGACTGTGCCCTTTAGCGTTTTGAGCCTGGACAGTGACCGCACTAATTTCCGCAGAGGTTCAACGGGTGCGTGGAGGCGCTACGGGGCTCGGGGCAGGGCTTCCTGGTGCCGGAAGAGCGCGCGGTGCACGGGGTGGGCCATAGCAACGGCGCTCTCCTGCATGCGCTCATCGGCGCCATGTTTGCACCGGCCAACGCCAGCAACGCGCTCATCTCCTTCAACAACAAGTGCGCACACGCCGCATTGTTTCCTGCGCATTCCTTTGCTTCATGCCAAGGCTCAGGAAAACCTGAACAGGGAATGACAGTGCCTTGGCTGATTCAGAATCAAGTCAGCGCCAAAGCAGGGCCACGAATGTTGCGATATTCTTGGGGTTAGCTCACACCCGGGAGTATGGAGAGCAATTTTGCCATATTCATTCTCATGCAAAGGTACAGGGTTGGGGCCGCTGCCAAGGTAAGCACGAGACACTGTGCAACGAAAGAAGGCTTGATGCCGAAGCCTTGGCGATTCGTTCCTTGAGGGAAGCGGCACTTTCTGGCAGTATCATATCGTAATGTGGTCTTTGAGAGGAAGGACAATGTGGGGCAGTGGCTTGAGAGATATGGGCAGATCCAAAATCATGAGCAATATAAGCATTTGGTGTGGAGATCCCAGGGTGAGAAATGGGTATGACGCATGGCAGACAGGTAAAGGATGCGATTCCGCTGTCGCTGGGCCCTATTCAGGCGGCGGTGGCCAACGTGCGGTCGCAGCCCTGGGCAGCAGGCGTTCCCTCTGCTGACAGCCTCATCACAAGGTGTGAATTAATTCTTGAGTGGTTTTTTGTCTCACGTCACGGGTGTGACTCACAGTCTGAACGTCCGTTGAACCCTGCAGTGTATGACTGTCTTGGCTTGCCTCCGTCATGGAGCAGGTGCACATGTGCTGTTGCATGCAAAGAATTGGGTCCATTTCACTTCTTACAGGTTGGCAGAGTATAGTGAGTGTCACTAAGCTTGTCAGCATGTCCCTGCAGTGCTGTGGGGGCTCTGTCACAGAGTGGGCTGATGCTAGATGAGAAGGCGCTGCGTTCAGTGGCACCAGCCATCGATCAGCTCAATTCTGTCTTCAACGAGGTCCGTGCCTCTCCTGCTCACCTTATTGTCCGCTTCAAAGGGCTGTTTTGCATGTCACGATGCACCCTTCCTTGACCATTGCAAGGGACTGTTACTCTTAAAATGCTGCATCCTTCTTCATGCATCGACTGGGGTTGAGATTTGGGGCCGTTAGACTGAAGGAGTTTGTCTTGCGGGAGACACATGTTCCTATAGCTCTAGGTGCACACCAACTCCAAGAGGGATGTTACATGTGCCTGCCACCCTCACCTGCTTGAGATCTTTGACTGGAATTGACGACAGTAGCAACAGGAGATATGCAGACATCAAAGCAGTCCATCTTAGGGAGATAAGAGGAAAAGCTGCCTCGCGAGTGCACATTCTGCAGCATCCTTTTAAAGATCTTCCGGCCCAGGTGCACTAAACACCCTAAATACAAGTGGAGTTGACAACGTTACAAATTTTGTGGCAGGTGGGAGATGGCAATGTGGAGTTCATCCCAACGCCAGCGGAGAGCAGGGCCCTGGTCCAGTCAGCGTACCGCGTGCCGTACACTCTGCTCGTGCAGTTTGAGAACGACGCCATAGATGAGACCCCGGAAATGACCCGGATCCTCAGCAGCGCAAACCCAGCAGGTGCAGCTCCCTGTGATCCTGCTGAGACCTGTGCACGATCTTGGCCTGCTTTTGGCATGCGCTGTGAGATCCTCAAGCAGCCTGCAGCTCTTGTGAGAGCACTGCTTCTTTGAGTTCATTTTCCCTGGACACTAAGCACTGCATGATTTAAAGCATTCTGGCAACCCGTCAGAACTACTACAGCTTCATGGCGACATTTTAGATGCTGTGAGTGTTGTGGTCACAGCCAGTAGAATCCTGTGACATGCAGACACTAACCTTTGAGTCTCTGAATCACCTGGCTTGTCTGCTGCTGCAATGCTTTGTTTAGCACTCATGGTGCAGAGCACGCATGCGTCGGGGCAGCTCTGAAGCATCAAATCCATCTGCTCCTTGCTGCTGCAATGTTTGTGCTGACACAGAGCATGTGTGCATGCAGGCACAAGCAGCGTGGTGTTGCCTGGGACACACATAACCCCATGCGGCGGTGACGTGGCGTGGCAGGTGGGCCGCAGCTTCTCGCCAGTGGACGCAGTTGCACTCGGGGTGAAGGCAGTTGTGCAGGCGGACATCAGGCGGCTGGGGGACAAACTCATAGGCTGGCTGGAGAGCCACTCGTAGCGCTTGAAACTCGTCTCAATGAATGGGATAGTAGATGAGGGCATGCAGTGTTTCGTAGCACTGTGATGGTTATTTAGATGGTAGTCACCGCAAAGCAGTGCCTGGAATTTGTAGGCTTGAATCCGGCCGGCGAAGGAATGTGCTCGGAGGAAAGATCTTTAGCTACTAGCTAGATGTCACATGGAAAAGCTTGAAAGGGCTCCTTCCCTAGGCCATCCAGGGAGCCTGTCAGCGCTGGCTGCATTACCTTCAGCGCATTTTCATAAGTTTCAATTAGGGAAAATTGCTCGGCGAGAGTCAAACCTGATTGGCAGGGCCTGACCTGCACTGACGAACATATGCACAATAGCATGATTGCGATGCGGTGATTGCACGGGTGCACATGCATGCAAAATGCGCTGCCACATGATTCACGGCCATAGATGGCCCTGCGCCGCGGCTCCCGGGCCGGCCGTCTTCAAGCTGCCAACTAACAAGTAGCAGAGGTGTTGTTTCGGCTAGTGAGGACAACATCAACAATGTTCTGAATCTTACATTCTGACACGTGGCCTGACACTGTCAGGCTGACAGATGCACTTTAATTTTCAATCATGAAGGTAGTCCATCCAATCATGAAAGTTGGTCAAATGCAGCAGGGTGTGATCCAAGGCATTCGGCGGCGCCCCATGGAGGGTTCTCGGGCAAACTGCATTCCAATCACTTGAAGTGATTCACTTCCCAGAACTCGAAGAAACTCCAGGACAGGGAGTCTTTCGGTTAGGTTTGGATCTCAAGATTGTTCCACAGAGAACCTGTGGGAGCAGTGTGTGAAGGTTAAAGCAGCAAGCATGGCAGGCAACGATGCCGGCCGCACGACGGCGCAGCTGCTCCAATTTGTGGCCGCAGAGCTCCAAGGCGCCTTCTCTCACATTGGCAGGGCGATGGCTACCTATTCCGAGACGGGTGCCTTGCCTCCTTCCATGTTCGGGGCTCCAGCGGCCACCAAAACGCGCAAGAGGAGGGACAAGGGTCACAAGCGCAAGCCAAGCGCATTCAACAATTACGTGAAGGAGAAGATGGCAGAGATCCGTGCCAGTGACAATGATGATGAAGACCACGCGACGGCCATTGGTGGGCCTCATTTACTCATATCTTTTGTGACTGTTGCAGACTGATTGAATCAAGCCTGGCTGGCTCACACATTAAAGGATGTCTTTGTATTCAGAAATGCAAGACAACGGTGTGGAGGAACTGGTCATGGGGCTAGGCTCCCTGCTCAGAATTGCTCGAGCCTGATGTGCCAGCTTCACGCAACTTCCAGACCCAATAGGAAACGATTCAATGCCATCCTTTCACTCTTTCGAGCAGTGTGATGTCAGGTAATATTACATGCTTGCAGGCACCAGCATCTTCTCTCAGGCGGTGGACGAGTGGAAGAAGCTGTCAGACGAGGAGAAGAAGATCTACGCTGAAAAGTACAAGGTGAGCTGTCTCATTCTCAGCCTAGCTACTGTGGACGTCTCTGCTTGAAGTTTTCTGTGACTCGTTTATGTTCCATGCATTCAAGTGTCTTACAAGCATGACGCCGTGCATGAGTCTTCCACCTGCAATTGACTGCACTTCTTCTGCACTTGCTCTAATGTTGCGCCACACACTATCTTAGCATACCTGGACTTTCTTGTTATGCCATGCTTTCTTGTACTGATGCCTTTGGTCAGCATTCACTGCATTGCTGGCGAAATCATGCCCGGTAAGCTTCATGCAATGGTGCCTCTACCTGCCATAGCGCTTGATTGCTTGTGTTCACCTGCATGCGGCCTTCTTGGCGGGCCTCCTCCAGAGCATGTTGGCATATCAGCGTTGACGGACACATGTCGCCTGGTGTGGTCTGTGAATGGATGATGGGAATTGTCTGCTCATGGCACAGGCTGAGGAGGGCGAGGAGGAGGGTGCAGAGGACCTGGAAGGGGATGAGGAAATGGAAGGGGACGAAGAGGGTCACGACGAGGGAGAAAACGACGGCGAAGAGGAGGAGCCTGAACAGGAGCCGGCCCCCCAGGAGCCTCCCAAGGTCGAGCCCCCGCAGGCCGCCCAGCCTGTGAGTGCCAAGAAGGTCATTTCCATTGACTATTTTGTCACTGTGCCTGCGGCTGTGCTGGTGAACATCACATTGTATGTTTTCAACAGGTTGCATGTTCACTGGCACATAGTGTTTTTTGTTTTAGCATTTGAAGTTGTGTCTGCACGTGTGCGTACCTCACGCACATCCCCTTGAAGTGACGGGTGCTTTTTTTGATGGACCTTGCATGTGAGCCACTGCTGACACTTGCATTTTTCAGAGAGCAATTGGGATGTGGCGCATGCCACTGTCCTGCCTTGGAAGTGGCTGAAAATGGTGTGCATGCGTATTTGCAGGAGAAGAAGCGCAAGGGTCCAAAGGCTGATGAGCCCAAGGCACAGGCTGCGCCGGAGCAGCCGGCTGCGGACGAGCCCAAGTCAGACAAGAAGAAGAAGAAAAAGAAGGACAAGTAGAGGATGCAAACCGGGCACCTTGTGCACTCGGCGGATCTGTCCTGGTGGGCTGGCAATGTGCTCCTTGTCGTTTACATTTGTTGAACTGGAGAGGGAATGGGGAAAGAAAGATCACCAGCATTTTGCCGGCCCTGTGCATCTGGCACTTCACCTCGAACTGCATCTGCTCTTACGGCCCATTCTCCTTGCGCACCAACCCCATGCGGGTGGAGAACCCCGTGGGCGGCCGCCGGATCAGGGTGATGCCGTCAGCGGATGAGTCATCCTCGCCATCGCTGCCTGACATCACCCACCGCGTCGACGTTGTTCCAGTCCAACCAATCGCTGCGGAGCAATTGGAATGGTCATCTACTAGTGCATGCTTTTAAAGCCCTGCCAGATGAATGAATCTGCTGCATTGTTTGTGCAAACAGATGTAATTAGGAGATAGGTGGGTTCTTGTGTTATCTTTGATGGTGACAGTAGAGAGCTTCTAGAGAAGTGTTTTGATTTGCCAGACTTGCTGTGTCAGCATGTGGGTTTAAAATAGGCGCATCTGTGCTTTGGGAGGCAATGGCTTACCAAGGCACATGCTGGTTGCAATTGTCTTGCAACTTGTGTGGGTCCCTTTTCAAATATAGGTTGAGATATTATATGGTGCTTGTTTGTGTCTGGCCGACATCTGCATGCCAAGTGCAAGTTCACATTTTCCAGAAAGTTTGTTGACTCATGTGACGAGTGTACGCAATAGATTCCTCTGTGTTATCCATTTCTACTGGAAATTTTCTAGTGCATTGTCAGCCTTGTGGCAGGCTGCAACATACCTACCACTGGCAGGTAGTACGTCTTTCAAGGTATGCTGTGCTGCATTACTCTCCTCGCTGTCTGCAGCTGTACACACGGGGGCATGTCATCGTTGTCTACAGAGCTCAGTATCTGTGTCAATGCACATCCTCCAGCTCCAGCAGGCATCATAGAGTGTGAGTGGACAATGTGAGATCTGCACATGCCATACTTGTTACAGGCAGAATAGATCTAGAAGGCAAGCCGCATAATGGTTTCGCAAGCCCGTGTGACAGCATAGGACTGCTCCTGGCATTGTATACATCTAACATCTCTAGGTGGCAAACACCACTGGCCCGTTCAGAATCCTGCAGGTCTACTAGATCAGGCAATGGACGCTGGAATCAGACAGGTACAGACACGCATTGTGCGGGTCAATAGAACATCGCTCGATGCATTCTGTTGGTACATCTGGCCTCACAGGTGTCTGCCAGGTGACAATACTGATCAAAGCTTGTCAGCGCTGCATCCCACATGATCACATCCCATGACACATCCGCTGCTCTCTGCTGCAGCTTTCCACATCAAGTCATCCTGCATTGGAGGGCCTATTCAATAGGCCCTATTGTGCGCTACATTCACAACTCTACGCCCCGAGTCTGCTTTCATCTGACGACGCACAAGTCAAAGATTCTTGTGACAGTCTGTTCATCATCTGAACCTGGCCTGTTTGCTTCCCTGGCAGTATGGCACAGTGGCACCAGCCCCAGCAAGGGGACTTGCAGCTCATGCAAGGCACACCGATAAAAGGATTGATCTGGGACGCATACTGCCACTCTCCCTTGGGGCAACCCCGCGTTGCAGCATGTCTGCTCAGTAGGATCCCTGGATGTACTCGTGCAGGCGGCCCACTTCCTCCTTGTGCTCTTCCACCACCACATGCACCTGATACCATCACAGATGGTAGTCAGAACTGGGGAATTCATGTGAGCATCTCCGTGTGCATGGGGAGCTGGCTTGCGGATGGCAAAAAGTCAATACATGCATGTTCAGTCAACTGCGTGTTTGTCCTGCATGGACGACCTGCAAAGCAGCTCTTCTGCAGACTGCCAAGTCATGGATCGATCCCTGAAGAAGCACTGATTGTAGTAAAAAAGAAAAATCAAGGAGATGCTGGGACCCACCACATCACGTATGCTCACCATCCCCAGGTACTTGCCCTCGTGCACCTGCATGAAGATAAAGGTAGTGCATTCGAGTCTGTGACTGCACAATGAGGCGGAGATGATGGTACGTCGCAGGAATGTTGCACTACACTGTTTGCAACGTTTGCAGGCCTTTTTTCCCCACTGCAGTCTTCCACTGCAAGGCCATCAGCTGGGGGAACCCTAGTGGTAGCATTAGGAGGTATAGGATAGAGTGCCCCTACCACAGGAACGTGACGGAAGTTGTTCTCAGTCATCAGCTTCATTACGTCCACGACACTCTGCTGAGGTGTTGCTGTCATGAGCTTGCTCTTATCCGTCATGATCTGGCTGACTGCCAGGTCCTTCGAGCTCTGATCTTTCACGACCACCTTGGTCAGATAGTCTGCATTCCGCACACATAAAGATTTTCAGTTGTGTCGTGATCATGCATGTGCCATGCAGTTGATCATTCAGCTGCTGTAGAAACCCCACCTCTCTCGGTGACAATGCCAACAACTGCATCGCCTGAGGCTTCCTTGATGGGCTGATCAATCGTGATCTTCTCGGGATCGAAGACCAGCAGGGATCCCACGTTGCCTTTTGTCATCTGAACACCACAAAATACAGGTGAAGAAACAGCTCACACTGCTGCAAAAGGGCAAAACGCAAACGTTCCTATGCAGCACTTTCAATTGCCCCACCTTCTTCACCGCGTCGATGACCAGATCATCCTTTGAACACCACAGCCATGCACCTGCATCATGCTGCAAGCCCACAATGTGCTCTCAGGACTCTGTGAAGGAGACATGCGAGTGCCCCTCCCGCAGAGGCATTGACTCTTTCCAGCGGCCTCCTGCAACGGAGCCCGCTCTGCGCAAGATGCTCATCCGTTCATGTCATCTGAGGCATCGCACCTTGGACTGCAGGACCTGGCCAATCTTTGTCTGGCCCCAACCCTGCTTTCCCACTCTGGACGAGTCCGACCCAAGATCATCTGCCACCGCCTGCTTGAACGTCGAAGATGTGGCCAACTGCGCTCGAACAAACCATTTTTATGATCATGTCTGATATAGAGCAACGAGACAGCGCAGGTTTGCGCGTTCGGGGCGCACCGCTCTACAGATTTGTGCAGGATAGGGCTTAGAAGCTGAAGTAGCTGTTGCCTCGCTGAGCAGCCGTGCTGCTGTGGGCAACGAGCACCGGAGGGTGCCTATAATTTGCTTGAACGCCATCCTGTTGAACCGGTGCTTGACTTCTTGAATGACTTTGGCACAGCAGAAAGAGGAAATTCGAGTCAGCTAAATTTTCCCATTAGATTGACCCACCCACCTCGATTCACCCTCCAGCTGGGCCTACCCTGCCATGTAGACAATTGGGGTCCTTGCCAGTCAGAAGGCCTGGAACTGCTTCACAAAATCTAATTTGAGCGAACATCCTCGTTGCAGTCTCAAATAGAAGATTCCTTGACTGTGGTCATAGGTTAAAGGTTTTGAGAAATGGATCGATCGAAAGGTGATCCAGAGAACTTGGAGGGTGGAGGTGAATCGTCGAAAGCTGAAGAATGTAGTACTTCTGGCAGAGATAGCCAAACGCCTTGGGAGAGGGTTCATCAGGCGTTCAAGTTTGCAACAACTCGCATAGAGCCTGGCGATCCGGTAAGTCCCCACGATTCACGCGACATTGGCTGAGACACTTCAAAGTGTGCCCAAGTATTTGATGAGTAATAATTCCCTTGATTTGGTTTCTTCAGGTGCCTGAGGTCCCGGCCGAGCTCAAAGAATGGGCAGAGAACACTGCGATGGGCACCTTGGCTGGCATGTTGTATTGTGGAGGACGCCAGTTTGTCAAAAACAGAAGAGAAGGTACGCTTTTGGATTTGCTTATCCAAGAGGCTCATCCATTGTATTCCTAATTAAAAGCCACTCCTTGCTTGTCATCCTCATGTCCACAATAATTGCAACTGGAAGAAAAATACAGTGAATGTATTCGGCGGCGCGCATTTGTTCATTATGCGCGCATGTCACCAATGCGCGCACTGAGGCTGCATGCGCATCTCAGGTCTTTATCGGCCGCCACAGGGGGGCCTGTCTCCCGCACAAGTGGCTCGGCTTATCGCTGAAGAGAACACGCGGCGCCTGATCCGCTTGGGGAATGAGACCCTCAGGTGCGCTCGTACATCCCTTTACCGCCCCCCATCAATATAGCACACCATCCTTGTCACGTGGAGGTACTGCGCGTGACTCACTTTTGGTACCAATTAGTGGCTGGCAACTACTGGATACTCCCATGCTGGTGAATTGGCACTGTTCTGTGCAACTGTTATTATGCTTGCTTCTCCTGCCAGAGGGTAAGGTGCATCTGCAGACAAGCTACATGTAAAGACTGCCACATATCCCACCTCTTGATGGACTCGTGTCTGAATTGAGGCATGCAACTTTGCTTGGCCGATGTACAGACTTGAGTGCATTCCCGCAGCTGCAGCAAGCTCTCACGAGCGCCTGACAAGCCCATCAGAAGAGATCAAGACTGCCGCCTCCCCTCGCCCTTGGTACTGTCAGCATTGGAAACCTGGGCGCTGTGGTGAAATGCTGTGTGCACGTGTGGCTGTGTCAGGGGAGGGCTGCGCTTTGGCGCGCTGACGGGGCTCTTCTTTGGCGTGCAGCTGCTGAGCAGCATCGCGCGCGATCGGCGGGACATGCAGGACACCGTCAATGCAGCGCTTGTCACCGGAGGCATCTTCGGCGCCCTCTGTGAGCCCCCACCTTTCCGGCAATCATTTCGATCGCATGAAGCAGCCATGCCACTGATGGGAGTCTCCATGACAGCAGTTTCCAGCAGTTGCTGACTTCCTGCTGCTAGAATGTATTGAACATTGTATTGCGGTATTCTACTTGCGCTGACTGGAGTGTGCAATTGCAGTACCGGGCACGCCGGCGTTCCGGCTACGCAGCGCAGTATTGGGCGCTGCTTTGGGAGGAGTGGTATGTCCTTTTCTACAAGCCTTGCACGCCATGCCTTGTGTCTATTGGGCCACTTTGCATGCCTTACATGCTGGGAATTATTGATTGCAATTTTGGCTTTGCATGGTGTGATCTGTGAAGCGAATGGACTCCACACAGCATTGTATCTGACCAGGAAGCAGAAGCTGCGGTCAGCTGCAGAATGCGAAGTCAGCTGCACGTCCTTGACTTGAAAAGACAGGGGAGGGGCATGATCATAAGATAGTCTGCACGCTGATTAGCTCTTGCTGCCTGGCCAGACATTGGTCCTCCGATCATTGCTGCTGCCACAAGCGAGCATGCTCCTGCTGTGGTCAGCTTTCTGCACATGACATTTATGTACAGAAATTGTGAATGGCGGAATGGCAGTGCTGTTACATGTCTGGCGCAGGTGGCGGTGCCGGCCAGCATGCTGCAGGAGCAGGTGGAGAAGCTGGCGCCGGAGGGAACGCGCGGCGCGGTCAGGCACACAGGCCTGGCGGGGGGACCGGTCCCCTCTGCGCGAGAGTATCGACCGGAGAGGTACACCCTTCGAGACCGTGACTCAGCCGCTGATGTCATCCGGCGCCTGGAGCACAGTCTGGGCAGCAGCACAAGCAGCACAAGTTCGTTGGACGCAGGCTCAGATGCAAGCCCCAAACAATAATCACATTGATTAGATAGTGCTTTCTGCTGAAAAGTAGTCTCATTAGTTGGGGGTAATGTGGCTTCTGTACCTGCTGGCCTGGTTGTTAGGTCGAGCCTTGAAAACACTAAAGGCAGTGGCGAACCCTGGCCAATTGGCCAAGGCCTCGTATTTAATGTCCAGTTCTAACGGATTGTTTGAGCTTGCCACGGCGCAGGGCTCAGCGATGTGTCATGGATATATGCAGCCTCAGGATGACACGTTGTGTAAAGGGCGTTCCAGAACTTCCTTTTTGAATTAGGTAATTTGACCACTGGTGTCACTGGCAGGCCTGATCAGATGATCATGATGGCGGCCACTGGCATGACACATCGGATATCCACACATCGATGCAACCTTGCAAATGGACTTGAAGGTGCCAACTGTTGTACGTGCCATGGCCTTGCAGCAGCTGCAATGCTTCACCAGATTTAATGCGTCTATCATGGGTACCACCACCTCATGCATGCCAAGAAAAGTTAAAGTTCAGACTTGGCACTGCAATGTCCTGAGGCGTTCCTGGGTCGCTTCCCCAGCGACTTCCTCTAGGTGTCGTCCTTGGGAGATGCTAACCCCAGCGATCCGCAGCGCAGACATACTCACACAAAATTTGATGAGAATCTGAAAAGATGGCTTCGGATCGCAGCCAAATGTTCGCCGCTACAGTAGTGGCCCTCCTCGCTGTAACGTCAACTGTGCATATCGCCTTCGGGCAGGATGTGGCCTGCTCACCCACGCCTCCCACGATATCTGACGGTCAGTCGCAATCCAGGTATTCCAAGAGCTTTTGCCCCAACGGGACCAAGGGAACCCTGCGCGTGGCGGGCCAAGGCATCAAGGAAACAAAGAGCGATCAGGCCAAGGTACAAACCCTGTTGTAAATTCATCCTGCAGAATTGTTGAAAGATGAAAAATTCCCTTTGATATTGCGCCGATCCGACGAAGGCAGGTCTTGTCGCGTAGGTCGTCAGACACCTGGCATGCCCTTCATTACACGTGTTGATTGAAGCAAAATTCAGGAGCATAGACGGCAGAGAACTTTGCAAAACGCGTAGGGCTATGCAAAGTCTTTATCTTTGTCTGAGAGCCGACATGTGCAGGTGCCCATGACAATTGAGGTCACAGCAGACACTGCCAGTGCAGCCAGGGACAAGGCCAGCACCCTGGCAAATCGCGTCCTTGGCAACCTGAGCGCGGTGCGATCACTTGATAAAATTACATTATCCTTATTTTGATGAAGTCCTCTTCTTACAGGTATTAGTCTGGGAACGTGCGAGCCAAAAGTGTTGGGCGACCATGGCATTCCTTGAGTCATTCCTGTCCCCCGCAGATAAACGGCATTGGCAGCGAGAACGCGCAGACGTCCTCGGTCTCAGTGAATCCGAAATATGACACCCGCTCAAGCAACACCAACACCATTGTGGGCTACACCTACAGCCACCAGCTGACTGTGAATGTCAAGAATCTGACCTCTGACTTGCTGTCAGAAGTGCTGGACATTGCAGTGGCATCGGGCGGCAACCAGCTGCAGATCCAGCAAGTATCGGTGAGTGCCTGCATCACTTCTGTTAGAGGAGCTTGGGTCTGCAACGATCTCCAGTGCACATCCAAAACACAACCGAGAAAAGTCCTGCATGCTAGCGCCCGCGGCAGATGCGTGGGTCAACAATGGCGGTGTTGCTTCCCTTGCTCAGGCTTGAGGAAAGATGCATTTTGGCGAAGTCTAAGGAGAAGCCTTTGATCACTAGCAGAGTAATCAGAGACTGTCGTAGTGTGTGGGGTGCTCCTGATCCCGCATCATCGAGAGCGCCCAATTTGTTTCGTGCGTGCTAAGGTTATGACTGGTGCCCCGCAGTTTTCCCTGTCGGATGCGCTGACTGCCGAGGTGATGGTAGCTGCCCGGAAGTTGTCAGTAGCCAGCGCCAAGGCAGCCGCACAGATCTATACCTCGGTGAGCGTTAAATTCATGATATTTGCTCATCCCGCGTGCATTCCTGTGATTTTGCAGGACACATCCTACGAGCCACTCCTGCAACGGGAAAAGGTTTTGAAGGATCCTTTAAAGTCTCTCTATTGCATGAGCGGCTCATGTGATGGACTTAGATTCATATGCATGCACTCTGGATACAGTCTGCCAGTCATTTGTGGGCTCATTCAAATTCAAAATTCTCACACAACCGTGTACGCTGTGCAGGAGCTGGGGGTGACAGTGGGCGGCATCAGCTCTGTGACTTCCACCACTGCCAGCTCAGCGCCACAAGGCGGCAATTCCAACGGCAACAGCCTCAAAACAGGTCTGTGCTTCCCCACTTCCCCACGAAACAGAGGAATGTTCCTTGCATGCATGTCACACTGTCTATTCACATACAGCATGCGCTGATGAATAGCGGCACACAGCGGCCTGCAAGCTTACCTTTGTCTGGAAGATGTGCAGAGGGGAATGCACAGTCTCAAAGTAGCTGGATGCTCACTCTGTTCCTGCAAGCATGCACATATAATAATCCTGTATGTGCTTAGGAGCAATCTGGCTAGCAACTCAGTAATCTCACTACTTCTACTGGACAGAGAGACTCTCAGAGAGCATGTGTTCCTAACCTAATCAGGCGGCCTCTGATCTGTTGTGTGCTGGTGGCATTGCAGCGGCCTACACCAACTCAGTAATCTCACTACCTCTAGTGGACGGAAAGACTCTCAGAGAGCAGTGTTCCTGACCAAATCAGGCGGCCTTTGATCTGTTGTGTGCTGGTGCATTGCAGCGGCCTACACCCTTGCGTCCACTGAGAGCGGGTCATCATCGACGCCCATCAGCATTGGGCAGCAGACTGTGACAGACTCCATTGATGTGGAATACTTCATCTGCACGCCGTCTGCCTGAGGGGGGAGTTTTCTGGCAGCAAGCAAGTCTCCCAAACCACACATGATGGTATTGATGGACTTGCGCCTGCAAGCAGGGACCCTGCAAATGCCTGCCAGACTCTATAGCTATGCACTGTGGTACACTTGCGAGGAAACTGCAGCCGGCATGTATCATCAAAATCAATATTATCCAGTGTTGCAATGTATGCATTGGTATGAAAGCTCACCATTCAGAATTTGGCCTGTGAATGGGTGTGAATGCCTCGAACCCGCCATGCATGTAGAGCATGTACAGCAAATGTGGTTTTTGCAAAAGCCCCGAGCAGTGTACACACGAACTTGAAAATGTGCATGCAGTAGAGGGCTGTGCCATGCGCACTGGTGTTTGAGTATGACTCATACTGTAAGAGTGGTGCTGTGCTGTTTACTTAAGTATTTGAAGGGAAGAATTTGAGCAGTGCTCTCTGCCCGGCATGCAGTTTGTATATTTTTCTGTTCCTGTGTAAGTGTGTGTTGATGAATGATCACATGAGTTACGATTTCGCCTCTGCGTTGCAAAGGATTGCAAGGATTTCGCCTGCAGCTTGCCTGCAGGACGCATCTTGCCTCTTGGCAGGAAAAGCGTGTAATAATGATAATAATAATAATTGCAAAGCACATCCTATGCCGGGCATGGGTAAATGAGATATGTAAATGGCATAAGTGTAAGGCGCTATTGAATGTGATCCGCGATGCATCTTTCAATGAGCGCATTCTCATGCTCTGTCACGAACTGAAGGAGTATGCTGGCTTCAAGCTGTAAAAATTGCAAGGATGGGTGTTCAATGAGAGCATGTCCAGCTATATACTGCAGTAAACAGCTGTCCAGATGATGTCAACATCATATGGCAATTCACGAGAAGGTCTTGCCCCTGTGTGGTATGGCATTAAGACCAAATAAATAACAATGTCCACATTAGCAGCTAGCTACAGATGCTGAGCTTGTTTCGAGTGCATGTGAACATGTCTTAACAGCGTCTTACAAAAAGAGGCAACTTGTTTGAAACACACCAGCAATCCATGCAGTCATGCATGCGAGCCCATCACAAGCCACCAGAGGAAGGCAAAATAATTCTCCCAATGTGACCATAACAACAAAACATTGAGCACATCAAAGCCCTTGACCTACTACATCATACACAACTGTCAAACACAATATATTGCAAACGGCACAGTTCTTGAAAGTATTGTTTGCCTAGCGTCTTGGGAAAATTGAGCCTCTTTGGTAGTTGAGGCGTACATCGTAAGTATACATGCGTTTTGCACCCGGCTGCAAGCTTTAGCGGCGTTAACTTGGTTCCAAACTTCTACTCATTCGCATATGTTCTTGTCCCGTGCATTCCCTGCTCGAGGAACGTTTTAAATCACTGTGCAGTTCCTGTAATGTGTGCTTGTCATTGACTAATGATTGGGTCATTGCTTCTCAAAGGCGACCTTTGTGGTCAGGGTCCAGAGAGGGGACGCCTTTGCAGCCCCGGCCTCTGCATAGTCTGACGCGTGCTCTATGAGCGGCACCCTCAGGCTCTCCTGCACAAACCCACAAACTTGACAACTCAGGCTTAACCCTTGATCAGGGATAACCCACAAAAGTCAGTAGGAACTGAGCACAAAACATAGCAACTGGGAACACTCAAAACTGCTGCACGTTCAGTATACATACCTGCTGACCGGATTTTCTCTGAACGGTGTGCGCACAGGCCTTAGACAGCAGTGCAAAGCCAGTGACTCTCAAGTTCATTGACGCCGATCTCTTTTCTTGTTGCCCAAGAGGGCCCTCCTTCTCAATGGGAGGACATCCCAACACAAAGCAGCCATGCATGCTTGCATGCAGCTCATCTCGTGCACCATCAGACCTCTGACTTTTGCGCTCACACACAAACAATACTGGAGGACGAAAAGTCCTCGTGCATTAGTCATGGGACTGACTGCGCACCTCATCAGCGTCCAGTCCCTGCTGCGCTGCCTGGCGGCTGATGCGTGCGTAGAATGCAAAGAGGGCCACCAGCAGCACAGTCTCCACGCCCAGAGCATACTGCAGCATGCGCCTGCGCCAGTCAAGATTCCCCGTCAATCACTTGATGGACTTTGCCGTGCTGATTGTAAGATTCAGGCCCTGAGTGAGTGGGCCCGTCGGGAAGGGCTGACCAGGAGTTCAGGGCCGTCTGACCCCCTAATCTGGAGTTGTCATGATAACAGGTGCAAGATAATTTGAGTTTAGCCCACTGTCTTGTCTGTCTACTTGTCTTTAGCCAAATTTAGTAGCAAGAAAATATCAGCTCGCTGTTCTGAAGCCTGAGCTGCCATTTACTTCAAAAAACAGATGGCTCTGCTCCCTGTGCTGTGCATACCAGGACCCCACCAAGACAGCGCTCTCATTAAGCGCAGATTGCTGTGAGTTTCTGGACCTGCTCTGAATCTATGGTAAAGGTATTATGCAAATTAAGTGGCCGACAGAGACAGTGAGCGCACCTGTGCTGGCAGAGCCATGAGCAGATGCCGGTGTTGAAGCAGTTGCTGAGGGTGGGCGCTTGCTGCTGAAGCACCTCCTCTCCAATCTCCATGAAGTCCACATCGCTCACGCGCACAGGCGCCTGCCTCGGGTGCCTGCGCACGCGAAAAACACCCTTGCTAAGGGTTCTGCCTTGGGGTATTTACACAGGGCATTGGGACTTTGGCCATAACCCCTAAGTATTAAAATATATTAACTGTTCTTAGGGTACAAACAAATGACAGCCTGCCTAGAACAAGAGCAGTAAGGGTGGATCAGCAGTGAACCTACCGTCAGCAGCACTGAAATCTGTCAGGCATACATGCAAGCAAACAAAGCAGACGGCTACAAAGTATTGCTGAAAGCAACTTTGCTGTCAGAAGTCCACAAGAAGTCCACTGCCTAGGCCCAGAGACACTTGCTAGTCTCATGTTAACCCTCTGGCACGCATCTGTCAACTCTTGCCCTTTTCACCCAGAAACAGCGAAGTATCTCTGCCAAGGTACTCAGTGCTTGCACAGCGCGTACGGCTGAATCCCTAAGTGAAAATCCTTTCACGCAAAAATGCAGGGGACTGCAGCACCTGTTGAGAGTGTCGCTGAGGACTCTCAGGCGCTCGTCCAGGAACTGGGGGGTCAGTGCAGGCACCAGCTCGGGGTCAATCTCTATGTCAATCTCCGTCTCACCCTTAGGCACACTCTCCTGCACAGGCCCCACAAAAATTCAACTATGTGATCATTTTGTCAGATCAAATATTCACAAAGGAACGTGGCTCTCTGCAAGGCAAGCTTAGTATATGGGGCACTAGAGTGAATTTGGGTCTTGGCATCAATGCCTGACTGCCACACTTCCTCAAAGAGCCACAATATTGACACATGGAGCAGTGCAGCAAAATCCGCGGCAGTTTCAAGGTCTAGCAGAGAAGACACGACTGAAAAATGACAGGGGCTTACGTCATCGTCCATCTCATAGCTGATCTCCACGTCGAGAGGTGCGCCACCGTAAGAAGTCTCCAGCTTGGCCAGAATCTCGGCCAGGAAGCGCGACAGGCCACCAACTAATGACTGCCCGTCACCGTTGACTAAGGGTGAAACATCGCTGTCCCCTAGGTCCATCCTGTCCTGGCCGTCACCCCCCAGCAGGCCCCCCATCCACTGCCCAATCAGCTGCTTCATGCCTCCCACATCTGCACACAAAATTCCACGGCTCAATTTTTTATCCTTGCATGCAACCACTGAAGAAGATATATCTGGAAGAGCTGTTGGGACGCACCTTGCCTTATTGAGGCTGAAAACTACTTTGTAAGAACAATGACGCTAATGATGAGAATGATGGTGCATACAGACCAGGTGGCAAGGGATTGAGCACCACTTGTAGCATTTATTTTGACAGTCGGGGAGAGCAACATTGCACCACGAAATTACAGGGTAATGCAGGACTGCGCAGCTGGGAAAGATGGGCGCACCGGCAAAGTCAGCGTTGAAGACCTCTGCATCGGCAGATCCCTCGGCAGCGACCACCAGCTGAGGCTCCTCTGGGGCGCCCGAAGTTACATCCACATCAACATCATCTGCCACGCGCAGCGTCACCTGCCAATCAGCCATCACCAGTCGATGCCGGGCACTATTCAATGACATTTGGCTTTTCCTTTCCCGGAATGCATGATACTTGGTAGTAAACGAGCTGCAGAGCCCCCAAACACAGCGCACTAGCAGCGATGCAAGCACATTGAAGCATGTTCCTGGTAGACAAATGTGCCGCATCGACCTGCAGAGTTTCGAACAGCGGTGCAGTAATAGTGGCGCTAGTTTGCCACATGCAATGTCATCGTGTCATGGTGCACCAAGATCAAAATGTCACCAGGGCTTCTGGATTTTCAGGTTACCTGAATGTTTAGGTAACTCTGAGGTGAAGGTACCTGAGATACGCCGTCATAGACGAGCGAGTTGCTGCTGTCATCGGTGATGGAGAGAACGCCGTCGTTCAGAGCCACCTCCAGTGAGTCACTCCCGCTCACGCTGAAGCTGCCAAGACCGCCCTCCAACTCAACATCAATGCTCACTCCCTGCGTTGATTGAGAAATGTCTTGTTACTGCTGTGTTATTTCATGCATGATCCAGTCCACAGAGCCAGGTGTGCTGCAGCAATTTCTCAAATTGCAACATTTTACTGGAACAAATGTGTTTCAGCAGAATGAGGACACAGATGAGATAAATTCACCGAGTGAGAAGAAAATGGGGTTCAAGGCTTTTTTGGAAGACAGGAGGAGGGGGCAGCAAAGAGGAAAGTCCTTGAAAGCTTTCTCTTGCAAAGTCACAAATGGATTAGACCTGGTCTTACAAAATTAGGGAATTGCTAGCAGGGCAAAGTGTTTCTGGGCAAAAATGTGTGCACCTCTTGCTCAGGGGTATCTGTTTCTTCGCGGGGGCCCTCCATGAAGAGGTCCCAGAGGCGGTCAATGTCCATGCTATCTGTCATCTCGTAGTAAGCGTTGCTGATATCTTCGTCCGGGAGCTCGATAACATCAGCGCCGGGCTGCATGCGGATGGCGCCGTCTTCAAAACCGGAGGTGATGCCTGGCGCCATCCAGTCATTTCCGTCGTGCGCAGGCAGGAGAAAGAAATCCTCATCATCTGCAACATTCGGAAATTTTGATCAATTTCTCCTGCTCTCGATCAGCGCAATTATCTGGCGTTGTTCAACTCCAAAAAGATGTTACCCCACTTCATGTACGGCGTGCCAGAATATATGTGATAACTCCACAGAAATTTGCGTACGCTTCCCAATGCATACGAGCATGCGTAAACAAAGAGACACAGCCCTACTGTCTACCTGATCTCTCAGGGCTGACCAACACACCAGCCGCCCTTCCTGATGAGCCAGGACTAGGATTGCATTAAAAGATTTAAACCATGAGAGCTGATGAGAGAAGGTCACTTTCATGCAGAGGCAGCAAGCCGACTTACCGATTGCAGGCATGGCGACCTTGGGGACGCGTTTGGCGCAGGATTCCTGTTTCCGGTACATCCGCGCGAAGGGGCTGTCCACTCCGCAGGCTGCCAGGCCGTCAATCACATTTGGCATCATGGTGTCGATTGCAGCTCCCATGAACTGTTCGCTGCCCTCACCACTGCGCAAGCACAGAAGTTGCCTAGGAGGGGTGCAAATAGCAGCCTAGGCTCAGCTCTGCAGGAAACTTGAGACTGCCTTCCGAGCTAAGTGAATGGTAGTGCACGAGAGGCACTTGATGAATTGCTCTCAGAAAGACTGTGCAAACAGGGTGAGGACTGCACAGAGAGCCAAAGAATTCTTTCAGTGGTGTCTAGCTTAGCCAACCCCCAGACCATGTCAGGGCATCTTACTTGATTCTGTGTCTGTATAAAAACAAGCTTAGGCGTTGCTACACTCCTCACCATTTCTGCATTACAAAATATGTAGGAGCAGGTTCCCCTAGAGACAGTGATTGGAATGCAATGAGCCAAACAGGAACCCTCCTATGCTGTCCAGCTCATCAAAAAAATATCCAAAATAATTTAGGACAGCCGTATTCTGTGTGAAAACAGGCTGGGGCGCACCAGAGGCAGTCCATGCCCTCGAGTGCGCGGAAGGGGATGCAGCAGTGCTGCTGCAAGTCGTGGTACACCATTCCAGCGCTGCACTCGCGCAGCACATCGAGAGCACCCCAGCACGTCTCCCGCTCATCCACATCCATCGCTGCCTGCACAATAACAACACTCTGCCTGTCAGATGGCCTGTTCCTTAAGCACTCTTGTCTGTGGGAGCGAAATAAAGAACGTGTACATCAGAAGGAATGCATGAAGAGCTCAAGCCGCACAGCACAGCCTGCGACAAGTACCTATGGTCATTCCTGTGAGGTGAGTGTCCTGAATCAGCTATTAGCAAGGCTCTTCAGCAGCCCAACGATGCCAATTATGGCAGCGGCAAGAATACACTCATTCTGATTTGACAGTATTGTGGTAGTCTTTGGATCTGTTCTCATGCTGTGATGGCTGCAAAAGGTATAGGAATAGCTGTGCTTTGAGGCTTGCCTGTGCTGGTGCTGTAGCCGCTGCCAGCAGGCAGGCTGTTGCCAGGGCCAGGCTGGCCCAAAGCTTTGTGGACATGGCTAGCTACTGTTGCGCCGCTCACTCCGAATATTTCGGTGCACGCCTGCGCATTCATGAAGAACTCAGAGGATAGTCTCAAGGAGCTGCAGTGCCCTGGAACAACCCTCATTGCCTTAATGTGCATGAGAAGCTCAGATGCTGAGGAGAACGGCACCCATATGCACTCAGTCACACGTGGGTATGTTTTTGACAAGCATAGCGGTGGGAAATTTACAGGCTCCCTACTGACAATAGAAATACGTAAAACGCCAATGCTGTGGGAAAGACAGCCAACAACGGCTCCAGACTCAAGCTAAGCATTGTTTCCAGACATCAATTGATCCGTAATGCCATCTGATATCATTTTCCCCACGATCGCGTCGCCCCACAGCTTGCTTAATCACTAGTAAGCCCAATGGGACAGCCTGCGTTTCGTCCTATTCAGAGGCCAGCGATGTCTTCTGGCGCCTTTATTACCAGCATTGTTCCTAAAAATAATATATCTTGAGGCCAAAGATGCTCGTACGTCCGACCGGGCACTGCTCAGTACACCAGATCCACTAAATGGCCGTGACGCTAGACGGGCGTGAGTCAAGAAATGCTCGATCGACGTGCAAATTTGATACATCCTAATGGTGCTTGATAGAGGAGTCCATCGATGCACCTGATCGAGGTTCCCTGTACTGACGCGACCAGTCAGCAATTTCGAGGCTGGCGAGTGGGGGCAACAAGTCCTTCTTGCGCGCTCCTCTTTATAGCGTGAGACGTTGTACCGTCACAAGCCGCGCTTCCAACCACTGAAGCTTTCCAGGATCCGTCTAGACGCGATGCGAGAGGAAGGAGCGGCTTGCACAGGAGGACATTGGCAAGCACGAAGGCTTCGAGACCAATCGGGCGGCGTTTCATCTGCCTGCACCACGTGATGACATTACGCATCACTCTCTAAATGTTACTGATCCTCAGGCCCGGATCGGGTGACATGAGACATCGCAGGACGATCTTCGAGCGCAAGCTTTGTTCATGCATTGGCGGACCTGAATGATCAGGTGAGGGCCCTCCCTGAGTTCCCTTCAATCCTGGCCTTGTCATTGTGCTTCCGCTAGGGCTTCCGGCAAACGCAAGTAGAGCATAGAAGCAGGGCAAAATTTCGTCTGTCTCTGACTTGAAAGATTAATGATGCATTGAAAATGAGGTTAGTGGTTGCAGATCACCGATTACTCTCTTGCGGACTTTGATCAGCAGTCAAAAGGTCGGAACCCGTGCGACGTGAGCAGCGGGCGTCTCGGTCCGTGCCAGGTTTGGGTCCACCAGCTGCGACCTTGTCTCGTAGCATATCCTGCGATTGAGTGTGAAATAATTGAGATGAGAGCAGAGAAAGTCCGTCAGAGCCGGCCTGCTAGGAGATGGGGGCCCAAATCCTAGTGGGCAGTGCCGACTCGTGATTTGCTCAACAAACGCACGTCAAACTATGATTGCGAGTACCTTCGTGAATCCAGGGAGAGCAAGGACTATCCTCAGATGGAGGAAAATGGGGAGTCTTCAAGGAGAGAAGGGCTCCCGGGAGTCGATTCACAGGGAAGCATGCCCTCGCCTAGCCCAGCAGTTCGTAGACAAACCAGGGACACAACAGATGGTGCGCGCCTGCTTTGGGCAAGTTCCCAGTCATCTGTCTGCAGTGCAAATGCTGGGAATGCTTAGCATGCTTTTTCTGACATAAGCAGCCCTCTCTGGCCACAGACGTTGAGCTTAGACACCCCAATTCTTGCCAATTCCACAGGGACCTGAGAGATGCATCGCCCTTGTGTACAAACCTTCCAACTGGGGCTAGTGCTTACCCTCAGTTGTGCCACAGGTTGCAGCGACGCTTCAGGGGGGAAAGAAGTAAAGAAGAGAACCACCTGTGCACCAGGTTTGTCCAGACAGGCACTCAAATATAATCTTTTGGTGCTTTGAACAGCTACATGTGGGATGTGGGCTGTGCTGTTCTCAGCCCTAGGATTCAGTAACTTCCAATGCCACTGCACATGCAAAGTGATCGTCAAGGGAGCAGCTTTGCATGGATTCAAATGAAAGGGGACTGCCAAACTTAAGGTTCAAGGATACTGCAGATGCGGCGCATAGAAACTAGGTGTTCTGTAGCTGCCAACTTGCTGATCTGCATGCAGGGCTGCGGTTGTGGCGGCGCCTGAAGAGATGCATTCCTGCGGATACATCTGGTCTGCGTGCAGCACAACTCGTCCTCTTGGCGTCTTCCCTCCTCGGAGCGGTCATTACCATTGCTCTGCTGGTGGCAGCAGCACGCAGCTTCTCAGGCCGGCAAGCTGCTGTGGCTGTTAGAGGGTTTGCAAACTATCGAAGCAATGACCCTTCCAAGGTGTGCATCTCACCCCCAGGAGACTCAAGTCTCCCCATCAAGAGATGCGATGGGCTCCAATGGACATGCAGGCAAGCATGTAAACTGATACCCCTTTCTCATAATCCCAATGCTAGTGTTCTGGCCAGTGGGCTTCTTTACAACAGTGATTTGGTCAGCCAGCTTGTTAGTACACCCATCACAATGAAATTCACTTGGAACTGGCTGGATCTAGGCACAGTGAATCACACACACCCGGATGAAGATGCTTACAAGATTGACACTGATGGTTTCCCGATACCATACAGTGACTTCCCATTCCTTCTGGACATCCTGTCCTCCAAAAAGTGCGATATTGCTGAGAGCTTCAGATCTAGTGTCTCTTATGCTGACATGGCAACTGCCATTCCTAGCATTTCTAATTATCTTCCATCCTATAATTCTTTATACCGGCCTTCATATTCCCAGCCTTCTGAGGATGGGTCTAGCATTGAGGACTTTGGTGAGGTTGTGATAAATGATGCCAATCGAAGCTACACACAAGATGCATTTTATGCCTTTTGGAGGTCGTTACCAGAAGAGTCCATGGTGGCACAAAACGCGATATTTCAGCGCTATGACCCTACTGTGAATGCCACATATGATGGCCAAGGCGGCAGATACCAAAACAGAGACCAATACCGGAAGCAGGTCTTTGAGTACAATGACACAGCACCATTGGTGTTGGCATTAGAGTACGACACCAATGATACTTTTATGAGGAGGTTGGGTCCAGGAGGTGAGACTTTGCGGTCTTTTCTTCGTGTTCATACGCGGAGAAACATCACTTTCGAGAAGGGGGACAAAGGGTGCTATGAGGCCATGCAGAATGCTTGGAAAAATTTGGATCTACTAGGATTTGAGCCATTCCATGCTGGTCAAATTGTCAAAGCTAATCGTGAAGGCGGCACACTGTCCGAGCAAGCTAAAGGTGGCCACATACTTTGCCCACTGGGTGAGGCTGAGAGAGGCAAACGCAACTACAACTCAATTTTTGACATCAAGAACCCCAATACGACGGATGATTGGGATATGCACTCCTACCCTCGCGATGGGCTGCTTCCTGCAAATAAGGTCATCTTCTTGTCAGACTGTGCAAGCCTGACACTAACACCAGCAAAATCTGATAATCCATACTCGGGCTTACCACACCAAGAATGTGTTCCTTCAGAGTCCTGTACGGAGCAGCTTGTGACGACTGCAAACTTGCCACTTTTGAACAATTTCGTGAGCGCTGCAAAAACTGAGCATGCTCTGGCAGACGGCAAGATCTTGAACACAGTGCCGATGAGCTATGATGACCTTAATGCGCTGTACACAGGCTTGCTAGCAGGTGCAGTGGGGTGCTGCGTGGCTCTTTTTGCAAGTGTTGTTGGCCTAATTCTGATAGAGGTGTACAATGTTCATCGCAGCTGGGTGTCCAACAGTAGCAAAGGCAAATCCAGTTGCAACCATTGTGTGTGATGTTGATTCTGTATGGTCTGCAATCTGCACCTTGCCAAGAAGTATCCCTGATTTGATTACAAGTGGCAGATGTGTAAATTCTAGTAGACTCAGTAAGAGACAATGTTTCAGCGCCCTGTACACAGCCTTGGCTTCATCTGCAACAATACTGCCACCCTTTTGGTACATACTTACTAAGTAAGTAGTAAGTTACATGCTCTTCGTAACAGCTGTTCAAATTGAAAGAACGCAACGAAATTGCCTGTCATCTGACTCCATTATATCTACACATGACATCAACTCAGCCTGTCATCTAGGCAATACTGGAATTCAACTTCTTGTCGATTAGGCACAAGCATACCAGCAGCAAAAGGGGTGCCTTCGGACAACACCACAGAATCCTCTAGTAAGAAATTCCAGCCACATTCCCGTTGCAATCTTGGCAGGTGAGCAATAATTTGCACTGCAAAATCTGTGCGTTTGGAAAAACCCTCTCCAACCCCTTCAACAATTCTCATTTTATAATGTTACAGTAATGTCTGCACATGACACCTGTCACCAGTCCGCTGCTGCCTCCGGCCCAAGAGCAGGGTTGCCATTGAAACTTGCTTGTCATTACTGAGGCTGTCAAAGGTACTTGGGCACACTCTCATTCCAGGCCCACCGAGCCTGTATTGGCTTGCTGACTTCAGGCTTGAGCTCCTGAAGTCTAAGCCATTCAGATCAAAACTTCACAATACCGCCACTTGCAGATGCCTGGCAACCTTCCGTCTGTGTGATATGTGCTGTATGCCCGCCTCCAGCGTCTCGTAGAACAGGGTCTCCTCAGCATTGACGCCGCCCTGCAAACCCACGGATACCCGCTCATCCCTGAATCCAAGAAAAACCCACGGAATTTACTGATGGATATCAAACAAGCAGCACCAGCATCAGTATTGCGAGCTTCACAGTCTGTTCTGCATCGAGCACAGCATGACACCACCATTGCATGCAAGTAAATGGGAGTGCAGTGCAAACTTCGGCCTGGCTGAAGTTTCTCAGGCTTCTCAGAAAGAGAAAACTCCCAGCTGCGTTGCATCACTTGGACCCACTCAACAGTCGACCCAGTAGTGTTCTGCACCCAGCTTGATTCATTGGGTCTGAGATCCGTGCCAAGACATTGCCCTCATTATGCCCTTGATCATAGTCTGCACCGGCATGTGATATAGCTGCAAGCCCAGCTCCTATTAGCCTACCTCCTTCAAACCTAAATAAAGACAATATGTGTGTTCCTGAAAAGCCTGAAAGGAAGGAGCCATTGCAGTTTTTGAAAGGGCATTACCTGCAGCTGCTCGCGTTCTGAGATCTGCCCGCGCCGGTGCGCTTCAGCCGAATCATCGCAGCTGGTGCCGAGCGCATGCTCTATGAACACAACAGCCATCGCGTTGGCCCACTCAAACCAGGGCCGCGTGCACACCTGCACAGCACCCACACAGCTGCTACTCAGCTTAATTAATAGTACACGCCAGGATATTAGACTTCTGTAGCAGCAGCCAAGGCATATTTCTTTGTTTAGGAAGTCCCACCTTTTGTGGTGTAGAGTTCTGTGCTTCAGACAGTGCAGTGCTCTGTCTCAAGAGGCATGCACCGATTGGCAGCGGTTTAATTCTCACCTTTGGGTTATTGACATTGACGCTCTCATGCATGAGCCTTGTGCCGCACTGTGTGGCCAGCAGCTGCCGCAGCTGGGACGCCCTCTCCTCCGCATTTGCTGTTGTGAGGCCCTGCGTGACCAATGAAAAGGCATTGCATCTGTGTGCGCATGCAGCGTGCCGTCCTCCTCAGCATCACAAAAACTCCTGCACCTCATCTCCTGAGGAAGCATTCAAGGAGCACATAGCCCCGCATATGCTGCAGGTGACTCGTCAGACGCCAACCAAATAAATGAAGAGGTGACAACCTTAAAACGTCTCTTATTAATCTCGAATGAAGGACAGCTCATTGCATGCTGCGAAATCAGCACCTGCACGGCCATGGCCAGAGGCCACACGTGACCAGAAGGGGTGTGGGGAGAGCCAAGGCCACGGAGTGCGCTGCCCTCAAAGTACCAGGAATTTTTGCGGCTGAGGATGCGCGCCCGCGTGGCCGCATAAATGCTGGCATTGTAATGCGCGTAGCCCAGCAGGGGAATGCTGAGCAGTGAGGGCACATTTGGGTCGTCAAAGTCTGCCAGGCTGTTCCCTCTGCCATCCACCTGGGCGGCAGGTCACAATGATTGAGGCAGCATACTTGAGTGCGCACTTCAGTGGCAGATACTTGAGTCTAGGAATAGATATGTGCAGCCTAAACATATGAAATAGACCTGACAGCTGTTTGTGGCCCAGAGGTTGGCATAGAGGGACCTTGAGCTGTTGACATCTCAGGCATCATCCTCAACAACTTTAAAAGTCTTGCTGTAATTAGCGCATGTCCTTGAGCAATATACACATCCACTTTTGAATTAAATATGCAGGCTCACCTCATAGGCGTACACCCTGACGCCGTCCTGCGTTTCCACTGCGCCCCACGTGTCAATCCCCTGCCGGATTTCGGCGGCCAGCCGAGCCGCGCGCTCCCCGAGGCCGGCCGATCGCCACACGCGGTCATTCAGCGTCACCGCTCGTTGCAGCGCGCCGGCCGCGTACATGTTGACCGGCACGTTGTAGCCGAACACCTGCGGGTCGTCGCTCGGGCGGTAGCCGCTCCAGGACATGCCTGGCAGACGTGTTTAGCAGGTTACTGTATCGTTTTGGATGTAGTGGTCTAAATAAAGCTTCCTGAATGTCTGCTTACGTGGACCTGAGAGGACCTTTGACCGTCTTGGCTGAAGTCATCACCCCAAGTCAACAAGCGCCCTATTGTGATTCAGGGTCTCCCGGCGTAGTTTCTCCAATTGGGTACAGAATATGTCATCAGCATAATCCATTCAAGCTCAATATATCGCGTAAGCGCAATACGCATGCTAAAGTCATGCCAAGCCAGATCTTCCAAGCATCAGGCTTGCCAAAGCCTGGGATTATGGAATTTGCCAGGCTGGCACGCTGAGTCACGCACGCACCAGTGTAGGCGGACGGGTGCCCCTTTCCGCCACGCGGCAGCTCCGAGTAGCGGTAGGACGATGCTTCCTCATGGCGCTGCTCTGTCTGCCATGTGCGCACCATCAAGGCCACCGCATCCACTATCACCGTCTCATTCAAGAACCTGCAGCAGTAGAAATTTAACAAATCGCATATATTGATCAATTACATGAGCAGAAGCAAGGATAGAAAAAGGAACCATAGGTACTGTAAAGCTGTCAAGCAAAGGCAGGAGACTCTAAGTCAGCATTGAGTCCTCTGGCTTGATTCACGGGTAACTGGCGAGGGCAATAGCGGGCATTTAATATCTTTGCATATTTGAGTCTGTGATATTTCTTGGAACCATGCACTGTGCAGCCAGGAATGCTACCGCACCTTTCAGCCGCAAAGAGGCCCGGAGTTGTGTAGTAATTCCAAAGCATGTTGATGAAGTATGCGCCGCTGTCGAGCTCATAATTTCGCGTGGCTACCCACCCGCCGCGGCCGATGCGCCGGTGAGCCGCCTCGACCGCGTCTCGGTCTCTCCAGCGCTGGCTGAATGCATTCGCGTACGGATCCTGTGCACATTTGCATGCATGCAGAATCTCACAGCTGGGCCAGCATGCCTATGAATTCAAGCCTTGCAGCAGCATAACGGGCAGCAAATTCTATGACTATGCACACATGGCAGTGCATGCCTGCCTGCCGCCACATGCATGTGCACTCTCATAAGAAACCGGGCTGTTTTGGTGAAGATCACGCTTGCTTTTAGAGATCCATAAAACCGATAGCGCTGCTGCAACACACCTAGCCTTGGAAGGCTGTCAAGGGGGTCAAAACGTCACAGAGTGACAATATAATAAGTGTTTATGAGTCGCACACAAGGGAGCTTACCTGCAGGATGTAGAAGGCTTGTGCGCGAATTGCCCCCTCAATGACGCGGCGCAGCGCCGGCCGCTGGGCGATGCGTGGGAAATAGATGGAGAGCTGCACTGCGCTGTCGCGGATCCACATGTCGTCAATGTCCCCAGTCGCCACAAACACCAGCTCCCCTGAACCCTTGACCTGTCAACAGGATAGGTAAGGTAGTTAGTGCCCCTTTAGACAGATCTGGGATTAGTTTCAAGCCTCCGTGCTTTGAATGTCAGGTAAAGATAGACCCCAACTAGAGGTCAAGCTGGTGCCTTGGGGTCCAGTGGACTGCATATCGGATCACAGCATGTCTGAGGCTCAAGCACAAATAATGTTGCTGCTCGACATATCAGGTTGAGTATGCAATGAAGCCCAAATTAGTGCCCATAGAGCTTGACTACCAGGTTGTGGTACCTTGATAGCTCTGGTCAGGGAGTTGTACAGACAGCGCCCACAGAGGCTCAGCAGCTCTTCCTGTTCTGTTGCAGTGAGCAGCCTGCAAGCAGACGTGAGAACAATTAAGATGCATGCGTCCAATTATCACCTCTGAATGCACCTGTAGTGCTGACGTGTTTGAGTTTCATTGTCAAGAGCTTGAGCCTTCAGGCAATTTGGCAAAAGAGTCTTACGCTGTCAGGTTTGTATTTGAGGGGTCGTTTGGTTGGGGTGCCCTGGCCCATATCTCCGGCTGCTCCGATACTTGGTTGTTCTGTCCTGCTCCATACTTCAGTTTCACCTGTCCAGATGTATAGGCCTTATCTCTCGGGTGGGTGCCTGCAACATGTGTGAAACCAAAAGCATTGAAGGGGGAGCCTGGCAAAGAGTGAGAGTCACCTTGATGAGCGCGTATGGACTGCTCGAGATGGCCCAATCTTGCAGCCAGTAAAGGCTTGGCCCTATCAATTGGGCACTGAGGACAACTACCAGGCCCCCAAGATTGATGGCAATGACACAAAGGATAGCCCTGCGGGCCCAACCTAGCCTTTCTTCAGCATCATCCTCCGCTAATGGCTTTGCCATGACAACCTAGTGGCAGGAGCCTCTGTTCCCTCTAGATACGTTGTGACAGTCTTGGTGCAGATTCCATAATGAGCCTGCAGCTCCAGGGACACTGCACAGCAGCTTGCAAAAGGAGGAAGCCCACACTCGTCACATTCAGCACAATAATCTTCTTCTACAGATCAAGTGATTGCAACGAAGTGTGAGCTGACTGTGAAATCCGAATTACAGGGCAGATTGCCCATAAAACTCTCCACTGACGTTGCAGGATTTTGCCCATAGCATTCGATGTAGATGGTGAGATTGATATCCCAAGGAATGAAAATATGGCCATATTTGGAATTGACATCAGGGTCAGGGACCGAGAGGACACCTCAACTATCGAGATATCGCGTTATATACATGTATCATTTTGCCGTTTCTTGTTTCATCGCTATCGAGCTTTAGCACCTGATCACCAGAGATTTATAAAGCCGTAAGTATCTCACAATTTCGCAATATCACTTTCTTGTCTGTGCAAGCATCGAAAGCTGCCGCGACAATCGTCCCGCCAGTGTGCACGCTGACGTCATCCACGTGCCAAGATTGGGAGACTGGGGGTAATTACTATACTAACCGTGAGTACTAGTTAGTATACCCCTATGGGAGACACGTCTTAATTAGTATGACATCGCGTCTTCAAAGGAGATTGTATTTGTGGGCCACAGCTTCTGAGGCACCCTGAAGGCCAGGCATAGTATGCTGTAGCTTTTGCATTACCTTGTCCACAAGCCATTAGATTTATCAAAAATCTGCATGCACGGATGCAGCAACAAGGTTTGCCAGACAAGCGTTCCCCTTCATAAAGCTCTAGAGATCTTGGGAATTCTGTAGCTTACATCCACAGCCAAACCATGTGTGTGACATGCACCGAGCATGCGCATGTCAAAGCCGGTATATTACATGAAGCACCGGTACCGTAATCAATGGGATGATGAGCATACAGGGATTCTTTTGAATTTGACCTTCATGAAACACGCTCTCTATCTACCGTCCGCCTTAATCTTGGACTGCACTTCTCAGAGATACCTGAAGCTTCTCAAGTGTCCCAGAAACAGCTTCAGTGACCGTCGCAGTCTGTGAGTCTCTGGCTTCAGGGTTAACCAGTTTATTTTATGATTTCATACTAACTCAGTAAGATGCACCGGGGCACTCCACTTTCATTCACCCGCATTAAGGCACATACGATTGAACTCTGAGATCCAATCTGGTAAACCTGCAAATCCTGTCCTAATTTGGCTGACGGCAGCACATAAATGCAGAAAGCTCCTATGTTGATACACGTCACATTGCAGTGCCCAGTCAATACTGTACAGCAGGAAATCAGCAGCTTGTGCAGAACCAGTTCTACGCTATAAGCATCCGCTAAACACACTTGACACGCAGAAGCGCCACTTGTGCAGAACGCGCAAGCATGTGTGAAGAACAATCTCACAGCTCATTCATCGTCTACACCACAAAGGCAAAGCATGAGGAGTGAAGAGACACACACCAGCGCCGATCAAATGTCAAAGAAGCCTTCCTTCACTGTTGCATTTTGTCTGCATTCATTGCCAACCCAGAAAGATGAGGTGACCACCCTGATTGACTCGACTAAGCAAATTGGTATCCCAGCAGCATTGATTGCCAGGTATGACTAACGGATTGTGTCATTCTTCTGCAACACCGATGATTGCTTGCCAGGGAGGATGTTTCCAATAACTCAGATATCAACTTCGCACACCCCTTCATGCTGACCAATTAAAGGTTCTGCTACCTTGCAGAGTGAGCTGCTGGGAGGGGTGTCAGATGGCGGGCAGCCAGGCACAGCGCATGGAGACGTGGCCGCAGGGGCGCACTTGGCCCAGCTTGTCCGGCCGCATCAGCTTCCACGTGCCACTCGCCTTCCCTGCACCAGCACAAGCTGCGATGTTCTGACAGCGGCAGGCACTCGATTTCAGATGTCAAGTAGTTTGGATGCCACACTGGACAGTCACGGCAACTTCAGCAAACGTTCAGAATTTCAGCAGAGGGATTCAATTCTGGCTTATGAGGAGAGGCTGATTCCCCTCTGGAATGACTCTGAATTTTCCTGGGTTAAGGACAGAGCAAGGGGAGGCAGCTCGCCTGCAGAGAAGATATCAGCGAGGGGCAGGCGCGCGCTGGCGACCACAGAGATTTCGCTCTCCACTGTCTCGCTGCCAAAGGGGATCCAGTTCTCCCAGATGCGCGACGCCAGCGTCTTCGTGGCGTCCCCAATCGACACCTGGCCAACATACAATATGTGGCATCAAACACCTACCAAGGACACACCTCCGTTCTGAGCTCTGGCAATTTGGAAAGGCTGAGTACTCCTGAGCTGTGGCGCAGGTTGAGCTTCTACCCATCTCCTCTCTCTCCAGACTGAAAGTGACTGATTGCCCCATGGACAAAGCCCGGCTGTCTTCAAGTACCCACGCCATGCAAGTCATGTACCATAATGGCCCCACTTGGAGGTCATCTAAGGCCTCAGGGTCAGAGAAACCAAAACTTTGACCATCTAATGCCATAGGACTAGCTTAGCAGCCTGGATCAACTCGAAAGGGAGCGTGCCTTGATGTCGTCGTAGAGGGTGGGCAGCTCCAGCGCAAAGCAGCAGCGGTAGTTCCACTCACATCGGCCGCTGGGCGTCCCAGTGGCCAGCTGTGAGCGGTGCGTCTGCACAGGAGAAACATATTTTTTAAACATGTTGCTCGCATATCTGAGCACATCTGAATATCTGAGCACATCTGAAATTACTCCTTCAGTACCATTGCAATCAACTGGGGTAAGGCGGGTGCAGTGGCCTTTGAGGGCTTGCTGGTGCTACAGGCAATACCTTTGCAGCAGAACAGCATGCATGCAAAGCACCAGAATTGAGAGACGCTTGAAAGAATCTGCAGCAGAGCGTCTGGAGATATTTCTCATGCGGCCAGACCTGCAGGCCGAGGCGGATGCTGACAGCGGGCACGCCCAGCTTGACCTCGGTGATGCTGCTGGCCAGGAGCATGACGGCCAGGCAGCCCAGCACGCGCGGCTGCCGCACCGGCACCGGATCCGGTACAGACCCCTCACCCTCTGTCGCCTTGTCAGCATCTGTCCTTCTGGGCACAATTTTGTCGGGGTACCTTCAGATGCACACACACTCGGCCGTCAACCTTTGCAGGTCCTGTGAACCTTAAGCAAAGATTGGTTATTGCATAAGGTAGAGGTCACCATGAATACAAAATGCTTCGTGGTTACATGGTAGCTACCCAATTGAGCTTACCGACACATTCAAGACCGAAAGCCCAATGCAACAGAACAGAGAGCAGACACCTATTTTACAGTGGAAGCCAAAGGCAACGTGGCATCTGCACTGGACCGAACGAAGAGAACAAAGTCCTCGAGCCGTAGTGACAGCCCTACAGGCGCACCTGTAAGGCAGGGGTTTGTCGGAGACAGGATGGAAGCTAAGCTGCAGGCGGATGGCGCCCGCCACGCCCAGCTTGCTGCGTCGCATGCGCGAGCTGCGGCCGCCGGAGGAGCGCTTGCTCAGCCGCGCTGAGAGTCGCTCTCTCGACATCTGGCGCTGCTTGGGCGCTGAGGCCTCACTGGCGGCTGCTTTGCCTGAGCCTGTCGGAGCACACTTTTGACTCAGAGAATAGTGACTGAACGACTGGTGGACTTGCACGTATGGAACACAGGCACGGAGGGTGATGAGGTGGCATTCTGCTAACAGGGCGCTTTATTCTAGCTGGAGTGCTCACGGATAAATTGCCACCCAGCCGACTGCAACATATGGAGGAAGCGGCTCGTGCAATTCTGGCCAGGCAGCACTCTGAATTGGCCCGTAGGCTTGAGGTCACCCTGGTGCCGGTACTTTGGTGCTGGTATTTTGGGGTGTGCACCGTCAACATGGCACTAAGAACCATCACAGGGATAAAGCTTAAGCAAACAGGCTTATTCGTCTTAGATGATTGGGACAGGAAGGCAAGTGAATGATCACCTGTGCTTGTCGGGCTGTCTCTCCAAAGTGAGAACCTCTTCCTGAACCTGCCTTTTGGTTGCTCTGTATCCGTCTGATGCCAATCAAAGAGCGACAGCGACGAGTGATTGCTTTTGGCAGCCTGCATGCACAGGAATGCCCAAATAACTAGCACCTTAGTAGAGGTCTCACAATTTGTAACAGGAACAGGAAAGAATTCGTGTGGAGCACTTGACACCGTGCACTGCAAGCCATGAGATACTGGTAAATTGACGTGCCTGAGCGGAGGTGGAAGGCAGTTCAGAATCGCTGGCATAGTCCTCTGCTCCAGAATCGCCGGCGCTCAATGCCTGCTGCCTTGGAGACGAGCCTGTGTTTACAAGGACATCTTATCAGAACCATTTGGTAAAAGACAAAGGAGGTCTGGTGCTGGGGCAATGTTCGACGAGGAATATGTGATGGGCAACCTTGCTGGTATACGCAGGCTAGCAAAGAACAAATAGCAGAGGTGAAGAGGCATGCCTGCAGGGCCATCCTCGGTCTCGTCTGAGGAGCGGCGCTCTGAGGGTGTGCGAATGAAGAGGTTGCTGAAGCCCTCCGCCGCGTCCTCCACCAGTGTGGACAGGCTTGGCAGCGTCGGAAAGAAGCTCTCCGGAGCAGCATGAATGCCACCTGTTGGGACCATTACAGGCCAAATTAGGTAAGTTTTCCTTTTGAGTCAAGTATAGAAGTTCTTGTCGTTCAGCAGGCATGCTGCAATGAAAATGCGCTGAGAGGAGGTACGCAAGCATTGGGCGATAGTGAGGTACCATGGGCATTGACGGGCAGCAATGGCAGCCATGCACCCTCCTCCGCGCAGGCAGCCAGCGCCGCTTCATGGGCTGCACAGCACACCAAGCTTTGGTGAGTAGCTGAATCTTGAAAGTGTAAGAACATGGCTGATAGCTGACACAGATGCAGGTGAGGGACCCCAGCCCCTGCAGCAAGACAGAGTCTCACGTGACTCTTGCTCACTCAGGAAAACCCTTTCACCAACATTCAGGCAGAAGATGCATGCACTTGTTAGAAATGCGCTGATCAAGCACCTGCGATGGCACCTTCACCAAGGAAAGCACGCAGTTACTAAAAATTGAAAGACCACCTCAAATGACATCAACGTCACAGTACCGGGAAACCAAAAATTAGCACCTGTACGATTGGGGGTGTGGGTGGGGAGGGAGGGCATCATCCTTAAGGGGCTGGGGTTGATGACGTCCTCGGGGTTGCGCCCCTCCGCGCCAACAGCCATGGCCTCCACTGCCCACCCCATGGCGCTGCCGGAGGGGCATGCGGTCGGCGAGTCCAGCGCCTCTGCCAGGCCCTCGTGGTGCCTCTGCGCGCTCGGCGACGCGCCTGCAACATGCACGCATGATAATTTAAAAGAATAGAGTGATATACTCACGCATTCACTGACGCTCCACTGCACGCCATCCTCTTCTCACATCATCATGTGACAAAAATTGGGTGGGGGCGTCAACAACCACTGGAACAAGCTAGTACAGAGGGCACTAGCTTGCAGCCTGACACAGGGTTTGTCTGACAAGTTGTATACACTGCTTCTGATTACCTTGTGGATAGCCAGAAAACTTGGAAATCTGCAGAGGGGGTGCACAAAATTGAATGTCCACTCCAGAGTGATGTGCAGAAATCACCTGGACTGGAGGATGGTACGGGGGCGGCAGTGGCTGCAATATGTCCTTCATCAGCGCCGTGCCCTTCTTCTGTCACGGTACACACCTACACGCAGTTCACCCCAACACACCTCTTGAGTGCCCCAGATCAAAAGGTACTGCTGCTCCATTCCTAGTGAGCACATGCTCGAGCGCAAGGCCCGGGAGCTTGAACAGCAATGCGTGGCTTAGCTTGGGGTTTTCTCAATGCATCTTGGCTGCAATGCGTGCTCTTGAATGCATAAATATCTCCTTGCGTGGATGGTACGGTGCGCACATGACAATTGCACATTCATGTCTCAGCACAAGCATGCCGTGAGAGGCCATGTCAAACATCAAAGCCTCACCTGGGATGCCAGGTGCTCTTCAGACAGGGAGCGCTTGTAGGACATTGCTGCAGCCTTCCTGGCAGCGCGAGAGGTGTCGCTGTGCGAGCGCCAGCTGCCCGGGGGGCACTTAGGCGGTTTACCCGCCGCGGCCTCCGATAAAAACGGCGCTGACGTGGCTGGCGCTGAGTCGCTGCGCAGATCGGGCCGTAGCTCCTCCGCGTCGTCAGCACCCGCTGTTGATGCCGGCTCGCTCTCTCGCCTGCGCTTGGCAGCCATGCTTACAATTTGGTTCTCTTCTCGGAAAGACCATAGGCAACAATCTGCTGTGGTGCTCAATAATACACACCGGGTCGCCACGCCCTCAAGTAAATTCCCTGCTATGTGCATGGAATAGGCGGCGCGCGTTTTGCAGTTGCAGAGGGGTACTTGTATGCCGAGTAAATTTGCGTGGCGGGTGACGAGCAGTGGCCAGAACAGCATGCCACATCTTGTTTCCGCTTGCTATCAACTGCCTCTTTTTGTGCTCAGAGATTTTGATGTCGATAGCAGTCTTCAGGCAATTGCCTTCTGTGATGCTGAAAGGTGTCGTCAGGATTGACCATGCCATCAAGAAGTGTGCAAGGCTAACAGAAGCTCGACCAGAACAGCATGACGCACCTGAGGTGGTCTTCTGCGCGCTGCGAGGCCACGCGTTCGCGCGCGCGCTGTGAGGTCTGGCGCAGCTTGTAGGCGATCTTGGCAGCAGACGCCAGTCGCATGCCACGCGGTCGCGCCGCCTCGCGCATGATCTCCTTTATGGGGATGTCCACGCGGCCCAGCGGCACATCCGCCGCGTGGTCGCCTGCCCATCCAAACAGGTCACACCTCACGATCAAAATGCCGACTGTGCCCAAAACTCAGTTTGCTGCCTGGTGAGCAAACAGTGGTAGTCTTGGCAGCAGCAGCCAGGGTGGCACCATCGAGCAAGAGTCCCAAGAGGTATAATTGCTGCTTCTCGAGTTAGGCAGAAGACTGCCAGCCACCAAAAGACAGGCTTCGCACTTTTCAGGACTCTGCTTAGGAGGAGGAGGAGGAGAAAAGCAGTAAACTCAGGCGTCATGCACATCTCCGCACAACAATTCCACATCTCAGAACATGGGGCGCATGCTCACCATTGCTGCCGGAGGCGTGCACGACGACAACTTCGAGGATCTGCTCGGTGCTGCCGACGCAGAGGTGGAAGGCCTCGCGCCAGTGCGGGTGCGTTGTCCCCTGCTTCCCACTCGTGCTCGCACTCTGCGTCCCAGTGTCCACCGGACCGCTGCAGTACAACCAGCGCAGCACCATCAGTGAGCAGCGACAAGACACCTGTGTGTGGCTGCTGTCCCATGATGATTAGGCCTAAGAATTCCCCAAAATCCATAACACAGCCGCCCTGTTGAAGCCTGCAGCGTGAGTAAAGGGACACAAGACAAAGGACTAGGCCTGAAGAAGGCTGGGTCGAACCCACTTGTAGCAGCGGGTGCCGTTATGGAGATCAGCATGTCCAGAGGAAGCGCAGCTGCAAGTAGAATTTTGGCACGTAGAAAGTCCAGGAGGCAGTGTAAGGGGTGAAAACCTGTGGGGCCGTACTGCCAGGCATGTGTAGGGGTCCAGGGGCTTCTCCACTCGTCGCAGGCGTGACAGACGCTGCGGCAGCTTTGCCTCAATCACCTGCAGCCGCCACTTGCTGTCACCGGATGCCAGCATTGCAAGGAATAATCTCTTGCTAAAGCCACTCTTCAAGAAATGACTGAATGCTGCAGTGGGTGGCAATGACCCACCTGGACTGTGAGGATGCCATGTGGTGCCGCAATCTCATGCTCATCAGAGCTGGGCATCATGAAGGGTATCTGCGCCACTCGCGGCCTGCATTCACACGCCCGCTCTTTCAAGATTGCATATGCAAGGGTAGATACCCTTGGCGCTATGCGTGCTTCTTTGCAACGCTGCTTCAAGCAATGTGTCTATATTGGCCTGCAGAAGTTTCCAACTCACCAGATCATCTGGTCGATGAAGACCTCCATCAGGCTGGCCTGCAGGTAGGAAGACAGCGCCGGCACCGACATTATATCAGGGCCAGCCACCAGCCTGCGCCAGTGAATTGCCGCCTTCATCATTGCCTTCTCAAATTTACTTCTCAAACTTACAAAACCATTGCCTTCTCAATGCAATTTCACCCATTGCGGCATCTGAGAATGCGTTTCTTGAATGATCAGGCTTCCAGGCAGCCAAGCGAGAGCTCTCAGCAGAACAACGGAGACAGGGGGTGCAGTCCAGTGCCTGAGGTCAAAGTCGATGTAGGGCTGGGCCATGAGGGAGAGGGAGATGCCGCCGATGAAGGGGAGATCATCCAGGACGGGGGAGAGGCTGACGCGCATGATGGCGCTGATCTGCACCTGCCGCATGCGCACCGCCATTACCGGCGTCATGTTCACGGCAGGCAGCACCTTCAGCTTGCCTGCACCACACACGCGGGAAAAATCCTCAAAATACTCCCTTATGCCGTGGATCACCGCCCCTCTGCATTTTGCCATCTGCCCATGACTTGGAACTTCTGCAGAGGTGTTTCCACATTTTAAAACTGGTGTGAACTTGGTCCGGCTCCCTGCGGTACATAATGAGCATGTTGCGGTGAAGAAATGATTGTGCATTTGGATGATGGCGCACCTATTTTGACGGCGTTGGTGATCCATTTCGTGGACGGCTCCAGCTTGAGCAGCACGTCCGGCTCGCCCGCCCACCTCACGTCAACATCCAACTCTGCCGCAGCACACAGCCATTATCAAACATCATATGCAGATACTGGCGCTCCACCATTCTCAAGTGCAAGTACAGAGCAAGTTTTGCTGTCACCGGCTTAACAGTGTCATCAGTGTCACAGCGTCATGTGCAGGGGTGTGGACAGGATCCCAAGCCCAAGGATTCAGGCAGGGGTGACCAGCCATTGTCAAGAGGAGACACGATATTCACCGATGGACACATGCTGGTTGGCGTGGAAGGAGGGCACAATGCGCACGCCCAGGATGGACATGGGCACCAGGCCGAACGAGAGCCGCTCAAAGTACATGCCGCTGACCACTGCCGGGGAGAAATCGCGCATGTAGGGCTCCAGCTCATCCTTGATCAAGCTGCACCGTCACACGAGGCATGGCTGACTGGACTGCATCTAATTGCGGATCTAGCATTAGTTGGAGCTCATGCCAACCAAAAGGATTGACTGACCATGGGCAACTTTTCCGACATGCAGAACTCAAGAGGGACATAGCTGCACACTTTTCCATAGACATCAATGGCATGAAGTTTAGGAGCCGTACTTGCAGAGCGCTGTGTCAAATGCAGGCCAGAGCATCTGGAGGGCATCGTTGAGAAACCTGTTTGGCAGAATTGTTGAGCAAGTCAGTCAGTGACAATGAATCAGAATGACCTGCAGATATTGATCACAGTGATAGGGCATAGGTCTGCACACATAAGAATAGCATTGGAGACATTGGAGACGACGTACTTGGCTCTCTCGTAGTCGCTGAACTGCGGAGCAACAAGCACCAGCAGCATTCAGTATCTTGTGTGCATTCGAAAAGACAAAATTGCAATGGCAAAGGCAACACATGCCCGCAAGCTGAATGAGAATGACTTACTTTGACCCATGAGGGAAGGTTCTTCATGACATACTTCAGCCCATCCTCATCCAAATCTGTCAACAGCCGCACTGTAGCAGCAAAGCGTGACCTTCTCCAAGCCTTGATCCCTGTCAGCATTAATTACACACTTACCACGCAAGTACCTACACAGAGGCACTGCATACTAGGGAGGTCTAATACATACCAAAAATACCACTACTCACGCCTTCTGGAGCCTTCGTGCATTATAAAACCCAAATACCGTACGTTTGGCAACAAGTAGCAGTACCATGAGAAAATCTCCAAAGCAGTCTTCTGTCAATTAATGTTCGACGCTATTATCTACGACTCGTCTTGGGCCCCTCCAAGTGCTGGCATGTGATTGTTGAAATGGGGTAATAAACATACCGGCATAAAGGAAGCATGCATTCGAGGCAAGAAGAAGCGACTGTATTGTAACAGATCCGCCCGCCCCTATCACTTTGCTGATCATGAAGTGAGTGACAGCGGCAGCTGTCTTGGTGCACGCCCCCAGCACACGTATGCCGACACCCAGCGCATGCTTGAGAGACCGCATTCCCAACACGTATCCAGCTGTGGAGTATCAACGCATCTGATGGGGCTATTAAATGGAATTACAAGCACGGTTTTGGCCAGAACTAGCAGAGTGAGTCCTACAATGACATGACGCGGTAATTCTCCAGTCAAACACTATATACAGGGAGAATGCCCATTCATCCAATGATACCTACAGCTCAGAAACAGTATCAATAACGTTGGATTCGCTATTCCAAGAGCTCGCGTGCTTGCGAAACTGGAGGAAGCCCTAAGCCCTGCAAAATGAAACCCTACCGCGTGACGTGGCCGCTTACGTGAGTGATGGCATGGATGGCTCCAGCTTCTCCTCCCTCCAGAACACGGTTAGAACACGGAATGGTATTGTACTACCTTGTTAGCTAAGTTGTATAGTAGAGAGGACCAGCAGCGTAACTATGTGCTGTTTCATTTGACGAAATAGTTGGGTCATCTCAGGAGTGTTTTCTGCTAGCAACTGGAATTTCCCCGATGCGCCAGAGTTCATTGGTAGGAAAGCGATCTCTCGATTTTTATCGTGGATTGAATAGGTCACAATCCGCGATTCTGCCCATACACACTCGTAGGGCATTTTCAGAAAATGCTGGAGACGGAGATGGAACTTTCAGACGCGTCCAGCAATTGTACGTATCCCTTCATTCCTGATAAACTCATCGTGTTCCGTTAGCATTCTGATCCTTAGTGTTCAGATTATGAAGCTATAAGGCAACATGCAAAACACCAGATCTGTCGTTGCATTCTGCAACTGAATAGCATCCTAACTCTGATGTCTACTATGTATCGTCATGGGATCCCCGTGCTCTCTCAGAAAAATATCCAGGTCCTTTCTTGATGTATCTCGCTGAATTTGAGGTGGGCTGTTCTGGGCACGCAGCATATCAGGGCTGTCAGGAGGGAGCGAACGGAAGGGAGACAAGGAGGATGCAGCAGCTGGAGTGCTGGTGCCATCCAGCCCGGAGTCGCGGCACAGAGAGGTGGGAGTTCTTGCTTGAGTCACAACCATATGCATGCACACATCTGATGCCCAGCAACTATTTGGCAGCGACAAACATGCAGCTCCAAGGGGAAGGGGAATGACCCATGAGCGCCATGGTGAAAGGCATAAGCAGGGCAGCATGTGCAGGTGCTCGCAATACCTCTGCCGCGACGGCCGCTTTTCCCGGGCAACATCATGCCGGTTTCCGTGCAGAACCCCAAGCTGGTCAAGGAGCTGCTGGAGCTGAAGCGCACCAGGTAGCTTCGTGACACCATGCTCTGTAAGTACTTGCAATGCATGCAGCAATCCATCCGTTGGCGTGCATCTTGCCCATTGATGCCTTGCAGTGGCTGGTACGGCAAAGTGGCGATGTCTTGTCAGTCTTTACGATCCACCTGCTTGGCTCCTGTGGTGGGCGTTCCCATGTCCGGTCATGTTGGTAGCTTCGGGTGAGGGTGAGGGCCAAAATGTTGACTGGTCTTGTGCAACAATTGCAGTGGGCAGGCGTATGTGGGGGCATTCCTGCGGGTGTCGGCAGTCTCGCCGCAGGGCATAGAGGGGGTGCTGCAGTCCGAGAGTGCAGCCTCGAGCGACTCAAATGGGTCGGCAGCAGAGGCCAAGGATGCAGATCTGCAGACGGTGGGCACCTTTTGCCAGGTGCACCACATCTCGGAGATGGAGTCTGGCAACGCCCAGATGCTGCTGCTGGGACACCGCCGGCTGAAGCGCCTGCACACGGTGAGAACACCTTCGCACTTGTCCAATGCACTGCCATGAAATGTCTGGCCTGTAGCTCCCTGCATACAAATTTTACCAAAGCAACTTCCTGTGAGACCTATACCGGAGGACACGGCTGCCATGATTTCTAACATATCAGAAAGGTCCTCTTTTGTGCTGGAGCACACATTTTATGGGTGCAGCAAAAGTATAAATACTATTGAGGTGGCCTGGGAGCATAAGGTTTGCTGCCCATTATGACTTGCCAAAATCATTGTCAGAGGTGGCAAGTATGCTGTGACTGGCCGCCCCTGCAGGTGGCAGAGGATCCGCTGAAGGTGGCGGTGGAGCACTTGAGGGACCAGCCGTATAACCCCAACGACGACCACCTCAAGGCGACCACGCTGGAGATCGTGTCTACGCTGAAGGAGCTGCTGCACCTGCACCCGCTCTACAACGAGCAGCTGCGCAGCTTTGCGGCATTCGGCGGCGACTTCCACGACCTGTCGCGCCTGGCAGACATGGGCGCCAGCCTGACGTCCGCTGACGAGGCTGCGCTGCAGGGCGTGCTCGAGGAGCTCTCCGTGCCCTCCCGGTGAGCTGTGGCAGCATTGAATGTGTCTCAAAAATGTCTGCATGTGCACTTTGTCCTTAAGTTGAGTGAAATACAGGTTGTTCTGGATGCAAATTTATGTTTTGGAGCAAGCTGCTGCATTTCTGAAAGCTTCAATCCCAGCCTGTTTCCTCATTGGGAAATCCTCCCGGCAACAAGTAAGTAAAGTTATGCTGCAGGTGTTACCAGTTGACTATCCAGAGATTCGAGCAATTTTGTTGCTTTAAAATGACCAGAAAGAGCACGCTGAATTTGTATTGGTGCATGGGGTTGCAGGGCGGACGCGGTGCTGCTGCTGCTGAAGAAGGAGGTGGAGCTGTGTAAGCTGCAGGGGGAGATAGGGAAGCGCGTGGAGGAAAAGATCAGCAAGGACCAGCGCCGCTACTTCCTCATGGAACAGCTGCGCTCCATCAAGAAAGAGCTCGGCCTCGAAAAGGACGACAAGTCCGCCCTCATCCAGCGGTACGCCCCACTTCCTTACCTTCCTTTCCTCCCAATCTTCTCAGTGGTTGGTATGCAGGAGGTAATGATCTCGCTGCAGAGGTGTGGTAATACAGAGTGCACTATGTGCCCTGGATGGATATGCAATTTTGCACCCTTGCCAATGCAAGCCAAATCTAATGCAGATTACTGTGCAGTCCGCAATTTGAGAGCAAGTCTAACTGTAAGCCATTTACAGCATATTTCAAGGGTGTCAAGATCAGTATGCACGGCTAAAAAGAGTACAGTATTACTCTTAATGAAGAGCAGAGCCTTAACAGGCACGACTGTAATGGGTGCAGATTTGAGGAGCGGATTGAGCCGTTCAAGGACAAGGTGCCGGAGGACGTGCGGCGGGTGATAGAGGAGGAGATGGCCAAGCTGTCGGGGCTGGAGCAGGCCTCCTCCGAGTTCAACGTCACGCGCAATTACCTCGACTGGCTAACCTCGCTGCCCTGGGGCCAATTCAGCGAAGAGCTGCTAGACATCGAGCACGCCAGAAGGGTGCGCCCCTGGCGTTGTGGGTGTCATGCATGCGATATGTTTTTATTCAGTGTGAAACTTACATGCAGATTCCTCAAACCCCGAACCCTACAAAATGGAAAAGTTGTAAATGTAAGAATTTAGGAGCTGGGCACCTCTCATTTGATGATTGCAGGGCTCTGAGCTTTACAGGACTTGATAGACAATGTGGGTTTCTTTGGTTTTAATTTGAGCGTCTCTGCTCACATCCTGGCTTTGCATGGGGTTAGGTGCTGGACGAGGACCATTATGGTCTGGAGGATGTGAAGGAGCGGGTGCTGGAGTTCATAGCAGTGGGGCGGCTGCGCGGCAGCACGCAGGGCAACATCCTGTGCCTGGTGGGGCCCCCTGGAGTGGGCAAGACATCCGTCGGCCGCTCCATCGCGCGCGCCCTCAACCGCAAGTACTACCGCTTCTCTGTCGGCGGCCTCAGCGATGTTGCCGAGATCAAGGGTGCGCTTCCTTCTTCTTTTTTAGGCACACTGTAGAGTCTCTGGCAGCTTTGTACGCAATAAGGCTCGGTTACACCTAGTGCTCTTTAGTCCATGGACATATGGTGTGTTTATCTTTCCCTGAGAAGCCCTCAAGGGATGTGTCCACCAACGAGGCCTGGTGCACAGAAAAACACTGGTTGAGTACCAACCCTGCTGTTCCAGGTCACCGGCGGACGTATGTGGGAGCCATGCCGGGCAAGATGGTGCAGTGCCTCAAGTCCACTGGCACCAGCAACCCCCTCGTCCTCATCGACGAAATTGACAAGCTAGGCCGAGGTGGGCCCCTGTATCATTTGATTCGACCTCTGGCAGAAATATGAAACAGCTTAGACAGAAGAGCAGCAAATCCTCACCAGAGGCAGGCTACGCGGCGAATGCAACAGTTTGCATGCCCAACCAAGGGTACTGTTGCGCAATGGGCACTGCTGCGTTCCGGGAGCATTAAGGGTGCTGCTGCGTTGCACAAATTAAGTGAAAGCCTGCCAAAGTAAGTGTCCATCAAGTGTAACTCCGCAGTGAACTGTTTGCCACTGTCACTGCCAGAATTTGTCAGGCAGACTCTGCAAGCAACAAAGAACTGTAGATGACATACTCCTAGTTTGGTCTCTTATGGTGCAGTGAGGGTGGTAAGGGTGATTTTGCGCTGCGGCAGGGTACCAGGGGGATCCTGCGAGTGCGCTACTGGAGCTGCTGGACCCAGAGCAGAATTCGAGTTTCCTGGACCACTACCTGGACGTGCCCATCGACCTCTCCAAGGTCCTCTTCATGTGCACCGCCAACCTCCTCGACACCATACCCCCACCCCTCCTCGACCGTATGGAGGCACGCCCATCTGACCCCCTCTTTTTAGCGCTGCCTCCACTGCTCTACATCCAAGGGGAGACGTACCAGGATTTGGGCTCAGGCTCATGGGTTCTGCAATGAGATTGTGGTCACCCTGGAACTGTGCAGCCCAAAGGTGCTGGGCAGGTGGCAACAGTCTGGGATCTCCCAGGGTTTCAGTAGTTGCTGTCTGTGTTACTGTATAGCTTGCGTCTTGTCACCCCCTTTCTGCTCTGACATGATGCCGGCCAATCCGGGATTGGCACATTCTGCATTGCCAGATCAGGCTTTGTTTGTGCAGCTGCCACCTTGATAGGCTGACTGCAGATCAGTGTGCATGTGGCGGTCTGATGTAAATGGTCAAGCTTTGCTTTTCTATATTTTTAGATTGCTGGATGTATGCCGCAGGTCATCAGGATACCGGGCTACATAGCAGATGAGAAGGTGCACATCGCGCGGCAGTACCTTGAGCCGCAGAGCATGCGCGAGTCGGGCGTGCCAGAGGCTGCTGCCTCCATCAGCGACGCTGCCATGCACACCCTCATCCACGAGTATGCCAGGCGCGCTCCCAGCTTGTTTATCTTCAAAGGAATGCTAGCAGCACCTCTTTATCCAGAGCTCAGAATCGAAATTTCTTTCTTCTAACCATCACAGTAGCCAAAATAAAACTAGTGGGTACCAACTTTGTAGTACTTCTCAAAAGAAGGGCGCAGACATCTGATGAATTCTGTGCTAACGTGTGTCAGGGAGTCTGGGGTGCGCAACCTGAAGAAGCTGCTGGAGAAGATCTACAGGAAGGTTGCCTTCAAGCTGGTCAAACGGCAGGGCGAGCAAGCACAGACCAGCGCTGCAGGCGCTCCCACTGAGGGCGGCCCAGAACTTGAGAAGGCGGATGCTCCCCCAGGTTCAATCCAAGCTGTGTCCTGTGCAACATCACTGTATTGGGTTGGTTTTTTTGTGTAAATGTAAATATATAGTAAGGGTTCATGGTTATTTAGGGTACTACATAAAACCAACCCTAAAGTATTTCATTAAAAACTCCAATGGAGCTATTGTCTTGTTTTGTCAGTAGCAGATGAGACCCGTGAGGATAGGTGCACTCTGGCAATAGAAGGTTTTGCAGGCAATTTTTTGACTTGTATTGTCCACTTGCGTTTATGACCAGTGTCTGATTCCTGCTACGTGCAACAGGTGCGGAGAAAAGTGGCGAGCCAGAGACGCTGCCCGCTGGGTCAGCGGTTGCAGAGAAAGCACTGAATATTCCGCTGCCGGCTGCAGCAGCGGAATCAGCGCCCCTGCAGGACAGTGCCCCAGACTCATCTCCTAGAGATGTGGCGCTGGAGGGGGAACCGGTGACTGTGGAGGTGGATGAGCTGAAGGACTATGTGGGGCAGCCGCCCTTCACCAGCGACCGCATCTATGACGTCACCCCTGCCGGCGTCGTCATGGGCCTGGCCTGGTGCGCTGCCTAAATAGTCATCATTGTCGCACTGAATATGAAGCGCTCGTCCTGAACACAAAGCCCTTTGTCTGGGATATGTAGTGGTCAGTGCACACAGGGGTGAGAGCGACTTTTGCTAAGGGAACGCAGCAAGTGGTGTTTGCTTGCTTCAATTGAGGTCCTGCGTTTGAAAAGAACAGATGTGCCGCAGGACTGCGATGGGCGGGAGCACGCTGTACGTGGAGGCAGCTTGTGTCGAGACTGGGGATGGCAAGGGCGGGCTCAGAACAACAGGTGAGCAGCATGCTGACTTTTGCTGCTCTGTAGCAGACACCATATTATGTTTTGCTCCCTGTTTCTGCTTGTCATGCTGTGTCCCAGGCGACCCTGCTTCTGTCCTTTGGCCATGATAAGATGCCTGTTATGGGGAGTGAGCTAGGTTTGACAGAATTTGCATCTGGCGCTGCAGGGCAGCTTGGTGATGTCATGAAGGAAAGTGCGAACATTGCACACACCTTTGCGCGCAGCTTTGCTGCTAAACATGGCGTGCCCGCCAAGTTCTTCAGCGACTCCTCCATCCACGTCCATGTGCCGGCCGGTGCCACGCCAAAGGATGGGCCCAGCGCTGGCTGCACGATCATCACTGCGCTGCTGTCACTGGCCCAGAACAAACCAGTCCGGCCTGACCTGGCCATGACAGGCACGCTTCTCTTTCTTCATACTTGCTTCTCAGCGCTGGTTTCAAAGAACGGAGACAAGAAGAATCTGTTTACTTTGCTCAACTGTTAGCAACGCTGCATTGTGATACCCATGCAATTGGACGCAGGGTCTTGGCAAGCGGATTTTATGGGGATCTGTGTGTGTACACAGGAGAGGTCACATTGACAGGGCGCGTACTGCCAATTGGAGGTGTCAAGGAGAAAACACTCGCAGCCAGGCGAAGTGGGGTGAAGACCTTGATCTTCCCAAAGGCTAATCAGCATGACTTTGAAGAGCTGGCAGGTATGAATCTCATGCTGTGATGCGTCATGACTCCCGGGTCCACTGTGGTCATGATTCCTTATTGTTCATCTCCTGCTGCTTCATTCAGAATTGACACTTGGCCTTCAGATAATAATTATGACACGTCTTTGGCTTGCTTGCTCAGATGAGGTGAAGGCTGGATTTGAGGCCCACTTCGTGGAGACATTCCAAGAGGTGTTCGACATCGCTTTTGAGGACTCTCAGCTAGAAAATGCCTCACAAGAGGCGGCAAGTGCTGCATGACATTGCACCAACATCATAGGTTGCACAGACATATTTGCAAATGTAGGACAAATCAGTGCCAATGCTATTGCTGATTGGTATCAAACTTGGAGCGTCGCAATTTGGTGAAATATCTTGAAGCTTGTGCAGTTTTACAAGACTGTATTCCGGACTATTAGAATACTAGACGGGAAGGACACGGCCCTACTGTATCATCTTAAATTAGCGCTTGAAGAACTTAGCGTTGAATGCAACGGCATCAGTCGTCGGCTCCATGGTAAAAAGGATTCACTTGCATTTCATATCATCATCATGCAATGATAGCACGTGCTTAGCAGCGGCTGCCAATGTTACCGTCGTAAACATCCTAGCGATTAAGAGCCATCAAGTCCTTGCACACATCACTCGATGGCCCACGATTCCTAGAATCCACTGCTTTCGGTTATGCTTGTTGGATCCATGTATTCAGGGTTCCAACCCTACTCTACCCTATTCCGGAACCCATGTCATTCAATGCAAGTTGCTTTTTAGTCCGGGACTATATTCTCCAATCCACCAATATAGGTACTGTAATACTGCATACCTCATCAAGCACCACATGACATAATAAATGGTTTGACAATCCCATGAACGGAACCACAGCAAAACGTATTATTCTGGCATTATTGTGACTTAGTCAAACTATCAACATTTCCAGCCCCTCAGCTATGAATTTTTACTTTGCTCCATATGGGTGCACACATCTTTGCTCAACTACAGGCGTTTAAGGGCATTGCCGAGGGTGACAAGCACGACAAGGGAGCCATTGCCCCGTGTCCGATCAAAAGCATTAAGCGCCACCAAGCACACCTAATGCTACTCACCGCCTACCGTACCATATTGCATGCATTCTCGAAACCCAATCCATGAAAATTTTGCTCTAACTATAACCGACTATTATTTCACCATCATTGATCTTCATCTCACGGTTTTTAAGTATTCCTAACTATTATCCCGCCTTGCAAACCCTAAAAGCATCATTGACTATCATCCAACTTTCATAAATCTTCATCTCAGGATTTTTAGGATTCCTCACTTTCATCCAAGCCTGGGACTAAACCCCAAACCATCACTGACTATCATACGGCTTTCATAAACCTTCATCTCATGGTTTTTGAATAGCTATAACTATCATGCTGACTTGGCACTACACTGGCCATAATTTGACCATCTTAAATGTTCATCTCAAGATTTTATAGGGTACTTGCCTATGATCCTGGCAGGCGTGCCACGTGCCACGTGCCAGTGGCACTTCATCCTAAACCAACACTGACTATCAGTATGCCATCATAAATCTTCATCTTACGACTGATTGAGGAGCCCTGGGTATCATCATAACATGGCACTAAACCCTAAACCATCATTGATTATAATCTGGCCATCAGAAATCCTTATTTTAGGATTTTTGAGGAGCCCCGACTATCATCCGGGCGTGGCACTAAACCCTAACCCATTAATGACTATCATCGAGCCATCATGATTCTTCATCTCAGGGATTATATATTTTTTAGGGTTTATATTTTACACCTAGTGTTTTGGGGTTGGGGTGTCCAAAAATGGACCCCGGTGTTAAGGGTGATCTTGGGCAATTTCATTGTGCTGATCACGCCTATGAAGTCCAAACTTGAAAATCCGACCTCCTTGGCTCTCTATAACGCCTCCAACATGGTTTCAGGCTAGGGTTTGCATAGGGTTGGCTCTAGCTTCTCAAAAGGGGGGCCTATGGCATAGTGGAAAGACTTGCAATGGGACATATACATATAGGGCTTTCATTTGATGCATGTCTAACCAAAAGTTACAATGCCGTTTTGGAGCTATCACGCCTTGAAAAAGTGATCATTTCCCTTCTAGTCTTGTGGAGCCCCTAGCTCTTCCAAAGGGGGGCCTATGATATAGTGCAAGGGCCTCCAATGGGACCCACTCATATGGGGCTTTCACATGATGCATGTCCCAGAAAAAGTTGCAATGCCATTTTGGAGGTAGCACACCTTTTAAAAATCCATAAAGACCCTGGCAGCCTTCTAGAGGCTCTAGCTCCTCGAAAGGGGGGCATGTGGCATAGTTGAAAGACTTGCAATGGGACATGTACATAAAAGGCTTTCATTTGATGCATGTCCCACCAAAAGATACAATGCCATTTTGGAGCTATCACACATTGTAAATAGTGATCATGTCCCTTATAGTCTTGTGGAGCCCATAGCTCCTCCAAAGGGGGGCCTTTGATATAGTGCAAAGGCCTCCAATGGGACCCACTCATATGGAGCTTTCACATGATGCATGTCCCAGAAAAGTTGCAATGCCATTTTGGGGGTGGCACACCTTTTAGGAAATCCATAAAGACCCTGGCAGCCTTTCAAAGGCTCTAGCTCCTCAAAAGGCATGGTGCTATGGCATGGCAAAAGGCTATGTCATGGTGAAAATACTTGTAAGAACATGTCTGCATCTTCGTATGCCTGTTAACCCGAGGATGAGAAGAAACAATTAAGGTCCTCTTCTGTAATTGCCAATGGTCAAATCCTTGAACTCCATGGCATGATGCCATATGGCTGCAGATTGGGCCTGTTTTGTGAGGTGTCTGCATGATGCCTTTCTCGACCTGCCTGCACTGCTATACACCATCGTTTGCATCTACTCTCAAGCTTTCCATAGCCCCAAGGATGGATGAAATCCATGAGTTACAGCCATTGGAACCACTTCTCAAAGTTCTGCTTGCACACCCGTGCATGGCTGCAGATTGGGCCTGTTTTGTGAGGTGTCTGCATGATGCCTTTCTCGATCTGCATGCTTTGCTATACATCATCGTTTTCATCTACTCTCAAGCTTTCCATAGCCCCAAGGATGGATGAAATCCATGAGGTACAGCCATTGTAACCACTTCTCAGTGTTCTGCTTGCATGCCCACGCATCGCTGCAGATTGGGCAAGTTGTGCAAGTTGTGCATCTTTTGGAGTTGGCAAATTTAGAATGTGCTAGATTACACGCCCTACCTATATACCTATGGCTCATGGCCAACCCATTCATAGTCAAAAGTGCAAGGTAGGAATCAACCTCTCCAAGTGTATGGCCCGCGGCCATCCCATTCATAGTCAGTCCTAGCATGCAACAATCAACCTCTCCATGTCTACATTCTAAGGCCGTCCCATTTACAGTCAGCGCGACTTGGCAGAAAACCAACCTCTCCGTGATTGTGCACAATCACGTGGCCCTCGGCCCCCATTCATAGTTAGCACGCCAAGCCGCTTGTCTAACCTCCCCATATCTATGGCCTCTCACCGTATGGATCCCATTCATAGTCAGTCTCGACAAGCAAGTACCAACCTCACCATCAAGCCCTACTTGAACACTGATTGCCCAAGTCACCTCATGTACGACTTCTTCACATGCACCCTCCTATGGATAGTCCACAAACTCGCCACGACTGCATGGCACATACCCCCAATCGTCTTGCCATAGAACCCCAACTTCTCATCTAGCTCTCGTGCGCGCCCCTCAAACCCCTCACTCCGGGGGTCATGCACATTTTGAAACTGGGAAAGCACTTCTTCATGCTTATCTAAATCCACCTGCACAGCCGGAGGACAGCTAACCACTCTCGCCAAAATCAATCCCTCCGAGCGCTCTAACATGCTATTCTTGGGGAGTGGATACCACTTGAGGCCCACCCCCATCAAGCAGTTTGCAACATCGCACTGGAAGCCGTAAAGAGCATGAATAGCTGCATTATTGTAGGTGGGCAAATACAATTTCTCAAAGAGGGCAAGGAGCATGATCTCAAAACCGACAAAACTAGGCCGCAATGCCGTGCTCCCGCGAACCTGGTACAAGTGCCGCACATACACCGCAATAACCCTCGCAATTTCCCATACATTGATGTCCTTGCATTCAACATCCAGCCTAATTCCACCCCCCTCACCACCTAACGCCGGCAACTTGTCAGCCACCGTGCCACCATGCACCGCCGACTTCAGCATAGCAAGCATAGAAGCGCCCCCGATGCTAAAGTTGTATGCGGACCCTTTGCCTGCTGCAAGGTCCGTAACTTCTGCGGCTTCCGGCGCGTATCGGCGCTTCATAATGCCCGTCGTGTTGGTCCACACTAAAGATCTCACTGCCGTCTTGTGGACCAAACCGTGCTTCACCCTAATGGCCGCTACGACAACATTGCAAGTCATGTCCCCGCTAAGCATCTCTACTGGAAGCAAAGAAAATAAAATAGTCTCTAAAAGGGTGGTTGCGTGGGCCGCACTCACAGGCACACGGCAAGGGGCTTGGAACATGTCATGCAATTTCCTCTCGACTAGGTCCTTCGTGTCGTTCTTATTCTTTGAGGACTTCAGTTGCACTAAGACAGCGTGCCTCGCCGCATGGGCAATTCGCTTTGCCACCCACACATCCGCTTGTGCCCCGAGCATGACTTGCAACAAAGGAATGTCTACGGAAAAAATCCCGGCCCTCTCGGCACGGCCCAAAAAGTCGGGAGAAAGCCTACTAAGTTTATTCCTAAACGACTTCATGTGGCAAAGCATCATGTTGTACACAAGCCCCACATCAACAAAGGAGCGCAAAATGTCCTCCAGCACTTGCATGTGGTGCGCCACGGAGAAACGCAAAAGGCGCAACCAAGTCATCACAAAATCTTGCACATACGAGCGCAAGTGATACCAAGAGGCCCAACGGAAGGTGTTTGTGACGTCAAGCAGTGCAACACGGGCGGCCGTCTCCTTCACACACGAATCAAGGCAGTCAAGCACCGCACCCGGAGCATCGCCAACATCAACGCCTCGGATTTGGTAGCCAACTTCTACCCTCATCGGATTGGCGACACGGGAGTAGTTGCCTGTCGACTGATGCACCTTTTGGCGGATTGTCTCCGTGACCTTGTCAAACTTAGCCTTTTTTTGTGGTAGCCGGGTCGCCATGTACGCCTACATGCACAAAAGAAGTGCTAAGAATTTTTTAAACATGAACTCTTCATGTGTCGCGTGCTGATGTGCTCCTTGTAACAAAAATGAGTACAAAGCAGGTCGCACCGTTGCATGCTTGGAGACTTGCTCGGAGTCTTTCTCGGTAATAAATTCCTCCATGCCGTGTGCGGGTAAGCCGTTATACATGAGCAGCTGAGTACGGCGGCCGTGAAATTTTGCCGCTAGTGCAGCAAGCGTGGTGGCGCTAGTCCGCATCGACTGCTTGTGCTCTGGAGTGTAATCTTGCACATCAACCCTAGAAAGCACACACGCAATGATAATATTTCTAACCT